GTATATATATATATATATATATATATATATATATATATACTTTGTCAAAAACATTCTATTTACATTTAGGCATAAGCGAAGGTGCATTTATCATCGAACAAGATGTTCAGTGAAATTACTATTCCAAAAAGATAGAGGAAAGATCGCCTGGAAACTGAAGTAAATTCATCATGTTAAGATATAAATAAAAAATTAGCTATTTACATCTGAAATATCAAGGAGTTGTCATGTGATTGTCAACGTTAACGCAGATTTGGTCTCAGGAATTGTATCTGCGTTTGCTACAAAATTATAGCATTTTAAGATAATCAGCCTGGATGCTCAAAACTATGCAAGTATAAGAAATTCTGTTCTAAGTCTAGGTCCTCTAGGCCGAGTGACTATGTTAGCTGAAACCTCATTAGACAGATGATAAGGCAAACGGATCAGTCAAAGTAACAGGCATTCTTAAATACTGTATGTTTGAAATAAGAAAATACTTTTTACAATCAATGGTTGTCCTATTTCTTTCTTTCTTCAGCTTTATTAATTGTCGCATGTCCAACTATCAGCTGAATTGACATCACCACTGCCGCTATACTTTACCTTGACTGGGTAAGGGCACAATGGTCGTTGGATTTCAACTCCTTGCGCCGGGTCATCACTTACATACTTCGTTGCGAGTATATAATCAACCGTTCTATTGTTCTCAACCCATTCAATGACAGCAGTGAAGGCATCACTTTCGGCATCGAATTTAGGCATTGAAGATAACTGCTGAGCTTGGTTGACACCATTTATGAACCAAGGTGCGTTCATTGGCGTACCCATACAGTGGTTCATACCTGGGATCTCGAAGTAGCGGTAGAAGTCGTCAATAGTAACACCCTTTGGAACAAGGTTGCGTTGGACTTGCTTATAGAAGTAACTGGAAGATCCTGTTGGTATGGATCCATCCGCTTTTCCATGATAATGACTAATGAATTAGCGATATAGAAATTAAGACATTGGACTCACATGAGCTTTCCTCCGTTTTGCTTGAATGGTCGCAAATCAAATTCATCGGCTGTGGCATTACCAGGACGAAGCTTCTCAGCTAGGTATGTATCATCGAGTGAAAACGTAGTCCAATCCCAACTTTTGTCGTTACGGACCTAGATTTATGAGTGAACGGTTATTGATATACTGTAGAAGTGTAACTCACAAAGTCTTGGACATAGTTGACTGAGAAGCCAGCAGGCTCGTAAGACCCGTCGTCAGCTTCTTGAGTTAGCATCCATGTTGACTCTGAACCAAGGTTGAAACCAGGGAAAATGAAATCATTCATGCCTGATTTCCAATCTGAGTGAATCTTATTGAGTGTCTCAATTTGTTCTGGGTTGAGACATTCCGAGGTGTTTGAAGAAGGACCACAAAGTAGCTTCTCAGGCATAAAGTCGCAAGTTTCTGGAGAGGAAACAATGCCATCCAAAATACCATCCGCGATATCACATTGAGATAATACTTGCTCAAATATCCATTCAAACTGGTCTGAAGGAATATGATGAGTGGCATTTTCAGGAAGGTTATAAATTCCAAGAAGAACTTCTGAAGTCTGCAACCTTTGTGTGTACCATGCTGGTGCACCTGCGAGTACACCGTCGTAATCTTCTGGATACATTTCAAGGGCTCTGAGACCTTCACAGTTAGCTAGCATAGGCACAAATACTACGATGCAATTTACCTTGACGTCCACCAGTTGAACATCCTAATGAACCGTGAGTAAAGAAAAACAGATTCTGAGACACTTACCAGCGTAATATGAATGTGAGATGGTTTGATCGTAATAATGATTTACTATGTTCTTAGCAAGCTCTGTTGAAAGGTGCAAAGCGCGATGACCCCAGTCTTGTCTTGCTTCCTCATCGTTGAAGGCCCAGGAGGCATCAGACATTGTGGAATTGTGTCCGGTATCTGACGAGATAGTTGCACAGCCATAGTTTTTGACACCATATCCCATTGTCTCCCAATCGACACCACCTGCGGCACCACCCAAGCCGGTTGCTGGTATCGTATTAGAAATGAATCTAAAATCGAGACAACTCACCTAAGAATCGATTCTCTTGCCAATCATCAGGCATAAATAGCCCGAACCTAAATGAAGACGTATCGGAACTTGATGCATTCACATAAACAGCACAGAGGTCAGGTAAGCCAGTTGCATTGTTCGGAAAAGCTATGTCATCACCATATTGAGATGGCTGACCATATGTTCCGTTATTTTTGACATAGTCTGCTGTTAAAACGTTACCGTAGGGCAGGTATGTCTGTATAGTGACGACATTGCATTTATCGCTTGCAGCAATAGCCATAGATGTTAATCCAGCTATCGCGATACCCGTTTTCTTGAGTTGCATGGTGGTCGTGAGATATTGAGATATTATCGGACGATCATTATTCTATTTATGTAGCCGCGGGTAGATTGTTTAGGAAGTGTACCTGTGCCTTGTTTTTCGTAACTTCTCCGATACACTTATTCAACATAATCCTTGAGGAACAAGTACTTATTTTATTCTACAGCGTTCAATTATTGTTCACATAAGTCCCCTGCTCTTCATCTGGTCAATGTCACCATTGGAATAATATATTCCCTAACTGCGCACAGAATTCAATCGATAATGATTCATTATCAAGAATTATTAAAACGACAGCACTAACTGATTTTCGTTGTGGTATTACATGGTTTTAATTATGGCATCATAGAAAGTTGGTGAACGACGCAGAAGGATATCTCCAACTGAAGCTTATGAGCAAATAGTTATCACCATACTATCAGTAGTGGTTTAATATACGTATAAAAGAATATAAATGGGTACCATAGATGACTGTATGCTACATGTTGTGGATAAAATGATAATGCTAGTAACGATTGAAACATGCAGATTTCATTTATTATCTTCTATTATCTTGTAGACCACTTTGGATGTCCTAACCATACTTATTTATCAGATAGCATCCGAATTCTTGCGTTTTGATATCATAGATATCAGTATTTTGCACCAGCAAAAATGAGTAGAATACGACAAAATAGATTCTCTAGACGTGTAACTGCACTTTTTGATATCACATGCGGTGTTTCAATTGAATTATGTTATACGCAGCACACTTCTTCACAATTCACAACCAACTCATAACTCACGACAAAGAATTAAAGACGAGTAATAATGACATCTAACACATTCATGCTTACAATGACAGCACTGTTCGTGCTTATTTCGCTTAACGGCGTCTTGGCTTTTGGTAGTGGAGACATTGCATCTACTTCTGGTCTTGAGGACCGCTGTTACAGACACGGTGATATTGAGAACACACTTCTCGATCTCTTGTATACCGTAGGAACTGGTACATCAGGCAGTCTCATCAAGTCCTTCATCAAGAAGGCTGTTAGTGGAGGCAAAGGAAAGAAGTTTGACGAGAAGAACGTTAAAAGAGTATACTTTGGAGTAAGTGCAATATATTCGTACTAATAATGTTAACACCAGTTTAGAGTGAGTACATTACAGACAGACATAGTGATAACGACTAACATTTATATTTTGACTGGAGTCGCGATCTCAGTCAAGCTTTGGACGTTTCTGGTTTGAAAATAGCATCTCCAAAGCAGCTTACCACTGTTGTTGCGGTTCTCGGTTTCCTTTCATTTGGTTATGCGACACGCGAATTCGAAGTAACCGAAGAGAGATTAGGAACATACCGTAATGAAGAGCACATCGACAATCCATCTGGATATGCCGATGCACCAGAAGGTCCTCCAAACAAAGTCAGTGGTTACCACAAGCTTCGTGGAGGTCTCAAAAAAGGCGAACTTGATTTCGACCGCAATGCAATGAAGAATTACATCGCTAACGAAGACGGAGAATGGGATACCAGTTCCGAGTTTATTAGGAAAAACCTCGTCGCTTGTGTCGAATTGGGTAGACGCGCCAGACAGGATGATAATGACGAACAAATGTGGGAGGCTCTTCGTCTCCTTGGTACCGCTTTGCACACTCTTGAAGATTATGCTGCTCACTCTAACTTCATCGAGGTTGCGCTCCAATCATTGGGCTATGAAAACGTCTTCACACATGTTGGTGAGAATGTAAGATTCGACAGTCCAAACGGTAAGAAGGTATCTCCGATCGTTACAGGAACATTTGGTGGTCTCGACTTCTTCCACAGTATGTGCGGGTAAGCTATATCACACTAATCACGACGACACACACTAACTACCAATTTCAGTGAAGTTTCAGATAAGCTTTCTTCAAATGGAGTTGGTGACTTGTCTACTAAGCTCTCCCAAAGCAAGGATAGCAATGTTGACAATATTAGAAAGATCATCACCAAGTTACTCAAGTCTAAGGACAAGGGCGAAAAAGATGACAGTGATGACGGTCATGCAGACGCTGATCAAAAGGTCAACAGACTCGAAGAGATTCGCAAGCATGCTAAAGATAATACCAACATGAATGAGGACGAATTCCATAGCATGGTTATGGAAGGTAAGAGCTTTTTTATGCCAGTAATGTCAGGTTGACACGTGTTAGTCCTTACTATCCATGACGATATCACTCGCGCTATCGAAGCAGTTATGGACAAAATTCCGTTCATCAATGAGCTCCTTGATGAAGCCTCAAATACACTTCAAGTCTTCATCTACTCAACCATTGAGCCAGTGTACGTATGTGCTTCCCAGTGAATATATCTAACTTTCACTACTAGCCTTTCACCTATCTTGAAGAATCTTAAGGATGCTATGTTCGAAGTTTCAGCAGGTGTCATCGATGATCACAGTCAACGTATTGTTTTCAATGATCCAAACGCCAGTGACCCAACACACTCTATGCTTGCGAAGGATCACTTTGTGAGTGTAGTAGAAACTCAACGGCAGTGTATTGACGTAACTGTAGGGAAACATCCTCAACGGTCCAGCTGGTCGTTTAGCCAAGGTTGTCATTACACATGCTGTTAACACCGTCGTCAAAGATGGTTGGGATGGTGATAGGTATGTGTCTACTTTACGAGGAGGAACGATCTGACACATTATAAGGGATCCAAGATCAATTGCGGATGATTGTATTCAAGCTCTTCATCATCCAGACTTCCAAAATGGATCCCAGATCCAGAAGGACATGGTCAACTTCGTCAAAGAGTGGATAGAATCACAAGGTAACGAAAAGAATGAAGTCTTGAAAAGATTAGAGAAAGACAGTGTCCTCGAGCACCGCAACACTACAGACAACCTTTCTGGAGGATCCGCAGCCCCTAATGACCAAGAAAAATATGGCAAGTGGTACCAAATTCCGTTCATTTTCATCTGACATTCGCTAGGTCAATACCACGGTGCTCGCCAAGGTCTTCAAGGACTTGCTGCTTCTGGTACCCTTGACAAGGTTCCTGGCGGCAAGGAGTTGAGCGAGGGTATGAATGCCTTGCATATGGGTGGTGCAGACAAGAATATGTCTGTCGAACGCTCCAAGAACAACTCAAGCGGACACCAATCCGGCAACCAACATCCTTCAGGAAAAACCCAACACCAATCCTCTGGCTATGGTGGTGGCTCAACCTATGGTTCTTCAGGTGGCTACGGTGGATCCGGCAACGACCACTCTTCAGGCAGACACCAACAATCCTCTGGCTACGGCTCTACCGGTGGATACGGTGGATCCGGCAACGACCACTCTTCAGGCAGACACCAACAATCATCTGGCTACGGCTCTACCGGTGGCTACGGTGGATCCGGCAATGACCACTCTTCAGGCAGACACCAACAATCCTCTGGCTATGGTGGCGGTTCAACCTATGGTTCTTCAGGTGGTTACGGTGGATCCGGCAATGACTACTCTTCAGGTAGACACCAACAATCTTCTGGCTATGGTGGTGGCTACGGTGAATCTGGCAATACCTACGGCAGCTCAAGCCATGGCTCAAACACCGGGTATGGTTCATCTAACACTCATGGCTCTAGCTACGGTCTTGGTGGTGATTCCGATCAGTACACTTCTCGTAACGGTGGCTCCTACCGTAGCGGTAATGAGTACGGCAGCGGTCAAAACTCATATGGTTCAAGCCGTCATTACTAAATTGATAAAGAAGTACCTGCCAAACAACTCTAGCTTGGAAAACTTAAAAAAAATATTTGCTTTACTCTTGACTGAACTTTTTATACACGATTTTCTTTCATATTCTATGATGTAACACATATTGATGATAGTCAAATGATACTACGGTATGAAAATGTGTTAATAATAAGTATGACATACTGAATCCCTCGGTCGTGGTTTTAAGACATGTATGTAAAATAATGCAAATGTATAAATTGGGGGTATTTTCCTAATTTAAGCAGATAAAGCTAGATGTGATTTCCAACTCCAATAGTTTTTACGTATCGGATCTAAGGCTTTCAATTCTAGATAACGTTTGGTAGCAATAGGATTCTTATCTTCTAGCGCAGCATCTGCTAACCATTCTAATGCGGGTAAAGGAGGTCTCATGTCATCTGAAGCACTCTTTGCATTGATCAGCGTTTCCGAGAATTGCATAATTCGTTGATTGTTCAATCCTTGGTCATTTACTTTGAGAATACCCCTTAAGTAATTCCAGCTTGACATGTTACTAGGAGCTTTGCTAATAAGAGACAAAACGTAACTTATCGCGTGTTAGCAAGTATTTTTTCATTGGTCAAAACAAAACTTACTCAATCTCATTGTCTAATGTTGTCTCCAGCCAACCCAGTTTGAACAAGCAGAAAAACCTATGAGACCATACTGAATTGTTGTAGATATCATCCGTGATAAGCGATTCGATGAACTCAAACTCATGTCGGCGATCGTCATCGTGAAGAATCTTATCAAAATAAGTAAGTATCCACTGTCTGTATACCCAAGTGTGATAATTCTTTGGATCATCAGTAGCGTAGAACAACTCAGCTACGAATTTCAATTCAGAAACAGCCAAATCCCTTGATGATTCTAAAGGTGGGGGTGGTGAAGACGTCTCAGGTGAGCATGCAGTAGTTACAACCGCGGCTGAGTCCTTATTAGCAAACGTAGATGTAGATGTAGCCAATAAACCGACACACAGCCTCCTGTGATGCCAAACTTGGTAGGATTTCAGATATTCAGTGGATAATTCATCCATAAGTTTCAATTCTGCTTGGAGATCTAAACCCAATTCCACGATAATAGATGTTCTGTAATGCCTTTATTGTTTGAGCTTTGTAATCTAACGGAGAAATTGAAACGCACCATACGGTGTAATGACCTGCGTTCATACGTATAATATCTTCAGTCAATCCAAGTGCTCTCTCTGACTTCTCATTCGCATTTACCACTGCTCTAAACATGTCCATAGCGTCTTTATCTGCGAAATTGTGAGATGATCAGAAGATATTCAGAAACTCACATTTCTGAGAGTAATTGATCGGTGCTAGCGGTGAAGGACCTTCATCTTGTTCTATTGGCGTTAGATCTTTGAAGTCATCTCGTTCGGCGTATAGCATATCGTGGTTGAGAACAAAGAAAGTATACTAGAGAGATATGCGAAACAGGTGTGTCTAAATGAGAAATATATAATCTATCTATCCTTATCTCCCTCCTAGAATGAAGTTACAGAGAACAATTGAAGAGTGTGTATATCTATCAAACTAACAACTAGTTGGCATATAAAGTCTTACGTATAAATATAATGTACAAAATCTGTTCAAATATCTCCCACATTGCTTGATTTTTCTTAAATTATTCCCCGTACGTTGGCCATCTCTTAAACCACCAAGTCGAAAACTTACTAGGGTAGGATGGCAGCAGAAATCTCAAAGAGGGAGAACCGTGTATACGTTGGAAATCTTAACTACGAAGTCAAGAGCGAAGATTTGAAGTCATTCTTTCAAGACAACGCAGAAGGACGTGAGTGATAAAAGCTACAGAATGAATTCCCACTAACAAAGTATTTAGAAGTACTTGAAGTCGCTTCTGCTGAAGTGTTAATTACACCAAACGGTCTCTCAAAGGGTTGCGGGTGAGTTACTACCCATAACATCTTCTCTATTAAACAGCCTTAGTATCGTTGAATTCACTTCACCAGAATCAGCACAAATCGCTATTGAATCATTTTCAGACAAGTCTCTTCTTGGTAGACCTGTTTTCGTTAGAGAAGTCGGTACTCATCACACATCGATTATCTCACAATCTGACACCAATTACAGGACAGAGAGCAAGAAGCTAGATTCGGTGCTAACCCAACTCCTTCACGTAGTCAACAATTCAACCGCGGTCCTTACAATCCAGGTCCACCACAAAACGCAGCACCAGGTACCCAGTTGTTCGTCGGTAACGTGAGTATAGACTGCTTTGCTTTATACACTGTCTCAAGTCTTGTAGTTACCATTCCAAGTCGGATGGCAAGACCTTAAAGACCTCTTCAGACAAGCTGGTCATGTCGTAAGAGCTGATATCCAATTGTTCCCAGACGGAAAATCAAAGGGTAACGGTATCGTCTCATTCTCTTCAAGAGAAGACGCCAATAACGCTATCGAATTGTATAACGGCTACGAATTCTATGGTAGACCAATTGAAGTACGTGAAGACAAGTTTGCAAATTCACCAAGACCTTCAAGAACACCATACCAATTCAACAGAAAAGCACCACAAGGCCCTGCTCCAGTTCCTGCTGCAGCTGCACCAAACCCACAAATTGTCTCAAAGAATTTACCTTGGTCAACCTCAAATGAGGACTTAGTTGAATTATTCGAAACTACAGGTGACGTAAAGAAAGCTGAAATTTTAATCGATTCACGTACACAACGTAGCCGCGGTGTAGGTATCGTTGAATTCTTCTCAACCGCTGCAGCAAGCGTGGCAATCGAAAAGTTCAACGGTTACGTATACGGTGGTCGTCCTCTCGAGATTGGTTTCTCATCTCGCCAACACAACTTCTCACCAACTGCAGCCATCAAGGCTGAATAAGTTTGATTAATTTTCTTTGATATTCATTAAATTCATAACTTTATGCTCTGCAATAATAACTTTACACAGTTAGTAACTCGGTATAAATAATTGTGGTATAATGATGCTAAATATAATGATATTTCATGTTAGATGTTTTAAATCATTTGTTTTCCTACTTAAAGGCTGAGAATTGCTTTGATGTCCCTTCAGGATTGTTGTCTCAGTAAGAATGTCAGTTGATGATACAGCAGTTTGAAAAACACAAGTGATAAGTTTTCCAACAAGATTTGTGTGATGATGCAAATCAAATGCTATTAACATTATCATAATATCTAATATTATGATTCTTCTTGTCAAACCTGTCATAAATATTTGGTTTCAAGTCTCAAAATAAGGTATCGCTTTCTATTTGACAAAAGTAAGGAACACATTTACATCGGTATGTATATTAAGAATATCTGGTGGAAGCTCTCTTCTACTTATTTGTAAAGTTTAAGCTTTCACAAAGCTTGGTTCATATAATATACATTTAAAAATACACTTAATTAGATAAACGCGAAGTTTATAAGATTCTAGACCTCATCCGAAGGTCTCGACTTTTTGTAGTTACCTAGAGTAAATACATCTATTGTGACTCCTTTGAAAATTTTGATTAAACTTGGCAGTGATTCATATATTGGACTTAGTATAATATAAGTTGCACCAAGTAAAAGCCATGCAAGACCTATGCTAACCCATGCTTTGAAACCAGCACGTGGGAAGATGTAAGAAGTACCATAAAGCGAGAAAGTCACGATAAAAACCATAACGATGGTCCAGGTGATGGCGAAGCCAGCAGCTAATTTCATTGACTTTGTCAGATATGCAAAATCTTCCTCACTCAAATCTCCTTGTGTGGCATCTGGTACACTGAAGTCCTTCAATACCGCAGGTGTTGTCTCTTGTTTGTCATCCTTGTCAAATTTTTCCGAGTTATCGTCAATTTGTGACGTAACAATAACCTCTTGTTCGCGTATAACAGACTGTTCGGCTTGCTTGACAGCTTTTTTACCGGTATTTTTTGTTGTCTCAAAATCATGATCGTCTGGGAAGATCAATGAACCAACGATTGAAATTACAATTGATAGACCGAATGAAACTGTGTTACCAGCGAGCATTGGTAGATCTTCTGTAGATAATACTTAAGTATCTATGTTATATACTCAGAAATGTACTTACGGCCAGTGGTAGTTTTATCGACAATACCGTCATTGAGCTTGTACGCTGTGACGCACCAAGCGATGATACCGAGAGGTAATGAGATAACAGCAGCTCCAATGCAGCACCATTTATTAGCCTTCTTCCACATGATACAGCATATAAGAGGGACAACGCCTGGACAGAGAATGATTCCCATCAACTCATAGAGATATCCCATTCCTATACCAATGTAGTAAAATATGGTACCAAGAAGTGCTTGACAAATTCCAAATCCAGCAACACTTGCATGTGAAACAAATAATGTTTGCTTGTCGGTTGCATTTGGTTTCACCCTCTTGAAAACATCGTATGTCACGAGCGTGCTGACGGCAACAAGCTCTGCTGATGATGCTGCTGTACATGCAAGGAAGAGCATAATAAGTATAGCACGAGCTCCTGCGTTACCCATGAGGGCAAAAGCAGCAGCAGGTGCTGGTAGTCCAGCGGTGACCTCATCTGATGTTAACAAAGGGAAAACGTCAGAGTTCTTTAATGCTGCACCAGCCAAACCAAGGCAAGTTGCGAAAGCAAATGGGATAGGATACCAGCATAAACTTCCAAGTACGAAGGATTTTGTAATAGACTTCGGTTGAGAAGCTACAGCACGATTGAAATATGCTTGATCCATATATACTGTACCGAAATTTCCGCAAAGGTTGACAAAGAAGAAGACAATACCGCCCATGGAGCGAAATGTGAGATATGAACCATCTGCGTTGCCTTCTACAGGATTGTTGATACCTTGCTGGACTAACAAATCGTAAAGACGGTCCAGTGAGCCAATATCCGGTGCTGATGTGTATGTGAAGAAGCAGAAGCCAAGTATAACACCGTAGAGAATAATTGTGTGAAGGTAATCAGCTACAAGTGATGCTTTGAGACCTCCAACGACGACGTAAATTGAGACGCTTAGAGGAATGAGCCAGACTGCTGCTAATGTAGGCATTCCAGTGAGAGCAGCGACAGTGTCACTTCCTCCTAATATCAGCATTGCTGAAACGATTAAATTGCAACATGCCGCGAAGAAAAGCCAAAGCCAATGTGCTGCTTTACCCCATCTTGCCCCTGCTATTTCAACGAAGGTGTGTGCATATGGCCACTTTAGTTTCATTGATGTTGCTACGACCGAGAACAGTAAAATTTGCAGACATGCACCTGTAGCATAACTGTAACTCCCCAAAATACCGAATGAATAGCTCTTTGAAGTTGATGTACTATACACGTTAGGGGATGATAGATACTTATATGTTATCTTACAGAAGAGTAGCGCTCCAGCACCATGCTGAAACAACACCACTGGAAATCAGCCCAGTACGAACACTCCGACTAGCAGAATTGAATTCCTCCGCACTTTCAACTTTGTTACCGTAGCGTTTTTGAAAATATCCAATTGCTAACATTAGAGCACTAAAACCAAGGCCCATAATTAAGACAACGCAATAACCTGCATATTGTTCTAAAGGTGGTTGCATAGTAGATTGATGACAAGAAAGGTAAGGAAACCAACTTATACTTACGCCTATTATCTTATCATAATAGCACTATCATGATAAGATAGGAATTATGCTATCCGATTGGTTGAATTTCGGAGGCGTAACTGAGAATATTAATTACCAAGCGTGAGATTAGATAGTATATTTAGTTATAGGATCAAGGTCCATTCAAGCTTTACAATACGATTTGGTGTATCTGTGTATGTGTATCGATTGCTTAGAGGTGAAAATTCTAATCAACAACAACTTGAATAAGTATACAACCTAATTGCAGTAAACTGTTCGTATACAATTGTGTCATTCCCTCAGAGGAAAAAACTAGTTTCTCTAAACCTCAAGTTGTGTTTGTATTGCTTCTCTCAGTGTACAATTCTTAGTATACAAAGTTACTCGCCGCTTTTCTATAAGCATAATTTCCAATATATTCTTTCTTACTCGTACGAGATGTCAGAAATGACGTTCCCAATGCTGATAAAAATAGAAGGGATATAATAGCCCAATGTGGATATATAAATAGCTATTCGCTAAAATGGAATCTGAATTGATAGCTAACATACATTATATTGCTCTAAAATACGTCCATTTCAATCTTCGCGCTCGACGGTGAAGAATGAGTGGACATAAAGAGAAGGGGAACGAGTTCTTCAAAAGTAAGTCCATGAAAATACTCAGTACTTCCCTCATCATTTCATAGGCAAGGATTTCGTAAAAGCTATCGAAGAGTGGCTCCTTGTCAGTCCCCCTACTGAGCAAGTGTACAATAACATCGCGACGGCGAAATTTAAGCTTGAAGAATTCGGTTTAGCTGCAGAATACAGTACAAAGGCCTTGGATTTGAATGGAAAGTTCGTAAAAGCGCTCTATCGTAGAGCAATGGCACATGTAGCTGTATTACATTTTAAGCTTGCTATCGCTGATCTTAAAGCGATTCTCGCTATCGAACCAACAAATAGAGTAGCCAGTCATCATTTGAGTGAGGTCAGCAAGATTAATCGTAAAATACAGTTTGAACAGGCCATCGCGACAGAAGACGAGAAGCAGGCAGCCGATACTGTCAAAGAGACTATAGAGAATGGAGGTTGTGAAATAGCCGCTGATTACGATGGTCCTACCTTAGATTCACCTAACCTCATCGACTCAGTCATAGACCATTTCAAGAAGGGCAAAACACTGCATAAACGAGTACTCTGGGACTTAATTTTGAAAACTATTGATGTATTTAGCCAAGAGGAGTCTCTGGTAGACATTCCTATACCTGAAGGTGTCCATATCAACGTAATTGGTGACACACATGGCCAGTTCTATGATTTGATCAACCTTCTCAACCTCGTCGGCAAACCATCGGATACTAACTACTTGCTGTTTAACGGTGACTTTGTTGACAGAGGTAGTTGGTCAACTGAAGTCATCATCCTCCTTCTTGTTCTCAAGTACCTGCATCCAAAGGCTGTATTCCTTAACCGTGGTAACCACGAATCCAAGCAGATGAACCAAGTGGGTCCGAGTATATTATTCATCTTACACTACTAACGTTATCTGTTAGGTTTACGGTTTCGAGGGTGAATGCAAACATAAATATCCTACAGACCTCACTTATAAATTATTTGCTCAGCTTTTCACTTGCTTACCGATTGCCCACCTTATTTCGTCAACAAAGAAGCCAGACTCATCAACTACCAAGTCAGACATTCTCACCAAAGACGGCTTCAAGAGGTACTTTGTCGTCCACGGAGGATTGTTTTCAAAAGACGACGTCAAATTAGAAGATATCCGCAACATAAAGCGTATTAATAGAGAACCAGGCCAAGAAGGATTGATGTGTGAGGCACTTTGGACTGATCCACAAGAAGAAGACGGACGCGGACCATCTAAGAGAGGTGTCGGCGTTGGCTTTGGTCCAGATGTTACAAAACGCTGGTGTGAACTCAATGAAGTTTGCGCTGTTATCCGCTCTCACGAAGTTAGACAGGATGGATACTCATGGGAACACGATGGTCGCCTTGCTACAGTATTCAGCGCGCCAAACTATTGCGACACAAGCGCTAACAAGGGTGCCTGGATGAAGATTTCCGCGTCTGGAGACATCAAGACAACACAGTTCGCCGCGGTGGAACACCCAGCTATCAAACCAATGGCATACTCGAGTGGTATGGCAAGTATGATGGGATAAACAGCCGAAAAATAAAAAATAAGTTTCTTGTAACAAATAATTCGCATCCAGTGATTGTCATTCCACCGCGTGCCAGTCCCTCAGCAGAACCATCATCATAAAAGACGAGATGTGGGCGTATTTCACGCCAATAATATACCTAGCACTTATACCACTAATACGGGCATTCCCAAAGATAGATTATGATTCGCTGGGGACTGTATCTCTCCTCGGCTCGTTCGCTGGAATTGACGATATCTCAAATTCATCAAAACCACGAGAAAGCTACGACAACACGACATATACACTTATTTCACGACCTAGTAATGCATCTGAATGGACATCTCTAGGGTCGACCAACCCCTTTGCGCATATAAATGCTGCCTGCACAATCGACGACATGACCTTCGCAGGAGGTGATTTCGGCACTATTGATGGTCAAGAAATTAATACTTTCGGTGTCCACACTCAACAAGATGGCTGGCAAGCATTGGGCGGTGTTCAAGGTGTTATAAATGCTCTTTATTGTGATCCCTCAAATTCACAAGTTTGGGTAGGCGGTGCCTTTGATGCCCTCGGAGATGACATGGGAGATAACATTGCAATCTGGAATGTGTTAGAAGAACACTGGCAACCATCCGCCGTCTACGGTTTGAACAATGCTGTACATGCCTTCTCGCTCTCAGGAGATCAGCTATTTATTACTGGAAACTTCACATCTACATTTAAGCAAGCAGACGACAATATCTATCCGCAAGCTTTGGACAGAATTGTAGACGCCCTTCAACCAATACCAATTGAAAATGCTGACATTACTGGATCTAAAGGATCAGATAACCCGAATTTCTCTGATATCAAGAATTTAGCATGTATTGGTGGAAACTCGTTCAATACGCCTGATGGAACGAATGGTGTTATGTATGTTGAGTGGTTCAATTCACATGAGGTTTCAGGTTTCCGCTTGGCAAATACTGTCAATGAGGGTCATTCGTTGACTGGATTTACGTAGGTTTTTATTTTTTTTTCCTCAAATCTATTCGCTAACAAACCTTAAGGATCACAAGTTTACCAGATAATCAAGCGATTCCATTAATTTACAACGATGTCGACTCACCTACAACAAATACCACATGCGAAAATGAATGTCCTATACCTCCTGCATATGAGAGGGAATTCAATGATTACATGATACCAGGTGGCTCACGCAAACTTAATGGATTCGCAATCAACATGATCGATTGGGAAGGTGCTGGTCCCGGTTTAAGATCAGTCGAAGTATTTGGCGCCGGAAGTGTCGCCAATGCTATTAACGATTTCAATGATCTTCAGAAAGGATGCTATTCAAATGGGGAACTCTCAAATGTAACAACCACTGGAGATTGGAAGAGCGTCAACCCATCTTCTGAATCTTCTAATAGAGTTCTCTCAACGCAAGTTGATGATGTCGATCAAGTTCCTTCTATTACTTTTAAACCACATGTTGGTCAACGTGGTCTATACGAAATTCACATTTCAATTCCTGGTTGTGCAGGATTGAAAGATTGTGAAAGCAGAAGTGCTATCGATATTGAAATGCAGCTAACGGAGAGAGGTCCTTATATCAATGATACGATTACTAATATTAGTGAAAATGACGTTTCCTTGCCAATCTTTAGGGGCATAGTAGACGGATCATCTGACACATTTGAGACAAACATCACTGTAAAACCGATTGAAATCGAAGAAGGGAAAACTGTCGCCTTGCAGCAAGTTTCTTTACACCTTCTTGAAGTCCTGCCCGATGAGATTGCCATCGGAGGTTTGGCCTACAATATGACGTCCGGTCAAACGTTCGATGCTAGCTCTGATAGGGTTCTATCGGAGCAGAGTTATTTAGACAGAGCACTCGTCTCTTTAGGTGACACCCTCGGTATCCAATTCAGAGAAGGTGAACAAGATTTGAATTATGTCAAGACAATTGTTAGCCACGAATCGAATATTTTCATTGGTGGAAAATTCGTTGGATTTAACGATACTGTGAACAACATCACAAATGTTGCACTTTTCAATGATAGACTTCATCCTCTTCCAGAAGGTGGTTTGAACGGTAATGTCAATAAATTGGTTATCGTCGATGACGAGCTCTATATCGCAGGAAATTTCAGTCAAGCAGGATCAGTAGATTGTCAAAACATTATCAAATATGATTATCATAACAAGAAATACGAAAAGCTTGGCCATGGCGTCGACGGTGAAGTCTATGATATGACATATTCTTCTGACTTAGGAAGACTATACTTGGCCGGTAACTTCACAAAGGCTCTGTTTGACGAAAGTTCTAGTGTAACAGTTGGTGGCTTAGTTGCCTGGGATATGGAAGACAAGACATGGAAGAATGATAACGGTGTTGTTTTCTCAGAATTAGTAAGCGGTGTTAGAATCCAAGATAAGAATGTCTTAGCTTTCGGAGCAATTGATAGAGTTGCTCAATTTTCTGGCAATGGCGCAGCAGAAATATCTTCGGATGGATTCAACAGCGTTAGTGGTATAAACGCACTTGGAAGTCAAGCCACATCGACCTCAAATTCACCATCAAGGAAGCGAGCAACACCTAAATTACCTTCAACTTCGTCAATTGCACCTGCTATAAATGCAGGTAACTATTACAAGAATTCCACAAGCTTGTATACCATCTTAGGTGGTAACTTCACATTTAACGACGGTGATGCAAGTGGAATTGTCTTGATTGACGAGAACGACTACATGCATCCACTCATAGATGGGGGTGTATCTGGAGATGTACGTGCTATGATAGTAGTAGGTGACAAGCTCTTCATGGGTGGTGATTTCAAAGCGGGTGACTCAAACGATGTTGCTGTTTACGATCTGAAAAAGGGTGTCTATCTCGATATTGGTAATGGTATAGAAGGCGTAGTTACAGATTTTGCTTATAATCAACTCTACAATAGCGTCATTATATCTGGTGATTTCAGAGCCGTTTCTGGCACTCAAGACTGTTCAAATATATGTCAATGGAGCGTCGGTGAAAGTCGTTGGAATAGTCTTGGTAAAGGCGTATCAGGGTTCGTTTCAGATGTCGAAGTAGCTGGTGTAAGTTCACACTCCTCTATTTCCTTCTTGACTAACGTGTATAATAGGGTGACGACAAATATATAATCGCAGTTGGTGAATTCTCTATTAACGAGGATGATGATTATATTTACATTGCTACTTACGACAATGAGGAGAAAGTTTGGTCAATGTTAGGTGATGGCGACCTACCTGGTTTACCAACATCAGTTGAAACCGACGACAAAAACATGAACAACATATTCATAGCCGGAAGACGTACTGGTAGTAACGAAACTTATGTTTACAACTACGATGGCGATACATTCACCGATATCTCAGATGGTATGTTTGAGGGTACAGGTAAAATCCATCGTTTGCAATTCTTGCCAGTTGAAGACGAAGACAGAGATGATAGCTCGCTCATTGAAGATGATAGAGTGCTTTATGCTACAGGTGATATCAATCTCAAAGGCACTGGAAGAGTTTCTTCGGTTATGTATGATGGCGTAAAATGGTATCCACATCTCCAGACTTTCAATTCAGATGGCAGTCCAGGGTCGTTATCTTCAATGATCTTTTCTTCCGATTTTTCGTTCTCGAGAAGAGGTGAGTGCTAGTTTTCTCTCCTCAATAATTTCTAACATATAATAATAGATTTACTCGCACTTGGTATTATCATTCTTATCTCTATCGCATTAGGTTTAGGTGTTGTACTCCTTGTCGCGCTCATTGCTATACTCATTTCACTCTGGGGGCGTCGCGGAGAGTCACGTCCAATTCTACTCGAGGATGACAAAGACGACGCAGACAATGGCCGTCCATCATCATTATTGGAGAATATCAATCAAGCTACTACTAATATAGCAAGAGGATCGACTCCAAATGGACAACCAACCCCTATCATTAAACTCAACGATGGGGAACCGGAGAAAGGAATGAATGAGAAGACATACAACGATCTTGACAATGATATGAGTGGCGCTGACGACAGTTTCGAGAGATCATATTCATCTAATGATGCATCATCCGATAATCCACCACAAATACCAGCCAGTGATCTAAACAATGGTGTCGGATATAGATGTTATTCCAGATATAACTTCGCTGGTGATAGACCTGGTGAATTGAAACTTGAGGTCGGTCAACAAGTTCAAGTTTTGAATGATAGCGACCAAGATTGGTTCTTCGTTAGAGATCCCGCATCCGCCCACGAAGGTGTTGTACCTTCTTCATACTTGTTTTAACCAGCACAAGAAAGCAAAGTTATTCATGAGCAGTTATAGTGTATTACATGTTTTAATATTTTAAGTAAACTATGAGTATTGTATATAGTAATCTAATTTATTTTAAAAATCTACTTCCGTTAGTTTTAATAAACATGGTAGAATGAAATAACTCACGTTGTCGTTATCAGACCAGCTGTCTTGATTATCTGAAACTCTTGCTCTTTTTTCAAAGTAAACAGGTTCATTTGTTTTTTCATTGATGATAGGTACCCATTCATCATTGTTAATTTTCTTGAACCATCTAACTCTAGATTGATCGTAGCCTTTAATTTGATTCCGACGTTCCCTTTGAGATTGTTCAAGAGTATTCTTGTAATTGTCAGCAGTGTTAGCGTCACCTTCTTCTAATGATCTTTGATCTGGTCTAAATCTCGTATCTGTAGGTGGTAAAACCTTTTCATTAACTAATTCATTAAGTTTAACAGCATGTTTAGAAAATCCGTAATAATCCTGGCAATCCGGTGGGAATTGATTGTTTGATTCCCATAATTTTTGGAATCTATCAGTTGATTTACCATCATCGTCTAATAAATGTCTAACAAAATTCTGTGACCACCTTCCACTTAATTTACAGATACGCTTTTTATCTTTATCATCAATAAATCCTTCAACAAAACCTCTAGAGGCTTCTCCACCGAAGAAACTACCTTCCTTGAAAGCAATTGTTGATGTTTCACCTGTAGTTTCGTTCTTAATATCCAAATCACCTGTGTGTTCCAAATATGGAGATGACATAACCAAGTTTCTAATAAATGAGCTTGGTTTGCGCCTTGAAAAGTTGTTAAGCTTTGCTCATGAATTTAGATATAATACCTACCATGTGTAAACATCACCAGTTGACTTTAAAGTTAACTTCGCCGTTCCGATTGGAATGATTTCCATACTCTTACCCCAGAATCTAGTTTTCTGTTAGAAACAACATCATCAAAGCCCAACAACTCACTTCTGCTTAACACCTGATGTAGCAACAAATGACCATCCATCACCCTGAGCATATGCAGCTACTAGAGGCGGGTGATGTGTAACCTTCTCACTAAAGAAGGCAAATTGTGGTGTGATATACTCGTAAGTTTCACCCAAGAGTGGGTTAAATGGTTTACGAGTGGACCTATACTGAGTGCAAGAGTAGCTCGACACGCAGAAAGCAGCAATACAAGCCATTTTTTCGACACTGCTCTTCGATTGTATAGCTTTATTGATTAAGTCGACGTATTCGAAGTCCTCGGCTACTTTCTGTAGTAATGAAAGCGGCTCATTGAAACTAACAGGGAAGGAAATCGTTGTAAGGTCTTTTCCAACGTTTTTCTTCAGTACACCTAGCAAGCCAATCTCCTGAGTTAGGCGTTAGCTCGAACTACTCCAATTACCTTTACACTCACATCACCAGAGATAGGAGCAGGAAGTTGTGGCCGCCGTGGGAGTTGCATGAGACCATACTTTGAATCGTGAGGACCATGTGAAGATTCAACACCATCGTATATAGCCTCCTTATCAACATCTTCCTCATCATCGTGGACATCATCATTGCCTTCATCCTCTTCATCTGGATCTTCAAATTCGTAAGCCTCTCCAAATGTATCCTGAGCATCATAGAATTCGAAATCGTTAACTGAGGAAGTACGCGATGGAGCGTAACGCGAGGCATTATTGAATGTCCTCGAATTGACAGTATCAAAGTCTTGAGTGTTATGCATATTATGCAGCTCCTGCTGTAATCTCTTCAAATCGTTAGTTGAATCGAGAAGACGTTCAAATATGGCGTCATATGCCCTATGTGGTTGGGTATCAAATAGATCATCACTAGAAGAGTTCAATTTTGGTGACTTGTGGAAAATATTGAGTAAACCACCTTGATGACTAGATGAAGCGTGTAATTGCTCGCGTGATCTAGAACTTGGCGGAGTACGGACTTGATTTTGACCGTTTTTGAGATTTGTGAGATCAAATTCGATTAAATCAATTAACTAAAAAGTTTGTTAGTGAATAAATAGGCTGTTAACATTTGTCGTACTTTAATTGATTTGTTTATATTCTCAATTGGAGGACGCTGTGCATTCTCGGCAACAGTTTCAAGAGGTACAGCTGTAGGCGTAGGATCGAGGAATATTCTTAATGTTTTCATCCAATTGACATATTCTTCGCCAGAAGTAAACTTTATGTGCCAAGTTGATGTACCGCCGTCGATCGTGACTGTTCTCCTGTTGTTGTGTGATAACCAAACACTTGAGCGTAAATTAACGTGATCTCTAACGTTATCGGTGTCAGTGACTGCGTAGGTGAGAGTGCCAGAAGACTACAGCGTCGGTCAGTATCGGATTAAGAGTAGGTTGATTAACTCACGTATAATCTGAAGTAACGTCTAGCAAAGCCTTAGAATAGCATTAATATATGTTCTCTATTAGTATAATAACTCACCTTGCATCTTCTTCTGCTTCTTTTTGAGTAAGCTGTCCAAGATATCAGCGTGTGAAGGATTATCAGACGATCAAACGTACTATCCTTCTAATATGATACGACCATTGTTTTGCTCGCTTATTATCGAAGTTCGACTGTGAGACAGACGTGACATTTTCGTTCTGCAATGAAATGATGTCTTGATAGTAGAAAGGGAAGAATAATAAACAATAAATTTCGCTATTTAATAATTTACAATGCTCTCTAAGTCTCTGAACTGCAGCCACGGCAGCCTGTCTGTTGTTAGGATACTCTCTCGATTGTTACAGCCAAACGCACCGCAATGAACGCATTCAAACGTTTGTCCTTCTTTGAGGTGTGCTTTTGGTACTCTGCAAATACACGTAGATCCTTCGTAGTTCATATCCTATACGCTATCAACCTGGGTTGCATTACTATGACGATACTTACTCTACTCTGGATACAACGCGTGCAGCAAAGCTTCTCGTATCCCTGTTTCTTCCATTTAGCGATTAAGCTAGAGAGACGTTAGTCTCGTATAATGCAGCTATAAATGCGCACTTCGCATCGGCGTATCCCTGCTTTAATAGCCAATCGTAGAGTTCCTAGTAACCTATAAGTAATGCACTGATATATAGAACCTATACCCACTTTCGATATTTGCTTGCGCTTGTAGTAGAGATCGTAGATATCTAATCAACGTCGTCAACGGAGGTATTTATACAGCTAGACTAAACCTACACCTCGATCTAGTATGTGATATTCTCATAATTGGCCATAAAGTTTCATTCTTACGCTTGCCATCGATAGATTCTGCTTCAACATCACGCATTTTGCGGCTATAGTCTATTTACTTGATAAATAGATTGATAGATAGATCGCACAATAAACTCACCATCCAATATCTGCTCAATAGCTTCAAAGCCCTCCGGTGGCTGCTTCGTGCGCTGTGTTCTTATCTTTGGCATGGAAGTAGTGACGAAAAAACGAAAAGAGAAGACAATGCAGTAAATGTAAACTATAACAAAATCAATGCAATCACTATAAAAATGAAGTGGAAGAGGATTCTTTAGCGTCTGCGTGGGGCTGCACTTGGTGTCCATTCTTGCGTCCTGCCAGTACCTGGTGCGTATTCACTCGTTTGTGAGCGCAATTTCGCTTCCTCCTCTTGTCTCTGTTGCATTTCTTGAGTACTAAAACCATGTTTGCGCTCTTCGACGCGTTCAATTGTCTCTTCTGGTGTTTTACCAGCTTCTTGGATTTCAATCGGTGGTTCGAATGCTTCTAATGGGTTTGTGTTGTAGTGATCTCTGGCTTTCGCGAGTTCAGCTTCGTCATGTTGTCTCTGGACTTCTGGTTCTTCGACAGATGGCGTTTCAGGTGCTTCCATTCTTTGAGCAGCGAATGCAGCTTCAATACGTGCAGCGTTCTCCTGTGTTCGTTGTATTCTCAACAAATCAAGCTCCAATTCCTGATAGATTGCTGTTAGAAATGTAATTCACGGATTTCTATTGGCTACTGACTTGGATAGAAGGTGGCTCGAATCGCGTGTGCCTCAACCAGGCTTTCCATTGTGCTATTATAGAGTTAGACAATTACACACACTAATGCATTTACCCACCAGGCATTTCCCTTCCAACCTCCGACCAATCGACATGATTTGGGTACTTTACAGTCCTTTTTGGACGCTGTTTATAGTCTGTAGTTGGTGGATGTTCGTAGTATTTGTTTCCTATGGGAATGTCAGCCAAATACTCCTATCAAACTGATAACAGACCTTCTAAATCGTATCCAACGAAGTAGCGATCACTCTTGAGAGGATATGAGATAGACACTTGATTGAATCGACTACTCACTGGTTTAGGTATCGCCTCCCAAATAGTTTTGAATATTCCTCCGCGTGGTAGTGTTTTCAACATTGAAGGCTTTGCTAAAGAAGTGTGACGGAATAATCTCGAGCTCGAGACAGATTAAAATGAAACAATAAGAGACACAAACTCACTATTGAGAGCACAAGTAAGTTTGTTATGCACTATTTATACTCTACGTCACTTCACTGATTCATTTTCGGAAGATAAGGTCTATACGAACAGAAACAAATGCAAGTGTATAGATCAAAAGACAGAAATATGTGTAAAAAGTACTATTAGCTCTCGCTTCTGTTTAAATATCAAACAAATCGATGATTTGCATAAAACAAACAAACCGAGTCGCAGTCAATGTATATCTATGGACGAAATCAAATCGATTTCACTGACATATGATTATTTCACAAGCTTCTACTCTGGATGTATATAAGAAATTACACATGATTTTTGGTGGCTTTTGGAGGAGGTAAGACGCGGATAAATAGAATATATAGCAAGATTGTTGGAGTTTAATGTCTGAAACCGAACTGATCAACTAAATATCATCTTCAGAGCTAACATTCATCATCTAATAGAATGTTAATCAGAAGAGCATTTGTCGGTACTTCTAGAGGCTTTAATACCACATCTAGACTATTACAATCACCAAATCAGCAGAAAGAAGCTGAAAGGGAGGCTTATCGTAAAGACCTCGATCAACAAGTGAGAAGACAAGAAGAAGCAGCGAAGAACGCAAACGATAGCCATCCTACATTGCCATATCTCCCAAGAGCACTCGGTGTTGTTGAGAAGCCTTCCTCTAGCGAAGAAAGCTGGACTGAACGCTCAAAGAATTACTTTACGGAAGCCAAGTTAGAAGAGCGTAAACGATTACTGTGCGTATACTCCAGATCTATACTACTTCTTCTAACAAAACATCTAGCTTAAAAGAATCACGGAATGCATACTATGCTGACTTGAAACTGATACAAGAACATGGCGGAAAGACTTGGATAGCACCACCTTCACTCATACAGCATCAGCGTTCGCTTTACTTCCCTGACATAAAAGGTACTCTTTTGAAAGATGGCCGGACGAAAGCCCATACGAGTGATATCCTCAAAGGTAAAATATCATTAGTATCCATAATGAGCACCCGTATCGGTCAAGAACATACCAAATCCTGGTCTGAACCTATCCTACAAGCTCATGGAAGTAATCCAGATTTCCAATTCGTGCAGGTCAGTTTAAACAATGTCTCATATTCCCCATCTGACTACCGATAGATAAACTCTCAAAGCAACCCACTCAAAAGCTGGCTCGTCAGTTTGACGTTAAATAACCTCCGTCGTCAAGTCCCAGAGGAATTACAAGATACTTACTTACTGAGCTCACAGTCGCTCGAGACTGTTAGAGAACATCTCGCGTTCGACAATCAATATGCCGCTTATGTCTATCTTATCGATCAAGATATCAAAATACGCTGGGCAGGCGCAGCCTTCGCCCAACAGAGGGAGATAGATGCTGGTATTAAATGCACAGGCGAGCTTCTTCAGCGATTACACGGGAAGTAAACAATACATGCATCCATTATAGATTAGTTTTGTCTAGTTTCTTAGATATACTCCCTGAGTCTGATTCATCGTCTTCCTGACTGTCATCATCATCGTCTTCTTCTTCTTCTTCGCTCGACTCCTCTTCACTGGATTCTTCCTCACTCTCTTCTGCCCAATTCTGGTGATTTGGATTAGCTTGGAGGAGATCGTCGTTTTCGTCTTCCTGCTGTCTGGCTGCTTCATACTCGCGCTGCTCATCCTCCATGATACGCTCTTGTTCTGCGATAATTTCCTCACTGTTTTTACACTTCGCATATCTCTCGAGAAGTCCACCATTTACTTTCAAGAAAGAGTGTCCCCAGCTGAACTTGGAGAGTAATGTCTCAGCGTACTCGTCAAAACCGGTGAGATAGAAGGTAGCAGCTAAGGCTTCTACACAATTGAGTCTCCAAGGCTTACCATAGTTGACTGGATTTGTTGCAATAAGATATGGTAAAAGCCTCTCATGGGGGCTCTTGATACGGCCCCAGGGAATCTCATCGAGTCTAGCCCAAGAGCATTCAACAACGGCGGCACCGTTAGCGGCTACTATGTCTCTATCGCCTGGATTGACGGTCTGTGTGCCTTTCGGACTATAAACTGATGAGAGAAGACAGAGTATAAAGACGATGTACGCACGATAAGACAATACCTCTAAATCTTTGACCTACTTTCAAATCCTTTATTAAGCCCTGTCTGGATAGCTTCTTTCCAGAGCATCTGCGTGGATCACAATGGTTGAAATCCCACATAGCCACTGGTACTGCTACTGTGGCTTTGAAATCGTCGATATTTTCCTCTTTCCTTGATTTTATACCAGCTTTTGCATTGTCTATAGCGGAATCTGGCCTTTCACCTAATTCGAAGACTTTATACTCGTAACGCTTGTTTCTTGAAGGTTTTGGCATCGTGGGTGTTCTCGAAGAAGGTGTGAATCTCAGTTATTTTGCTGTAACTAGACAGACTATTATCAGCCTATAGGGAACTATCGAGCAGATCACTGAACCCTCTTCGGCTTAACTCAAGCCAGGGACAGAACAAAGTTGACATATTTTGTAGCTTTTAATAAAGAATTTAGTAACCAAAATTACTACGTACCTGAATTAAACTAAAACACTCTTCCCAGTAAACTACGATGAGCCAATCTGAGTTTTTCGATTTTATGAGGGACATTGACCGAAATAAGGAAATTACAGTCGATGATAAGCCTATCGATATTTCTGATTTGAATTTGAAGCACTTTGAGACTGAATACTACAACGGCCAACAGCAGCAGCATATCGACGCAGCCAACCAGACGATACAGCAACAACAGCCAAGTTATTTACCTACAATAGACAACTACTACAACCCTCAGTATACCCAGCCTTCGGAGCAGGATGATATTGATGTGCGTATTTTCCTGCTTGGAGCTATACAGCGATATCTAACAAACAACAGCTACTTCTCACACCTTTCTTATCTCCTGCACAAACACCTCAATCAGCTTTCTCGCAGCCAAGACCGACTCCATCATTGACTGACGATAGCGCTAGTATCACACAGGCAGAATTTTTCAGTCCACTCACTTCACCAGCCCTACATCCAGTTGTTCCAGAATATTATTCACCTCGTTTGGGTCCTCAATTGAGCAGCTCCGCGACGAATTCGCCGAACACATTCCAAAGGCCGGGCTCACACGCAAGCAGGAGAGGCGCCACAGCAGAGGCTAAAGCAAACAAGGTGAGGCCTTCACCTGTTATGAAACCCGTTTCGTCAAAGTTGAGAAAAAGTTCGATAAAACAGGACGATAATGCGGCTGGTTCGTCTGATAATTCACTTTCACCGATTAACTTGGATTTGGATACAGCTGCTATGCCGCCACCACCGCCTCCTGCAGCCTCAACGTCGCAACAATCAGCTGATTTAGCGCCGATCACACCAGCTACTTTGATGAATCTCAACAACAATAATAGTACAACTTCATCATCGATGTCTGTAAACTCCAGTGGTACTGCTACACCATCAAATTTCAATGAGAACTACGTACAAGCGAGTCCTTCATTGACACCAATCATACCTGGTATGAATATGACTCCAAGGGATTTCGCTAGTATGTCTCTACAAAATGATGCAAACTATGCCAACATTTTGACTGGAAGAAGTACGAATCCAAAGCACATAGAATTAGCGCAATCGGAGATCCAAGATAACGGTAGCAAAAGGATGTCACACAAGCTCGCAGAGCAGAGGAGGAGAGATTCGCTCAAGCACTCATTCGACGATCTTAGAGGGCTACTCCCACCTGTTGTCGATGACGACGACACTGGAGGTCTCAGCGAGGGCAGGCTTGATCTAAGATTGGAGATGAAAGATATAGATTCCGCTCAGATCAACAAGGGTGTATCTAAGGTTGTACTTCTCAAACTTGCGAATGACTATATAAGCATACTTAACCATCGTATATCGCGACGTGACAACGTGATAGCCGGCCTTCGGAAACAACTGGCTGAAAGTAGGGGCGAGCAAAGCTCAGATGCCGAAATGAAGGACTTCTTGAACCAGATAGACGGTGTCGAACATGAACTTCAACAGGCAGCCCTTCAAGCTATGGGAGGTGAAGGTGAACAGAGGAGGAAAAGCGTGAGCGAATCAGGTAACAACAAGTCTGGAGTTGGCAGGGGGAAGGGCAGGATAAGAGGTGCTAACAAAGCAGCGAAGCAGTACCTTCAACAGGCGACTCAAGAGACACACCAGAAGTGATTTCAACTTCATTATAGGATATTTTCTTTTTTCGTTTTTTTGTTTTGTTAGAATATTTTGTTGCAAATATACATGTTTTGGTTCTTAGATATATGCCGTCATCTGCTGATATTGAGTATCTCAAGCTCTTGCTGTCTGACTCAAATCTGCCAACTGGTGGTGTGCGTAGACAACCCTCTAATATTCTTCTCTAACAAACTCTCAAGTTCGTAGCTTCTTCAGGACTCGAGTCTTTCGTCGGACACGGTTATCTAAGCGAAACCAAACTCGTAGACTTTCTAGCATTCAGTTCTGAGAATACATCAAGGACTACACTGCCATTCATCAAAGCAGTCTACGCGATCCTCGAATTGGAAACCTCGATCGATGAGAAGATAGATCGACTGATAAGATTGGATAGAATTCACGAGGCTCAGATGCTAAACAATGTTAACAAACGAGCTAGTAAGGCTCAAGGAATTGCTATGTTGACGCTTTACACAAAATCATTCGGTAATGATGCCCTCATCGGTCGTTTCAAACTACTCACTCGGAAGGCACAAACCGAGGGACATTTGGCCATATGTTGGGCTTTAATGACAGCCACCTTGGGACTTCCTTTGTGTGGGTTTTATCTCGCGTTTTTTACTTGCCTTACATTCGCCCAGATGATTCACAACAACTCTCATTATTCCTACAAGCACGCTCTGTATTGAGTGCAGCAGTGAGACTCAATATCGTAGGTCCTTATGCTGCCCAAAAGGTCCTTTTGCACGACGTGCGTCAACTCGTTGAAGTTGCTTTCGAAGCACACAAATTGGCTAACGTTGATGATGATGAAGGTGACGACGTCGATGATATAGGACCAGCTACCACTTGGCCACTCATAGAATTACTCAGCAGTAGACATGATATGCTTCACACAAGGATCTTCAATAGTTAATCAATGATAGACATATAGATAATTGTACTTTTAGTTAAATAGCATAAATATATAAGAACCGTAAACGATTAATTACATCTGATAGATAAAGCCAAAGTGGATTTCCATAATTGCCAACGAGGGTCCTGTTCTTTGTTTGGCATATCTTCAAATGAGAGTGTCGTTATAGTTTCGACAGCTTCAGAAATCGATGGCCAATATTCTCTCAAGAAAGCTTGATACCAAGACCAGGAGAGCCATTTATCCCAATCACTATTGCTATATTCTTCTATACTTAAATCAGCAATACTGTCAACACCTTCTAAAGCTTCAACGAAGGATTTGATAAGTATAACGAAACACTCCCTTTGTTCTTTCTTGAGATTATCATAGGTGATTTGAGAATGTGAGTTATCCTTATTCTCCTCATTCTTTACTGTCATTGCACCCTCATCATCAACTTGCATAGATTTAGCTTTAGCAATTGAAGCTTCCTCTTCATCTTTCTTTTTATTCTCTGCTAATTTCAAACCTTGTTGATAAACTCTGCTGTTTACTTTGTTGAGTGTTGTCTTTAACAATTCACCAAAGTTTATATCTGACCAAGCAATTGCTGGGTTTCTATCATCAATTTCATTAGGGAATGTCTCATCATTTGGCTTGAACAACCAGTTAATTACATCAGTTGGATCTAGCAACCTATATTGAAGTAGTTTATCGACTATTATTTTCTTCATCTGCGAATTCTTGATCCAAAATCTATCAACACTTCTCAACAAATCAATACGATCTTCCTTTTCTTGGTAAAACTTCTTTAAAATTTCCATGTACTTCTCAATGACGTTTAAGAAATGTGAAAATGATCTTGAACCAACGTTCAAAAGACATTGTGATATGATATCTCTTGAAACTTTCTTTGCGGATACGTCATTAAGTGGTAAACTAGCATTGACCTTAATTTCATCTTCAATTTTATCAAATTGTGCAGTTAATTGATCAGATGTTGCTCTATTTTTGAGTGCATCCATCATATTCATAGCTATTCCATTAAATGGATTCTCTTCATTAGCGTATATGAAATTTGGTGATGGTGCAGTAATCAACTCTGGTTTATTAAGTATAGCTTCAGGTAAAGATTGAGCAATTCTATCAAAGTAACTAAGACGAATTTCAAGTTCAATAATTCTTTTTATAAATGTCTTCTTTGGATGTGACTCCGGTAAATCTAAATCTGGTATCCACTCTTTCCAAACCCAATTGAAACCAAAGTTTGACAAATGTGTTGCAAACCATTCACTTAAGCGGAAAATAATTTCTATATCGAGTCCTTCACCGATAAATGTGTAGAGTTTTCTGATACTTCTACCAAGTGCAGGTGCGACTCTCTTTGGTTCCCTTTTACAAAGCTCCGTCATCAAACTTGAGTAATAAAGCTTTGGATGTTTTGGTTCAGGTAAAGAGAGTAATTCACTCAACAACGTTGTAACCAAGGTTGATTCTAGATTATAACCATTTTCACCATCGAAAAGGTTACCATAGATAAACGTAGGTAAATCCGTTAAAATTTTTGCGCAATCAATTCTATTTCTGTTGTATAATGTCATCATATCTCTTAATAATGAGTATATAATAACACCATCACCGGATTCAGGTGAAGGTATTGAATCATCTTCTAAGATTTGTAATTTCCATCTAGAAGTTTCACTATTTGGTGAAATTGTAGTGTTGTAATCATCAGCAGGAATCAACACTGAAGGTAATTCCGTACGTAATGCTGGATCAACTTCTCTTACAGTTGGTAAGACTTCTTCAATATCGAACAAAGGTAATTGTGGTTCCTTAAATTCTGAATCTGCTAAAGAGCGCAATGTTTTTCCATAAATTTGTATTGGATCAACGCAATTATCAACCTTATTGCTACTGTTGTTTTTTGGGAGGTTAACCCATGGGTAAAGGACCAATCGAACGTCATTTAAATCTTCATTCTGAATGTAATGTTCAATTCTACTAACATAGCTGTCATACTTTTCTTTTGATTGAGTTGTTAAGAAGCTACTAGCGTACATGAGAGCTTCAGATGCGCATTCAATAGCTTTCTCTGCGCGTAATGAGCTAACACCTGGTTCTTCAATGACTTTAATGAATGTGTTGATAGTCTCATAGAATGAATCAGGTGAAATAAGTGCAGGAACCAAACTTGCGAAGAAATTTGTACCAATTTTGAGTTCTAACCAGCGCTTTGATTCCAAGCACTCTTTCCAGCTTATGAGGCAATAATCCAAGACTTTTTGACCGACGTTATCATCGTTATTATCGTCATTCTCATCGCTTTGGTTGTATGAGATACTGAGAAGTAAAATAAGTGATGCGTAGAGTTGTGTTTTGTGAGGTTGCTGAGTGAGGTACTTGTAAATTGTATCTGGGATGACATCCTGATAGCTATAATAGAGCTGCTGTATAGATCTAGCTAGTCTTGGTAAGTCTGATTCTATTTCAAATCCCTACAGTAAAGGTGAGTAGATATTCTTTTTATATAAACTCTCCTCACATCATCCTCAGCTAAATTCTTTATACGGGATTTTAACTTCTCCCATCTGCCATCGACTCTGCTGTCTCCTCTGTTATCGTCGTAGTAACTTCTTCTACGGGAATTATTATAACTGTTATATGACATGATGACGGTACAAGAAGAAGAAAGTTATTTAAGAAAACATTTTGGAATATACTTGCTTCTCTTTTTGCTTTTGTTGTTGTATCTTGTTCTTTATGAAAGCAATTTGGTTATTTATATTAGCGTCTTGTGGTGAAATTTTTACTGCATGATTCAAATCATCCAAGGCAGAATGATCATTCTTGCGGGCAGACTTTGCGAGTGCTCGTCTGTAGAGACCCTTTGCAATATCTTGACCTTTAGTTGGTGGAGTTCTGATAGCTTTTGTAGCCATTGATTCAGCTACAGCTGGTTTATTGAGTTTGAGTGCAGCAATTGAAACATTCAAGTATAACTGCACTCTAGTTTGTGAGTATTCCGCTTTAATTTCATTTTTAGTTTCATCTGGAAGAACTGGGTTGACATCCAAGTACCTCAGTGCTTTTTCCCATTCATTTACGGCAACTGAGTGGTTTTGTTGCTTGAATGCATCTGCACCTTTATCTTTGTAGTATTTTGCAATCTTCAGTGCAACTTCTGGGTTCTCTGAATCTGCTTCATCGTCTTCTGGGTAGTCCTATCGAGTGTTAAAGAACATAGAACAAATAGGGAACAACTCACTTCATGCTCTCCAATAGATAATGGTGGTACGCCATCATCTTCACCCTCCTTAACTAAACCGCTGTCGACGATGCGGACATCAACGGTTGGGTAGTCGTTTTCGCCTGTCTGGATATTCTCTAATCTACGTAACAATCCCTTGCCTTTAGAAATTTCACCGAAAACAACATGTCTGCCGTCTAAATGTGGACATGGGCAGAAAGTGACGAATACTTGTGAGCCGTTGGTATTTGGACCGGCGTTAGCCATAGATAGTTGACCACGCTTTGTATGCTTAATATCAAAGTTCTCATCCTCAAATTTACCACCGTAGATTGATAATCCACCGGTACCGTTATGGTTTGTTATGTCGCCGAATTGTATCATGAAACCTTTGATAATACGATGCGATATTGAGTCCTTGTATGTTAATTTGTTACCTATTACACTATAAATACATTCGTAACACTCCAGACTATCAACTAACCTGTCTCCTCATCTGTACCTTTCTCGCCCGTACAGAGAGCTTTAAAGTTCTCTGCAGTTTTTGGTACTTTATCGCTGTAGAGTTCGAATACTAATCTACCAGCGTATTCTCCATCAATATTCCAGTCAATAAACACTCTAGGGTTCATTCTGTCGTCACTGTCGTCTTCTAAGAGCTAGTTTCTGGTATCTTCTCATATAAAAAATATAAATTTAAATTACACTTTAATTATTCATACGTGAAGAAGAGCGCGTCGATTTCTCTGACGGCGTTCCCTGCTTTGATGGTGTTTGCGATTGATTTCTCTGTCTCTTTGAACGTCTGCTTTGTGTGTCCTCAGTGTCTTCTTTTTCTTCTTTGAAGTTGTCAGCATCTTTATCATCCTATTTGGTCTTAGACAGCTCTTTTGGGTTATGTTATATACACTTACATCTTCCAATTCGTCTTCCTCAGCCTCTCCTTCTGTTTCTGCATCATCATCCTCTTCTTCTCCGTCGATATCCTCGTCTTTGATATCAGTCACAAAGCCTGGTTTCTTAGTAGACTTTCTCTTCCTACTGCCCATTGCTTTCTGTTCTTCAATCTGCTTAGCGAGGTGCATTTCTGCCTCCTCCCTCTCTTTGTTTCTTTTCCTGATCTTAGCCACCCTAGCTTCCTCTCTCTCACATCTGCGTATAAATGATCCGTCCCATTGTCCGGCGAGTAGCTCACTCAGATCTTTCTCTTTCTTCGATTGGTTTATAAGTTGTTTCCACATCATTTTATCATGCTGGACTATCTCAGCGGCTTTCCGCTCAGTTTGATAAGAAGACATAGCGTAACTCTTCGCAAGCGCTTCTACATCTTCGATAGTATTGGTTATCGCTGTCATCGTAGTTGATTTCTTCCATGGATTTCCTGAAATATAAACTCGCGGTTTATCTTCAATAACCCATAAGCGCTGTCTTTTGCTATCTTCCCCTAATGGTGGTAGCACTATCGGATTTTCGATTGGATCGTCCCGACGTTTTCTATGTCTTTCCACAGTTGAGACACGATAGGATTTTTCGATATAGTCTTTTATCTGGGGTGTAGAGAGCATTAGATCGACGAGGTGCCTCATAACCGATACCTAGTTGGTGTGTAAGTCAACACGATGCATTAATATAGCTAGAACTAACCTTCTCTCTCCATTCAGCTTCCCAGAACGATTTTCCGTCTTGCAAAGGTCTCTGTTCTGGTGATGCTAAACCTTCAGCGTCTTCTTCCGGCCAGAACTTGATATCTGAAAGTTGAGCGTGTATGTGCTTATTGATAGCGTCTGCTCTGTTGATAATGAGATAATGTAGATAATCTGAGAAGACAACGTACTCGACATTTTTCATTTGTGGCTTGAATATTCTCATAATACTCTCCATAACGAGGAGAACTGTCGGATGGACGCTGCTCGGTGGTGCCATTAGGGCGTCTTCCAGTCTGAAACTCGTTAAACAAAGAAATATACAAATTCAACAACGTACTCTCTAACGCCTTCTAGTATTTCGTCTCTCAATCCAGGTATAAAGCGCGTTAATGCTGACCAGACGTAGGGGAGTTCCCAGCAATTGGCCGATGGATGATTGCGATCTGTGTGTACACTATTACTCTGCGCTGGTATTTCACCCTCCAACTTCGGCCTCGGTTCTTCCGCGTTGATCATTGAGGATAAGTTCATCGTCGTCGTCGAGTGTTAAGGTGTCTCTTACATAAAGCTTGAAACAAAAAGTACAAATAAAAATATTGCTATTCACGCAGTAATAGCTTAATCCTATGCCATCACAAAGAGCTTGGTTGAATTTAGATAGTGTGAGGATATAACTCCTGCACATACATTCTATTTAACATCACTATTGACTGATAACAGCCACACATTCTCTTACTTTAATCTGAGCTGGAAGCAGCGTCTGCTCGGTTTCGCAATGTACGTAAAATGTCAACTATACGTCATTTAGCTCATTATACTAGCTGCTTCGCCGGCGGTATCATATCACAACTTATCGCCGCTATTCTGCTCTTTACGACCCCACTTCTCGTCTTATTTGGCAGTATGTCTTTGATAACACACAACGCAGTCTCACATGTTATAGTTCTATTCGTTTTAGGTGTTATACTGAACTTGGTATCCAGCGGCTTTCTCGTTAGTTACTCGCTCACTGTATACCGTTTTTGACATAAACAGGTCGGCTTTAAGAAGCAGCTCAAAGGGATGTTTAAAGTGGGTATACATACACTCAACATATCATTCTGTGTAACCTCATATAGCCTATACGAGTTGGCGCGACTATCATTTTCATCGCCAGCGTCGTTGTGGTATGCATATGTTCCTTTTGGCTGCGAAATGCGATTCTAACGATCGTATTCGTGAGTAGTAAGGTTATAATATTCTAATTCTCACAATCTAATAGGTTATCATTGAGCTGCTCGCCTATGCCTGGTATTCTATATGTGAGTGCACACATTTCGAACAAAACAAACAAAGGCTGAGAAGAACGAGCATATATCCCGTACGCTCATTCACTCATATCAAAGCTATCATCTAAGATTATTCCCTAAATCTATTTATTGTCTTCTTGTTGTTTCAAAGATTCCAGTCTCTGTCTTTTTCGAGTATAAGCGGGTGTAGAATATCAATCAACGGACAAACCTGTTCCTTTTGACGATCAACCGCAATGTCTTGTCTTTCTCAATCTGGCTAAGCCCCTCCCAGTTGTTAATCCGACTGAGTGTACCGTCGCTGTTTACAACCATTGGGCCTAAATGGTCGAGACTGACACTACCACCGTTCACTTCCAACGTGGGATGCTCACTTGTATCTGGTGCAGGGAGCGCTAGCCTCTCGTTTTCTTCGCTCATTTTGGTGAGGAAAGAAGATCAATTACGCAATAAAATGTGTGCATATCTAGAAAACAAAAATAAAAAATCACAGACTAAGCTCATAGCCATGTACTGTAGCTCTTACAGTCTCATCCCCGCCATCCTCTTCAAACATAACGCCAACTAATTCCTCAACCACCTTCTTAACGTTCCAACCGTCTTCTGTAGCTTTCTCGAAGAATTCCATATCTTCTTTTGCTTTATGAGGACGATGGTGGCTGAAAAATACAAGACATTTTCCTCCTTTCTTCATCAAATTCTTGCAACTCCGTAGTAAAGCATTATGTTGTGAGTGGTTGAACACTAAATCGGACAAAATGAGTATATCAAACTCATCACCACCGTTAGCTTCTATTAAATGATCGATATTCGATCCCCAGACGAAACCTTCTACGATTGCTGTCTTCTCTATACCACATTCTTTTATGTTTATACGCAAGTTGTTCAACAGCGGTTCATCCGGGTAGTCGGTAACTACCGCACGTTTGGCACCCTCAAGTGATGCAACTAACGACGGTAGACCTGCACCTGCACCAAGTTCACATACTGTCTTCCCTTTACAGAGTTTGTTGTTTATCAGATAATCGCAGAATACACGTGATGCATTCCACAAATAGTGAGCCCATAGTGGGTGGAATGACTCTAGTCTTATCGACAGTTCACGTCCATTGTAGTTGTATTTCTCGTATTTCGGTGGTGGTGGAGGCGGCGGTGATGGTGATCTTCCAAATATACTATCTGTTATCTACATAAGCTATACTTTTTCTTATTCCCTCCCTCACCCACCTAATTGCAGATCGGCCATGATAAACTTGATCAAGAGAAGACATTGTCAAAATCTTAGAAATACATCTAAACAACTAAACAAAGAAAAAAAGATACAGAATTACGTAAAAACTAATATTGTTCCTCTTCATCAATGTTCTTTATCCAGGCACCGAGACTACCCAAGAATCCTTCATGACGCAAGAACATAGCTCTCTTCGTGCCTTTGCTCCAGAACCTAATAGCGTAACTCAGTGTCGATATAGTAGCCGCGTGTCCTCTTATAAAGCATCCACCGAAGTATATTCTATCAACATTGTGTTTTTCAGCCTGCATATATGCAATATGACCAATGTTGTTTGAAATCATAAACAACATACTTTTACTTATATCTTCAGGCTTGAACTCCTTCTTGCGATCTTTTTTGCTACCTTTCTTAAAGACTTTGCCGAAGGAGGAGGCAATTGTTGTGGCCTTTAAGCCAATTTTACCGTAGTCGGAACCATATATATCACCAACGAGCATGTCTACCGAGTTGTTATCTCCGCTTTCTGATAATGCAAGCATTTCGTCGAAAGATTCGGCGGGTGTTAGCAGCGAAAGTAATCCCCAAAGGGTTCCGCCACCAAGAGACGTACCGGAAACTCTCTCAAAAGAGCCGTCAGAGTTCACTTTGATTATAGACACACCTGAACCAATGTTGACTAGCAAACATGGATATTCAAATTCAGTGGGCTTGTCAAAGCTAACGCTAAATTGTGGGGGATTTGGCGATGGCCTTGGTAATTCTTCCTGGGGTATAGTAGTCTTTTTGTGTTTCTTGTGGCTGACGGAATAGACGAGTTCGTCCGAATACCAGAAGACCTCCTTTGGGATGGAGGTAATGAACTGCAAGCCGGTTATCAGACATTCCATTTCTTCTTCTTTAGCAACCGCAGTCTTGAGTTGTTCTTCAAAGACATCACCGAGCTTGTGAGCGCCTCCTCCGGTCATAACTATCTTGATACTGGCTCTCATTTGGTCAAGACTGACGTCGTTGACATTTGCAGACTGCTCTATGAGATTCCTGAGGAAATCTATACAGTCCTCTATATGCTCAGTTTCGAACTTGACAAAGTTGAGCTGTCCACCCGGAATATGTTTCGATCTCGACCGGCCGTGGCTGCCAAATGGCGGTCTAGTTTTATTTGTGGGATGTGATGAGCTACTCTCAACATCCATATAGCTGCTTGCTGAACTGTTTATAGGTGATACCGGAACACATGTTTCGTTGCTGACCGGCTTGAGGATGTTTGGAGTGAGCGTACCATTTGGTTTAGGAGAAGGTGGGGCTTGTTTGTACGGCGGTGGACTGCTATCCTTTCTACTTGCTCTCCTCTTTGAGCTCCTGGAGAAATAGACACACTTCGCCAAACTACCACCAATCTAAAGCGGCTATTTAGTAAGGGCAATAATGTCAGCATTGAACTAACATCTAAGGCAATATGAGAAACTGATTCTGTGTGGAATGGGAGGTATATTCCCCGACTATCCTTATCCTACGGTAATCAAAGCGTGAGCTCTCGTTCGCTGAACAAGTAAAGCGGAAACAAACCTCGGTAATATCATCTACGATCTCTGCACCTCGAGTGTCTACGCTTAACCTGCTAATATCTGGTATTTCTGGATAGGAATCCATTTCGTGTTGATCAATGCTGTTGAAGAGCTACCACGATTCAATTTAGATTAGTAATTTTATTTTCTTTATACACGCTACTAGCTGTTCTATTCTATACCATCAAATTAAAGTTCTCTTCAACTCCGCCGCCGTTTTATAAGAAGAACCTTAGCTTTTACAGTAACGATATGAACAGAGTGCTTGCAGCTACTAGAAGCCGTTTTATAGCAGACTTAAATGCAAATTCAATCAAGAATTGGACCATTGTATTAGGAAATCAAGCGTCCGGTGGGTTGTTCATGCAGTAATCTAGTAATAAACTCAACATAAACAGATCTAGATAGCTTGGCATCTTCTATAGCTTTTAGCTATCTATCTACATTGAAAGATTCCCCTGTGGTACTCAAAAACACTGTACCTGTCATACAATCAACAAGAGAGGACTTGAACCTCCGTCCAGAGAACAAACTAGCGTTATCAAACGCAAAAATAGACCTATCACAGCTTACGTTTTACTCAGATATTAGTCAGAACATAGATCCAGCCACAAATTACGCACTTGTTGATCATTTCGCCTTAGACAATCAATGGAAATCACCAGAATCAGACATTGTAGCAGTGATTGATCACCACGATGGCGCACCCGAAAGACACCCTTCTGCTTTATTATGGGATATCAGGACACCTGTTGGTAGTTGTGCAAGTCTCGTCACTGACAACTTCAAGAAGGTTTGGTCACAATCTGAGATAGAGATAGACATAGAGAGATCTATCGCAGATTTACTTATTCAGGCTATAATAATTGATACCAACAATCTCAAGGAAGGCGGTAAAGCTCAACCAGTTGATTACGAAGCTTATGATTTCCTTCTTCCAAGATCATCATTCGGTGATGGTGCTACTAGCATGACAGTTTCTACCGCATCAAACACTCTCACTGCAGGTGTTTTCAACAATCTCTCAGATTCTAAAAATGACGTATCGGCATTAAACACCACCCAGCTACTCAAACGCGACTACAAGCGTGTATACACCAACGATGGATTAAGCGTCGGTCTCGCATCAGTTCCACTCAGTTTGGACACGTGGATCGAGGAAAATGCAGGAGATATGGCGATATTTGAGAAAGAAATTCAAAAGTTCACAAGTGACGACGGGAAAGATGAAGGTCCACTCGATTTGTTAGGTATAGGGACGAGTTACCACGACAAAAACAGCAAGAGTGGTCATAAACATAGACGAGAGTTGCTTCTCCACGTCCCAATGTCTAGTAAACTAGCGGGAGTGTTTGGAAAACTCAGAGAGGGTATAGAGAGTAACGAAATTCTCAAATTGAAGGTGAAAGATCTTCATCTCGATTTGGCTGATAGTGTGGCATACACGCAAAAGAATAGTGACGCTACACGCAAACAATATATGCCAGCGATACTATCAGTAATTGATGATATAATGTGAACTTAAATGTATATCTTTTTCTTAATAACTTTGTGTTGGCAATGTCGCTCATACGGCCATAGACTTGAAATAGATCTTAAAGCTAATAACTTAAGCTCTCAACAGGTTGATAGATTGTCATAGAATTTATTTGAGAATCTGACGATTTATCTCCTCTCATCTCCACCATCATCATCTGAAATAATGTCATTAAAAGTGGGAATCCTCAGTATAAATTAATGAAATCTAATATTTTTATTAGGAATTTGATAGTGTATTGCGGGAGACAGTTGTACACAGGTCAACGCTATCAAATACCAGAGTAGAGAGAATAACTTATATATGCTCAAAGAATTTGGCAGTAGGTAATTCGATCCACTTATCTCACTTAATAAATAATTATTAGATGGGCTCACAACATATGGCCTCTTCCATTCTCGAAGCGCATAAGGAGAGGAAAGCTAAGAAAGTTTCCAGTTTATACACACTTCACGCGCTCGTACAGCAGGGACATAGAGCTATAAGGAAAGGCAGTCGTGAATCAGATGATTGGAAAACGTTTTTGAGCGCTATAGAATCAATTTTGGGTGATTTCTTTGATGAATCTATCAAAAGACTCGATAGAGAGCTTAAGGTGGGGTTATTTGACGAAACGTCTCTTAATGTTAACCCCAAATTAAAGGAAAAGTCACTTAAAATACTAAAAATGTGGTCGCAAATGGGCATCTTTAATAAACCTTTATTGGAAATACTTATGGAGAAGATTAACAATAATAAAAATATTTTAGAAAAAGGTGCTTTTATAAATTTATTAATAACTTTAGATAAAAGTGTATTGACGTTGTGAAATTTTAGATACGGAGACATCTAGGAGGTCTAGAAGTGAAAAACAAGAAGAAAGTACACCAACTGATAGTAAAGGTGGATTACCACCTAATATTTTAGCATTCTTGTCAAATATACCAACATCGTGGGTTATTGTTTTAAAATTGGCATGTCAGACATCTCATTTTAACCTCGCAGAGAGTCAAACACTCCTTCAGTTAGCTCGAATTTGAAAAGAGAGAGATCTTACGATGACAGGGATAGAGCTAGAGATCCTAGAGATAAATACAGAGATAGGGAGAGGTCAACTGATGATTACGAATCAAACAAACGTACTAGAATAGATCCAAGAACAAGGAGACCAATTGAAAATCATAACGAAACAAAATTATACAATCAACAAACTGCAAATTCTCCAATAAATCAATTTCAAGAGAATAATAATAATATAAATTATACGAATAGTGATTTACAAAATAATAATAAAACAGTTGATGCATTAGCTAATTTTAATTGGAGTCAATTTGATCCAATTCAACCTGCTGCATGGATAATGGCTGGTAAAGCATTCGAGAAGACATTCGGTTTTGTTCCTTCAAATGAACAAATAGGTAGTTGTGCATTCATGTGGGTTTATTATACGAATATGCAGAATATGCAATTATCACAACAACAACAACCACAACCACAACCACAACAATTAGAGCAATCAGAGTCAAGATCAAGATCGAGAACGCCAGAAGAGGATTAAAATTAGTTATATAAATACATTACGACGTGCTTCTCTTCTACAATATTTCCTCTAGTTTATAAAACGAGTGTAAATAACTATAAATATCAAAATGCAGATCATTTCATTTACTATATATGCGTGTCTTCCACTAAATATCAACGCTGAAACAGATAACAGGAAGAATGCGATATTTTCTAACCATGTTTTCCTCTGCGACTGACTTGATTCCAAACGATTGACTTGTTTGTTTGTTATGAGGAAATACACCATTAGACTGAATGGAATGGCTAGCAACGGATTGTGATCTTCATAATCTAAACCGAATAGGCTAATTAATGGGTCTTTAATCCAAACTATAGTCATTGGTATGTAGAAAGGGGACAAGAGTATGATCAAGACCTTGATTGACATTGCTATTGGATTGGAATTACCTGCAAATAGTGATAAAATACCAATAAAACTGAGCATGACTTGTTGGGGTATTACTAATACAATTGTTATATTCAGAATAACCAGTACTATCTCTACTTTTCTCGAGCTTGCAAATTGTGGAAGGCGTATTCTAGCTAGTGAAAATACCATCGACAGTATAGAAATAACAACAGAAGCACCACTGACCAAACCATAGGATGCAAGCAACAGTAGTGGAGCTATAAACCACAACCTTATATCGTGTAGGCCAATGAAATAAAGGGTTAAACTACTGTAAGACGAGCTGACCAAAATGCTGATCACTAGAACAAACGAGAATACAATCATTTCACGTCTAAACACCATCGTCAAAGACTTAATGAAGTTTTCACTCGTTCCAGATGAATCCAGAGCCTTGAGTTGACGTCTAAATGCCACACACCAAATACCCAAAGCAAAACCAATCAACGCTGATCGGTATCGTGTACCCCACTTTGCAATACTTGCTAATATATCCACGCCGATTGTGAGCTTTTGAAAGGGAAAGCAAGACTCGGTATTGAATGTGTCAGCGAATATCTCCAATGATAGTCCAGCATCATTAGAAGCGCGACCAGAAGTGAGGTACGGTGAATGAGACAGGTGTGATTCTAACATAATCTTCCCATTAAGTGAGGGGTGATAAGTCAGTTCAAGGCCTTTGGTTGATTCTACAACATGTTTGAGAAGTGGCTGAAACAACTCCTTTTTATTGAACTGTGTCGATACGCACGGCGATTGCTCCGCTTCGATTTTGTAAACCAAAAGAGACGTCGCTGGGGCATTGACAACTCTATAATTTCTTCTTAGAGCGAGCATGCCACTTGTCTGAGAGATGAGTGGTACGGAGGAAAACAACAAGCGTGCAAAAGATGCGTCGACTCTAGTCTCCTCGTTTGTTGGTGCGAATTGAGATGTCATCCAACTACCTTTCCTATTATTATTCGTTTTGAGAACGACCACACTCTCATCATCTCGCAACGTATCTGAATCTGCGTCTAGCATATACAACGATTGTTCCTCGTCGGCGCCATGTCTGACGGGTAACCACTTTTCATCTCTTGGTAGATAAGGCATCACTGCCGAATCCTTAATCGATAAATGTCTACAACTATGAAGTGGTCTGACATTCTTGCATCCAAGTATCGTAATTGGGGGCTCTCCCTCTTCGAATTCCTTGTAAGCAGGCTCGGGACTAATATCAGTAAGTAGTCTGATTGTAGGAGCCACATCACCCGTTACCCATTTCGGGGGCGGCTTGCCTAAAGACCATGCCGCACTATTCCTTGTGATATTAACAGCAGTAAACGTACCCGAGGACATAGATGCGTTGATATCAACGTCAAACGTGTCATTCAGAGTATTCTCGTATACTATCCCGGTTAATGACTTTTGCCATATATTCAAGACGCTCTCTTTGGGTTTCAATTTTGTACTCTTGTTCGAGTCGATCGATAACAAGACAGCCCTTGCTAATTTGCGCCTGAGCTGATCACACCATACGATAGCTTGATGGGATATAGGTGCCCAGACTCCTGGTATAGATGTTGAAAGAATACTCAAGGAATTATGACCAATAGGAGCATATGTGACATCTGCAGGCAGGAGGGAATCAGCCGAGCCACCGCTGACAGCAATATTGACACTGGCGTTATAGCGCTGGTCATATAAGCTAGCCATGTTCCTCGAGAAGGGTGTAGGTGGCATAGCATGCGGTGTGCTCAGCGAAATCACCAAGTCTACCAATCCTGTCCTGTATTCTGGAAGGTTAAAGAGCTCATTGACTACTATGCCGCCCATAGAGTGTGCTACGACTATAATAGATTCAGGCGGTTGATTTTGATGTGTGTATTGATTGAGTATATAGTCTATCGCTGCGAGAATGTATTCAGCTTGCCGCCGTATGGTACCGGCGTGGAAAGCAGAGAGTTCTTCGTTGGTATCAACTGTCTCTGTTGTTATTTACTTGTATATGTTAAAGAACGAACCTACCAGTCCAGAAATCAGGCGGTGCACCTGCCTGAGACTCTAAGTAGGAGTTTGGAATACCGTAACTGCTGTAGTATTGTTTGGCCAATTCAGCTGCAATAGAACGTCCTTGCTTGTATGATCCAGCATTCCCAGGGATAAACAACACCGGTACTCCATTAGGCTGGGTGTATTGTAAGAGACGTAATACATATTAAGAAATACACGCACAGAAATATCATTGTTTAGATTCCAGGCTCTATCCCTATACAAATATAGTCCATATGTCATAGCGTGCTTAGAATCTACAAGCTGACTGTGGGGTATATAATCCGGCCTCATATACGCCATTCTGCATCCACTTTCAGCATGATTTGACTTTAGAATGGCTATTAAGGCTATCCAGGCCACGACGAAGATCGTCGCCGTGCGTAAGATCATGGTTTGATAAGGAGCACTATCTCATAGTATATTTTGGTTATTACCTAACAAAAATGCATATATTTATATCAAATGTTCGGACTAAGCCAGTCATAGCGTATACAATCATCCATTTCGTGGACGCTCGAAACGAATTCACGAGCTTCCATCCATACCCACAACTACGCGATGTTAGTAATAATAGCTGATAATGTAGAGAACTTCACCTTTAACATAGCACCAAGGTTTCCTTTATCAACTTGTGCGTAACTGCCAGATGTACCGACCTTCTTGCCAAGTTGTCTGAGAATAGGTATAGCAGCCTTGAATAGATCCATATTAGGATCAAGTTGACGCCCAATTCCCTCTAACAATAATATAGACAGCACAGTATTAACGAAATCAGCTTCCATTTTAACATGGTGATCGCGCACACTCGACAAGACCTGCGAAAGGACCTCCGATAGGCGTATCTTAGCTAATGAGAAAGTCTTGCTTTTCACACCGAGAACAATATGTTGCATTTTCAATGCAAAAGTCTCCTTATCTTTAGCCAACTCGGGACATCTCGAGCGTTCAATCATGAGTTGACCGACACGATATCCGTCAAAATGCGAAACAGCTTGGAACAACTCCAGGAAATTGTTGCGGTTCTTGTCATCCAGCTCGGTTATTAAACCAGTGTCTAAAAATACAATCTCAGGTTGGAAGCCGTCCTCATTCAGTTGACGAAGTTTCATAGTCCACTGTTGCACGGCCTCCTCGTCATCTCCGTGTTTGTTGATCTGTTTGGCCAATGGAAGAAGAGCGTTCATCACTTCTTGAGATGCTTCATTCGTCGTCAAGTCTGTCGTTGATCGTGGACGCGATATCAGAGACGATAATACATTCTTAAGGAGGTCTATTGATGTTGGCTTGTAGAACTTAATATAGATGTTACCAGGGTGGAGATCAGCATGAGCGAAATTGTCTATTAGAAGCATATTCTAAGAGCAGTTAGACACATTACGATTACCTAGTAAACACTTACCAAGAATGCATCTAAGCCTAAACCTGCTATGCGTTCTTCAAACCCACCACCACCGAACTTCAAGAATGTTTTCAATGGGAGCGCGTCTTCAAACTCCTCAACAAGTACATCTTTTGCAGATAGCGCAAATACAGGCTTTGGGAAGCTTGCTGCACCTCTGCGTTCTCTGAAGTTATCCTCAAACCTGCCCAAATTGGACGCCTCAACGCTCAGATTTAGCTGTGACTGCATGAGTTCTCCAAACACAGCGACTTCCTCAGGAAGTGAGAGCCATTTGATGCCTGGAAACAGCGATAGAACTGAAGCACCACAATGTAATATAGCCAAATCGCGTTCGATTAACTCCGTAACGTGCGCTGTTTGAGTGTTAGTGGGACTCATTAAAGTGCTAATACGCACGATGTATAACTTTGACAGCTACATGTCTTGACGAGGTTATTAGTTCCTGCGTGGTATCCTGTTGATTCTGGTAGTTGTTCAAGACGTTCGTAATGAAAGTGACAATCCAACTATCATCTTCATGTCTGTGCGCGACTCTCCAGTCGTCCGGTATAAACTCTTCGCGTAATTTTCCCTTGTAAACCTGCGCTATTGCACCGCAACCGATTGGCTTGTCATCGAACTCTTCGAAGATATCATCGAGCGATTCTGCATCCGAGTAGGTTGACGTCAGAACTCTACGCGTGTGTCTGATGCTATGTGGGTGAGCAGCTGAATGTAGTCGACCTAGTATATGACATAAGTCTGGGGAAAACAAATCGGTACGAGAAGCAGCCCATTGACCGAGCTGTTGAGCGTTAATTAAGTGCTATGCTATGTGACACGCGATACCGACCTTAATGAACGTTGGACCAGCTTTGGACATTTGTTTGGTGAGGATGCGATACCATAACGTCGAGTTTATCCATAGAAGGGGTAAGGACGCAAACACGGGTACGAATAAGACGCAGAGCCATATCAGCCGCCTGAGTGTCAATATTGGCTCTAAAATGTATATCTTTAAGGGAGATCTCTTTATTGGAGTAGCTGTGTCTGGCTTGTATATTCGCTGAGAAGACTGCCGTTTTGGTAGTGTGTGATATGCTATTGGTAGGGTTGCTACAGGTAAACTGTATAGCAAATATCGCCGTCCTAATCCGTATCGCAGCCTACCAAACGTCATCGTATGTATCGAAGAAGTAGATAAAGATTTATAAAGTAAATAATCATGTTTACACAATGTAATTATATATTTGCGTAGAATCTGAAAGGAGGAGTGCTAGACCATATGATAATAGCTGTATATTCCATATTATCTCGAATATCAGCCTCTGAGTAGAGAAAAACTAGAAGCCATAGAAAGATTGAGCTCTTAGTTCACATTTAATGGCATCTCTTCAAATTTTACGATTTAGAGTAGCCAGATATCACTTGAGAAGACGCCGTTCATTCAGACGAGCGAGATATGGACGAAGCCACTCAAGTGGGTATTCTGGAGTATAATCTAAGCATATTAATGCCTGAACAGCGCGAATTGAACAGCTTTGTTGAGCAAGAACAAGCAAAGGCTAAATTGCAATCTTCTACCCACACATTCACAGAAATGTGTTGGGACAAGTGGGTATCCCAGTTCTACGCTACTATATACTAAATATACAAGGTGTATCACCGGATCTATCGGTTCACGCTTCTCAAGAGGAGAAGAGACCTGCCTCGTCAATTGCGTCGACAGATTCCTGTGAGTTTGACGATAGCTATATAGTGAGTACAGTACTCACGCAAACTTAGTGACACATCACTTTACATTGTAAAAGCATTGGATCAGCAACGACAACAAGTACAGCCACAATAGATTCCTTTTTAGTCTGATTTGTTCCTGATTATCGTCCGATTGTGGTAGGCAGCATCTTATATCTGCACAGATTGTATCATCGTTACCGGGTGATGTCCCGAGTTTTGCCGCGAGAATTATAAGCTGTGAGCTTGAAACGTTTATCAGTTAGGCTGTTACGTGTTTGACAGTTGAGTTTAGTCTTCAAGTTGACTATGAGATGTATTTTCTTATGACTTGATTAACTGTGTTACAGCTCCAGATATTAAGGTACTCTAGGAACGACATAACGTATACAACCTTCATGGATGTCCGCACTGCGAAACATTACAACATTTCCACCTATCTTACACTCATTTACAGTCAGCTGTAATTTGAAAAATTTCACGATATTTGCTGCAGCATGTCTACTTCTCTATAGTGAACTAGAAAACCATTATTATTATTATACCAGGGTAAAATAATATTATACTTATACAATCAACGTAAATCTACTCAATCGACTCAATCACGCAATTCTTAATAAAGTTGAACAACCAGTCAACATTACAACGTAAGCAATTGCGAAATGGATAACAAATTTACTTAAGAGAGGCTACCTTCTTGTTAATCCAACACACTCAACTACCAAGACCTACTATGTCCGCAACAAAAACAATCCAAGAAACCGCCAAACACGTCTCAGCCGTCCCTGCGACATTTAATCCATTCTACTCGCATGATCCAACAACAGCTGATGATGAAAACTACGAATACAATTTCCTCAAACCAAGTTTCCCAGATGTTAAATGGGCACCATTAGAACTTCAAGACGTCACTGACAGGGGATTCTCTGCCGACAAGTCGAAGAAGAATTTACTTTCTGCTGCAACAAAGGTAGACAACATTGAACCAAGCATTGGTACTGAATTATCAGGTATCAACATCTACGAATTGACTGACGCACAGAAAGATGAACTGTAAGGGTATACTTTCGAGATATAACATTCTGACAATTGCTAGTGCTCTCCTTGCTGCTGAAAGAACAGTCGTAATCTTGCGTGACCAGCCAATTGACATACACAAGCAGCTCGATGCGGCTAGATATTATGGACCATTGCACAAACACGCTACAACCAGTGTACCAAAGCAAGAAGGTCTTGAAGAAGTTCATGTTATCTACTCTGATGGTGCCAAACGCCCAGATCCTGCTGCATTCACGAAGACTGAATTGTTCCATTCTGACGTCACCTATGAATTGCAACCACCATCGACGACAATTCTTCAAGTGCTCACAGCACCAACTGAAGGTGGCTCAACTATCTGGTCATCTGGTTATGCTGCTTACGACTCCTACTCTAATACATTCCAGCAATACCTCGAGACGCTCTACGCTTCTCACTCCGCTCACGAGCAATACAACGGCAGTTTGCAAGCTGGAACTAACCCAAGAAGAGAACCAATTACTACACTCCATCCAGTTGTAAGAGTACACCCAGTTACCGGCTGGAAGAGCATATTTGTTCAACCAGGTTTCACTAGATCATTGTTCACCAAGAAGGGCGACAATGTCGTTCCAATTCCAAAACACGAATCTGACCACATCCTCAATCTCCTCTACAGACAGATCGCCGATCAAGTCGACTCTCAAGTGAAGGTTAGATGGGGCAAGGGTGATATTGGTGAGTATTGCATCATCTCGATAATACCATAGCTGACGTGATGTAGTTGTTTGGGATAACAGAGTATCAGCCCATGCTGCAACTTTCAACACATGGCCTCAGACTCGTTTAGGTGTTAGAAGTAAGTTTTTTCATATCCAACCTCACGACGACATACCTAACGTATCTTTAGCTACTCCACACGGTGAAAAACCACGCAGTGTCGAAGAACACAACGCATTGAACCTCCCATCTGGCTTAGCCAGATCGCGTCAAGAGCAAGTCTGGAAGGAACAAGGATTGCAAGACACAAATGTACCAGTAAATCTCAACAAAGCTAAGGGATACAGCGATTAGATAGATAACATACACATTTTGTTCGATTTCCTCACGATGTTTTACTTATGAATGATTTTATCAAAATATTATTATCTTACTGCAATGTTCTAAAAGTACATGATAAATACAATACTAAAATGGTCGAGGGAAATTATTTGTTCGAGTGCGGCTAAAAGAAAACTGTTGAAACATTTTTAGGACACCTTGATCACTCTCTCTGCGTTCGTTATTATCCCATTCGCGCTCATCTTCGTAAACCTCCCCTAAACCCATTTCTGGTGATTTCATAGTGCGTTTAGATGGCATAATAGATTCTGACATCTTGTTGACAAATATAGATCCTGCTTGATCGTTCGGCATCCACTTAGGGTTCGCTGCCTTGAAATTCAAAACACTCTTCTCGAGTTTACCATCCTCGCTCATGAGTTTGACGTTTTGAGCATCCTTAGGTGCGCCAAACTGGGTGGACTTAGCGATGGTTTATAGAAATAATATCACACCTACCCTTTTATTACCATGTCTGAGGAAATCGAAATGGGCGAATGAGCATATATACCCTAGCTGGTCAACGTGAACAGTAGATTGGGAGATGAAGTCGATAATAGCCGGTGACGATTTTGGAAGCGAGTAGTAGAGGATAATCGGTGTGAACAACACTGAGAGAATCTCCTGGAGGAAGATGGCGATTTTTAATTCAAATAGCCTTGAAAACTCAGCATGCACTTTCTTTGAATGCATCTGTCCTTCCCATTCCTTTGGAAGATGGTGCGTAAATGCACAAGCGCGTCTCAACAACCTCTCTGGATCGTTGACTTCGTTGTCAGCTGGTATCATACCTCTAGCAACAGCAAGGATTGTACCAAAGACACCAATATAGAATACAGTAGTCCGTTGAGGAGTTATTTCGAAGTGTAAGAACATGTCTACCGAGAGGTTAGATATAACATCACAAAGAATCCCCAACATACCTGGATCAATCACGGAAGCTAATATAAAGACAGCAGCAAAGGAACCAGCAACGAAGGCCACAAAGCGTGCAATAATTGCAATTTCTGAGTTAGGAAATTGAACGATATACTTCTGGGCATCGTCGTATGATAAACTGAGACGCTTTTGAAATAGATGCTGGAGCTCATTAAACTCTCTGAATTTCCACTGTGCCAACTCAGTATAGCTCCTTGAACCAATGGATGACGGATTCTTGTGATATTCCTCAAAGTACCTGAAGAAAGAGTAGAAGAGTAGGAATATAACAAGAATAGGGGCTAGCAATGCATTAACGAATGCTAATATAGCAAAACGCTTTCTGAGTCTGTAAAGTGTTAGCTATGTTTAACGAAAGGTCCTTGCACTTACTCTTGTACATTGCGACCACGTGATGAAGACTGCAATATATGTGCTTTGACCTGTCCCTTCTCATCGAATACATGTCCTAATAAGGCAAATGAGAGATTCCATTCAAGCGTCTTGGTGAGACCATTCGATGTTGCAAAACTGAGCACTTTCTTCAGCAATTTATTACGTATTGGTAGATCAAGGTTGAGTAGGTCCTTGTTGAAAAGTGCTATTAGGTAGTTCTCCTGGCGCATAATCCTGTTCGCGACGTCCAGGACGTCTAACTTCGCGACAGGGCCATGTGAGACGCCAACACTTGATATCGCTGTGAGTGGATTTGACTGCCTTATATGTGATATCCTAGAGACGATTTCCTCCCATGAGATTGTTTTGACGTCAGTCTAGACGACTGTGAGACATGCAAAAAGAGTAAAAACTGATGGCTCACATTAGGTATGCGCAGGATATGAGTGTAGAATCTGTACATATCCACCAACGGTTTGAGTGACAGGATAAAAGTGAGGACTTGATATATATAGAAAATACCGAATGCGAGAAGCCAAATCCAAGTGATAAAGGAGAAACTAGGATGATGTCAGATAGATCGATAAGCATTGAAGGACACACCTAGATGCGCAGTGTGGGATAACAATATCTGAGAGACTGCCATCGTGGCTGATAGCAGAGTAGTCAATGCAACCAAATAAGAAAGTTGAGAATAAGAAAACGAAACCAACGGTAGCTAGATTCAAAGCTTTCGTTAAAACTATGCAATAAATACCTTTGTTGAGGTAGTAACTATAAGCCTGGTGGTTACGTCAACGAGATAGTGCATGAGTAATCGCTACTAACATCCTGTAAGAACTTATCGAGATTTTGCACGTTCACCCATTTCCACATAGCGAGCTGATAAGGAGACATACCCCTGCTAACTGGCCTATGCTGATGGAGAGGTAAAGGGGTATCTTGCTGACTATGGGTGTATTTTATAGGGGGATTATCGTCTAGGCTATTTCGCTGTTCGCCTTCTACCAAAATACTTGCTGGTGGGCCGTCGTCATCGTCTGTATGGCGTGGGTTGAGTTCGACGGTTTCTTGAATATCTTGCTCTTGATCATCTATAGGATCGTAGTGCGATCTTCTAGAATTCATTAGCATATTTAATATTGGTGTGCTGAAATCCATTGTGATGGTTGATAAGCAGCTTTCGTTATAACAACCAAGATGTGAGTAATTGATTAAATAGGAAATAAAATATTCTCTAATAAACTAAAAGGTCACGTCTGATCGTCAAAGGTTTACCAACGACTGCAGATAACAACGCATTAAGAACGCACTTTGGTAGCAGGGGTGCTACCATCACAGACGCTAAAGTCGTTTTCAAGAAAGGCACAGCTGTCGGTACAAGTAAAGGCAAATCTCGTGGTTTCGGTTTCGTTGGTTTCAAATCCCCAGAAGAAGCCAAAGAAGCTTTGCATTTCTTCAACAAAACCTACTGGGGGACTTCTAAGCTAGAAATTGAAATCGTAGAGGATAACAAATCTATACAAGAGCAGCTCCAAGATGGAAAAGCTCTTAAAGCCAAACGCAGGAGAAAAGAAGGCAAAGAATCTGACAGCGAGGAGGAAGAATCAAACAAGAGAGTAAAAGTACTCAAACCAGTTCACCTGAAAGCCATTGAGATGCAGAAGGCAAAAAACAAAGCAACCAAAAACTCAGATTCTGAGCAAGAAGGTGGTGATGACAATACTGAAATGTCGGATTTGGAGTACATGCGCGCAAAAATGAAGAGACGCCACATTCCAGAAGAAACTGATGAGGCGCCTAAAGAAGAAACTCCACAAGAGACGACCCAGGATGCTGAAGCGCGTAAACAAGCCGAGGTTATCGACCAAGTCATGGAAACTGCCCGTATTTTCCTCCGTAATTTACCATTCAGCTGTACAGAGGATGATCTTAAAACTGAATTCTCTAAGTATGGTGTCGTCAACCAAGCACATGTACCTCTCAGCAACGACTCTAAGACACCTATGGGAGTTGCTTATATATCTTTCGCGTCACCAAATGCTGCAGTCGCCGCATTCAGGGCGGCTGATGGTTCCATCTTCCAAGGAAGATTGTTGCATGTTTTGCCAGCCGTAAACAAGCGTCCACCACAGGATCTATCGAAAGCAAGCTTCAAAAAGCTTCGTAACAAGGACAGAAAAGAAGGTGCCGAAAGTAGAGAGTTTAGTTGGTCTGGTTTATATATGAATGTGCGTGTTGAAGATTAAAGTTTCTTAAATTCCAATACTAACTCACCCTAGGCAGACGCAGTTGTCAGCTCCCTTGCAGCCAGACTCAACGTTGAGAAAGCAGAGATACTCAGCTCAGATTCTTCATCTAATCCTGCCGTCAAGGTAGCCTTGGCTGAGACTCATGTCATCAACGAGACTAAAGGATTTTTGAAAGAGCAAGGTGTCAATCTAGATGCATTTTCACCAGAAAACAGAGGTCCTAGATTGGAGAACACATTGCTCATTAAGAATATTCCATTCGGTACGAGTGTCGATGATCTTGATGAAATGTTCAGGCCATGTGGTGAGATCAGCAGATTACTTCTTCCGCCAGCTGGCACTATCGCCATTATCGAGTACTTGCTCCCCAACGATGCTCGCACAGCATTTAAAAAACTAGCATATAAAAGAGTAGGAAACTCTGTACTCTATCTCGAAAAAGCACCAAATGGAATGTGGGCTAAAGATGCACCATCTGGCGCAATTGCAGCAGGTGGACCTAAACCAGTTGAGGTTGTTGACAAGGAGACTCCAACTGACAAGGTCGCTGCTGGAGAGGAGGAAGCAGCCAGTACATTGTTCATCAAGAATATCGCTTTCAGCACCCCAGAAGCAAAATTGGCATCAATTTTCTCTTCCCTTTCGGGATACAGATATGCTAGAATCCAAACGAAGCCTGATCCAAAGAGTGCCGCGAACCGACTCAGCATGGGATATGGATTCGTCGGTTTTGATAATGAAGAGCATGCAAAGGATGCACTGGCAAGTATGCAAAAGTATGTCCTTGATGGTCATTCTCTACAAGTTAAATTCGCTCAACGTGGCAAAGACTCCGAACCTGGTGCTGCAATGGGTCAAACGAAGACTACAAAGATGTTGGTCAAGAACGTGCCGTTCGAGGCTTCAAAGAAGGATATCAGGGAGTTGTTCGGTATGCATGGTCAACTGAAATCTGTAAGATTACCACGCAAATTCGACAGGAAGACACGTGGTTTCGCTTTCTTGGACTTTGTTACTAGAAGGGATGCTGAGATTGCATATGAGAGTTTGAAACATACACATTTGCTTGGTCGTCACTTGGTATTACAATGGGCTGACGATGCTGCAATCAACGACATAGACGCACTTAGAGAAAAGACAGCATCATCACGTTCAACCAACATGCCAACTAACAAAACGAAATTCGTTGGACCTGAAGGACTTGCACTTGAGGAACTCAGTGATTAGAATATTTAATATGAATAGATGCATTATTTATTTATTTTTACTTTTTTGTCTCTTTCTTTATCGTAAACAACCAAGTGGTAGATATGACGCTACCACAGTATAAGCTATCAGCCACACTAGAAGGACATACGGACGATGTGAAATCAGTGTTTGCTTGCAAAGATAACTCAATCTTATCCGCCAGTAGAGACGGTACAGTGAGGAGGTTCGCAGGCGATAACTACGACTTAAAGGGGACATACCTTGGACATATGGGCTACGTCAATAGCGTGCACTACATGGAAGGTTTGTGCTATCTCACTCATCTTTCAAAAGTAACGATAAGAAGACAGTGATTTGATCATTTCAGGAGGTTCAGACTCCCGTATACTTATACACGATAAAGGACGTGCTGAGAAACCACTCGAGAGCCTTCTAGAGCATTGGAATAATGTTTGTTGCTTGGATACGCGTGGAAATACTATCGCAAGTGGTAGTTGGGATCTGACCGCACGCGTTTGGAACGTTGCTGGAGGACACTATGAGCAGGTCAGCAAGCTCGATAAGCATGATGCAGCAGTATGGGATGTCAAACTCCTCCCAGATGGATCTCTACTTACGGCGTCTGCCGATAACTTCATCAGACACTTCAACCCTGATGGCTCGCTCAACAGGCGTTTTGAAGGCCACACAGAACCTGTACGCGCGTTGGCTATTTTGGACGGGACGTCCTTCTTCTCAGCCTCGAATGATGGCACAATCCGCAAATGGAATCTCAAAACAGGCGAACAGATAGCAGTCTTACCAGGCCATTCGTCTTTTATATACTCACTTGCTATTTTATCATCACCGGACGGAGAAGATTATCTCGTGAGTTGCGGTGAAGATTATGAAGTTAGGGTTTGGTTGGGTGAGTTGTGGCATATAATTAACAATGATAGCTCAACAAATATAGGTGAGACATGCTTGCAAAGTATACTTATTCCTGCTGTGTCTATTTGGAGCGTTTCCGTGCTCCCTAATGGAGATTTCGCTGTCGGCACATCACAAAACCTTATTCATGTGTTTACGACTACTGAGGAGCGCAAAGCCAATTTAAATATCCTTGAGGTGGGTATTTACAGTTAAGTAGTTGTTACAATTAACCCTATCTAGGAATGGGATGCACAGACAAATGAAATCAAAGACAGGTTGGTGAAAACGCTAAACAAACGCATTTCTCACCAATTACCAGACAAACTGGACGCTCAGCGACTAACAAAAAGGCGACTGAGATATCACCAATTGTTATTGATATCGATGTCGACGATGACAAACCAAACCTACAACTGACGTACAATGTTGGTGAAGATGTGCAAGAAGTTGCCGAGAAATTCGTGCAAGCCAATGATCTTTCCGAAAATTACATTCAAAGGATTGCACAGTTCCTTGCTCAAGCGACTGGACAGCCTGAGGTGCAAAAGTCAGTAAAGGAAGAACCAAAGGCTGAGAAGACGCCTATTAAACGATTAGCCGAGATACTTACATCGAATGAGAGTAGGTGCTTAATCTTCCAGTGGGATTTTGATAGCTGATGAATTATAGCTAAGAAAGTTATCATCATGGCTGGTGCTGGTGTATCTACAAGTGCAGGTCTACCTGATTTCAGATCACCTAATACAGGTTTATATGCAAACTTGCAACAGTACAATTTACCATATCCTGAAGCCGTATTTGATATAGATTTCTTCAGAGAACAACCGAAGCCATTTTACGCACTGGCTAAAGAGCTCTATCCAGGTTCATTCTTGCCTACGATTACACACTATTTCTTTAAACTATTAGAGAATAAAGGATTACTGAAGAGAGTGTTCACACAGAATATAGATACACTTGAAAGGGTTGCTGGTGTCTCGGATGATCTAATGGTAGAGGCTCACGGTTCATTTGCGAAAGCGCGCTGTGTAAGTTGCAAAGAACTGAGTGATGGAGAGTATGTCAAGAGCTGCGTAATGAGATCCGAGATACCGGTGTGTCAAGAAGTTGGTTGCGCTGATGACAAAAACGCTTTTGTTAAACCCGATGTGAGTAGAATATAAGAAAGTAATCAACGACTGATTACTTCTAAGATAACCTTCTTTGGTGAAGCGCTTCCTAGGAACTTCTTTGACAAGCTTGATGATGACTTCAACCACTGCGATCTCCTGATTGTCTTGGGTACATCACTTAAAGTCAACCCATTTGCTTCATTGATAAGTTTTGTTGGTGGTGATACACCAAGAGCACTCTTGAATTTGGAACAAGCTGGTGTTTACGAAGGCGGTGGTTTCAGTTTTGATGAAGGCTCAAGAGATATCTTCTGCAAAGGGAAAGTAGATGATGTTGTTGTCAACCTCGCAGAGGAATGCGGATGGAAAGGCGAATTAATGGAGTTATACGAAACTGAAAGACAAGAGAAAGCGAAGGAATTCAACTTGATAGATAGTCTAACAGAGGATCTCTCGAAGATAAAGATGTAATGAATAAATTTGTATAACAGTCAATTTAGTACACACGATAGTAGGAGTAAAGATATACCTTGAATTAATTCGTTGTTTAGCAGATGAAAGCAGTTTGAGTTGCAGGAACTTATTCAGAATCCTCAGAGGCATCTTCCTTAGCAGGAGATTCCTCCTTCTTTGGTGGTGACTTCTTCTTTGACTTCTTTGGCTTCTCCTCTTCTTCTTCCTCGTCGTCGTCTTCCTTCTTTTGGTCTTTTGAAGCTTCGTACTCCTTCTTCTCCTTCTCGTATCTCTCCTTATCAGCTGCAGCTTGTTCTTCGTATGGTTTCTTCTCTTCTGCGCTCATCTCCTTCCATTTGGCGCCAAGAACCTTGCCAACTTCACCGAAGGAGATGTTTGGATTCTCTTTCTTTACCTCTGCGCGGTGTTCTTGTGACTGTAGGGATCGGCGTTAGGAAGGATCTCTAAGGATCTCTAGAGGCTGACTTACCATATACATGTATGCGGAGAGTGCTCTCTTTGGTGCATTCTCATCCTTCTTTGGCTTTGCGGCTTTCTTGGTGTTGGCGCGTGGTTTCGTGTCTGCTTTTGGCATTCTTTATTTTCCTATAAGCAGATCGTTAGTATCTACCGTGATAGTCGCGGTTCTCTCTTTAAGATCACGAACGCGCGTAGCTTTCATCACGCTGGTGCGTAAATATATAAAGAGATAAACGGCTTTCTAAGCTTTATTTACTCACTTTTAGTTATTTATTGAGCTCCTCGCTGTTTATTACGAACAACTGTTTTCGCAGTAGAGCCTGTCAGCCAAACCAGCGATTTTTAATTACGTAGCGAATTAGGCAACTCAGGAAAAGCAAAATCAAAAAATAAAAATTACAAAAAATGGTTTAAAATAATCTTATTGTATTGCATTTATAATTAAATCTAAACCATTTTGGCTTTCTGCCCTAACGCTAAACTCAAGCGTTACACCTGAACCCTCCTCGTATGCCATTCTAGCGCGAGCGAGTGCCTTACCAGCACCACCGCAGACTAAACCAGAGAGTTCCAGCGTGTGTATAGCTGGATTCGTCGCGTTCTGGCTACCACCGAGTGCTTCCATATTTAACAATTCAACAAGTGAATCACAGGCGGCTTTTTCGTCGTTAGTTATTTGTTTTACTATTTCATTAATAAGAAATACCCACATTGCAAGCTATCCAATGCTGTAAGTGAGAAAGTCTCAGTGGCCGCATAAGTCGTGTGCTTCTCCCATTCATTTCCAAATGAGGCGTATGAAGGTTGAACGTAATCGGCAACCTGTAATTCAATATCCTCAATTTGATACTCGTCCTTATATCCCTCCGGTTCAAGATCACCTGTATCTGGATCGACTTCCTTTGAAATGAACGAAAGGGTATTAATGAATGAACCCAATGGATACTCCTCTTCTAAAACTCTCGTGAATGAAACGTAAATTGCTGTTGATCCCATCTCAGAGGTCAACTGCTGTACTGGCATGATGAAGTCTTCCTGTACTTGTTCACTCAAGTCATCAGTTGGTTGCATAATAACGCTGACATCTTCCAAGACATTCTCCGCAATTGTATTTTGTACGTTAAACTGGAAGACGATATGGCTTGCGAAGACATGTTTAATTGCGCTAACAACATATTCAGTTTCACGTTCAGTGAGTTCAACAGGATTGCTAGATGATTGTAAAATAGGACCATATGTAGCAAACTCTGGAATGTTCGCAATTTGTTCAGCGTATTTAGCTGTTGTATCTTCTTTGCTTGCTGCTGCCGTAGGTGCGGGCGAACTTGATTGAGTGACATCAGGTGTGGAAGTACCCATTGCTGATTCATTAACGATAGCTTTGTTAGTATCAATGCGTATTTGTTCCTTGTTGACTCTTGGAATTGCGGAAGCATCGAATGCCTGAGCTGAAGAAGATGGATCGTTGACATAGGCGACCAACTTTGATTCCAATGCACCAATTGAATATGTTGAATCATCCTTTACAGTTCTAGATGCCAACTCGTCATCTTCAATAATACGCATGTACATAGCAGCTCTATCTCTGACTTCATCATCGATATCATCAAGACATCTACCCAAAAGAACCTTGACAGAACGTCTAACACTCTCAGCACCTTGTACGACGTTAACACCGAACTTTGCTAAACTAGAAACAGCAGCTGCTCTAACGATCGCATTCTCTAATACGACCCTGTTGTAGATGTGTCTAATATATTTTGTTGGTTCAAGTGTCTTTGGTCCTTCAACACCCAACAAATGTAATACTCTAACTGACAACTTTGTGAATTCGCAATCTTCAATGAATTCACAGAGATGTGAAAGTGCAGTTTCTTTTGATTCTTCAATATATTTGATCATGTCGAAGATCGCATCAACGACGGCTCTCTTGAAGTCGTAACCACCTTCATCGCGTAAAGCACCAGATAGGAAACCAAGCATAGCTACATGCTTTGATGGGAACTTCAAACATAATGCTCTAACGGCATCAACGACGATAACCTTAAATTCGTCACTAATTTCCAACATGAAACCAGAAATTTGTTTCATTAATCTATCAACTGATGCTTCATTACCGGTCTTAAGAAGTGTTGTAATTGCAAATGTTGCAATTGAGCGATTTGAATCAGTGATGAGATTCTCCATTTCAAGGTTACAAGCAGCTACAGCTTGTGGATGAACTTGAGCGAGCCTGTTCAAGGTTCTGATGGCTGCGAACTTGAGTGGAGTTTTTGGTGTAGAGAGTGCGAGTTGAAGTACTGCGATTGGACGCATGAGATCGTTTGGTTTGGCTCCCTTCCAGTCACAAATTGCTCTTGCAGCCTCAATGGAGACCATGTCGGACTTGTTGCGAAGCCATCCTTCGAGGAGCTCTAACATTGGTCTTTGCAGACTAATAGGCTATTAGCGCGAAATTGTGAGATATAAAAACCAACTCACTTTGGATCCTCATCCATTAAACGAGCTGCATATCTGACCAACATACACAAAGCTAATGGGTTGCGAAGTGAAGATGAACCAGGTGTTGCTAAACCTTGTACCAATTTGGTTACGGCCATTCGATCTTTATCGCGGATAGTGTAGAGTAAAGCGAGTGCGTGGTATTGAGAAATGGCAGAAGTTGATTGCCATGAACCGTCTAAAGAAAAACGAGATATTTCTGGCTTTGATAAGGCTTCTGTAACTTCATTCGCCCATCTTTTGATGATATCTTTAGCTTCTGGGTAGAGGTGGTATGACGAAACGAGAGCGGCGGCTGAAATTGATGGAGACTTATCAACGAGTGCTGTTCTAAAGAAACGTTCGAGTCCTTGTATCATTGAAGGCTGTATGACGTGTTAGAAGAAGACGTAAAAAGGGATGTATACCCACATCCGTGACTCTAGACAAGGCTCTAATAGCGTTAGGTCTGTATATGACGTCCAAATTTGGCTGTATATCCTTCATAATGGAGGAGGTCGCCATGATGACATCGTCTGCGGATGAGCTGAGCTCTTTGACGACGAGGTAGACCATCTGACGGAGAGCAGGCTTGGTGTAGTGTCAGTCGATCTGCTGTACTTATAAAGGGAAGCCTTACGTCCTTATTTTGGAATAGTTTTGTGACCTGAGCTGTAATTAGATGGATTGACGGTAGCTGCTAGTAAAACGCACAGAGAAGAATAGAGAGGTTGACTCAGTCTTGCTGAAAGTCTCACCAATAGATAGCTATGTAGTTGTTAACAGATGTCAGTATATGGTGAGATATTTGAGCATACCAAGTAACTGTAAGGAGACGAATAAGAGTACGTTCTGTAAAGATAAGAATCCAACTCACGCTAGTTTGGTCAATAAAATCCTAGATTTCCTAGGACTTATCGGCGATTGGTTGAATATCCTAGCTTCTTGAAATACAGCGGTCTAGCAAGTTAGAAGAGTGTCTAGGGTATAAATAAACACACCTTATCTTGATAGAAACTACCAACTGAATTGCTGCTCGTTATTTCTTCATTCTTTTTTAACGACATCGTTGTTAGTGACTAACGTTGACGAGTGTATTAGAAAATGGGCGGTGTAAGTTTATTGCTACTATTTACTACAATATACTAACACTATAAGGGTGATTTAAATATGAAGAAAAGCTGGCATCCCATGCTGATGAAAAATCAGCGTGTCGTATGGGATAAGGAGCAGGAAGTTATACAAGAGAATAAGAAGCTGGACCAGCTCAGGAGAGAGAAGCAAGAAGAGAGGCAACTGCAGGAGTTGCAGAAGCTACAGGAAGCCTCCTCTGGTAAGAAAGCCTCTGATAGGATGGAGTGGATGTATGCCGCACCAGCCACTGGATCTGGACTATCAGCAAATGATATGGAAGACTACCTTCTCGGTAAAAAGCGCGTCGACAATATCTTAAAGGGCAACGATGAGGTCAACTTGGCGAACACTCAACAGGACGTCATACAAACACAGAAGGCGAACACTTCTAGGGACACTTCATCGAAGATACGTGAAGACCCTCTACTCTCTATAAGGCAGCAAGAACAAGCTGCATATGAGGCTTTGATCAATAATCCTATCAGACTCAGAGAAATGAGACTAAAGGCTGGCATTCCAGACACTGACTCAAAATCTGAAAAGAGAGCTGCAAAGGAAGAGCGCAAACGCCAAAGAGAGGAGAAGAGAAGGTTAAAAGATGACAGAGATGATAGGCGCCCTGAAAGACATGACAGACCTGGCGATGATCACTATGATAGAAAGAGATATGACGATAGATATTCTAGGAGGGATAGTGACAGATATGATGACAGATACTCAAGAAGAGATGACGATAGATACTCCAGGAGAGATGACGATAGATACTCCAGGAGAGATGACGATAGATACACCAGGAGAGATGTCGATAGAGACTCCAGGAGAGATGTCAATAGAGACTCGAGGAGGCACTCCAGACGCAGTCCTGACTATCGCGATTATGAGAGAGAAAAAAACCGTAGATCAATCTCTCCTCCACGTCAAAACAGACCATCTCCACCACGTCATGAACGCAGTCATAGACCTTCACCACCACAACTGGACGATCAAGAAGCACGTGCAGCCAAACTCGCGGCGATGTCATCATCAGCTAGAGACCTTCAAGCAGAGCGTGATGTCCGCTTGTCAGAAATGGCCAAGAGGGATGCAGAAGAGAACGCCAGAGATGCTATTTTACGCTCTAGGGACGCAAAATACGGTGGACATAACAAGTTCATTGCAGACGAACAACGTAAAGTCTATTCTGGAGAGGGTGGATTAGCCGAACAAATGAGAAGAAGAGGATAATTTATATTAAATCACTTAATGTAACTTTAAACTTGTAAAACTAATAACAAATATAATTCTTTCTTTGTCATTCATTGTCATATGTTTAGAAATCCATTATCTAAGCTCAAGAATAAAGTAAAGGAGTGTGTGTGACTTCAGGATAACAGCGCGAGGTAGATATTACTTCTGTTAGTTGATGATTGAACTTCTTAGGACATATTTCTCTTACAGTCAGGTATAAACTTCGAAAAGTAGTGAATCGTTATCGAACAGAGTAGCTAGTAGCAAAGGTGTCTTGAACTGTCTATGATCAAAACAACATCAAAATTTGCGTTATTTGTTCAGTTGTACCTATTATGATGAATGAATATATAATGTTCTAATGTATCTTGCACTATAGTAGTTGAACTGAATAACCGTTGCTGTGATCAATGATATATAAGACTTTCGCTCGTTTCTGGTTTCTTTGTTTGGAATCGCAGCAGTTTTCGTGAGAAATTTGCTGAATAGTTATGTCAATGCCAACATCCCCTGCTTATCTGCTTCTTGGATTAAGCATACCCCAAAATAAGCTATTAAAATACTATGTATCAATTCGCATCAGCAGACCAAAAGAAAAAAAGTGAAATCGAAAACATATTTCATCGAGAATGAAGTTCTTGAGCTAGTGGGAATACTAAGTACTGTAGTAGTAATAGCTGCAAACGAATTTACTTCCCTTAAGTTACTGTGATCAAGTGATACCTGCGACTATAATGTATACAATTTTTTCACATTGAGCGGAAAGTTAATGTTCAAGTGTACCTCTTTGATGGAGTGAGTGTCTTTACTTTACAAGCTAAAGAGAATTACACGTGCGTACTTTGAATTCGAACTGCAGCATTGAACGGTATCCATCAGAGTTACTAAATCCGGCTAAACTACTAATTCATATATTTAACTAACTAGTAAAGGCAAATTGGCGAATCGCCTCCTGGCTAGATCAAGCTATGTTTTGTCTCTCGCCTTATTCAGTTTTTGACTGATTATATCTCCTCCCAAAAACAAGACAAACATCAGAGCATTTCTATCAGCTGCTTTAATTATTTGTGAGCTCTGTGGGGTGTTCAAAATAGCAAATGCCAAAATAAAGTAAGAGCAACCGTCATTAATTCCTAAAAATCCTTCGAGAAGGCACCTGAAAAGTTTCACTTGTTGACGCGTGTATCAGTATTTTGAACACATAAAACCCCTAGAAGAGACCTTTAATATAATCCTAAGTAGGTTGGTCATTCTCTGAGGGAACTAATTATACAATCAAACATGTTCCTCCTAAAAATTAGGAACACACACATTGAAGGATGAAACTACAGTAAATTGCGTTATAAAAATGCTAGGGGTAATAGCTACTCTGGTGAGACCTTTGAAAAGTTATTTGTACTCGCAGACCATGTCACATAACCTACAATCCTACCACGTCATGGCCTATCTGATTACCAATATAATACACGGAAATTGAAGCTATGGTGGCATTTGTTGCAACAATACATTTATTGTTACGCTTCCTTTGAAATCTGAAATTTTCATCTCCGTTTTCACTGCCGTATTTAAAGTTGGATATATCACACATTACGTTGATTTTCTTTTTCCTTGGAGCTTTACAATTATGGCATCACTTCAATACGTCGCGGACAGCAGTGAATATGATAATTTTGCCAGGTCCAATTTCAACTACAGCCAGGGTGTTAAACTTGGTAACGGCATTGTCAAATGCAGTGGCCAAGGTGGATGGGAAGATAACGGCGACCTTGCTGGAAAGGACACAAGTGAACAAATTGAAAAAGCATTTAAAAACGTCGATCGTGTCTTAAGAAAAGCTGGTTGTAATGGTTGGCAAGACGTTTATTCTGTTCGTTCGTACCATGTCGAACTAAAGAAATATCTCGATAAGTTCGTTGAGGTTTTCAAACAATGGACGCCAAATCACCAACCAATTTGGACTTGCATTGGCGTTACAGAGTTGGGCGCCCCAAATATGAATGTCGAAATTGAAGTTGAAGCATATAACAAGAATGCTTAAATACCAGTAATTTATAACGAATGAATCCGGTTAATATTTGTATAACTGACTTGAAGTGTGATAATATGCTCTTGTTTAAAACTGAGTCAATAATTGTGCTAAATTGTCAACTGGTAACTGTCCCATTATAGGAAGATTTTGTGAGATGTCCCTACGTAATTAGCGGTATCAATGCCTCTCTCATGTTTAGAAGGTCACATTTTCCTCGTAGCAACCCGAACAAAGCTACAAAAAATCCATCTTGACGGAAAAAGAAAATTTTCGAGAAAACAACGAAAAGACTATACCAAGATAGTCCGCTTTCGCGGTACGATTAAGATGTAAAGATCACAACTCCCTGTAGATTGTTAGTTCCAATCAGGAACTGTTTCAAGAGCTTTAACAATGCATAGATCATCTCGTCGAACAAGAAATTTCTTAATATGCGAAATAAACTATTCATTATCTATTGCTACAAGATGAACTGCATTTATCGAGAATGTTAAACATCCACTGACATGATAGAATTCTTGAAACTTAATCGCTAAAGCTCTCAGAGTGACACACATACAAACCAAACATCACACAATAGTTACTTCATCAGCATACAATCTAATCAATTCCATTCTGCGATATTCAGCATCGTTATCTACTTCTGAATCTAAATGCATGAAAAAAAAATAATAATAGAAAGTTCATGTCCAACGCAAACCCATCTAAATAGAAATTGTCTTGCAAACGTTGAATCCATCTGATGCAGTAGTGACGAAACAACCTGGGATTTGTGAGTGCCAATGGACCTCCTTGATATCCTTCTGACCTTGGTGACAGAACATAAGCTGTGGAGGAACCTGTGATTCAATCTCATGTTGTGCCAATTCCTCTTGATCTAACTCAACAGCCAAATCCCAGAGAGTTACTTGGTCATCAGCACCTGATGCAGCCAAGACTGATTGCTCTGTAGCGTGCCATTCAATGGCGGTGATAGCACCCTTATGCCAATCAAAGTTGGCGACTGGGTCTGGTCTTGATGTCATGTTTGGTTTGAAGTTACGGAGATCCCAAACCTTGACATTACCTTCATCACCTCCAGATGCCAAAAGATATTCAGTTTGTTTGTTCCAGTTAATAACATTAACATCCTCATCGTGAGCATCCATGACATTTACGACTGACTTCTTGTTTCTAACACGAGTATCCCAAATTCTGACGGTTCTGTCAGCTGAACAAGATGCAAATACTGTAGCTTCTGATGGTGACCATTGGAGATCCTCAACTGATGATGTGTGGGATGTGAAAGCACCTGATGAAGGTACATAACCAGAGTTTGTGAATTGTGATAAGTGTATGTTACCACCGCAATCACCAGTAAGTAGTCTTAAATCGTCAGTCTCATTCTTTGGTGTTGACCAATCTAAGGCAAAACCTTCTTCACTTCCATGTGAGTTGATCGTGAAAAGTGGCTTATTGTGCTTATTCTTGTCAATCATAAAACCAGGATTACTAAGCGAGAGCATATGTGGACGAAGGTTGAAGATGTGCACTTTACCAGTATCTGCCCATGTTGCGCCTAAGTATGGTCTATCTGGGAAAGAATTTGGTGATGTTGGGTTTACGGTAGCTGGAAGTTTCTCTAGTCTGAATCTATTAATACCACCTCTGTGTGGGATTGACTTGTGCTCAATTGTAGGCTGCTCGTCTGCATTATCGTCGTCGTCTTCATCGTCACTGTCTTCTGATTGTTGAGTCTTCCATAAATTAGCCCAGCGCATAACCATAACCTCATTAGCATCACCAGCTGCTTGTGTACCGGTTGCTACAAACATTTCCTCTGGGTAACTTCTACGCTCGTCGCCTAATCCGTCTCTCATGATATCGAAGGAGAGACAAGGCCATGGAACAGACATGCTATGGAGCATTTCATAAACTGAGTTGTCTGGTTCTAAAATTTCATCCGGTTTGAGTTTATATTGGTGTGGAATGTATGGTTTAGCTTTTGCAGCCTCTGCTTCTGCTTCACCTTCATTTTCTTCTAATATAGGTATTAGAATAGATAAATAAGATAGCCAAGTACTCACCCTGCATTACTTCAACACCATCGTCGTCCTCATTAGCGTTGTCGATAACTTCTCCGTCAGACTCAAATTCGTCTTCGTAGTTGTCTTCGAATTCGCCCATCTCATTGTCAGATTTTTCGTGTCTTTCCTCTCCTGGCCTGCTTTTGTTGATAGGCAAGTCATTTATTGGGGAAGAGCGTCTTTTTGGTGGCATCTTAGTGATTGTAGCGAAGAGAGAAGACGATGAGTGGAATAGCAAAAAATTGAGTGAATAAGAATATCTTAAGAAGTACCAAATATACGTTAACTCAATTAGCAAATTTATTCTTCCTTTACCCTCTTTGTTTTATCATGATAGGACGATGTGAAAGTATTACGATTTGTTAATATGATAGACAGAATCAGTAGACATCACAAACTGTCCGCAATAGCTCACAGCTATTTTGCTAACTCACGCAGGTGTGCGTTTAGGAAAATAAGGTTGTTCCGAGGTCTTACCAGACAGGAAAGACGTTTAGTGTAGTTATAGATGAACTGACCTCCTTACTGTCTGTGGAGCTCTTAGATTATATATACATGTACTATTAAACAGGAACTCGGAATGTTTGACCCAGAAAATGCGAATATTTGAGACAACTATAATGACCACTAGACTGTGAGGGTGATGTTAGTGAACAATAAACCATAAACATACAACAAGGAATAATATGTTGTACATTACAGACTTTTGATATATTCGTCGTCATTCACCATTAAATCAGAGCAATCAGCCATTCGTTCATCGTTACGACCATATACAAACAATGGAAAGAAGACAATCTCAAGGAGAATACCCTCAGTTGGTGCCATTTGAAGCAGAATGGGAAGTCATTTACTCTAATAACATGGAGACTGCCTATCGAGAGTTTGTATACCAGACAAACAAACAGAAATTTTGCTGACAAATTATTAGCCACGCATGTTTAGCAAGCAACAATCTCGCTGCTATGTATATACCGCGCTCGACACTCCTCCCAATATCGGTTGAGCAATCACCAACCACCTCCTCTTTCAGTGACCTCAGCTGGCCTGCTTTTACAAACTCTCAGAGCTCACTGACTAATATGTCACAGTTGAGTTCTACCAGCGCCTCGAAGGAGACGCCTGCAGAGCAGCTCATTCAGGCACAGAAAGAGAGACACCGTTCTAAAATAAACGAAAGAGAGAGGATCTCAAGACAAGGGAAGCAATCCTTGATGCAAGAAATCAAGTCTTATCTCCCAGCTAGAGGCACAAAGAGACGTAGGATCACAGACAAAGAGGCACTCGAATGGTGCAGAGATCTCGTGGTATGCGTTAACAAGCACGATGATGGTTGCCCTTGTAAATTTGAGCCAAGAGATGGTGATAACGCCAAAAATGACAGGTCGAGTGCTGTTACTTTATGAATTACCTTCTGGATGCGAAGTGTAATCTTATCAGATATCTCATTCGCCTTGAAATACCTCAAAATTAGTTGAGAAAATACCATACAATTATACACTTGTAGTCTTACAAATACGATTTCCTGCGTTGTAGCATTCATATAAATATTGAAACATTAGCTAGCTGTTGATCTTTCGGGATCCTTCATCCTATGTACTTTGACTTCCTTGCCGAGAGTGATACTGGACATATCCTGCGGTGTAATAAGCACGTATTGGATACCAGTGGATGATTTTGCGGTATCGATCTTATAGTTGTCAATATTGGCAAACAAGAAAAGTTTCCCTTACCATCATCTTCATACTGATTTTACGATTGACAGCGTCCATGAAAACCTAGAGTTGGATCTTAGAGTAAGAGAAAAGAACAATTTATCACCCACATCAAATTCGTCAAGACATCTAATTGGGCACCCGATAGCTTCCCAGAGAGACAATAGCAGACAAATAGTAGAGAAAGATTTCTCTCCGCCAGAGAGTGACCTGGGATCCTTGTCCCTTTTACCTTGTGTAGCAAGTTGATCATCTGTCTGTACCATCAAATCCAGCCTGCGTTCACCATGATTGAAATGGATAGTTCCATAATAACCACGTGACGACAGATGAAACATGAATTGGTACTTTGCCCTCATCGCTATGTGTTTTCTGAACTGCAGCCACTTTTGAGTTCTTAAATCCAATGCTTTCTTTAATTCCTAGATATATTGTTAGTCGAAAGGGGAGAACAAAAAAGCTACGGACTCTTATGAATATGTTCATGTCATTTATGTCGCGCTGTGCTGATTCTACTGCATCGAGAGCTTTATGGTATTCTGCTGTAACTGCTTCAATACTCGAACCGTTTCTAAAGAAGTAAGTAAATAAAGCAAGTGAGAGATCACACACACCTTTCTTGTCTGGCCCGTAGAGCAACTTCAATACCCTGTATGTCACGTTGTATTTCGTTTACACTTCGCGTTGTCATAATACGCGTTGAGCAGATCTCACTAGCTTGTTCAAGAGCGATCTGAGAACATTATTTGTTGTCCTTTGTAAAAAGAAAAAGTGACGCACCTCCAAATCACTGCGAATTTTAGAAATATGCTGTTCGTAAGCATCAACTTTGACAGACTCTTGTTGTTTCTGCTTGCGACGATGATTTAGTGTAGTCATTGCTTGATTGTTATGATCGTGAGCATCTTTTAGATTAGCCTTGGATATTTTTAGCTAAGTCTCTTTATTGAGTTTTCACCCACCTCTATAGAAAGTCGTGTCTTGTCATAATCAGCCAATTGCTGCTTGATATCATTATTGTGCTCCAAGTGTGGCTGAATATATTGCTGCAACTCATGTTGCTTAGTAGCAATGGCTGCGTATTGTTGCTGAACTTTAGTGATCTCCTCCTTCTGTTCTTCGATTGCAGCATCAATCGCAGCAATGTTGACTGGTTGATCACTCTGAAGAGTTTCTCTAAGCTGATTAATTTGGTATTCACAGTTCCGTTTCTCACGGTATGCTCTGTCTTTGTCGCTTTTGTAACGATCAGCATTTTTTCTGATATCTTCAATTTCTTTGGATACTGTTAATTCTTCCTTCTGTAACTCTTGATATTGTTTACGAGCTTCAGCCATGCTCTCTTCAGCAAGTTTCTTAGCTTCAGATGTGTCAGTAGTTAGACGTGGTGCTCCTTTGTATTGTTGCAAGGTGATAGTAGCGCTTCCAACACCACCACCAACTTGGAATAAACCATTCAATACATAACAACTGGTGACATTATGTGGATGTGTCCTCATTATTTGGTCAGCATCTTGACGATCTCTCACGAGAATTGAAGATTCTGAGCGGTTTTGGTTGACAAGTATACACCTGACTTCTTCTCTGTCGAACTAGAGTTATGTTAGTGATATCTTGAATATACAGTGTACTCACCTTCAAAACCCTATCAATCGTAACGAACTCAGATGATGGTTCACCAGCAGAGAAATCGAAGCTCTTTTCACCCATCTGTATGACACCTGATGAAGCACCATTTCTCTTCAGTATACCAAGCAACTTCCTACGATCTTGCAAGTTGGTACATGCGAAAGCATTGAGTGTACCACCTAAGACACTCTCGAGGACTTTGCTCCATCTATTGTCAGTCAATTTTACATATCTACCAAGTGGACCAATAGGCTTTTCAATCCATGTTTGATTATCAATTTCTTGAAGGATGGCCGGCATCTTATTACCAAATGCAGCTTTTCTGTCCTTGAGGGAGGCATTTATCTGCATCAACTCTTGCTGTGATTGTTGTATATTTGCTTCGCATGTGGCCTTCTGTCTCTTGATTTCAGCATATTTGTTCTGCAATTCTCCAATTTGTTCCCTTCCTTCATTGATTTTTTCATCCGACTCAGTATCAATTTGATTGTGTACTTGGATTTGTTCATGTAACTCTTCCATTTGTTTACGTGTCTCGGCATGTTGAGCACTGTAATCGATCTTGAGACGCTCGAACTCTTCCTTTTTCTGATTTTCAAAATCTTGTATACTACTTTGGATTTCATTGAGGTACTGATTGAGATCTGCCTCTTCTTTTCTGTTATTCTGGAGTCTTAGTTTGTGATCTTTAAGAATTTCATTAATTTTTTCCTTCTCAGAACGAAGATAATTCAATTGACTGTCTTCGTTTAAAGTCATTGATTCATATCTATCTACTTCAGCTTGAGTTTCCTGATAACTCATTTCAGCAGCTTGAAGTGCTTCTTCGATTGCTACCATTCTCTGTCTAGCGACTTCATAACCTTTTTCCTCCTCATTTATGTCTTTCTCTATGGCCGCGGGCACAGACCATGCGAGCTCATTCTTAAATTCGAGGAGCTTGTGTTGTTGGTCGCGAGCTTTAGTTGCTTCTTTATACCTCGTGTGGGCTCTACTTGCAGCTTCTTCAAGTGCAGGTAGGCGCTCCTTCTTACGTACAGTCGCGTCTCTTGCATTAGAAATATTCTCTGATATGAGTTGATATTCATCAGATAACTGAGTGAGCTGTGTACCCTTTAAGAAGAATTCATACTTCTCCTTCGCATGACTAGCACTCAAGAATTGCCTAGCTTGGTCTTGACTGAGAACGTTCATTGGGTTATCGACTTGAATCATGAAATGGTCACAAATTGCAGTGAGTTCTTGGCGTGTTGTACTGACTGTTTTACCACTTGAGCTTTTCAACTTGAGGGAGTTACCATTATCCTTGACAGTACGCTCAACAATGATGGTACTACCATAAACAGATGGTTTGTATGCCTCTGTACCCTCGTTTTTTAACTTAAGGACAATTTGTGCCGATCTGCATGTGAAGTTGAGTGATTGTCTATGTCACAGAAGTTGAAACCCACGTTTGACCTGATTTAATGAACGACTTAAGCGTGCTACCTCTGTTTGTAGCTGTAGCGCGTCCACCGAGTGCCAAAGTGATAGCAGTCAGGATAGCTGATTTACCAGAACCGTTGTGTCCGATGATGAAGTTAAGCTGTGGACCCAAATCGACTGTGAGGCTATTAAATGATGCAGAACCAACTATTGTATACCCACAAGCTAGATATTTGTGGCACATAAAGTTGTAAACTTCAACATATTGTATAATACCAGCATCAGCGACGCTACCTTTAGTAGACTTCCTGCGTACTATCTGCTCTGTCTCCATTTCTATCTGGGTGGTATCAAAATCGTCTTCGAATTCGTCTCCGAGCTCGTCTTCCTCGACGGGCTCTACTTTAGCTTGCTTCTTCCTGGGCTAAGTTGTGATATGAGAAATGACAATGATTTATTGTTAATATAGCTTACAGATTCCTGCTCTTCTATAAAGGAACCCCCTTCATGAGTCAGTCTCTTCATTTTGATAAGGATGGTTTGGAAGCTAGAAGTACGCGAGACGCGATTTACTTTTTTTTTGTTATCACAAAATTCTTACTGTAGAGTTCCTAAGCTGATAAAATGATGGATGGGTATAATAGGAGGCGCCATTTCCTACATTCTATCCTATACTCAACTATACCGCAATGACAGATTGTGTAACAAAAGAAGCTACGGCTTTGTTAGAATAATTCATAGAACGCGTTAAATGAATCTCCATTGAATTCAATATACAATCGAAAAAGAAGGTATTACCTCTGATAGTGTTGAGGCAGATGCTATCGCACGGACAGAGGTTATGGCATTGACAAAGTTATACAATACCGTGTACTATCACTGCCATGTAGTATAAATCTCAAGCAGCCTACATAGCTATCTACAGTTCATTTGGTCCCTATCATACAGCACTCAGATAACATAGAACGATCTTCTTCGTTTAAGTATTTGGCATTTATAGTAGCTAAAATTGGCTTATTAGCTTTTAATACATTATTTAACCATTCGAGACATGCTTTACGGATTAGTACACACGACTGAGAGACACTTTATCCCTCGATCGTACGTACCGTTCGTACCGTTCTTTTGACTAAAATATGCCGGCAATAAGAAACTGTACATAGCAAACTATCCTGTCATTTTATAATAAAACTACTTTTCGTGGTAATTATTAGTAGTAAATCGTATCGTAGGCACACGCCCTACACCTCACACCTCAACATAGCGAAAGAATATAAAAATTGAAATTCAGAAATACAGGATCTAGATGTCGTCTTCAAGGTCGTCAACGTCAATACCCTTCTTCTTGAGTGCCATACGTTCCTTCTTCTTCTTACGGAGTTCACTGGCGTTAAGACGAGCTTGCTTCTTTTCGCTGACGATCTTGTTTCCGAGAGCGTCAAACTTGTCCTCCTCATCTTCCTTTCTCTCGATCTTAGTACCCTTAGAGTTGGATTCAACCCCTGTTAAGATGTCAGATTTCTGTTAGTCTACTAAAATTTGTTACTGACAGTTGTGACCTGAAGCTTCCAAGTAACCATCTCTCATGGCCCAGACTTCGGAACAGATGGATTCAGAGAATTCTCTGTTGTGGGTAATGATCAAGACACCACCACCGAAGACCTTGAGGGCTTCAATAAGGGCAGCGAGAGATTCTCTGTCAAGATAGTTGGTTGGTTCGTCAAGACAGATAACGTGTGGCTTTCTCCAGGTAGCTGCACCAAGGACAACCTTGACCTTTTGACCACCAGAAAGACCTGCAGTTGTTAGCTTAATAATGAGATCATATAAAAGACTCACCTCTCATGGTGTTGTGGGTGGTGAACTCAGATTCGAGACCGAAGTCTTCGAAGTGCTTCTCAATTTCCTTACGGACGAGTGGTCTCATCATACCCAATCTTTGGGCTTCACGGGTGTCAACTTCCATGACCTTCTTCTCGAAACCTCTCTTGACAAGCTCATCACGAGAGAACCACATGTTGTCAGCAGATGACATACCCTTGAAACCACACTCGTATTCGTATGATTGCTTGAGCTTCTTACGACCAACAATTTCTTCGATGTAACGTTTTTGGCCTTCGATGATAACAACGGAACCGTTCTTCATCTTCTCAGCTTCCTCTTCGGTAATTTGACGGGTTTCCTTCATCATTTCCTCAAGATCCTCACCAGTTTGATATCTCCACAACATGTACTCTAATGGAGTCTTGTCAAGGTGGTTATCAATGTGGTGGAAAGCGTGTTGGGCGACGTAACCAATGACCAAGTTAGGGTGCTTCCAGACCTCACCACTGATGTTTGGTTCAATGTCACCAATAAGGAGCTTAACGAGGGTGGATTTACCAGCACCGTTTGGACCAAGGACGGCAACACGTGAGGAAAGGGAAACTTGCAAGGTAATATCGAACAATTGTTGCTTCTTAGCGGTTGGATATTGGAAGTTAACCTTACGCATCTTCAAGAGGGACTTTTCCTTTGTCTTGACACCTTCAAGCATTGGTGGTTCTGGAAGGTTGAATGAGTATTCTTCAGATGCGGCGATTTCGAAGAAAGCGCGAGCTTCTGGGACGAGCTTAGCGAAGTTCTCCAAGTTACCTGGGTAACGCTTGATCTTGAATCTGTTAAGGTAGATGACATCGGTGATGGTCTTGTTCAAGAATTCAGCATCGTGGGAGACGATGATGGAGGTACAGTGAGTAAGTGAGGTAAGGTAGTCAATGATCCATTGAACGTTCAAGACATCCAAGTGGTTAGTTGGTTCATCGAGCAACAAGATATCAGCCTTGAAAAGGATGGCTCTGGCAAGAGCGAGCTTCATCTTCCAACCACCAGAGAGGGAACCAATAGATTCATCTTGACGTTCGTCAGAGAAACCGACGGTAGCCAAACCTTGTCTGATTTCATCATCGTTAGCTTGGATACGCTTGTCAGATTGGACGAATTGGAAGACGGTGGTGTCTTCTTCTGAACCGTCAATGTCGTGTTCGACGTAGAAAGTACGGACTTCGTCTGGTGATGGGAAACCTTCAACTTGACCGTTGACGATGGCTCTCATGAGGGTAGATTTACCAGTACCGTTTCTACCGAGCAAACCGTATCTGTGACCTCTCTTAAGACGGAGGGTAGCAGTGTTAAGAAGAATCTTAGCACCGTAAGCCAATGAGAAGGTACAGTTACAGAGATCTTCACCCTCTTCTTCATCTGGGAAGACGTGTTCAACTTCAGCGTCATCAGCGGAGGTCTTTTCAAGGAGCTCCTTAACGACAGCCTTAGCTGGAGCGTTAACTGATGATGGGTCGGTTGAGTTCAATTGAAGTGAGATGAGGTTAACGAGGGCTGATGACCACTCGGTTTCTTCACCGCAACGAGCGTTTGAGAGTTCTTGAGCGACACGAGCGATGTAAGCAATGAAGACATCGTCAGCCTTAGCCAATGAGTCACCAGTGTTCTTGAGGGCAGCAACCAAGACATCAACGACCTTGTTGAGGTCGACGGTCTTGATTTCTGGGAGGTCGGTACCATCTGATGAATCTGGGAGGTTACCAACTGAACGGAGCTTCTTGATAGCGCGGTTAACAACTGAACGAGCTTCTGGGTCAGCGACGGTTTCTTCGATCTTGATAAGACCTGGGAGAAGCTTTGGAAGGAATGGACGGACAATACGCTCGCTGTCGACAAGGGTGGACATGTTGTCGATGATAACAGCGGTCTTACGACGGAGAGCGGTTTGACGTTCAGCGAGACCACGTGAGAGAAGAGGTTCCATAAGGGCAAGGGTTGGTGAGTCGACTTCTGAAACGAAGGTGGTGGCGGCCAAAACCTGGATAGTTGTTGGGACCTTTTCGGTTGGGTTGATAAGACATTCCTGGAGAGCTGGAATGAACTTTTCGATATCCTTGTTAACGACCTGGCGCTGTTAGTAAATCGTAGGTGGCGGGGCAGGCAACTCACCAAAGAACAGATCTTCTTCAAGGAAGAACGTGCGGCCTTCTTGACATCTGACTTGGTGTCCCAGATGACTTCAGCGAGGACTGGCATACAGTCAGGCATAAGACGAGCCATTTGGTCTGGGACGGAGGTGACGAGCTTGTTGAGAACAGACAAGCCACCTGTCTTGATCTGCCATTTACCTGCGGTTCTGATTTGCTCGAGGAGTGGTGGCAAAATGAAAGCAGTTGCCCAGTTGTTCATGACGGTGACGATATCCTCGACAGCCTTGACAGCGGCGTCTCTTGGGCCTTGTGACTTGTCAGCGAATGCTTGCAAGAGTGAGCCGAAGACGTCGTGTTGGGTGGACAAAAGAATGTATGGCTCGACTGGCAAGAATTGGCCACCAGCGACGATGGCGGAGATCAATTCAGCGGCACCTTGTCTCGCACCCTCGTTCTTCTTCTCAGCTAAACCACCGAGGATGGTTTCTGGGAGAGACAAAGTGGCGACTGCAGCTGGACCGCCGTCCTTGATTGACTTGACGACTGCCTCTTGGGCAGTTGTACGTGCAGCAGCGTCTGCATTAAAAATGGCTGATGTGTCTAACTGTCCCGCGGTAGGCATTTTCTCAGCTCCTCGTGGTAGTTTTTCAAGTGAGCCTTCTCTGGATTGATTGCTAGGATTAAAAATTTAAAAATCAGGAAAAATGAACAAAACTAAAATATTTTATACTAATTTACCGAGAAAACGTGATTGGACGCCTTCAAACGCTTCTCCCCTCGCTTTATCTTCCCTCGTTGCCACCGATAAGCAAGAGAGAAGACAGTTGAAAGATCGCGACTATTGGAAGAAGCATAACAGCAGAATAAAGAGCAAGTACCCAGACGGCTGGAAACCAAAAAATAAGCTCTCGAGAGCAGCTATGATTGGCATAAAGGAGCTCCACCAATATGACAGCCTGCAGTTCAACGTAGCAAGCCTGAGTGAGAAGTTCAAGCGCTCGCCCGAGAGTATACGCCGCATTCTCAAGTCAAACTGGATACCCGACCAGCAGCGGGCTGCTCAGCAGAACGAACGTGCTAGCAGGAGCAAACAGCGGGGCACTATTACCAGCAAGCAGAATACATCAGACAGACACGCTAATGATAGAGAAAACGACTCCTTCAGAACACACCTCAGCAGCATAGAAAATTATCTAAAACGAAATAAGTGATGAATTACCAATTGTAGTATGGTACACTGTTTATAATCTTTGGTGATTGCCTAACAACTCCTGGTGACCTCACTTTGTTGAGTTTCTTGCTGTATTTTTCCGCTTTTTGTTGATCAATTGACTTCTGGGGGGTGAGAACGACGTGCAGTCTGGAATGAGGGTGCTCCTTTATACCAGTTCTCATCCTACCCTTGATATCCATTCTTTTGTGTGGTGTACCTCTATTAACATACGCTTCCTTGACGATGAGAGAAGATCTATCGAGACCCTTTGCGACGGCGTGATCCCTAGCCAAGGCAAGCGTGCTCTTGATTCTATTCGATGCTCTCTTCTCAGAGAACTGCATTTGCAAGATAGCGCTATCGACCGGTTTGCTAGCGATCTGACTAGCGAGGTCATTCAACTTCTTATGGGAAATTTTGAACCATGCGGTTGAGTATTTGTGCTGCTTATATTCTTTCTCTATAATTGGTTTATTTATGCTCGCTGGCTCTATCAGCGTCTTCTCTTCTGGCTGTTTCTCAGCTTTCTCGTTCAAAACTGGCTGGGCTTCTAGTTGCTTAGAGAACTTCTGAAGCTGCTGACTGAACCATGGTAGTTTGAATTGATTTAAGCTTGACTTGCTACTAAACGTTCTCTTGAAAATCGTCGACATGGACGTTCAACTCGAACCGTCATGGCACTCTCAATTGGGAATATTTTGTATATTTCCTTGTTATTAACAAACTCTGTCGCTATTTTAAATGAAGAAAGGTTTCTAGCAAAGAGTGGGTGTTTTACTAGCACTTTATTAGCTCCTCATCCTATTAGTCGGCTGGACACAGTCTAACAATCTATACCAAGAGCAGACGGTTAAAACACGTCTGATTAATTTGATATCCGCTGTTAGAACACTTATGAGATGTGAGTCACACGAGAGATATAGCAGACGTTCTGACACATAAGCAGTCCCACTTATAATTTTAAACATTATTGTAATCGTATATGAATTGTTGTTTGGATAACCGCAACTCGCAGTAGCTACATGTCTCCTATAGCCAGAAAATGTCGGGAAGGACAATGACCCAATAGCCTACAAATACAAAGCAAAGGGAGATAACCTAACCTATTTCGCTCTCATTCGATGATTTTATGCCGTCTATCATTCATTTTCTAGAGGCGATATTTAGCTCATCAAAGTTCTGAATAAGAAGAGCCTTTTTCGCTAGATTTTGGTTAAATATATTTGAAAATTTTTACTTATTCATCGTTTTTTATTGTTTGCACAACTTATTTGGTAGCCGATCATTCAGTACATTCGTCTGTCAATCACCTTCAAATCCCGGCGATCTACGTAATTCAAACTCTATTCACGCACCGGGGCGCATAAAATATAATACAAAACCCCTTTAATAGCTTCTTGGCAAGATTTCAGAGTTTGTCACTTGGCCTTCTGACAAAATCGACGCGACTGTCTTTTGCTTGTCTCTACCTTGTTTCACGCCACCACGATGTTTATAGCGCTATACACGGCTATCCTACTATCATGCTTAGCAATAGCTGAGGTGATAACTCCTCCACAGGAGGTTATCATAGGTGTACCACCTAGCATTCCCTTCAGTGCGTCTATCCTCATATAAAAGACTCTTCCTAACAAATCCCCTACAGACGCTCCTTTCGAATGGGGATACACTCTAAATCAGTCGGACAGCAATCTCGTTAGGTTCGACTACACACTCGCTAGACTGATCGCCCCATCTGGGGAATCGCCATCACAACAACCAAACGGCACGCTCGCACGTCTTTTTCCGGACGACATAGACACAAAGTCGACACCCTACACTATCGACTTACCCCCTGGAACTCAATCTCGGTCATACCGCTCATCCCAATCAGGTAGACGTTCAGTTGATTTGACAAAACGTTCATCCAGCATCTATTCTATAGACGATAAGGCGGTAAACGACACATCAACGAGATTGTGTCTTGACAATAACAACTTTACTGCACCTTATTACTGGGGTTGGCACAATTCAACCGAGCCGGGTAAATGGACTGTCCAGGTGAGGTCACTAATACTCTATGGTGTGAACGGCTATGAGAGTAGCGATGATGGTAACCAAACCTGCATCAGTCCACCATATACTTTCGAAAGTCTAGATGCCAAGGCAGAATTTTCAGTCAGTACACTCGAGGCGGATGAAATAGAAATGAGTACAACGAGTCTACAAAATGACGAAGAGAGCAAAACCTCTACGTTTACTCCCCAGATTTCCGCTACTGCGACGCGCGTGGAAGCTCAATTCAGTCCTTCACCGACTGGCAACATACTTATATCAGATTCAGACAGAACGATATCCAGAAGCGTAGTAATATATAGTTTGACGACCATTTTTACGTCTTTAGTTTTTGTAATCAGCTAAATGCATATTGATTTAGATTTAATAGGGTGTTTAGAGAGGGCTGAAAAACTTACCCACTGGGTCTTAACTGTGGGTATCAGCGATTTGGTTGCTAATTTTTCAATTCACTCACCCCAATTCTACCTTACGTCACCTTCATCTTCAGAATTTGAAGAACGGCATATTCAGCATCTTTGTCATCTTCATAGCGGATTTCGTCATTGGGCGGTATTTCGTAAGATATTTTTTACTCCTATTAAGCCTCTAATGGCTAGATAAAAAATACTACAAAAGTTGTTTTATCCCTTTACACGCCCCTTGAATGCCCCTTGATGACTTATCTCGATGATCAGATAAAGAATCTCGGATTGGACGACGCAGATGAACGGGAATTGGTAATCGTGTACTCCACGGAGACGGGGAATGCACAGGACATAGCTGAGCGGCTGCACAGAGAAGCCGAACGCTGGCGCTGGATGGTGCATGTCTACGATGTAGAGGATTTTGATGTGGTGGGTATAACACATAGGGCTAAACACTACTAACATCCCTTAAGAACACTCTCCTTAACTCCCCCATCGTCATTTTCGTCGTTTCCACAACCGGGAACGGAGAACACAACAAGTCATTCCGTCCTCTCTGGCGTCTACTACTAAATAGCACGCTTCCGGCTGACCTTTTAGAAGATCTCACTTTCGCTGTATTCGGTCTGGGAGATTCTGGCTATGCGAGGTTCAATTGGGCTGCGAAATCACTCAGCAGACGCTTGCAGAGTTTGGGCGCACAGATGCTTGTCCCGCGCGGAGATGGCGATGAAAGACATTACATGGGCTTCGATGGGGTGTTCCTCCCATGGTCGAAAGGTCTCTTTGAGGCCTTGCAAGTTGTTTGTCCACTCAGAGATGGTTTAGAACGTCTTCCAGATGACTACTTGCCTGCACCGCGAGTGGGATTACGTTTCTTGCCAGGTGAAGAAGCACAAGTGAAGGATGACAAGCCGACAGCTGTTGAAGGTAGCCATCAATGCACACTCAGGCGCAGCGACAGGATAACAAGCGAAGAGTGGTGGCAAGATGTTCGCCACATTATTCTTGACAAACCTCCTTCGCTCACATACGACGCTGGGGATGTTGCAGTTCTCACGCCATCCAACAATCCAGATGCAGTCGACGAGCTCATTCGTTTGCTTAGATGGGAAACCCACGCTGATACACCTCTGAAGCTAACTGGTACTGTCCCACACCGGCTACAAGAATACATCAATCGTCCAACGACAATCCGGTCATTACTCACATACTCTTTATCGCCATTCAGTGTACCCCGTACGACATTTTTTGAATTCCTCGCCCATTTCACTAGCAATAATCTCGAAAAGGACCGCCTGAGGGAATTTCTCAGTGTCGAGGGTGCTGACGATTTGTTCGAATATTGCACACGCGTGCGAAGGACAGCTGCTGAAGTACTGGCTGATTTCAAGAGTGTACGCGTACCTGTGGAATACATTCTCGATGTATTTAGCGTTATGCGCCCTCGTAAATTCAGTATTGCTGGTTTACATCCCACTAAAATTGAGCTTTGCGTCGCACTAGTGAAGTACAAGACGAAATTGGTCAAACCCCGTCAAGGCGTTTGTAGCACATGGATAGAGAGCCTCGCTGAAGGTGCTACCATCGACATATCTGTCGAGGAGGGCACAATTCATGCGCCGAAGGACCCCAACAAGCCACTTCTGCTCGTCGGTCCAGGTACTGGCGTAGCACCTATGCGTGCACTAGTACAGAAAAGAAAAGCTATGGGCGCATCCCACACAGCACTCTACTTTGGATGCAGAATGTCAGCCATGGATGAGCTCTACGCTGAGGAATTCAACAAGAGCGACGAACTGGTCTATAAAATTGCACACAGTCGTGACGACAAAGAGGGAAATAAAGAATATGTACAGCATATCCTTCAGAAAGATGGTAAGAGGGTGTATAATTGGCTCATCGAACGTGCCGGATACCTTTTTATAAGTGGTAGTTCAGGCCAGATGCCGAAAGCTGTTAAGAAGGCCATTGGATCAATCATAGAGCGTTTAGAGAATATACCAAATGAGACAGCAATGCATACAGTTGAGCAACTCGAAAAACAGGGCAGAATCGTAGAAGAATGCTGGTAACTTTATAGAAAATGTATAAAATAATTATAATGCAATGCATAATGTACAAACAAAGGATGTTACAGTGATTCCCTCAAACTGGATGGTTGGAATGGAGCATGTGAGTGTGTCTGTAAGCTTCCAGTGAATTTCTGCAGCGTCTTGGCTGGAAAGACGCTATTGCAAGTTGAACATCGCTGTGGTGGCTGGCAGAAGACTAAAATTGGTGAGTAAAATCAAATGTTAAAGTATACGATACGACGTACTACTAAGACAGACGGAGCATATGTAAGCAATGTCTACTATGCGTTTGTGGCAGAAGCAGGCGGCCCGGAAGTCAACCTTATCGGAGCGAGGCTGGACTAAGCGAGCTCTGAGCGGCTGAGACGGAAGGAAAGCCATAATGAGGTACTGCACCAGGCTTTCTGGGTCTGTGGCTTGTATGAAGTTGCCTCCAGTCAGGTGCGCGGCCTGCTGTAGGAAAATAGTGTTGCAGTTGTATATTTGTACTACGTCTATGACAATTTTGCTTTTCTGGGCTGCGAAGATGCTGTTCATCAAGCTGACGTACTCTGGAGGTACGTCGTCTGATGCCGCAACGACGAGAATCCGGAAAGTCGACTTTGACTCTTGTACGATTTTCCTATTTACGTGGCAGAGAGACTGAGCGAGTGTGCTGGCAAGCGTACTCGAGGCAGTACTAACATCATTCCTGCATCCAACGTAATAGTTATTGACGTATCGTATAAAGCGCTCGCTGATATCCCCAAAGCCGATATCATCCTCCTGGGTATCTAACAAAATGCTAGTGTTGATGTGTATAGACGCGCTATTTAGGTCAGAATTAGACAAATGGGCATTGATAAAAACTAAAAGCTGCTTTATAACGTTCAAATTTAGATTTTTATTTTTTATATCTGCCACCAAACTCAGATGGTTAGCTGACATGACAGTAGCTTTCTAAGTTATACGTCGATGAGAGTGTCTATCATTTTACTCGCGATAGTCGCTAGCGTCTACGCAGCTATTCTAAGCTTAGACCTCGGTAGCGACTCTATTAAAATTGGCCTCATCGGTTCCGGAAATCTCGATGTTGTGCTGGATAAGGACAGCTCACGGAAGTTGCAATCCACCGTCGGATTTAAGAATACAGAGAGGCTCTTCGGTAAACAAGCTTTGCAGAATAGTAATAGAAACCCTGAAAGCAGCTTCTCTAACCTCAAACTGCTTCTCGGGAAGTCAGAGCATTCTGACTCCTTTTCTCGCTGGAACAGCATATGGAGCGCCGCAAAATGGTCACCAACTGATAGAGGTACTCTGGCTCTACACACACCTACAGACAGCTTCACTGTCGAAGAACTACTCGCGATGCAGTTTCAATATGCCAAGCAACTTGCCGAAAATGAAGCAGGAGAAGCTATCAAGGATGTAGTATTAGCTGTGAGTTCTTTGTTCACGTATTTACGCGCGTCTAAACTACCTTAGCTCCCACCTTACTATTCCAGCTACGAACGTCAAGCAATTCTCGACGCTGTCAACCTCTCGTCATTACAACCAATTGCTCTCATCAACGATGGTACTGCCGTAGCAGTAAATTACGCGATGACACGCGCTTTCGATGCCACTCCTTCGAGCTATATTATCTATGACGCAGGTGCATCCTCGTTATCGGCAACTTTGTTAGAGATTAGCTCAGTAGCACCACCAAAGAAGCGCTTTGGCAACAACCAGAATACAACAGTTATTAACGTCATCGGTACTGCCTACGATAGTGGTGTCGGTGGTGTAGACCTCGACCACCGTCTTCGTGAAATTCTCGCAAACGCATTCGAAAAACAACACAAGTTGGATAAATCGTGGAGAGAGAACAAGCGTGCATGGAACAAGTTACTCGTTGAAGCTGGTCGTGTGAAGCACATTCTCAGCGCTAACACTGAAGCACAATCTACGATTGAGGGTCTTCATGATGAGTTAGACTTCAAAACCAAAGTTAGCAGGGATGAATTTAAGGCAGCTATAAGCGAATACGAACACAGATGGTCAGCCCCAATCGGTGAGGTTCTCAAGAAGACAGGACGGGATATCAACTCCGTCAACTCGGTCATTCTCACCGGAGGTGCTTCCCGCATTCCAGTCATTCAATCCCATGTCAGAAGTGACGTTGGTGATGAAAAGATCAGCACTTCGGTTAATGCTGACGAGAGTGCCGTCCTCGGTGCCGCATTCTACGGTGCGACATTCAGCAAGTCTTTCCGCACCAAACCGTTTGTTGTTAATGATGCTAGTGACTTCTCAATGGAGGCTCTCGAAAATGGCTCCACTACACCTTTATGGATTGAAGGTGATTCCTTGCCAGTTAATAAAACACTCGTTTTGCCTCCAAAAGACACAGAGGTTATTGTGCAATACACAGCAAATTCTGTACCAGCGTGAGTATCAGTTTTCTTTATTTGCTTAGACTAACCATCCTAGTGACCAAAAAGCACCATATATGCAACTCACATTGAAAGGTGTCGAAGAAGCTCTTCAGGATATCAACTTGAGTTACGACGAAGCAATCGCATCTCAAGTCAGAGCTGAATTGACAGTTGAACAAACTGCGTTTTCGTTGGTATTCCCAGTCGGTGCAGACTTGGTCGTACCTGCTCCAGCTTCGAGCGAGGGTTTGACCGGTAAGTTGAAGGAGTGGTTCAGCGGTAACGCAAATGCAACAACAGAGCAAGCTTCACCACCAGAAGAGAAGAGAATCAAACTCGATATTAGTAGCTTGCCAGTCTCACTCCACCCAATGACAGTCGACGCGAAAGGTGCATCAATTGAAAAGCTTACAAAGTTGAACTATGCAGAAAAATTGAAAGCACTCCGTGAAGAATCCTTCAATGGTTTAGAGAGTAGATTATATGTCTTGAAAGACGTTCTCGCGAATGATGAGGAGAAATTTGGTGCATTCCACAATGTTACACAAGCGCATGAATTGGAGGAACTCAAAAAAGCTCACAGTGAAGCTCTCGAATGGGTAGATAGCGAGGGATGGTCAGCCACTCTCGAGCAAATCCAAGAAGTCGCCAGCAAGATATCATCTCTCGAAACCCCAATCAAGGAGCGTCTGAAGAAGCAACAAGTGAAGGCAGCTGCTTTGGGAGATTTGCAAAAGGCTTTGTTTGCTGGAAGGACCTTCCTCCAACAGGCACGCAAAAACCTCACGACGACTGATGAGTCGAGGTACACATTCAAGGAGATTGATGACTTCGAAGCACACCTCTTCAAGACAGAAAACTGGCTGAGACCATTAATGCGCAAAGATGAGGCTGCAAAGCCATGGGAGGAGGGTGCGTATAATGCGTCTGAGCTCGAAAAGGCAGGAAGAAGCGTGCAGGATATCTTTATGGAATTGACAAACAGAAAGCCAGCGAAGAAGACGTCGACTGAGAGTGCAAGCTCGACGCCAACTTCCAGCGCGACCGAAAAGTCCACCACATCGGAAAGTGCGACAAGCAGCTCGACCGAAGAAGAAAAAACAAGCACGAAGGAGGCAGAGAAGGGTGAAGAAACACATGATAAGCACAGACATGAAGAACTTTGATCTAATATATATATATATGCATTATTTAATTAAACGTCGGAATGTTGTTCATATGATAGCGACTGTGGAGATTAACGGAAAGAGGCGTGAAAGGGTAAAAAGAAGATATGTGTATAAAAATGCGATAAATACTAATATAATCGCGGTATATTAGAAAATCCGGTTTGTTTGGGGCACGTGTGATGTTATAGAAACCGCTGGATTTTAAATTGACTTTCAGTGGGGAGTAATTATTTCTTGAACTTAAACAACGAAAACGAAAAATGTCATTAGTAGGTTTTTCTAGTATTTTTGTAGAAGACTCTCTAAGAATTCACTTCAGATTAAAGCAGCAATTTGCGGTGCCGGTGGTGGTATTGGACAACCACTCTCACTCTTAACCGGTAAGCTATAAGTTCACTAGGATATCCAATTGACTCTCTACAGCTCAAAACCCACACATTGGTGAAGTCGCTCTCTTCGATGTCGCACCATCCGTCTACGGTGTCGGTATAATTATAACATAACAGCACTCTACTAACAGACTAACAGGTAGCAGCTGACTTGTCACACTTGGACGGTACAGCCGTCGTAAACGGATACACCAAGGACAACGATGGTTTGAAGCAAGCACTCACTGGTGCAAAGATCGTCATCATCCCAGCCGGTGTACCACGTAAGCCAGGTATGACCAGAGACGACTTGTTCAAGATCAACGCATCCATCTGTCGTGACCTCGCTACTGGTATCGCTGATTACGCTCCTGACGCAATCATCGGTGTTGTCTCAAACCCAGTAAACTCTACCGTTCCTGTCTTCGTTGAGACATTAAAGTCTAAGGGTGTCTTCGATCCAAAGAAGGTCTTCGGTGTTACTACCCTCGATATCGTTAGAGCTAGCAAGTTCGTCGCTGAAGTCGTTGGAAAGCCAAACCAAGCTCCTCAATACAAGATTCCAGTCGTTGGTGGTCACTCAGGAAAGACTATTATACCACTCATCAGTCAATCTAAGCCAGCTGTAGACATTCAAGGTGAGACTCTCGACAAGCTCATCAACAGAATTCAGTTCGGTGGTGATGAAGTTGTCAAGGCAAAGGATGGTGCTGGTTCAGCTACCCTCTCAATGGCCTACGCAGGTGCTAAATTCCTCAATGCCGTCCTTGACGCTGTCTACGGTGGTAAACCATCTGTCATCCAATCATACGTTTACCTCCCTGAATTACAAGGTGGTGACTCTATCAAGAATGAAATCGGCAAGGAATTGGCTTACTTCTCTGTCTCTGTTCAACTTGGTAAGCAAGGTATCGAAAAGGTTCTCCCACTTGGTCAACTCAACGACTACGAGAAGCGTCTCCTCCAAGACGCTCTCCCAGAATTAGACCAATCTATCGTTAAGGGTGTTGGTTTCGGAAAGAGCCAATTGTAAATTTAAATGTGTAAACGATGTTACGAAGTATTAGCATGAATGTTACTTTCAGTGATAATGTTTTTAATGTACAAATTCAGAACGCTCTACCTAGTGTATATTAAGGTATCTCTACAAACGTTCAAAATCCATGTGATTCTACTTGATAGCTTTTGAAATCTCTACTATTATTATCATTCTTCTCACTTATCAAGTGTCTCTCTACGAATGGGTTTATAAACATTCCCTCTTCGTCATATGTCTTTATCACATCCAAGTATTTATTCAAGAGAGGGTATTTTTCACCAACTTCCTGAGGTGTCTGTGTTGAATGCTTCGCCCAATGAGCTCTACCGTTGTATTTTCTAAGTATATCTTCAAACTTTCTAAACGTTTTCCTATATCTCACTTTACAATTGTATGGTTTGTACTTTATCACACCAATCCATAGGTAGTGAGACTCTTGACCGTATGGTGTGATTTTGTTCGCAGGTGATAAGAATATATCATCAGATTTTGCGACACGTATTTCCAAAGGGAAATCAACATCATTCTCATATTTGAGCCATTCGTTGAGTTCCAAAAGACATTTATATCCTTTACTTAAAGGCACGGACCATTCTGTTGTATATTGTAATAATCCGCAATCCATGTTGAACACATTGAAACTTTTGTCAACCCTCTGCGAGTAACTTCCGAAAAGGTATCTCCAAGCGAGATTGCTTATAAGTGGGGCGATCATTGGTATGTATTTCTTAACTAAAAGGAGTGGTTGGAGCACCAAACTGAATAGAAAGCCACCGAGAGTATTCCCAGTTGAGAAGACATCTGAGAATGATTTGTATGATTGAGATAATGATATACCGTTAGCTTGTGGAACCCAGAATGCTTTCACAAATGGTGCTGTATACCATCTTTCTAACCATTCAGCTTCACTGCTCATGTAATCATCGAAACTGAGCGGCATGACAATCTCGTGCAAGTTGAATTTCTCATCAACTGATAGTGTAATTGTTAGGATAACACCTGTAGCACCTAAAGAGCATAAAGTTGCGTTGAATAGATCATTATGTGATGTATCTGAACATTCAACGATATCACCATTAGATAACAATAAACTGAGTGACCGGACATAACTGGACATGGATCGGTATTGTATTCCCGAACCGTGTGTGGCAGTTGCGAGGCAACCTGCTATAGTTTGATCTGATATAGATCCTAAAATTGGCATTGCTAGGTTATTTTCCTCAAGTTTCTCGTTTATTTCTCTCAGAAGTGTACCAGAATAAACAGTTACTTGACGGTTAGTGGTGTCTACCTATGAAAACGTTAAAAGGTGTATATTAGTTTATATAAATCTGTCATACATTGATAACACCAGCTAGTTTATGCATCCTTATCATCCACTCATCCGAACAACTCAGATCGCTGGGAGAGTGCCAAACACCGACTGGTTTGACTCTGATTTGTTGTCTAAACGCTGCTTCTATAATGTATTCTACGTCTTCTATAATATTCGGTTGAAATATTCGTTGAGGTGTCGCCACAAAGGTCTTAGCCCAGTTTTCTATTGAACCATTAGAAATTGATAATCCGTCGATCCTATTGTTTAGTTCTTCTACTGGAATATTAGACAACCTTCCCATTCTTCTATAATAGCAGCTAAGAAAGAAGAGAAGACAAAAATGTGAAATAAAATATTATATTGCGTGATTGCTAATAAGCTGCATTGCTTTTATAGTAATATATATAATGAAATAATTCATGCGTTTCTCTCTATTCAAATGTCATCATGCGTGAGTGAATTAGAATGTCTTATCTGTACGTAATTTGAGCATCTTACCAGCGAAACATAAAAACAAAGAAAACACAAGGAAGTTGTCTCCTTATAATTTATTCCTAAAGATAGTACTAGCAGAGTTGAAGCAATCTCATGGATATATCAGCTATGGACATAGGTTTAAAGCAGCTGCGCGTTCTTGGACAACGAGATTGCAATTGACTCAAAGGGAGTATGGTGAGAACGTGAAAGTACGTAAAGACATTCTCCAAACTAAGGCATTCGAGAATGCGCAGAGGGATTTGAATGATATTCTATATGAATTAAGACAATCAATTGAAATTTCCGCACAGCTAGAAGAACAAGCTGGCGATAATTTTGACATTGACGTGCCAAGAGCTAACAGTGATTACAATAGACACATGCAAACTACCCTAGCGAAGCTGAAAGATGAACAGCCTGATACACCATACCAGGCGAGGTTCAAATACGCGGCCTCACTCTGGCAGGACAAGAAGAAGGTCCACAAAAAGGCGGTCAAAGATGCGAGACCATTATACACTAATGAGGCAATAGCTAATAAACCAACAGACGAAGATTTATTGTTGGAAAATCAACAACCATCGTCTTCTACCCACGAAGGAAGATTACCGATGAGTTATTTCACAAATGACATCCTAAATGATGATATTTTCAATGGCATAGCAGATAATATATCTATACCGACAGTAAATTATTTTGATACCAACTTTAATGAATTTTTCTAAGACAAACGCGTCTTATCAATATCTAAATGAGAGTAAAAATAAACGAATGGCGTACATTCAGTCATTGGAAGTGGGATGGCTGTGACGTTGAAGACTTATGTGGTATTTGCCAGAACTACTTAGATAATAGCTGTCCAAATTGCAGTCTACCCGGTGATGACTGTCCATTGAGTTAGTAGGAGTTATAGGAGATCTATTGAGATAAACTAACAATAAGTTAGTATGGGGAAAGTGTAATCATACCTTCCACATGCATTGTATACTCAAATGGCTCTCCTTGGAGTCCTCAAAAGGACAGTGTCCTATGGATAGACAGCAATGGGGTAGGTAATACTAACTTTACACTACAAACTTTAATATCTTCTGTAGAAACTCAATGAAGATCTACTATACCATCTTGTGCACCAACCGCCATCATGTCGACGACGACGACGACGTCAGACGATAAATCTTTTAAATCTGCTAAATCTACGTATAATAATTATTTATTAAATTTTAATTTTAATTCAAAATATGTCAAAACGTCGGTAGAAGAGCTCGTTGACATCCCCACATTATCAAAATCTATAGAGAAGAGCGTAGAGAAGAGAAGATTGCGTAATTTAAACCGCAAAAATCATAATAAAGGCGCTATTGAATTCCGTAACTTGGATAGTCCGTTATCTTCGAGCTTGGAATCTGAGAAACTTATACCTATACATACCAGACAACGTACTCAATCAGATAGTGTATCTAATAACAGCTTAATATACAAATTAAACCATATCAAACCTATATCAACTGAAGACTTGATGTTTAGAATCAAGCCAAAGTCAGTATCAACAGATGACATTATATACTCCAGTTTGAAGTCTGAATCAGTCGATGTTAAAGACAACAATAGCGTCGACTTCAGACATGATATACTTTACAAAGCTATCAACGCAAGTTTCGGTGATGAGAACACGCCAACCAATAAATCCAAGTCAAACTTCCTCAACACTGATCCATTTAATGGTAATAGCAGTAGTTCTAGGTGTGTTTTGACACTATTATTTGGTTACAGCCCACTTACTCTCTTTAGACATCGTCATGCAAGTACTACAAGTACGAGAACACCACAGATGACACGCAGGAAAAGCTCTCTCTCATTATCTAGGCCGAAACCGACCATTTCAGTTGACGTTAATCACGTTAACCATATAGATTTCCCTATTGGAACAGGGTCAGCTGTGGACGTAAAGCCAATAACATTAAACCCATTACCTGTATCAAATAACACAACGGCATACCAAAAACGTACTTCAACAATACGTAAATCACTTTCAACACCACTTCTATCCGAGCAAGATAACAATGTCTTGGAGTCACCACCACTACCTATACTATCTAGACAACTCTCAAAGAAGACGAGTCATTCTTCAATACCAAATTTGAAATCTTCAACTATAGAAAGACGGAATAAACCACCCGCTTTAGAATTATACCAATCTACACATAAAGAAGTTGACAATAAATTGAAAGGTCGTCAAGAGCATCATCGTCAGGATTACAATCTACTCTCACCAGATACTAATAAATCGACTCATAATTCGTCTGCAACTCAAGGTCAAATGCAGTTGTCGCAAGGTATGAATTCAAATTCATGGGCGACTGGTATATCATCGGAAACTTATTTCGCCAGACCATCACAAGCGAATCAAATCATGAATGGTTTACGCAATAAACTGTCAAACCTTCCAAAATTAACCAGAATGAGAGCTGAAACTTTGCCATCACCTAGCCCGACGACACCGAATAGCTTTGATCCAGTTTACGCCAATGGCGTTGGTGTAGCTGTATATGGTTACGGTGGTGGATTTGGTAATGGTGGCTATGGATATAACAAATCAGCTGGCGGAAGCTCAAAGTCTCCTAATAGACTCAAACAGCGACCATCTTCTTCACCTACTTTCCCAACTAATAGCAATAGCAGTTATTCAGTTGCGAGACTGAAAGGTATGTTAGAACAACATGTCGCACAGGAAAGGAATATGTGGCATACAATAGCATCAAACACGACAACTAATTAATTTTTTTTTTTCTTTTTTGTTTCAACTAATAGGATATCTAATACTTTGTACATCAAAATCATTTTATTACAACATTTTTAACCTTGTAATCTCTAACTTTTGATAAAATTGGATCACTGAATGAAGGGGAATTTTCGATAATTAGGGTTTTTAATCTGGGTAAATTGGACAAAAATAATGTAACAATAAAATCTTCGTCCGTGTTTTGACAATTTGAGATACTTAAATGGGTAACTTTCGATAGAAATATATAGTTCTCTTTGTGAAATTGAAAAATTGAATCTTTTATTGAAATACTATCAAGCTGTTCAGTTTTTGACATTTTAAAGAACAGATCTAGATTAACCACATTCGTGAACTCAAGTTGTGTTAATTTTGGTAGAATTAATTTACTTTTTAAATAACGATTCTCATCAAAGTACTTAATAACGAGGCTGTCCATAAAGAAGTTACTATTATCCATCTTTAGGTGCACCAACTGAGGACAGTTTACTAGAAAACTCAATGACATCTCCGATCTATCTGAGAATTGTGAAGATTTTCCATCAACATCAAAACCATGTAAGTCTATAGATTTAGCGAAAGATGAAACCAAGCATTCAGGATCACCTTTCAATCTCCAATTTTTGAGTATTAAATTCCCTTCGAATAAACTCAAATGACTAATTTCTGTTTCACGTTTACCGACGATTTTAGAATAATTGTTAAGTATTAAATCCTTAGCGTTCAAATTCAGAACACTTTCAGTTATCGTCATTAAAAATCCTTTCTTTTCGCTGTTAAATGGACCACCGTGGTAATTTACTACTACAGTTTCGAACGGTTTTGATTGATTTTTATCTATAGCATTAAAGAAGAAATCCCGGAGAAAATTCCGATTGTATTGATGTACATCAATCTCAATTGATCTTATGTATGCACATCTCTCTATATGACGGCTTAGCCGCCGTTTTATTATTTCCATCTGAGTCTCTGTGTAATTTGCAGTTAAGAAATCTCTATCTGATAGACTAAACTTGTTCTTATATACGTAATTTGTTGAAATCGCGATGAACCACGCTTTATTGACTAATCGAAGCTCTTTTGCACTAAGAACTCCTCTCTCATCGTGACAAAGGTGGTCGAATAGTAGTTCTATTATCTCATTGGGTAGTATGCTCAGTGGATCCTTGTATGGTCTATATAGTATAGGAACCTAATAGAGGTTAAGCAGTGTCTATGGAAAACGCCACGACCAACATCATAATTGTCTATATTTAAAATTCCGTCATTTACTAGTTTTCGTGTACTACTCCGCGTTCTCATCCGCTAATTTATCGCGATAAGAGAGAATAATGTGGGTCTAAATGACTAAATGACTAAATTTCGATAAAAAAAAAATTAATTAGAAGTTTAGATATGCTAATTAGATAGTAAGTTTATAATTGATTCCTTTTTCCCTTGCTCTCCAACAACGTGCAAAGCTATAGCATCTCTTTCGTAAACTAAACAATATTCTTGCTTGTAATTCATAAAGTGTATTATATACTTGAACACAACGAAGCGTACTCTACCAATGTTCTTACTAAGACCATTCAAGAAATCATTCAATTGTTTGAATCGTATGTCATCCCATACGTTACTTTCGCCCTCGAACACCCTAATCGAGATAACAATATTGATGAGCTTAGGGCAATGTGTTGTCAACATACCCACGAACTCCACCATATGTGTGAAAATTCTAACACCGAGATGTAAACTACGTAAACGTGGCATGTAGGTCAATAGACGCGTAATATCATTTACATAATCGAACTGTATAGCCAATTCCTGGAGATTCCAAAATAAAGGCAATAATTTAAGTGTTCTTTGTATGTATTCAGAGGTTTTTGCTGGACAGTTGTTTCTATTACCCAAAAAGTGTATTCTGATTGACCTATGCTGATGTCTTAACGTTTGTTTATAATGTTATATAACAAACATACTTCGTATAATCTACTTTAGAGGATTCAGCTAGAATTTTAAAGTTATCAAGAAACCTTTTTAGGTTTTGATAATACACCTTTTGTTCATTAATTTTCACTTTCGTTGGCGCATGTGGCCCAACTATAGCATCTCGGTACGCTCTACCTAGAGCCCAAAGCTTTCTGCAAGTTTGTGATAATTCCGGCTCATAAAACATTACTCTGCTGAGAATATCATCAGGCAATTTCATTATACCTACGTTCATTTTGAAAACCTTTATCAAATAATGGTGGACGTCATAACTAAACAAACAAACAATTTTCAAATAAAAAGTATAAAATGAAGAGGTTTACAATTTAATGCCATCCTCCACCTGGATATCCACCGTGGTTGCCTGGATATCCATGATGGCCACCATATGGAGGCTGTTGAGGGTATCCACCATATGGGGATTGCATTGGAGGTGGTGGGCTATACATACCAGGACCAGGGCCACTTCCATAGCCAGTGCCAGGCATTTGTGCACTTGGCATTCCATATGGCATCGGAGGAGCATATCCACCTGGACCAGGGCCAGGACCACCAAAACCTGGACTAGGAATTGATGCAGTTTCTGGGTATGGTCTGTAAGGCGTGTGGCGACCAGGTGGTGTTGGTGGCTTGGATACTTGTCTGCCGTAACCACCAGCTACATCGGCCATAGGAAATCCTGGTCCGCCAGAGTGGGACTGGTATGGTGAGTGTGAAGGTGGTGCATGTGAAGGTGTATGACTTTGGTATGGAGAATGCGAAGACGCATGTGATTGATGTGACTGGTATGGAGAATGTGAAGGTGGTGCATGAGAAGGCGCATGAGATTGATATGGCGAATGTGATGCTTGGCTTTGCGGTGGTCGACTATGCATTGGCGACGGAGGTGGCCTAGAATCAATATCACTCTTTTTGTTCCCTCCTAGTCCTAAGTTAGCCATCGAGTCCATGATAGATGACTTTCCAGTGTCATCTTGGCGTGCATTAGTGTTATCTAAACCCCATAATCCGCCGCTGGTTAATGCATTCACACCTTGCTGACCTTCAAGTGTGGGGTCATTAACGGTATGGACATGTGAGTGCACCTTGTTGGATTGCTTTCTACAGGACTCCTTAGACAATCCATGTTCTATTTGATCAATTTTTGGACCTTGTGCCTTGACCCACTATTTAAGGTGTCAGAAATATCATTAACTCGCTTGTCACTAACCTTTCTCATGAATTCACCCATTTCAGTTTGAATTTTGCTGCGACCCTCATCGGCAAAGTACGGATGATGGATACATTGAAGTATATCATCAATAATCCTATCTGGATTGTCGTTATTGCCCCATGCCTCTACAATGAGTTTGGTGGAGTGCACAAGGATAATTCTAGCAAGATTACCACAAGGATTGTTAAGCAAATGATCGAAATGATCTTTTGAAAGACCACTATGAGTAGGATCTGAGCAATTTGGATCATTGTATACTTCCAATTGATCTTGTCTTGTGAGGATTTCTTTTGAACCCTTACCGATTGTCTCCTTTGCTTGCATAACCAATGGAGCCATAAATGGTTCTAAAGTAGAGTAAATGAAGACAGCGACTGAGTTGGAAATCTTCTCCACTAACGCATTCAACCCAGGTATTTTGTCAATTGTTGCCTCAATTGTTTTTGAGATTCTGTCACGGAATGAAAGGATCTTCCAAAGTGTTGCATGTAACTCCTGTGGGGACATTTGTTCAGGTGCGCGAGAAGATGATCTCAAATGGCTAAGATCTTCAAAATCCCTATTAAGAGAACCAGATCCATTTCCACCACCTAAAGATCTGCTCTTTGGGAGCTTTGAAGTGTATCCATCGAGTTGGAATATCAAATCACGAAGATTGTCGATCGCTGAATTGCCACCACCTCCCGGACCTTCACGTGACTTTGCTGTTGCACGCTTGACCTCATCATTGAGATCGTTTACTGAGGCAGAGGAAAGGTGATCACCAGCTTCACCGAGGACACTAGCCATGAAATCCATACCACCAAAGGATCCTGTGACAATAGGTGGAACGTGCTCGCCATTTGGAGCGCGTATTCTAACGTTATCACCAACGTGGGGGAACACATTTCTATGTCCAAGCTTGTAGAGGTATACTTCAGCGAAGTTAGAGTGCGCTGGGAAATCCTCTAAGGTGTGCATAGCACAGCCAAGCAATCTAAGAGCTTCGTGCTCGTCCGAACTATTCTTTGAACTTTTGTATCTTCTACCATATTCAATACATTCACGAATACGACGACGGACTAACGCCGTTGAAGTTTCGCAGACGCGCTCGTTTGCGATATAATTCTTCATTCCAGTATGTGGGTCGATATCTAATTCATGAGGGTCTACGGGTGGACGAAGTCTGCGATCATATCGCCTTGCATCCTCGCCTTCTGCGTATCCCTTTGGGTTGTCGATGTGCTCTGTAGGGAGATAAACACCAATCCTTTCTTCTGTGACTTCGAACTCGTCGGTTGCATAACCGAATGCAAGGAAAGACAAAACCATAACGACATTGAGGATTGTTTGTTTGTCTACTTTAGAGAGTGCAGCGGTATCGAATGCTTGTGAGTAATCACGTAACTTAGAACTGTGTTAGAAGATATATCTAGAAATCCTTATTAACTAACCCAATTCTAAGTAGTTTATCAGAAACAACGTCAGAGAAGACATTAGAACTCACACCACTATATCAATTATTAAGAAAGAGCACTAGGAAATTACTATAGTACCCACAAATAAACCCTTTTAATATCTAAAGACGAGAATTTAGACCTCGTGACAGCCGCTAGCAATCCACCGCCAGCTTTCTTGTAGAGGTCTCCGATGGAATCCGTGATATCACCTTTAAGGGTTTAATTCTGTGTTTACTGCCAAGTAGAATAGCTTACCATGTCTAAAAGCTTTTCCTTCTACGTTAGCATAGGATGGGCTACAGGTCTCGTGAGATATTTTCAAGCTGTACAAGATATACGGACATATTACCAGCACCAAATGCTTGTACGGAAGGTGCGATTAGCATCAATATTAAAATTATTAGAATTGCGTATTTAGATATCATGTTCAAATGATAAGGAATGATTGAGGCGATGAGGCCAAGACGTGAAAGTGAAAATTGTCAATAAAAAGTAGTCTAATTGGTTAATATAAAGTATTTAAGAACTTCATAATATATTGATTATACTTCCCATCACAGAATTAACCAGAGAATTGTCATTGTGCGCTGAAAAATGAGACAAACAAACGGCGTGGGGAGACACTTTATCTTTACAAGTATCAGCACAATAATTGAGCGTTAAAATCAAATTCGAAGTTACATTCATTATTAATTCACTGTTAGAGTGCCTTCTTGAAGAAATCTGTCAGACGCTCGTATGCTTCCTTGTAAATTTCTTTAGCCTCTTCGTCTTTGAGGTTTGCTAAGTGTTTGTGTTAGATTAAAACATTGGTACATTTTCGTTACTTACATCTTGCTGCAGCGAAGCCGTGAATTGACTTCTCGGATTTGAAATGTTGATATGCGTTCTTCTCTTTAAATTCATTGGAGCTTAGAATTTTGATGACCTTGTCAACCTCTGCACCGTCTTCATCTTTAGATGGGAAGAAACCAATTGGTGTTTTCACTTTTTCAACTACTCCGGCATCAAGCATAGCTGGATGAAGTACAGCAACAGCGTCAAATAGTTTGATATCCTGAGTAGATGCATTCAAAGCAATAGCTGCACCCCAACAATATCCAACAAGTCCCAATTTGCTGTGCTTCTGGCGTAATTCGTTTGAAAGATTAAGCAACTCTGGGATACGAGCTGATGGGGATGCGATAGTAGCAAAGAAATCACCCAATTCTTTCTTATCTTTATCGTTGCTTGGTGGGAATTTCTCGAGTGGGAATGGTTTGCCTGAATGTCTGTGAGATCGTTCAACTTAAACAAAGGAAGACATACCTCGGAAGAAATCAGGAAGAACAACACGGTAGCCCTTATCAGCCAGAATATCGGCGCCTTGAAGAGTTTGGTTAAAATAACCAAAGATATCGTAGATGCCCAGAAGGACCGTGTGAGCATCAGAAGGACCTGTTACGTAAGCCTTTTCAAAATGGCCAACTTTCTCATATGTTCCTTTTGGTTTGTAGTTTGTTTGATCAATAACTGGTGGGATAGAACAGCAGGCAGATGACATAGTGATGGTTGTCGTTTCCAGAGAAGGTGAGTGGATAACTCAAGAGAAGATGTCGTCATCGACGGGTTTCAGAATAACTGAGACAGTCTATAGTTCGATGAATAGATACCTCAGAAATAAGGGATAATAATTTGTGGGTATTGGAGCAGCCGAGTAATGGATATACTACAATTGTGCTAGATAAGATGTTAGAATCTCGGTTACAATTGAGAATTTAGTTTATTTTTTTCGTATTTATAAATAGAACAAAAATTCTTTATCAAATAATTTGTTTAATTTACATTCCTTTGCTGAATAAGGTTTGCGCTTTAGCTCCCAATTCATTTACGCGAACTTTAAGAAAAACCAAAACATGTCGGCAATTGAGAGGCTTTCTGTACCACAGCAGAAGCTGCACAAGCATGACAGCTCTAGCACTCTTAATCTTCCTCTCCATGACTCAGTCGAAGTCCAAGAGGGTGAATTCCATGAGCCAACTCAGGAGGAAGGCAGCAAATCTAATCTAATAGTAGATACTACCGAGGCTAATAGAGCGTATACTGCTTCCCCTAGTGGTACATACCCTGAAAGAAGAGGTTCAAATATGGACAGTCCAATTGGAAGAGACGGGAAGGGCGGCGTCGAAGATGTTGGTCTATTTCAAGGACAGTATTATCCTAGCTACATGCATGCTGTGAGAAATACCAAGAAAGGACCTTCTGGACGTACTATCATTCTCTGTCTTGATGGTACTGGCGATCAGTTTGACGGCGATAACTCCAACGTTGTCCGTTTCTTCAGGTGCTTAAAAAAAGATGAGCCGTCTAAGCAGCTTGTTTACTACCAAGCTGGTTTGGGTACTTATGTTCGTTGATATTCTAAGTCAACAAAATGAGACAATTCTGATTTCATGTTTAGGTAACCACACGCTCTGCTAATCCTATTACGACAAAACTCAGTGAGATCGGTGATATGACAATCGGTAGGCTGAAGCATTACCTTTAAATAACATAGTTGACAGAATTGTAGGTTCTGGTTTAGGACATCATATTGTGAGACAATCCATTAAACAAATCACTCATTTAACCGGCAAATTTAGCGCGATGCATATGCATTTTTAATGGAAAACTATACGCAAGGTGACAAAATCTGTATGGTTGGCTTTTCAAGAGGTGCATACAGTGCTCGTGGGTTGGCAGGTATGCTTCAGAAGGTGAGACTACAGTATTTACAAATAAGCCGCTCTAATAAATCCTAGGTTGGTCTTCTTCCAAAAGGTAACCGCGAACAAATCCCATTTGCATACCGGATGTACAAGGACAATTCAGATGATGGATGGAAAATGAGCTCTCTCTTTAAAGAAACATTCTCAATAAAAGTAAATATCCACTGGATAGGTGCATGGGACTCTGTTTCCTCTATTGGTTTCATTCCACGCGATTTACCATTCCACAAATCAAACAACGCCGTCAAGCAATTCTGCCATGCTGTCGCATTAGATGAACACAGAGCTAAGTTTAAGGCTGGGCACTGGGTGCGCTCAGAAGAAATGGAAGTTCGTGAGGGTCTTCTACAACGCCGTAAAGAGAAGCTCAGGCCAACTTTCGGTGATATCAATGAAGTCGAAGAAGAAGATATCGCACATGAAACACACGACACAGAGGAAGATTCAAAGAAAGCTGTCGAGAGAAAGCGCAAAGAAATCATGAAGACTATCAGACAACTTCGTAAACACACCCAAAAATCTAAGGGTGAAGATGATAGCAGTGTCGATGCATTCAACCCTGAAATCCAAGCTCAGTTTGAGATGCTCTTCGAACTCCAAGATAAGGAGGATCTATCAGAAACTAAAGTCAAGGAAGTCTTTTTCATGGGTTGTCATGCAGATGTCGGCGGTGGAGCTGTACCAAATGATACCAGACACTCTTTGGCACGCATTCCTCTCAGATGGATGCTCAGACAGGCTTTCAAGTGTGACACAGGTCTTCTTTTCCAGACTGACTTACTCGACTACTATGGTCTTGATCTCAAGACTCTCTATCCGTTCGTCACTCGTCGCCCACCAGCTGTAGAAAATCCACCAGAGGGCTACCCAGAGCTACCAACTCAGGACAACCCTCGCAGAACATTTTCAGAAGCTCAAGAGGATTACTATGACTCGTAAGTGAACATCAGTGATACAAGGAAGCCCTAACAAAACAATAGGTTATGTCCTCATCACGACTATCTTAATTTATCCAAAGGCTGGTGGATCCTGGAACTCTGGCCTCTTCGTGAGATATACCAAGACGAGAAGGGCAAATACCGTAAGAGACTTGCGCCAAATTTAGGTCACCACAGAACAATCAGAGGCACAAATACCAAATTCCATCGCTCAGTTGCGATTCGCCAGAAGCGTATCGGATATGATATCAAAGCACGCATGGTTGACTCGCCAACATCTCATTGGGTTGGGTAAATACCCTTCGCTGATAATATAATACCACACACGTTGCCGTACACGTTGCTATACAAGTTACAATACTATTCACATAATATACTCGTTCATTTTTGTCACTCATTTAATTTAATTTGACATTTTATTTCGACTTAACGAACACTTTACTTGCCGACAAGGTTGTTATTAGTATGTACATCTATACTACATGAGGTCAGGTCATGTTAAGCTTATCTCCTATCGGAAGTTTTCAGGACTTCCATGTGGATACTTCCGAAAGTACAGAGCAGCGAAAATGACATGTTATAGGCAAGTGCTCGACGGGTGTATATCTATATATTTATTGCATAATTTATACGAAATATTCGTTTTTATGTGGGGGATGAGCTGAGTAACCCAATGCTAATATCAGTATAAATGAAATGCGGACGATCTATATCACCTAATAGATACCTGGCGATTTATTTAGCTAATAGTTGTCTAGATTTCTACAGTTACGCCAAGGCGTAACTAACGATGCTATACTACAATAGCGAGCCATCGAAATTAGATTGATGGAATGTTTAGTAGATACGTAAGCTTGTAAAATTTAAGACATTAAATTAGTCTCTTCCTTTGCATTCAAGCACTGTGGCGATAAAGATGAATATTTTCACGCGATTACCTCAGAATATGGACAAACAACGATAGCGCGATTCCACAGCAAATTAAGAACAATATTAGAGTGTACTCATGTATTTTTAAAATTATCGTTCATTTTTTAATTCAAATGCGTGCGATCATACGCCCCTTAATCCAAAAAGGTGGAGCTGACAGCTGTAACAACTGTACTCTAACAACCAACGGGTTTCATTTTTCTGAAGAAAAATCGCCCAAAATTTCATCAAAGGAGAAACTCAATTATAATATTACCAAAAAAGGCAATCTAGTCCGGCGATTAGCAATTGTTCCTAAAGATTGAGTGATCGTTATATAACTTTTGATAACGAAAGTCTTCTTTATAAAAAACAAGAAAATTACTGGGATGGTACAAATAGATACAGAGACCCAAAATCAATTCTCTAATTCCGATAAAATGGCCCCTTCTGATATAGAGAAAAAAGACATCGAATTGGCTAAGAAGCTATCGGATTCTGATAGTCAATTAGACGACGGTTCAATCAAAGAGAAATCATTGACTTGGCCTCAAGCATCATTCCTACTATTGCTTGAGTATGTTTCATAACTACATCATTTTTCTATTCTAACAAGTCGGAAGGTATATAGTCATAGCATTGCTAGCCCTTCCATCTTCTTGGGCTACACTAGGATACGGTGGTGGTACAATCGCTACTATCGTCTTGGGTATCGTCGCTGGATATACGCAACATGTCTTATGGCGTTTCTGTTTGAAATTCCCAGAAGTGCGGGATATCCTTGATGTAGCAGTTATTTTAGCTGGTGGGGGTACGTTCACATTACATCTTAAAGTAGTATCCTTATCTAATGTCATCATAGGTAAATGGGGGCGCATTGCATGGTTCTGTGCATTCGTTGGATTAGTTCTCAACAATGTCGCTATTATGGGCTTACATGTCGTTCAATTTAGTGTCAGTGTGAACACACTCTCTGAAGGTGCGAAATGCACACAAGTTTTCGCCGTTTGCGGTACACTCCTTATGTTTATTCTCTCTCTCATGAGAGAGCTTAAGCAGATGAGTTTAATGGGAGCTATAGCTTCCAGTACTATGCTTCTCTGTATTGTTTTGGCAATGATTTTCGCTGGCGTACAAGGCTTACCTGCAAACCATTCAGGTGGTCCAATAATCTTGAAACCATGGGATGAAGAAGGTGGCGTTGAAGGTCTGATAGCGGGTAACAACGCGGCTTTAAATATCGCATATACGTACATTGGACACATTTTGATTCCTTCGTTCGTCGCTGACATGAAAAACCCAAAAGATTTCGATAAGGCTATCTATGTTTCCATCATCGCAGAAATTATCTTGTTTAGTTTGGCAGGTGGTATCATTTACTCCCAAATCGGCGCCACGGATATGACAAGTCCGGCATACGGCTCTCTGCAACCACATTTCAAGAAAGCTATTGCGGCCTTTGTTCTGCCAACTGTAGTCATCGTTGGTGGTGTATACTGCTTGGTCACAGCTAAGACAGTATTTGCACGTGTTTTTGATTTCAACTCAGTGCATAGAAGAAGCCACACCGTTAAAGGATGGTCAGCATGGATTGGAATAATCACTGTTTTATGGATTTTGGCTTATATTATCGGACAAGCCATTCCATTCTTCAATGATCTGATTTCTTTGATCAGGTGAGTTAGCAAAATACCGGCGGCGGACTGTCTCAGCTGACTTCTCTCAGTTCGCTATTTGATTCTTGGTTTGGATTTATTTTCTGGGGTGTAGGATATTTCTTCATTTACCGTGGAAAGTCATTTAGCCGATGGGGAATCGTAGAGGGTCCTCTTAATATTCTCATGATCATAGCGGGTTTCGTGTTGCTTGGATTGGGTACATACACCTCAGTTGAATCCATCCGCGAGTCCTATGCATCTGGATCTATAAAATCACCTTTCTCTTGCGTAAATAATGGTTATTAGAGACATTTTCATCTTTTCGTAAACGCGATTAGATATTAGACATTTATTTAATTCGGTACTTTCATATCTAATTTCACTTGTATTTTATTTAATAGACTATCATCACATATCATTTTAAAAAGTCGTTTCTATATGGGTTACAAAATTTTACATAACATACTTGAAATCGTAATGAGCGTCTCCTGTAACGCCTTGCCTGTCCATCTCATCTTTCTCTTCCTCAGTGAGATTGGCCTTTATTTTATTTTGCCTTGACCACCAGGCGAACTCTACGAAATACATAAAGCAAGCCAAGGCCATAAACGCCAGACTAACAGCGTGTCCAACTTTGTTGGTGTTGTATATTTGACCACTAATAATACCGCCTATGTTTCCAATTGATTGGTTCATTCCCATACCTGTACTACGCTTTGTAACACCACTTGAGTTAGAATTCCACATTGTCACTGTTAAAGGTTCAATTTAGTTTGCGTTATAATTGATCACCTACGGTTTAGACCGACCGTTACGTATATACCGGTTCCAACTAAGAAACATGCAAAGTACTCCGCACCAACGACATCAGTTACGCCTAAAAGAATAGCGTATCCAGTGATAGTAATCAAACTTGCAACTACAAGCATCGGAATACGATGGTGGTACCTATCTGCTACCATTGCGCAAGCTACATAGACAATAGCTGCCCATCCGTAATTTGCAGCAGACAAGAGATTAGCTCTTGTCGTATCAAATCCCATACCCTTGATGATCAGAACCAAGAAAACACTGTAACCAAAAAGACATGTATCAGCTCCAAGTTGAGCCAAACATGAGAAGTAAATTGCTGGATCCTTGAACAACTTTTTGACCTCTGTCTTGTAGTCACCCATATGGAGGTATGCTTTCTCTTTCGCTTGACGTACTTTCATCAGGTATTTCTCCCTGTCGTTGAGGTACCAAGCTGTCTCGGGTGACTCGGCCATGATGAAGTAAAGAGCTATACCCCATACCATTGTAATAATTCCTTCAACTACGTAAAGCCACTGCCATCCTACTAATCCGCCAGCGTTCAATTTGAGTAAACCTGACGCAATTAAACCACCAAAAGCAGACGAAATGGCAGCAGCAACGAAGAGCATTGCGGTTCGGAAACTGATTTCGGATCTTCTGTAGAACAGTGTGATGTAAATTGCCAAACATGGAAACAAACCAGCTTCAAATGCACCCAATACTATACGAAGGGCTACTAATGTAGCGAAATTTTTCTGGAATCCACTACCAATGACAACTGCGCCCCAACATACCATAATGGTAGCCATCATAGGTCTGATTGGTATCTTCTTCATTAATGATGACATTGGACTTTCAAGAAGAACATAGAGAACGTAGAAAACGGACGTCGCTACGTTAATACCATTGCTGGGCAAGTTAAGATCCTCGGACATACCAGCCGAGGCAGCATTACCTATATTGGAGCGGTCTAGAAAGGAAAGAAAGTATGAGAAACCCAAAACTGGACAAATGAATAAGTCAAGTTTTCTCAACAATGAGGCCTCTTCTTTTGGATCTATGAGGACATTTGCGAGATCCTCTTCATTATCATTAATGTTTAATGATTCCACAATTATGGAATTGTCTTTCTCTTTCTCGTCGTTCATTTCTAAGTGGATGATATAAATCGCGTAAGATAAGAGTAACTGATAACGGAATTTTCTTGATAACGAAGTTGCTGATAGGAAATCCGACAACTGATTATACCTCGCTTAGAGAGTTCATTAAAGTGTCAGGGTGCAGCAGGTGAAAGGACATCTGATCCAATGCACGTCATCGGTTGATTTTTATTTCATAAGTGATGCACTGATATCGCTTATCACTTCTTTACAACATACCCCCATTTAGATAAGAAATGTCAATAGCAGATAGATCAATTAGCGTTTCCGCAGATCGCGGCGGTACTTTCACTGATTTGCTGGCGAAGTACACCAAAGACGGTAAGCAAGAGGAACTCGTCATTAAATTGTGTAGGTTCTCAATTATATTCTCGTTGTAGACTTATAGATTATCCTAAGTATCACAGGATCCTGGTAATTACAGTGATGCTCCTACAGAGGGTATACGAAGAGTCCTTGAGATAGTCACGGGAGAGACAATCCCTAGAGGACAGAAAGTACCTTCAAAGAAACTAGCGAATATTAGACTCTCTACTACGGTAGCTACAAATGCATTGCTGGAACGTAAAGGTGAAGAACATGCACTGTTAATCACAAAGGGCTTTAAGGTGCGTTATCTTCATTTATCATAGAGTGCAACAGTAACAAGGAAATAGGATCTTCTCGAAATCGGCAACCAATCGCGTCCTCGTATCTTTGATTTGGCGATAAAAAGACCATCCACACTCTACTCCGATGTAATTGAGATTGACGAGAGAGTTACTCTAGTAGGATATACATCAGATCCTAATGGTATTGAAAATGCTGTCCAATTTGACGAAACTGGGAACATCATACGAGGATACCGAGGTGAAGGTTGGGACGGCCAAGGTGACGCAGAAGGGCCGGGTGAGGTCGTTATGGGTATATCAGGAGAGGCTGTTCGTATCTTGCAGAAACCAGGTCAGTTTCCTGTTTAATAAGGTGAAAATTGACTTAATTGTCATAGATTTGAAACAAATCCGCCGTGACCTTCAAGAAGTTTACAATAAAGGTGTTCGTTCACTTGCAATTGTATTCGTACATTCGTACACATACCCAGAGCACGAGAAGCAAGTCGCAGAGGTTGCAAAAGAGATTGGTTTCAAGCATGTTTCAGCATCATCACAGCTGTTATCGATGATTAAGATGGTTCCTAGAGGTGTCAGTGCAACTGCAGATGCATACCTTACACCAGTATTGTCTGACTATATCAATGGCTTTTTCCAGGGCTTTGATGATGCCATTGGAGATGGAAGTGGTCAAGATGGCGGTTGTAGAGTTGAATTCATGGGTTCTGACGGTGGTCTACTCGACCTCCGTAACTTTTCTGGGTTAAAGGCGATCCTTTCTGGTCCAGCAGGAGGTAAGAGGTGCTTTTAAACGCTTCGATAAGCTCATATAATCAGGTGTTGTCGGATATGCGCTCACAGCCTGGGATGACAAGTCCAAAATCCCAGCAATAGGTCTTGACATTGGTGGTACATCGACCGATGTCAGTAGATTCGCAGGTTCTTACGAAACGGTTTATGAAACAACCACAGCGGGTGTGTCGATTCAATCACCCCAGTTGGATATCAACACTGTCGCTGTATGTGCTTCTTGCTTTTAAAATAACGCTCTAACTAGTTATAGGCTGGTGGTGGCTCTTGTTTGACGTTCAGAGATGGGCTGTTCCACGTTGGACCACACTCGGCCGGTGCACACCCTGGTCCTGCATGCTACAAGAAGGGTGGACCACTCGCGGTAACAGACGCGAACTTGTTCCTTGGTAGACTCGTTCCATCGAGATTTCCAAAAGTATTCGGTCCTAATGAGAACGAACCTATTGATCCAACTGCATCTGAGAATGCATTCAAGGAACTCGAGAAGAAGATTAAATCTGAGACTAAGACAGACTTAGATCTTGATGCCATAGTTTATGGATATCTCAAAATCGCAAATGAGACAATGGCTAGGCCAATCCGTACACTTACAGAAGCAAAAGGACATGCCACCTGGAGCCATATTCTCGCAGCCTTCGGTGGGGCTGGTGGTCAATCTGCTGGTGAGTATAACCCCATATTTGATGCTAATCTAACACGCGAACAGCTGAAATTGCACAGATTCTCAAGATTTCTAAGGTTATCATTCATAAATATTCCTCAATTCTGTCGGCCTTTGGTTTATCACTAGCCAACAGGACATTTGAAAAGCAAGTTCCTTCTTCCAAGCTCTGGTCGAAGGAATCACAGCCTGAATTCTCGAAGAAGCTGGATGAACTTTCTAAAGTTGTTCAAGAAGAGCTCAAAGTGCAAGGTTTCCATAACGACAGAATTATTCTCGAGCGCTATCTCAATATGCGTTTCGATGGTAGTGATACTGCGCTCATGATAACTGCTAACAATGATAACGGATTCGCTGATGCATTTAAGGAAAGGTATTTCGACGAGTTCGGTTTCCTACTCGAATCTGAAATTGTCGTGGATGATATCAAAGTAAAAGGCATTGGAAAGACCTACGATGAACTCGGACAGTCTGCTCTCCAAGAATATTCACAGATTACACCTCGTAAACTCACCAAGGAGGATGCAACAAGTAGACAGTCATGTTACTTTGAAATCCAAAATGTTGGACAAAGGGTTGATACTCCAGTTTTCACATTAGATAAGCTTTCTGTGGGAGACGCCATCGATGGACCAGCCATTGTCATCGATGATACTCAGACTATCATCGTTCTCCCTGATTGGACTGCCACCGCAACTTCACAATGTCTATTCCTTGAATGTGAAAAATTGAAGCAATAAAGAATTTGATAATGTAGAATGAAGCAAAATGTATGATACTCGGTAGAATTAGTATAAAAGTAAACGATTGCGAATGGTATCAATATAAGAATTGATTATGTAGAAGGGAATCAAAGGTAAAGAATTAATAAATTTAAAAGTAAGAGATATGTTATCAATCGATTTTAATTGTCCGATATTAATGATACGTATTAGAGTGAAATAAATGAAAAGTGAAGATTAGTAATTAAGACTGAAAAGATTGAATATATAAGCCGCTAATTAAACACTCTGAAATCCATCATAAGTGTTATAGTATTGATATGGTAAGTAAGTAGGTTCAGGTTGGTTTATCATACCCTGATTATTTTCTATATTAACCGAAGGAACTTGATACCGAAATTGACTCTCAGTGGGGGTCTTGATGTTATCCATAGGAATAGGTGGCGGCTGATAAGCAAATTGACTCTCAGTGGGCGTCCTGAAATCATCTTCGCATATATCGCCTACCATCGTTGGAATTGCGTGTGTTTCCACTGTGTATGGTAATGGTTGTAAACGATTGTCGTCAAAGGAAGGTAAAGATTGAGCCGTCCGTGGTACAGCATAGTTATAGTCCAAGTCTAGTCTTTCAGTTGGGTTTTCTATTGGATCATACGTCGTCATACTGTAAGTCGGTAGAGAACTTCCATAGAATGAAGAATTTCCATTCAAATTCAAGCAACTTGGAGTTTCAGATCTATGCCGACGCATTGGTCCAGAAGATGGTTCGTAGGATTGACTGAATGGAAGTAAAACTTGATGATCGAGTATATGATTAGGAGAGTCAGTCCAATGAGTGGCTGTTGAAGGTCTAGATGAATAATGACTGGCCGAATCTGAACTCGCTATTGAAGACATATACGTCGAAGAGCATTCTGAATACGCATCCGAAGAATCCGTATACATAACTGGTTTACTAACGTTGGAGTTATGTGTCCGGAAATGAACGGCCAAATTGTCCGATCTTGTAAAGGACTTATGGCATATTTCGCATACGTATGGCCGTTCCTTCGTGTGTGACCGCTTGTGCCTTCGAAGATGTTCATCTCGCTTAAACGCTTTGTCGCAAATATCGCACTTGAACGCACGCTTTTCGGATAAATTGATATTATCAATCTCGTTCAACAGTGAAATATCATCTTTCTCGTTTCTCACAGCCGAGCGCTTTTGGAGTAGCTTTTTTAGTGATTTACCCTGCTTGTAGAATTCAGAACCGTTATTGATACGAAGGAGGAATATATCAGCGAGACCTTGGTCATAGAATTGTTGTTTTAATGATACATCGCGGTCGTACCTCAATGCAAAACTGGCTGGGTCAATAGCCGTCGATGTGCCCTGGACAGAGGGTCAGTAATTGATACTGAAACTGATCAAGACATACGGGAGTACCAGCTGCTTCACGCTTCAAATCACGCTCTAAAGCATCTAGAAACATTCTATCATGTGGAACTGAATGCCATTTGAACAGTTTCTGCTTTTTTAGCGTTCGTAATGCTCCAAAACGAACGAGCAAATCGAGTAAAGTACTACCATTGTATTCTATAACACTGTCTATGCCAATTTTGAGATTCCTCAAATCAGATGAGATCCCTTCGTTGAATTTACGCTTGTCTGTTATAATTCTCCCCAATTTACGCACTTTAAAAGAGATTATTTTGTAGATATCAGGGCCAGTAATGAAAAAGTCGTCCGAATATCTAATACAGCTTATGTAGACATCATCCAACTTGTACCTGTGTATAATCCTATGTGGGTGGAGATCGTCTGTTTCTTGTTCGCTGTTGAACTTGTTTGGTGCGTCTATTAAGAAAGCGTTTAAGCTTAAAATCGGACCAGCGATTTCTGTCTCCATTTCTAATGGTTTCTCTATGGGCTCCAGGCCAGTATGACTTCAGTGTTGGATGTAGTGGTGCAACGTCCATGACGTCTCTATCGAGCCAAGATGAATACGCGGAAGTTGAACTTTTAGAGCAGAATTTACTAAAAGTTAAGAACCTCACGACGTCAATGTCGTCTATTTTGCAGAATTTGGACGCACGCTTGGCTAGACTTGATAATTCTGTGATTCCGCTGCAGTCGTCTACCAATGGACTGGACGTTCTATCTAATAGTAATTCTTAGTAAACTGTTCTATTAACTTTCTAATAATAACTTTTTAGATATCCAATCAGCCCTGAATTTAGTCGACAACGATCAGAGACAGTCTACAATCGCAAGAGAAGACGAGACCGTGATAAACGATGGCGCAGATCCTAGTGATATCAGACCATACTTAAAAGTTGTCAGCAATCTTTCTTCTCAGCTCGAATACTTGAAGCACTCCCAGTGGTCTTCGTCTAGAGATTCTATTCGGGAAATTACCGGTATGGTAGAGAAAGGTGTACGCTCCCTCCTCAGAGTTTTCGAAGGCTGGGTGCGCGATGTTAGCAAACCCGTCGATGCCGAAAAATGTCTCAGCAAGGGTTTCGCTGATTTCCCTGATATCCCTCAGCATGCAATGACTCGTTTAACAGCTTTCGTCGAGGCTGTATCACCCATCATCAAGACATTACCTCCACCATCGTATACTCACCCTTCAATTATATATGCTAGTGAGCGTGCAAGGTATTTCAATGTCTCGCTCCAGCCATTCTACAAGCAAGCTGAATCCTCACTCAATTCATACGCTAAATCAGGCCCATTGGGTGCTTCTATATATGCTAAAGGCTCACAGAGAGTGACAGCTCTCATTAACGGTGCAACCGCATTGGCTGACGTTGAATGGCAATCTGCGACCGCATTATTTGGCGAAAATGGCGATGCTAATAAACCATTCTTGACAGCCGTTGCCCCTGCAATTACTCTCCTCCAGAGTGCCACATCGAACGTTTTTTCTTTGGCTAAATCTAACCCCCTTAGACACATATTTGCGGTTCTTGATTTGCTGGATACTCTTGCACCATTTGCTGAAAAGTGGGAGAGGAGTATTACGAGGAGATCTACACAGTCCAGCAAGAATGAGGTCACAGCTTTAGTTGAAAACGCCAGATCAATAACTTTAAGGAGTTTCCCCGATATTATCAAATATATCAAGAGCCACACAGGTGAAGAAAAGCATTCGACGTCTGTCTCAAATGTCACTAATGATGTTCGTTGTGTTATTGTGCTAAATCGCATTTATTAACATAAACTCAGACCGTAACTTACCTCAAGGAGATACTCATCTATGGAGACACGGTTGAACGAAATCTCAAACGCCTTGGTGATGGTGGTTGGAATGTATCATCTAAAGTAATGAGAAACGTACCGACAGATGGCGAGACTCTTCTTGAAAGATACCTCAGAGATGTTCTATTTAGTTTGATATCATCACTGACTAGAGTAAAGTCTAGCGCGTACTCTTCAATCTACGTTCTCAATAACCTCTCACTCCTTCGTCGAGATTTAATAGAAGCCTGCGAACCAGTCTCACTCGATCCAAGCAAGACAGATTCGCCATCCAATCGTGACATAGGTGATTTATTAGGTGAGCCAGCTGAGGATGAACTTAACGCAGCGTTCAGATCAGCGCGTATCAGCTACCTAGACACTGTCTGGAAGCCTGCACTTGTGGCACTGACGTCGGATGAGCTGTCGACAACGTCGCAAGGACCACACGTACCAACTGCATTGGGAGGTAGTGCCGAAAAGAAGCAACTTATCAAAGACAAATTTAGTAGGTTTAATGATGCCTTCGCTGCTCTCGAGAAATTGCATAATCGACACCCTGTCGGAAAGCGTGATTCACAATTGTCAACGCGTCTAAACAAAGAGGCAAAGGCTATGATTCTCCCGCCATACGCGACACTCTGGGGTAAAAACCAGAGTGGTGACTTTGCGAAAACACCTTCAAAGTATATGAAGGTAACGCCAGATCAGTTAGAAGGACGCATAGATAAGCTTTTCATGTAAAATAAATGTAAACTATAAATAAAAATCGCGTTATCTCATCTTCTCGAGCTACTTCCATTATCGTGAAATATAAATGGGTGTCCCAGGACTATGGGATGTGAGGGTTTTGTATTTATTCCACATATTTCTTAACTGACAACAAAATAACAAGCTTCTCCGTCCGGCTGCCTGCTCGCATTCGCTATCAAGACTAGCAGTTGACGCATTTATCGCAAACCACAGAGGATACAGAGGACTGAGGGTTGGAGTGGACGCATCGTAAGTAAATAGCGTAAAGTGAACAGCAGTTCATACAACACTCTTAGTATTTGGTTGATACACTCACAAACAGCCCCTGGAGGTTTGAACCCAGCGCTGAGAACTCTATTTTTCAAACTATGCAATCTGCTATCACTGCCTATCCTCCCATTGTTTGTATTCGATGGTCCGAAAAGAGTCAGTGGTTTTAAGCAAACAATCACAAGAAACTTACAACCCGTAGCCAAAAATGAAGAGAGGTAAACAAGTGCGTGGTGCACAGCCTAGAGGATTGAAAGATTTCATAAAGTTAATTGACGCTTTTGGTTTCGAATACCACAATGTGCGTTATCAACTCACGCTTTAAAGCCACTTAATCACGCGCAGGCACCAGGCGAAGCTGAAGCTGAACTCGCTCGTTTATCTAAAGCTGGTATTATCGATGTCGTCTTGTCCGATGATGTCGACAGTTTGCTTTTTGGTGGTGTCAAAATACTCAGAAAGTGCGTTTCTCTTTCCATTACGAAAGACTTTAGTTAACTCAGGAAAAGTTGGTCACTAGGTCTCTCAGGCAATAGCAAATCACAAGCTGATTTGCACAATATTAACAATGACGACTCACTCGCTGCTGATGATCATCGAATTGAGACATACACTCTCGACGACATATGTCGACATGATGAAACTGGTGTGACACCCAATGGTCTCATCCTCGTTGCATTATTAGCAGGTGGTGATTATCATCCAGTATGTTGAACGTCTTTGCTGATTTTCTATCTAACGCGTATTAGGCTGGTGTACAAAGCTGCGGAACAAAGAATGCATTTGGTCTCGCAAGGGCAGGCTTTGGTGATAAGTTGATTGAAGGGGTTAGAACACTTCAAAGAGACCAACTTGACTCTTTCTTGACCAATTGGAGAGAAGAGCTGAAGGAGGAGCTAGCGAACAATTCATCTGGCTATCTTTCATCTAAGAGACCTTCAGTTGCGACATCAATTACGACTTCCTTTCCAGATTTAGATGTCTTGGAACGATATATAAATCCCTTAACAACAGAATCAATTGATTGTGAACAGAAGTACAAAGAATCGTTAAATAACATAAAATACAATAAAGAACCAAATATAGCAGAATTAGCTAGATTCTGTGAGGAATACTTTGAATGGGGAGAAAAGAGTAGAATTATAGCTAAATTTCGTAATAGTGTTTGGGATGGCATTTACATTAGAGCATTACGTGCCTCAACAGTATCACTGGATGGAGGTCAGCATGGCGAGTTTAACGATGAAGTATCCAGTCAATTCATCAAAATACATCAAACGAGGAATAAGTCGAAGTATGAGAAATACATGGAATACAGGTTATCAATCAATCCATCACCTTACGTCGACGTAGTTGATGAAGCTGTAACAGGTGATATGAAAGCGCTCCGAGAGGCTCGTCGACGGAATGATCCTGCATTACGTGATTTGAGAAATGCCTTACCAGACGAACAATCTGCTAGTGGAACTACGATGGAAGATCTCACACATGCTACAGATGCGAGTACCAGTACTACTACTGGAAGGTCTAAACAAGTAGATCAGCACTCAGCATTGAGAATATGGATACCATCGCAGATACTCAAAGCTGCCTTGTTGAATGAAACAGATGCGTTCGATAAGGGTCTCACAAGGAAGGATTCTAATGTTGCTACTAGAGTAACAATGATGGCACCATCACGCAAACCAGCTCCTGTAATACGTGAGGAGACAATTATCGATGAGGCGAGCGCAGAGGCAACTTCCACGAGACGTACAAGAACGGTTGACAGTATAAGCTCAACTTCAAGAGGCGGGGGAAGAGCGAGGGGAAGAGGTAATACAAAGAAGAGTAACACCCTCACGCGCAATGCAACAGTTGATGATTTTGTCGATTTGACAGATACGGCTAATCCAATTTTGATACCTTCACCGAAAAGAAATCAGAGGAAAACGCAAACGCGGCGGAAGACGAGTGGTAGTAAGAGAGCTGTTGATAATCGATCAACTGACGATCTAGAGACTCATTCGCAATCACCTGCGAAGAGAGTTAGCGGTGGTCGCGAAATTGTGGTGCCTTCCAGTGACGTTCTCCATGGTGCGCGTTCACCGACACCAACTCTAGATCAGTCGCCACCACCATCAATCCATAAATCACTAACGCCAACATACACCACACCAAGGAAGTATAGTTTGACAACTCCGTTAGAGCCATCACTCAGTCCACCGTCACCATCTGCGCTCATTAGGGGTGAAAAGGAAAGACACAGTATTAATGAAACGATATCAATCGACGACGATGACAATTCACCAGTGTCAGTTGTTCGACGTGCAGATATACCAAATTCACCAATAAGCATATCAAGTGATGACAACACGAGCACGCCTAGGCCAACAATTAAGAAAATTCAGAAGGTGAAACCAAAGACTCTCACTAGCATATTTGGTGTAACAAAACCGCAACAGACAAAGAACAAGAAACGCGAGAACATAACGAACTCAAACATAACAAATGATGTTATTGATTTGACATGATTTGAATAAATAATGCATTGCAAAAACACCTTGTATTATACATATAAATTACATGAACTCACCAGTAATCTTCTGCTCGTGCAGGAACTTGCTTGAGACCTTTTTCTAATCTCTTCCGTCGCTCTTGGTGCCACACGCCAAACCACTTCTTCATACGTTCCCTACTAGCTTGTTTGCCAACATTAACCGTTGCAATCATGCGCACATGGTCTATTGACAAAGCAAAACATGTCAGCTCTGTAAATGAAGAGTGTTCTGAGTATGGAATACCATAGCAAGCAACAGTATCATTAGATCCGCGCGTACTAAATAAGTTTCTGTATGTGAAACTCCTATTCAAATCTCTTTTGAGGAGGTATTCAATATTGATATCAAGCTCTGATGAAGAACTTGATGCATTTTTGTATGTCCATCCGGTTGGTTTGAGACCAATAACGCGATTGTATTTCTTCTTAAACTTTGACAGATAATCCGGGAGAGTGTTTATTGTGACACCACCTAAACCTTGTATGTGAACTTGCGAATCATAGGGATCTTCAGTTAGAAGATTGTTTAATTCTTCGTCTTTTTCATTCCGTAGTAACGCTTGTCGTCGCTTATCAGCGAATATTTTACTATTTATTGCCTTTGCTACTGCTGTTAGTGTGTCAATTGGCACATCTGTAAAATCACTTATGTCCTACCCTTAACAATCCTCTCCTTGCCAATTGAATATGTACCTACAACAATGAGGACATCTTGTGATATTTTCTTCTCCTCTTTCTCCTCTTCCTCTTGGTTTTTTGCGCTACTAACAACCCTATTGAAGCCACTTTTGAGCATGTCCAGCATACTCTCATTTACTTGCATTTCCCCTCGAAGATTGGCTAAAACGAGATCACGACAAGCGTCAATGACTTGCCTTTGTGGTGGAAACGAATAATTTGGATTAAGGTATGTCGTATCTAAGTAAACAGCATCAAATTTCTTCCCTTTGATAGCGGGATGGTTGACATGTTGTGGACTCGCCCTGAAATCGCCACAATGGAGGTATCTAAATATCCTATCGCTACCAATCCAAGGTGATTTGAAATTACTATCACCTGCGTGAACTGATTGCTTACCTTCAAAAACGAAAATACTTGAACCTGGACAATGGTTCGCGTCAATGAGCGTAACAGTAACGCCATTTGTGGAAGGTATAACATGAGCAGTATCATTCGAAAGTGGACGAAGGTATTCTTTAGGAACACCGCATATGTGATGTACGAGGGAGGCTGTTATAATTGAACAGTATATCGGACCGGCATCCCAATTCTTGGATAATGACTGGTAGTGATCGCTATGTGCATGACTTAATACGTAAGCTTCAACGCCGGGTATTTTACCGGACATAAATGCGTCAACTGCTATTGGCATACCTTCTAATATTTTATAGAAGGGTGTTTTACGCTGATTTTTTGGTATAGACTTAGATGACATGGCTGTTGCTTCATTGTAAGCATTGGTATCGTTATTTGATGACATAAGAATATTAAATGCTGATAGTTTAGCTTTCTTTTGAGGTGGTGAGTTGTCTATGTCTATGGGAAGTTTACTAATGTCTTCTTTTAAGTAGTCTTCATTGAGACTATCTATTTCTTCAAATTCCTCGATTATTTCCTCATCTTTATCATCCGCTGCAGTACAATCAAGTGCTTTGATGTCGTCATTCTTGCCACAGTCTTCTTCATTATCGCTAGATAAATAAATAATACCAGTATCCATACATCTATTTATATGATAATTTGCAGCTGACTCATCAAATTTATCCAAATTTTTTTTGCAAATTGGGCAATTCATAGTTCTTTTTATACTTTGATCATGTCCACCAATGGGGGTTTATTGAAATATATAAAAAATTTCAATCTAGTATTAATATTCTTAATTTCTTCAATCAATATAAACTTTTTACAAATTTTAATTTCTCCTTTAAAGCTAATCAACAAGTCTAAATACGATGACGTCATAGCATACTCAAAATCAGCTTTTTCGAAGTTATTAATCTTAGTTAATAATAGTAGTACAATTAGGTTGTATAATTATAAATCTATCAATAAGAAGTCCATCATAATTTCAAATCATCAATTATACACTGATTGGTTGTATCTATGGTGTCTTTTATATAAATTGAATATAAATCACGATAAATTAGTAATTATACTTAAAAATTCTCTAAAGCATATACCTATCCTTGGATGGGGTATGCAATTTTTCAACTTTATCTTTTTGAAAAGGAATTGGTCAAAAGATGAGACAACTTTAAATAATCAGTTAGGTAGTATATCTGATGATAACTTTACATTATTATTATTCCCTGAAGGTACAACGTTATCAAATGAATCACGTCCGAGATCGATAAGGTATACAGAGAAGATTGGTGTTAAAGATTTTGACCATCTTCTATACCCACGGGTGACAGGGCTGTTAGCATCAATCAGAGCCTTAAAGCATAACAGTTTAGTGGACATAATAGATACAACTATAGCTTATCCAAATATACCCAAAGATATCTACGGACAGGATTATTATTCACTTAGATCAATATTCTTCAATGGTAAATTTCCAGATATTATTCATATGCACATGAATAGTTATAGTTTAGAAGATATTCCAATAGACAATGATGAAAATTTTACTAAATGGTTACTATCAAGATGGCAAGAAAAGGAGAAGAGGTTGGAATTATTTGAAAGGTCAAACGCATTAGATGAAGCGGATGATTATGAGGATATACCAATAACATTCAACAAGCCACTAATGCACACACTCGATGCTTTCGTATGGTTCGTACCGATGATTATAACTTGGTTAATTTACAAAACCATTGTAAACTTACTTTAAGAATTGGCCAGCCAATGATGACAAACCGCCTGAACTACCACCGGACAGTTTTTGCTTAATCATGAGCTTACCGAATGTCATAGTAGCGCTGTCGATGACGGATTGCTTATCGTCTGAGCTCTTACCGCCGAGGTTCTTGTCAGCGAGTTTGCTAGCCTCTGCGATGACCTTGCCAAACAAATCTGAGTCTTTCTCGTTTGTTTGATTTTGACCACCAGCGAAATGCTTTTGATAGAGGTCATAAGCATATGCGATACCATGTTCCTTAGGTGAAGCGTTTTCTTTGTCACCGCTGAAGACTTTGTTGTGTGCGTTCTTTGTTTCTTCCTCGTCGACACCATCCTGGAGCTCGTGGGAGTTGCTGCTGAGCTTACTGATAGCGCTCTCGATCATAGAATGGCTACCTTCATCGTTATGTTCTGTTTTGGCCATGCCAAGGATGGAGCTGAAGTCTAAGCCGTGGTCATTGCTGCTTTGTTCGCTGTGGTCGTTACCGCCTTGAGATTGTTGGTACTGTATTTTGTTAGTATAGTGCTATCTAAGCAATCCACACCTACGGCATCCATGCCTTTCTTTGCTAAATTCATAAAATCCATTTCGTTGTCCGTCGTCAAAAGTCAAAAAAGTTCCGCGCAATCTGACGTGTAATTAACAAAAAATACCGCGGATAGATATTTTAGAAGCTTATATTCTACGTATACTCTGCGTTACCCCTTTCATCCATACAGTCATCAGCATCCTGGGATGCCAAAACAGCATATTCGTACTGCATTACTAGCAGCGTTTAATCTAAGGTCTCTTTCCTCACCATGGCGGAATAGACTTTCTAAGTTATTGGATGAGCACTCTACTAAGAAAAGAGTGATGCGTGAGTGACACCAAGCCAGTACAACACCAACTAACAGCATGTAGTCTACGGCAAGGACACAAAGAAGCTCACAGAAGCGCTGCTCATAGACCCACTTACAGATGACGCACGCTCTGTTCAGGTTTTGGAACAGCGCTACAATCTCGGAGGTCGACGCAATCAAGGCGAATTATGGACGATAAAACATAACGAGAGTATTAGCACACCCTCCACAGAGCTCGTTTTAATTCCACTTCGCGCTCTCCAGGATGTTGATATTGTCGAATGTCTAGAGAGCCTCCCAGAAGAGGAAGCACTCGACGAAGCTGTCTTATCCCATCAGTTGATTATCCAATCGGATGCTAGCACATCCAAACTTGTCGATCAATTCAAAGATAGACCGCTTACGACTCTCCTCGATAAGAATCTAAACGTTGCAGACGCACGCAAAGCGCTCGATTTACTCAACGACGGTGACTACAATGGTTACACTAACTTGATGACGTCGTCCAACATTCAAGCACTCAAGCAAGATTATAGATTGACACACAATGATGACGATAGGGCAAGACATGCCATTATTCTGGCTTTAAAAGATAGTAATAAAACTCTCGATGGGCGTTACCAAAATACAAGTGAAATTCTTGACGAAGAGCGAGAGAACATCACCCAAATCGACACTCTTTACACTAAATTCCTCAGACAGACACCTTCTTTGGAGGCCATACAACATGACAAAGAGCAATCACTTCAGAAATCGCTTGAATATTTCCAGAAAACGCCTTTCTACTATCTACCAATCAAGGCGGACGACGTTGGTGCAAGTTTGGAGCAGAGTATCAATTCAAACTTCGCAAGATCACTCGAATTAGATCTCGCGGCTGTAGATTCCCAATATAATAGCACAAAGAGCGCTGCTAGAGAAATATCCAGAGAACACCTCACTCGAGCTGCCGAGAAGGGGATGACAACTGCTATAGCATCAAACAAGCTAGAAGAGAGTATAAGAAACGACGACTATAAGTTGAAGACCACCAATATTTGCAGAGCCGCCCGCAAGAATCTCACCACCGTTGGAAGTATACCAGACATGATTGCCTTGATGGTTGAGAAATCTTTAACGCGGTCATATGTAACTGTAGTAGCAAGTGCTGGATTGGGATATAGCGGCATGGTTGCTGATATCCTTTCAAGTGGTACAGCTGTTGGTTTGACCACACTTGGTGCAGCAATCGCGGTTAGGAATGTCCAAAAGATGTGGAAGAAAGCTCAGAAGACATTCACCGAGTCTTGGGATAGAGCCTACAAATTGATCGAGTTTGATTATCAAGAAACTCTCCAGAAGGAAGCCAAAGATGGTGTTCTGCGCGATGTGAAACTATCTAATCAACTAACAAGCGAATGGGTAAACACTGAGCGCGAAAGGTTGGAAGAATTAAACAAAGAAATTGAAACCGTTAGACGGACATTGTAAATAATTAATTTTGTTAGATTTCGATAATTTATAGTCTTCTCGTTATGCCATCATCAACGAAATCATCCGTAGGGAAGGCAGACAAGGCTAAGAAGCCAGCTGCGGAGCCAAAGAGTATATTAAAGAACAAAAAATCGGACGAAGTCGAAGAACCAAGTAGTGAGGATGACGACGAGGGAGAAGAAGGCGACGAAGAAGTAGAAAGTGACGATGAAAACGACAGCGACGAAGCACCTACTACGGATTATGAGAGTGACTACAATGGCCTTCAAAAGAAACCAAAAAAACGTAAAAGAAATGAAGGAGAAGCTTTCGCTGAAGCCTTATCAAATCTGGCGGAGGCTGATAGCAAAAAGCTAGAAATTCTTCCAGCCGCTAACAAAAGCCTCAAGAAGCACAAATTAACACTCAAAGCTCAGAAAGTTCTCAGAGACGAGGCGAAATCTGACCAGGATATCGGCAGACTGAGGGATGTAGTCAGTGGATGGGCAGTTCCATCAACAAAGAAGGACAAGTTAGATGACGAGTCTGCTCTTGTAGACGCAGGTGCTGAGAAAGAGAAGAGACTCCGTAAAGTCGCACAAAAGGGTGTTGTTAAGCTATTCAATGCAATTTTAGCTGCTCAAAAAGCAGAAAGCGGTGCAAAAGTTTCAGAAAAGGAGAAGGATAAGGGTATTGGTAGGGCTCGATTGGAGGCACCTGCAAACTTCCCTAGAGAGAATAAGGGAAAGAAAAACAATGACAATGTCGCAAAGAATGCTTTCATGGATGCCATACGAAAGGGATGAACTTGTAGTATTTATAATTTATTAGATTTCTTCGTTTATGCTGTCATGTCAGCGTTTCACCGATATTTTAGCCTTCCAGCCTTACGATATAACCTATTTTCCCATTCACGGTATTATAAATATCCATATAACACCATATCGCGGTGTCTCAATACCGGTCCAATTGGGACATATGATGACATCAAAACACCGAAGATAAAACGATAAAACGGTTCTCGAGTTTCTAGCTACTTTACTATAATGTCGACAAAGCACATATTTAACAATCCAAACGAAGCCCTATCAAATTGCTTAAAGTCCTCTTCAGCCCTCAACCCTTCACTAAGATTGGACGAAGTACATAAAGTCGTCTGGGACACATCAAAGCCCAGTGCACATAGAACAGTCTCCGTAGTAGCCGGTGGTGGGAGTGGTCATGAGCCTGCGCACGTAGACTACGTCGGTGAGTGTCTGTCACACGAAGCAACTAAACTTATACAGTCTAGGTAGAGGAATGCTCCAAGCTAGTGTGTCTGGCCATATATTTGCCAGCCCATCTTCATCACAAATACTGCAAGCTATAGAGAAAACACCGCGCCATCACGACGTTCTCTTGATTGTTAATCAATATACTGGGGACAAGCTCAATTTTGGACTAGCAGCCCAACGTGCACGATCAAACAGGAATATAGAAAGTATAATTGTTGGTGATGATGTATCGCTCACCCGTTCTGCCATTTCTAAAGTGGGTCGCAGGGGTCTCACTGCAAATCCACTTGTATGCAAATGGACAGGTGCAGCAGCTGAGCGTGGGCTCCCATTACTCGAAGTCAAGCTAGTTGGCGAGGCTATCGCTACGAATACCGCAACTATCGGCGTATCAGCTGAACATTGCCATATACCAGGACGTCCAGTCGATGGAGCTACAAATCCGTACGTTGAGCTCGGCATGGGAATACACAATGAACCAGGCGCCCGAATTGTGCAAGATGACGACAGCGGAAATCTTATCACCGAGATGCTATCTTATATTCTCAACATGGAGGATGAATCAAGGTCTTTCGTCAAGTTCGACAAGCAGGATGCTGTCATTCTCGTCGTCAACAACCTTGGTGGTCTCTCAAGTCTGGAATTATCTGCTGTCGTTGGTCAAACCACTGATATTTTATTTGACAAGTATGGTATCCACCCTATACGAACACTGGTTGGATCATTTATGACCAGTTTGAACATGCCTGGGTTCTCACTCTCACTCGTCAACTTGTCGAACATAGACAGCATGGTACATTCCCAAGATGTGCTCGTGGATGTATCTCTCGTCGATCTCCTTTATGATCCCACATCCGCACGCGCTTGGCCAGGCGTATGCGAAGCAGGTGTCGAGAAGGTTGTAGAGGAGGCGCAAATGGAGAAGCATGATGTGCCGCGACTCTATAGACCGACGAATGAAAACGAATTATTCATAGAGACACTCATAAAACGCGCTTGCGAAGCTGCCTTAGCAGTCGAAGCTGACCTCACGAAGTGGGATACAATCGTTGGGGATGGAGATTGTGGTACTACTTTGTCGGCTGGTGCGCAAGCCATACTGGATGCACTAGACAGTGGCAGTGTACCTCTGGATAATCTGCCAAATCTGTTCGATAAGCTCTCAATTATCGTCGAGAGCAGCATGGGTGGTACAGCGGGTGCACTATTTGCCCTGTACTTTGCAGCAATGTGTAATCAAATTCGCACAAAGACGATAGGCGAAGCTGTACAAGCTTCATTAAAAGAATTGGAGAATTTCACGCCCGCAAAGGTTGGTGATAGGACATTAATCGATGCGTTAGCGCCATTTTGTCAGGCACTCTCTCGTGATGGCATAAAAATTGCCGCAAAATTATCACAAGAGGGCGCGGAAGCCACAACCGGGATGACGGCAAAATTAGGTAGAGCCGCTTATTGTACATCAAATGATAGCACAAACATACCAGATCCTGGTGCTATGGGCGTATCAGCTATAATATCAGGCATTGCAGACTGTTTTGTATGAAGTTTTTCACAATATTTTTGATATCCTAAATAGAAGTGTATAGAGTACAGAAAATAATGATACACGAATGGAATCCGATGTGTAATTTAAACACGTTCACCGCGTAATCTACGAGCAAGTTGAACATCCTTTGGTTGGATAGTAACTCTCTTAGCGTGAATAGCAGCCAAGTTTGTGTCTTCGAAGAGGGAGACGAGGTATGCTTCACTTGCTTCTTGTAGAGCCATGACTGCAGATGATTGGAAACGCAAGTCAGTCTTGAAATCTTGTGCAATTTCTCTAACGAGACGTTGGAATGGCAATTTACGAATGAGCAATTCGGTGGATTTTTGGTAACGACGAATTTCTCTGAGGGCGACAGTACCTGGACGGTAACGGTGTGGCTTCTTAACACCACCAGCTGCTTGTGGGGCGGCTGTCTTTCTTGCTGCCTTAGTAGCGAGTTGCTTACGTGGAGCTTTACCACCGGTTGATTTACGTGCTGTTTGCTTTGTTCTGGCCATTGTAGATTACTTGAAAGTTTTGATGATGAGAACAGAAGTCGAAGGTGTGTTTACTTCTTATAGTATTTCGGGCGCGCGCTAAAGGATCATGATCAGCGCGTTCTGATATGATCTCGACGTGATATGAGACAAGCAAGGCATGAAATGGAACAAAAAATATACCACTGAATAAAGAATATTCTCAACTTCACATATGTCCAATTTATATATTTATACCTTCATTATTTATTTCAGGATCAGCGTGGTTGCTTTCTGTGATCGAGCGCAGCCTTTGATTTCGCGTGTATAGGACGAGATTCAAAGCAAAAAATATCGAAAAATACCAAATATTATAAAACAAAGCATGAGAAATATGATGGTATATTTTGTACTTCCTCATCTCCCAACCCTCGACCCTCAATTGATCAGATCAGAGATCAAAAATCAGCGCCCATTCGAGGCGCCTGATCTGATGCGCGTCTCGCAATAATTTAAATAGTGCGCATTTGCCACTCTCTCTCCTCATCAATCAACTACTCAAGTAAAAATGTCAGGAAGAGGAAAAGGCGGCAAAGGTCTCGGAAAGGGTGGTGCTAAGCGTCACCGTAAGATTCTCAGAGATAACATCCAAGTGAGTTTGTTATTTACGATATAGCAACCTTTTCTAATTACTCCACAGGGTATTACCAAACCAGCTATTCGTCGTCTCGCTCGTCGTGGTGGTGTTAAGCGTATCTCCGGTTTAATCTACGAAGAAACCCGTGGTGTTCTCAAGGTCTTCTTGGAAAATGTCATCAGAGACTCTGTCACCTACACAGAACACGCAAAGAGAAAGACTGTCACTGCACTCGACGTTGTCTACGCACTCAAGAGACAAGGAAGAATCCTTTACGGTTTCGGTCAATAAGCTTATCCAGATTATATAATACCTGTACTTTATGTGTATTTTATGAAAAACTTCACTACGACCTATATTTATTGTGCGATGTGCTATAGTTATTTGTGATACTCCTATAATCATCCTTTCTGAGTAGGGGTGAAGGTATTTCGATGGTCTTATGTTAAACATCCCTTTTTGTAAAATAAAGAAGTTATGAAGAAAACTAAATAATTATATTCAGACTCAGTGTCAATCTAAATGTCAATCTAATTGATCTCCAGTATTCCTGTGCTTTCCTTAACAAGTTACTACCAACATCACTGGAGATGTGATGGAATTCTCTCGGTGCGACATAGCAAATAAATTAAGAGAAACACCTAACAAAATACAGACGAGACGAAGAATACTTCCTACCCAGCAATGCAGCTGAGAATCCCTACTTGATCTATCAGCCACCCTCCGCTTATTCTCTCCCTTCGCAGATGCTAGTAATTGGTATAGTACTCACGCTATGCACAGTCCTACTCTCCCATCTTTGCTTCACCGCCCAATATCACTTTCCACTCTCAAAGCTGAATTATCTCCTCCAAACGCTGGCTGTTGTCAGTCTATTAACCAAGGTATCGGCTGAATTGGCTTTAATTTCTAACAAGTTCGTTTTATTATACACCTTATTATTTTGCTAATACCCTTCAGGTTATACGAGACCGCTTCAATATGGCCCTACATGTTTGAATACTCTGCGATCGACGTACCACCTTTAAATTGGGATGTTTGGAAAACTGGAGCCTGGCTAGCAATGCTAGCTATTGTATCGGCATTTGTTAATGTACGTGTCCGCCCTGATCTATTTTTAGAATCCTTATCTAAGACACTCTCACAGCTCACGCATATTCAATTTTTAACACTCCTTTTCCCTTCTGAATTGGAACAGATTCTAATCTTTACTCTCCTTGGTCCATTAGCCGTCGTCGGTGCTGCTTTGACATTCTGCGATTTAAGTAGCTCAGAGGAGACGATAAAAACAGCTGAGAGTATAAAGAATGTTTGCAATTCCACTCTCACTTTGTTATTTACCGCTGGTTTGATCATCTGGGGTGGCATCATCAATAGGAGGAGAGCGTGGAGGACGGATGGTGGTACCGCAGCCTTTGGTGTATCTGCAATAGCATTAGCAGTTATAGGAACCTCAGTAAACTTTCTATTAATTAAAGAAGATGAGGTTCCTTGGTTGCAATCCGTCGAATGGGCTATCGTTATGTGGCAGTCCTGGCTAGGTTTTTGGTGGTGGGTTGGTGCAGGTATGGGTATAGGCGAAGTTGAAGACAGGCGCGCTCGGAAATCGAAAAAGAAGCGGAGGCGGAACAAAAATAGAACAGTTGAATCTGAAGTGGAATCGATGTTTGCTTCAAACGGATCTTTATCTTCTGCACGTCTACGGAGGAGAGCCACTACGACAGCAAACGTACCCTCACGCACAAACACTTTATCAGACAATTCACCTGAAACTTCCTCAGATACTTTCTTATTTAGACTCTCACCAAGTTATCTCCTTAATTATGTTTATAATAGTCTGAGACGCGCTCATAATGCAGCTGCAAGAATCCAAGCTAGAGAACATAAACGTAAGCAAGAGCAAAATGAGAGAAGATGGGGACCTGGTGAATTTGCCATGTCTTCTATTCATCCTAGTCATCAGAATTCTCAAATTTCAACAACTGATGATGATACTGAAGCACTCACGCCTCCAAAAAGATCGTCAGGTTGGTTTAAATGGACAGAAAGGCTTAGGCGACGGCAAACTGATGAATGGTGAGGAGTCAATCCTTAGATCAACTAGACATTTGATAGACAACGTATCGTTTAACATTTCTCAATTTTGTAACTGTATAGTAGTGTATAAATTTATAATCATTAAGCTTATTCTATGAAACGAACAGAGACTCTTAGAACTTCTTGCTACTCTTTTGAATTCCTGTCTTTTTTGTTGTTCAAGTTACTAATGTTCTCGACTGGCATTCACGTCGATATGAGACTAATCTGAAAATTGAAGTAAGTAAATATAGTTAAATTTAGACAAAATGTACAAATTGATTCAGATTTTTTAGTTCATGCAATTATCTTAAAGTCATGAGCAATTTTCGTAAGTGGTTTCTTTATATTCAACAAACTGGCTGTGTCTTCTTTGTTAGATGACGCTGCCGTTCCATCCTCCCAGCTAAATTCAAGAGGACGTCCATCGACCTTGATTTCCTTAGGTGGTGCTTTCAATCCCAACACTTCAATTCTTTCGATGAACACCTCATTTCCATCTTCATATGAATCCCCAGGTACGATCTCACTGCTCGTTAATGTCCATCCCCGGCGATCTGACTTAAAGGTAAACTGTCTATCAATGAATGCGCCATCCTGGTAATCGAAAGTGTGACCATCATCTAAGTACAATCTTCCATTCGCATTGCCATTTTTGTCCAACGCGATTGTCAATGTGAGAGGATCTTTTGACATCACGCTCGCTGATCTTCTAGCACGCTGACGAGAAGGTATAATGCTACCACCTCTGATAAATAATGGTAATGATTCTAAATCGGCAAAGAAGCTCTTGCGACGTCCTTTATGTTTACTTCCAAGGCTGATTTCATGTGTGAAGTAGTCGTAATATGGCTATACTATATTAGATAACTCTTTCAGATGTGAAATTACTCACCTCTTCACCTGCGAAGTAGACATCTACAGATTGTGCACCTTCATGAACGACTGGCTTGACGAGCAAACCTGAGTCACTAATATAAAACTGATCATCAATATCAAATCCACCGGCATCTGAAGGATGGACAACGAATTGTGGTCTGAGTATTGGTAAACCAGTCTGAGTGTTCTCCCTGAAAGAGGTATACCAAACAGGCAGAAGAGAGTATCTCAATCTTAGGACTTCTCTGACTATACTCTGATATGGTTCATCGAGTACATAAGGTTCCCTCCTCTTGGTATCAATATGGGCATGTGCTCTGAAAAATGGATGGAAAGCTCCGGTTTGATACCACCTTACGAGGTATTCAGGTTGAGGATTTCCGAAAAAACCACCAACATCAGCACCCGTAAATACGATTCCACCGATATTGTTAGCCAGATTCATCGGTGTCGCACTCCTCAGATGATCCCATGTTCCTAAATTGTCACCTGTCCAGACAGCACCAAACCTCTGGCTACCAGCAAAGAATGATCTCGATAACACGAAGCTTCTGGAATTCTTCTCTTGACGTTGTTCTAAAGCTTGAGAAGTAAGGTTGGCGAAGAGAATGCCATTTATGTTGTGTAAATCTCTGTGTTCAACACCGCCATAGAATACTGTATCCTTTGGCATTGTTATTTCAGGGCCATTGAATACTGCTGGCTCATTCATGTCGACCCAGGTGAACAGATCAGGTGTGGAATCCTTTTTTAAGTTACATAAGATAGGCTCCTTTGTTCCAAGACAACTTACCTTCCACTTGTCAAATTTAAATAGTGATATCCACCAATCCCAACTGGCTGGGTTGAACCTGCTTGCTGTTAATGAGAAAAGCCAGAAATAACGGTACTCACATATCAACCCACGAGGAAGACCCTGCCCAGCACCAACCTTCATATTCAGATTGTCCATCTGGTTTTTTGACAAGTACTTCTTTGTCACTAGCTTCATTAAAAACGTAGAATTCATCATCACGACTGAGATGCGGATCAACAATGTTGACAGTCTTGCGACCTTTACTAGCAATCTTATTGATCATATCAACAGGATCTGGGAACTTCTTTTTGTCCCACATGAAATACTTATGTCCATCTGAATACTCGATATCAAGCCAAATGACGTCAACAGGTGCATCAATCGAATCATAACCACTGACAACACCAAGCATGTCTTTCGATGTAAAGTAATTCCATCTACACTGGTGATGACCAAGTGAGAACTCTTGTGGCATTTGAGACACACCGGTAAGTGAGGCGTATTGTGAGAAAACATCCTCAATTGTTGGTCCTGGTATCAAGAACAGATCAATTATACCGGATTCTGAAATCCATTGGGTTGATGTTGACTCTTTTGTTGGATGCTTCACATCGATCCACATTTCCGCTGCAGATAAGAGAAATACGGCGAGAGATGATCGAGGGGAGTGTGCATGCATCAAAGGGACAGATCCATAGAGAGCCATCGGTGAATTGGCTTCATACTCGAAAACATCCAGATTGTACAGTCTGTATGGCTCGGTGTATGGCTTAGGATCGTCGACATATGGCACGCGTCGAGGTGAGCTACCGTCTGTAGGAGGTAATGCAAGCGGTGATGCGTGCTCTGGTATACCGTAGACATGCGAATGGCTTGGGAAGTTGATATCGATTGTGAAAGCCTCCGGACCTTTTGGCTTCGAGTCTGGTTTGTTGTTGAATGATTCCTCCCAGAGCCCATCCGTGTTTGGATCCTCGAATGGTTGCTCAGAGTGCCATGTGAAAGCCGAGTTATTATCAGTGTCTTCCGCGTCTTTGTGTCTAAAGTGCTCCATATGCAGGAGGCTCTCTCCGTTGATATCAACAAGTATCTCGCCCGATTGTGCGTTCTTTAGCTGTACATTCAGAGGGTTATGATAGACCTTGAGCTCCATTGGCTGGTTTGTCGATGTTTGGAAAGCCAGATTGTCTACATCGTCATATGATGTGATCTTAACGCTGGAGGCTTGCATCAGTTCAGGTTGGTCAACGAGAATATATGACGCCGTTTGGTTGTATCTTTGATATAAACCACCGCTCTCGTCCACCCTGAGTCTAATCAAGCCATCCTTGAGTACATCGACAGCCAAATCGAAGGCAATACCTTCTGGTGCCAGTCGATTGTTTAGTTTCCAGGTATATGATGCTGCTTCATCCCCTAGCTGTTCTAATCCTCTAGTAATTGCGTATGGTGACTCCCAGACACTTGAGTTTGTCTTTCTGTCACTCAGACTCCGTAGTCTGCGGCAGAAACTGGATTGTTGACATTTTTTGAAGTCGTTCTGCTTCACGCATTCTGCTATACCTAAGAATAACGCTATTAAAATCCCCAAAAACGTCACCCTCATCGTCGTTCTGATAAACTTCTCGCATTACGTTCATGTCGACAGCGATTACGCCTGCGAAAGCCAAAGAATTGCAGGTTTCATCGACGACTCCCGGATTATCGCCATTCACTGCCAGACCGCGGCTTCTCTGGCGTGGTTGTCTGCTTTCACAAGGATGGCCACTTGAGGGTGTGTTTTGGCGTAATTGACGTAAAAATAAACTTAGTACTCATTAGGCGTATGTTTTACCACGAACATTCTCCCTTTACCTTCCCCTATGGTCGACGGCTCAGTCCAGGACCTCACACTGGCTTTAGAAATGACGCGACATCAGCCTCTACATATTCGCGATAGATTGAACTTAAATATGGAAAAATGGACGATTGAGAATACAAATATTCGGGTTTGGATTGATCCACGTGCTATTATGACCGTAAAATGGATTGAACGCATCTTCGGTAATCCTTTGTCTTCAAGTACGCATCTACACGCTGTTATAGTTTCTATAGATGATATAGCGGAGGATCCAGGTGCGTTTATATGCTTAAAGTAGCAATAACCCATCTGACACATTCAGATCCTTCGAATGAGTTTATAATTTTTCATGACACAGTAAACGAAAGTTTAAACATCGGACGGCGGAGAAAACGTGAAAAGGAGAAGGCTAATGTAGCCAGACCTGATGATCCTTTGCCCAGGAGTAGGTGACTTGATTTATGTGTGTTCTTTGTTAATCATCTAATAGCTATCGTACCTGCACAACCAAAGCTTGCACCGTTAGACAGATTAAATGTTCGTAAATCCTCCAGCGAGCTCTCAAGGTTATTCCCTACTCGACCATCTTCGTCAAGGCAATCCTCATCCGATAAGGACAAATTACAAATGAAACCACCAGAAATGAAGCGCAAACGAAGCTCACTTGTCCCAAACACATCATCAATATCGATTGAGTCACGAGCCGCTTCACCAGCATCCAGTGATAACAGTGTATTTGGCACACCTACCAATAATCAAACTGAAACAATAAACAAATCATCAATAAAAAAGCAGATGATAGCAACATTTGCAAATTACAATATTACAAGATCACATCCTGAGTTTAATGATTTGTGGTCAATATGCAACAAAGGAGTCGCATTTGCATTAAGGCATAAAATAAACATGGATATTATCGAACGGCAGCAAATTGACAGCATTGTTCTTCAGCATTTATCAATATACCTCCCAATCAGACCTTCATCGAAGGTTGTACAGTAAAATAATTTATAATGCATATTCCTTGATGGTAAGAACTGAACGATTAGTCGAAATGATAGCTGAAACTATTTAATTCGATATCTCTATAGCATTGCATGTAAAGGTGACTAATAACTTAGATAAAATTAATCATGACAAGAATAAAAGGATTTTACGAGAGAAATTAAGCATTAATCTTTGCACTCATTTCTGCTTGCAAAAGAAGTCCATGTGGGCTGTCATTTCTAGGCATAACGACTTCCAAAAGTGTCAGCTTTGATGCGCTAGCAAAGTCTTTATCATTCAGGACTCTGTCAAGTTCAGCTTTAGTTTTGACCTGCAAGCTCTGATGTTCAACGCGCTTCTGCTTGGAACCTTCTGGTGGAGAAAGCGCTTGCAGAAGAAGTTGATGATCAATATGTGAAATATCGTTGTATTTCGCAGTTTCACCGTGAATCTTCCTCTCAATTTCATAACCATCATTGCTTAGAACAACAATAATTGGCTTCAGATCGAGTCTCAACATCGTCGCAAGTTCTTGAAGTGTTAGTTGAAGACTACCATCACCAATGAACAAAATTGTACGCCTTCCTTGATCGCGAGCTGCGATAGAAGCACCCAACGCGGCAGGTAAGGAGTAACCAATTGATCCCCAAAGAACTTGCGATATTGACGTTACTTTGTCTGGTAAGTTGACATCCTATGATGATATCAGCATAATGTCTCACATAAAACAACAACATACTAAGATACCAAATGAAGATGTGCCCGTTTCTGTGAGAATGACATCTTTCGTTTGGAAGAATCCATTAGCGAATCTTGGCCAGAACCAATCATGGGTAATCGGTGTGTCAAGATTGCCCTTGTACTTGTTGAGGACTCCGAAACTGCACTCATGGCGAGCTTTCTTAGCATTAATAAATTTCTCTGCCTTTGTAGGATCAGGTTTTGCAAATTTCTTGAACTCCTCCGTAATTTTTGGCAAGACAACTCTCATTGGGACACCTGGGTATCTAGCATAACCAATAACTGTGAAATCAGAATGAAGTTCAATAACTTTCTTGTCACCCAATGTGCCACTCCATCCACCTGTGTTGAAATCTGATGAAAGAGCACCGAGGTTAATAACGAGGTCACTAGCTTCAGCTAGTTCTTTGACTTCAATTGGGTTCGAGACTGCTCCTACATAGGTACCACCGAAGTTAGGATGTGAATGATCAATCGCACCCTTTCCCATTGGCGTGTCAAAGAATACCATATTTCCTGCTTCGATGAGGGCCTGCGATTCTTTCTCAACACCATATCTCAGAGCACAGGCATCAATAACAACTATTGGGTTCTTTGCATCTCTAAAAAGTCTCGTAATTTCATCAGCAACCGCTTCATATGCCTTTTGTTTTTCATTCTCATTAGCAAACACGGTAGAATCAGCTTCAATGCGACCTCTGATCTCATGAGCATTTGGTAATGGTTTCTTGAGAGGTGCGGAAGGAATTTTAACACTGACTAAATCAGTTGGAAGTGATAGATAAACTGGTTTGCAGTTAGTGATAGCATGTAAGATAAGTCTGTCGATTTCTTGACCAGCACCTTCAGGAGATTGGAGGAACGCTTGTGCGGATGTTATTTCGCGTGCTATATTTGCGAATGCACTGTAGGATGATCTTGTCGCTGCAAGAGTATGATGTAATACCTTGCTTGAGTTCATGATCGCCGTGCTAGCAACACCGACGATGTGTAATATTGGAAGTCTCTCTGCCATTGATCCAGCTACACCGTTGATGGCGCTAAGTTCACCAACTCCGGAGGTTGTAACTAGTGTTGCGAGACTCTTACTTGTTCTGGCGTACGCATCAGCAGCATAGGCTGCATTAAGTTCATTGCAGTTACCAACCCAGTCCAATCTCGGGTGATTCTCAATGAAATCGAGAAATTGCAGGTTAAAATCCCCTGGTACACCGTATATTGGCTGACGACCGCCCCCGCCGAGTTGGTCGATTCTAGTTACAAGGTATTCTGAGATAGTTACTGTATCTCCTACGTTTGGCTTGTCTACTTGAGGTGCTAAATCCATTTTTATTAGTTGATAGTTTATTTCTAAGAGTGGCTATTGCTATCCACGTGTACGTCATTATATATTACACTCATAAGGTACGACCGAGGCGTCGAAATAAGTCTTATGAGAATGTGTTAAACTTAGCCGAGTGTGACTAGAAGTTTCCGTATTCTATCCTTTCCTCCGAAATAAAAAGTTTTTGTCTTCTCCGAAATACAGTAAACCATTATGACGCAATTCATTGTATCTAAAACGTTTATTTATATATGCGAAAATTCGCTTATTAGATACAGTTATACACAATTAATACAACATGCATCGTTCCTAGCTCAGTCTGTTGCTTTGTATCACACGAGGTCGACTTCTACTCATGACATCGCTATTCCCGCGGCGAAAAACAAGACCTCGGTTGCAGACAACACGTTAGAATAATGAAATACCCAATATGAAATAAAAACTACAAACTTTTATCTAAAAAACTAGAAGACTATTAGGGTGAAGTAAAGTAGAATCGGGGGATATCGCTAAGCTGCGTCTTCATCTTCTTCGAGAATGACGGTATCATCGTTAGCTTGGTCTGACTGTTGTTGTTCAGCTGTATTATCATAATTTTCAGCATCAGCTTCATCAGCCGCATAGAAAAGCCAGTGACACTAGAAAATTACTCATCAGAATGCGTGAAGTAAGCAAATTAAAGAAACACACCTGAAGAATGAATATCTTAACTAAGTTTGACACATGACCGATATTGCTCATACTAGCCATGAAATTTCCGGGACCTGCTGGAGGTTTGAGGATGTTTGGACCAAATACAATGGCGAGATTGTGAGCAAACATCTGATTTTGATCCTCGTAATCAGTGACCCTGTGTAAATGTTAGACGTTTGCTATTCGAGAAAAATCGATACGCACTTCTCTAGATGCTCTGACAATCTTCTTAGCAAGGTGAAATGAGTTCTAGGCAAATTCCAAACGAGCTCGCGAATAGCATAGAGGCGCTCTTCGTATTCTGGGATCAAGACTGCCTGGATGAAGCTTGGATACATGGCGTATGGTACGACTGGTTCAGGAAGTTCGCGTAAGTATAGTTTGAGTATACCACTGACGGAATGAACGTCCCTTGCGTCACCTTCACTCAAATTAACCGCTGAGGCGTCACTATCGAATGCATCCTTGAGATTGCTAATCGCGCTTATTGCCCCACTTAATCTATATATACCAGTCTCAAGCAGGCCTCTTTCCTCAATCTCGTTCAAACATTTATCAACGATGATAGGAATTTCGCCGTTCTTGACTCCTTCATCACCAAGCTCTCTCCTGACGACTTCAGACAAGTCAACACCGAATACTATATTATGTCAGAATGAATGATCATTTAATGTAGAACTCACCAGCTTGTGGTTCTCTCTTAGCAGGAACGGATGGTGCAGGCGCAGGAGTTTGCGACTGAGCTTGTAATTCACTCGCAGGTATGTTATTTGGTGCAATATAAGTAAGTCGCTTCGCTGCTGAAGTTTGACTAGCTCTGGAGATAACCTCTATCCATTCCTTCACATCAGTTGCTGATGTACCTTGGAATAAGTAATTTGCGCCATCTTCTGAAACAATCTGGAACGTGTAACTGCGAGCATTGTTGACGAACTCGGATACTCTTGCAGCATGCAGTGTGATTACCAAAGCAGGTTTATTCGAAGGTTCAAAGTCTAATTCAGAGAGTCTCTTCCTTGGGGCTTCAGAAGGTGGATGCTGTGATGAGCCGAACGCAATTGAAAGCGGTCTGAAAGGTCTAAGTAACGCAGTCATGCGTTTACCTTGTCTAGATTTCTTTATCGTGTTTGAACTACCGATGCTTGTCGCTGAGGTCGAAGAAGCTGTTCTACCATGTTTCGTTAAGAATGACATTGAAGCTGCTTTTTGTATCTCAATTTCACGTTTCTCAAGAGCCGCCAAATCATCACGCTTTTCGCGTCTCATACGTTCAACTATTGTCACATCTCTCTTCTCCTTCTCCTGTTGTAGTTTGGCGATACCTGAGAAAGCATAGGCATTTTCTACTAGGATTCCCTTAGTGTGCGCTTGTATAACTTCCCGACTTGCATCTTCATGTATCTGTTTGAGAAGTCCACCAGAATTCTCGGAATCTCTAGCTTGAGATTTTGATATCAGTTCATTTGACTGCTTATCCATCAATTGGAGTAAAAATGATATAGATCCTTCGTCTTCACTTGAGAGTACACTCTGTTGGCCAAGCTGAGGAGCATTGCAGCTAAAGTTGAAGAGGTATCTCCGTTTATCGAAAGACACAACCTGACCAGTGACATTCTCATCGTCGCGGACATCCAAGATAACTTCTAACATACGTTCCCAAATCCAACCAAGATCAACGGCGCATGGACGCTCACGCTCGCGGAGACTTGAGTTACTCTTCCGTTTCTCGCTTTCTGGGGTATCAGGGAGCTTGATAAATGTCGACAGTGATTCGAGATTCGCATTTCGGTTTGCTGATACTTGGGCCCAGGCGCCCACATGACTTCTTGATTCTGGAGTTACCAACGCAGCTACCAAAGCGCCCTCAACCATGGATTTTATAGTGGATGCCGAGATGTCATTTGCAGATGGTAACACGCTTTGTACGCTTGAACCGAGGTTACCACCAACTCTAAACGATACTTCCTCGCCATTCAAGCATGTCATTCGTGATCTACATATAGAGATAGCATCCAACATGATTTCAATTCGCTTAGATCTTGCTTCCAAGCCCAATCCAACTTGGGATATCATATTAGTTGCCCACTTCCGAACAATCATTGTGGCTTTGTGAGCAGCTCTAACACTTGCTGGTAGTCTCCTAGCAATACTCATATCACCCTCACCTTTGACGATATTAATATAGGTGTAAATATCTTGGATTGATAGATTTTCTTGAGCGAGACTGTAGTTGGTATCCTGAAATTTACTAGCAAACCAGCCTTCATTCTCATTTACTTGAGTTTCAAATAATTCTGCCGTTGCAACAAGGTCTTGCTCTGAAATGTTTCTCAAAATAGCTGAACCAATTTGATCCAATGCGTCGACGATCTCTTCAGCAGTCCTGTTATCCATATTTTCGACTACTGATGCAGCTTCGAGAATATCCTTGGTTTTGTTGTCCGAAGATTTCTGCTTATTCGGCTGTTCGGCGTGTTCACTCTCAGACGCACAAGGATTGCTATTCGTTTCTGATTTGAGGTTTGTTGTTTCAGTTGTTCCTTCATTATTCGATATCAAATCTGGGCGTAAAGCCTGTCTGATAAAGAACTCGTAGAGTGATTGCATGGCACGCTGAGTGGTCTGCAAGGAAGCTAATTGGTCCTCACTATTGTGACGTTCTTGTGTCATAGTCTGACCGCTTTTGAGGAATGTAATCAAGCCAGAGAACAGTAATTGCTCATCCAGCGCATCTTGCAATCCACCACCAAACTCTAACCAGAATCTCAGAGCATCGATAACACCAACTCTGACTCTCGTGACTTGCTCCCATTCAATTTGATCAAATGGTATCCGTTCTGACTTCCAAAGTGGGAAGTGAACTTCTGAAGCGACTAATGATAATTCTGGTGAGACATTTGGCGCGCATTCAAAGCGTTTCTGTAGTGTCTGTAGATAACATTAGTATTAAACTTATATAATAGATTTCGAAATACCTCAAATAACTTCAACGGAGGACATATACTTCTGAATGTAGCAAAGAAAACATCAGCGTACTCGGTCAAGTCCATTGAAAATCGGATCTTGCCTTTACCAGCTGTGGATACTTCCAAACCACCACCCATATCATCAGCAGACGTTCTTTGTACACCTAAATGATCAATACCGAGGATGAGAACATCAATAAGACGATCTAAGTTACCACTTTTAACATGGACCCTCAAATAAGCCTCGTTACTATTATTGTTCGTACTGAAATTGCTATAATTTGAATAGCGTTGACTAGGCGTACCCACGACACTTTGACGTCTGATAGATGCAGCACGACCGAGGGCTCCAGTCGTACCAGTAGCTGTGGAGAAATTTGACACACTAGCATGGCGAGAAGTAGCACGAGATTCGATGAGAGACGTTGGTCTTGATCCTTCTTCACCTGTGCGTGAAGCTGGTACACTTGGTCCATCAGTCCTTGTATGGCCACTGGTGGAAGTTGCTACTGATAATCTGTGTGAGACGCTGAATCTTTTGACGAAGGATGATTCATTTGGTAATGCCTTGATAACCAATTCACCATCACATAGATTGAAAAGAGTTTCTGCACCACCGGCTGCCATTTCCTTCATAGTTCGCTGGAATGCCATACGTCGATTCTGAGGTTCATGAATGTTCTTAGCTGCTTTCTCGATAGCGAGGAGCGGTGTTTGACCGTCTTCATTCTTAGTCATTCTGCGTGAAGACTTACGCTTGAGGTCAATGTCAAAGCTCCTTCTCCGCAGCTGAAGCGAATGTGTACGGACTATTGGTTGAGACGGTTGACTTGAAGCTGGAGTTATAGAGCTGATAGTATTTGACGAATCAGCACTATCCAACCTTGTCATCTTTGGCCTCGACTGTGGTGCAAACAACCTTTCATTCGCTTCTGTGGCAATACTGTTGGTATCACTGAAGGTTATATATGCCAGTGTTGGTGGAAACGTCAATGGAGTTAACGGGTTGACACTGAGTTGCGTAGGTGGTTTGTAGTCGGTAGGAAGTGCCGGTAAGGCACTCGCAATGGAATCTTCTGGTTTGTGTGTCTTGCGTTCCGCAGGTGCGTTAAGTAATCTGCTTTCACAGCTAAGTGAATTTCCAATGTAAAGAGATATCCTATTTTTGTTAGTTGGGAGGTTTATTATTTCCATCAAATACTCACTGAGGTAATTGTGGTATTGGTATCAAAGACAAGTACTGCCATAGAGCAGCGAATTCGACCAATAAAGCAGCAGATCTCGGTGCTACAGTGGTATCACCTTCATGACTACCAACGGCAACTTCCTCATCGTTTGTACCGATCGTATCGCGGCTACTCTTATGATTCAAGCCAAGCTTGACGCTATGTCCTTTATAAGCTTCCTCAAATAATGCGAAGGATTCATATAACCTCTTGCGTGATCTGAAGAGAGGTGTGATCTGTATCTCATCTGTGCTATGAGCATCAAGCGTTGGTTTCACGTCATCCAATAATGTTCCAAGGTAAGGTATAGATGCTGACGTGACATGAACTGATGGCAAAGCTGCTGGTCTTACTTTGCTTTTTGGTGTGATGGTGTAAGTAGGTATTGATGTAGCCGGCTTAACCTTAGCTTCAGTTGTAGTTTCAGCTTCGTCCACAACACCTAAATCTGCCAATGTAGCTGCCCATCTTGAAACCGTGTTACGTTCTTCACGACCAATACGTTTCCAGGTGCGCGCTAATCTTGAAACAGCTCGCGAGCAGAGACCCAAAGCGACAGCTGCCCATCCCGCGGCGTCACCAAGTCTTTCCAATGACATACCCACTCTTATCCAGTGGACTATCAATGTTGCACGCAGAGCAGTTGGAGAAGAGGTTGTAGCTGCGACCAACGATCTCAGTTGACCTAGTGAACTTATACCCTCCAAATTTAGCGGCTGTCTTGAAAGGATGAGAACATGATGCAGGATCAATCTTGTCAAGAAATGTGGTTTGGCTGGTGAGAAAGACAGGAGTAGCAATGGGTTAGTATCATCGGATTGCTGACATAATCCCCAGAAAACCTCCTGTCTTGCTCTCAATTTGTCACCACCACGTTTATCGAGATATTCACCGAGACCACGAATACGTTCGACATGATAAGAATGGACTTGGCGACCGATTTCACGAGGTTCGAGGACCAAGAATAAGGCTGGTGTTAAACCAGCGTTAGCGAGATGCTTCGAAACCTCAGATCGTAGCACCTGTGGAGATGACGCGTCATGATTAAGTCTAGATTGATAGTCTGTTGGTGTGAACATTGGTGGAATTTCACGAGCATTGAAAAGTTTTGGATGAACAGCCTTTACGAGATCGTCGTCTTCCTTGTTTGGAGGTCTACTTTTAATGGCTTCGATGAGATTGACGACTAATCTCTTTGCTTGTTCATCTAACTGTAACATTTGTACGACCACGAGGTATCTAATAATGAATGGCAGAATCACGCGTTGGATGTATTCGCCATTTGGAGCTTCCTGTAAAGCAGTATTTGCACATTTCTGAACTTCATTGAAGAACCTAGTCGATGTGAAATGCTTTTCGAGTATCGCTGAGTAGTTGAATATAACGCTTTCTACGTAATCGTAATGTTGTTCTGGATGGTGTTAGGTCTGATAAAAATCAATAAATTTTACTTACCATTAGACGAGGATTGAGTACCAAAAATCATTTCATGGACGATTGCCTCTGGACTACCACCGATCACTCTTTCGTCAGTTGCGCTCTCATCAATGACAAGTCCAGGATGCTTGCTCTTGCCGTAATAAGCGCGCGATTTTTGTGCTGGACTTTGTTGCTGAATAGGGGCACTTGGTATAAGTCTATGAGGGAAGAAATCCTTGACTGCGTTTGTCTTGTCAGAGGATGGTATCTTGTACAAGAAGAGTTTGTTGTTCCTCAAAGCTACTTTAAACGGTTTCCAATTACGTGATAATTCGGCCTGTGTCTTGCGAGATGGCATATAATCGACCTTCCTCTGTAAAAATCCCGATCGGAGAGTGATCTGAGACGATCTCTTCTCTGCCCGTTCTTGGTTCCAGAAGTCGTTATCTCTACCCGGTGTCGGTGAAGGTGGATCATCACGGTTGTTCAACTCTGTCTCAAGAGTGCGATTAGTTGTTGTGGTAGGTGAGACAGATGTGTCGTCATCGCCAGATCTCTTGTTAGGTATTGGGTAGAGTGTCGGATGTGATGATGTGGGGGTGACTATATTGTCGTGTTCAGGTGTAGGCGATCCCCTAGATGGAGATTCCAAGCTGGAGGACGAGGACTGTGGAATTGAAGTAAGCGGGGTTGGATTTCCGAACAAAATAGATTGGGCAGCGAGTGAGGACTTTCTCTGTGGCCTCTGATTGATATCTCCCGGCGTAAGCGATTGGTTATTCTCCTCTATTGGGTATACAGCCATTGGAAGGGAGATCTTACGAGTTCTGAGAGATGACTCGGCAAGATCTCTCCTGGGCTGTTGCTGAGATAGCTGATCATTAAAGCTGTTTAAATCGTCTACGGATTTTGAGTGCTTTTGTTCACCGTTGCTATACGGCTGGTTGAAATGCAAAGAATTCGACTGCTGTATAGATTTCTTGCTATTAGAGGGCTGTAGACGCTTCAAGTAATTCACAAAGTTCGGCTTTGTCTCGTCATCCTTTTTGAACCTCCTCATTGTCCACCTTGAACGAGTCGCGTACGTCCACTTTGAGCACGTCCATCGCTAAATATAAATTTGTAAAATAAATAAACCGTAGAGATCTATATTAGAACCTACTCTTTCTTACTGCATTTCCCTTTTCTCTTCTCGTGGGTGGAATTTCTGACAGCTCGGAGCATCTAGCTATGTTGAAGAGATATACTAGCGATGTCTATACCATTGGATAGCGCTCCATCTTTTTAGCCTATTCCGACTATCTATTTAGCATTTTTTCTTGTGCGATCTTTATCTTGATTTTGATCTCTAATCTTTTCGCTCCTCTCTCGATCTCCGTGAAGTGTCAGTGATCGTTGCCGTATTCTGAAGTAGATAATATCTACATCAGCTTGATAGACAATTATCTCTATAACAATCCTCTGAGTCAGACCACCATCAACTATATATGAAGCGATACTTGTCTTCATCCGCGAGACTAGCCAGAACTGATTACTGGCATCAACAGCGAGTGGGTTCAGTTATTATCTCTACTACATTCTTCTTATCTACCTCATAGGACCTTATCTTGTCTGTTCTCAACGCTAGACCATCTGCTAGAGATTCCAAGTCTTTCCTGGCGTCGTTTAGGAAACCACAGAAGTCAACTAACGGCGATGTTAATCATAGTTTGCCTATCAGGGCTCTCAACGAGATTGATCCCACAACACCGTTATCTACTACAACTACAGCCCCAGAGGATGAAATATTAGATCCTATAAACCCACGCACAGGTTTGGTTAAATTACAAGGTCCATTCACAGATAGGCAGCTCGATAGTATCGGATTCGGGATGAATCATCTGCGAGAATTGGGTCTTGTCAGTGTAGTAGTTGTCGATTCAGAGTTATGGTCGATAGAACGTCTCAAGCGAGCTAAGAATAATGGACCAGTAGCAGTTAGTCAATTGATGACTGACATTAGGGAGGAAGTCATACGTGTAACAGAAACCCTGATCGAAGAAGGAAGCGAAGCAATACCAATTTTACACCCAATAGCGCACTTAGATAGCTCCCCTAAATGCTTACCACAATGGGCCACTTCTCGTCAACATCAAAAAGCCAGGCACGCTCCTGAAACCTGTCACATTAATTTGTCCGATTTGGTACAAATCCGCAAAGCGATAAAGAAACGTATCACCCCAGTTATTCCTTCATTTGCAATAAATGATGACCTCAAAACGATACCTGTACATGCCGACGAAATACTTGTCGCACTCTCAGAATCATTGGTTGAAGCGCAATCACAGAAATCTGAAGAAGCTAAGAAATTAACAATGGATATATCACCTTTAAGATTGCTAATTATCACAAAAACAGGTGGTATACCTTCACCCGCACGTTCTGGTTTACCTCACTTATCTATAAACCTCTCTAGCGAACACGAACACATTGCATCAACATTCGTATGGGAATCTTCCCATCCATCGGCTCTCACAAACTTATCTCTTGCGCGTAGATGCTTAATGAATATGCCGCAGTCGTCAACCGCACTCATCGTTGGACATCGTTCTGCAATGGAACTCGTCGCAAATTTGATAACTAACAAACCCGCTCATTCAGCTTCTTTACCCCACGAACTTCTCGTTACATCAGATAAGATTACTACACATACTCCTACATCTGTCAGATTAGGTGCTCCTATACAGTGTATTCGCAACTTTGATGATATTGATCAAGATAAATTGACTCATCTTCTTGAATCATCTTTCAAGAGAGTTCTTGATAGAGAAGCATTCTATGGACGACTCAAAAAATCACTAGATTTCGTCATTATCGCTGGAGATTATGGCGGATGTGCGATAGTCACTAATGAAGTTGACCCAGATAATGAAAATGCCGAAGCTATCGCCTATTTAGATAAGTTCGCTGTCTTACCATCTATGCAAGGGGATGGTACAGTTGACTTCCTCTGGTTAGCCCTTCGAGATGAGAGTTTCGGTTTGGGATTACTCGATGCTCTCAATACAAATGGCGGTCTAGAGGGTAAAGGTGTTGGTAAAGACCTTGTATGGAGATCTCGTGGGAATAATCCTATCAATAAGGTACGTTATGTATAAATATCATTCAATCACTAACATAAACCTAGTGGTACTTCGAACGTGCAACGGGATTCTTGAGGGTTGAAGGTAAAACCGAAGCAGCGAGAAAGGCAGGTGGATGGGTCATGTTTTGGGCTGATGCCGAGGACAAACTCGCTAGGAAATTGAAAGGGAGACATGCAACACCATTGGCACCAACAGGTGTTTCTTTACCTGGAAGTGAAGGTCTCAGTAACCCTTCGCTTGGTCTCTCATTGATAGAAGACGAGGAGCAAGGACGGCTACTCGTTTATGAAAAAATTGCAGCAAATATAGCTTCAAGTTGGAAGTAATAGAGTTATAAAATACATAGAACAACACCAAGTGTACTGACATTAAACATATTCTTGTATCATTAATTAAGAAATTCACTGGCTAAATATCAGCTTGAGATTTTCAATTCTCTCTTGTCGATTCTCTTCTGATGATTTACCACCAAGTGCGTTATCAACTAACGCGGATTTGCGTTTCTGTATATGCATTACACGATCTTCAATTGTATCCTCTATGCAGAATCTCACAACGTGAACATCCTTCTCTTGACCTATTCTATGAACTCTATCAATTGCTTGTTTTTCTATCGCTTCATTCCACCACACATCCATCATGAACACTCTATTTGCGGATGTGAGGTTTAGACCGACACCACCAGCTCTCAAACTTATAAGCAAAATCACGGTTCCATCATACCTATCTAGCTCATTGAGAACAATTTCACGATTTTTCTGAGATGTTGAACCATCGAGTCTCAAATACTTAAAATTATCTTCTTTCTGTAGAGAGTCTTCTACTAAATCTAAAAATGATGTGAATTGGGAGAAAACGACAGCCTTGAAATTTCCTTCGTTTTTGCGTAACTGGTTGAGATGCTCAGTTAATGCTCTTAATTTGGCAGATGTTTGGAAATTGTGTGCTTTACGCAGTCTGACTACTTGATCATTCTGTGATGTAGGCTCGCCGTAAACTACTTCAAGTAGCTGGTCTGTTCGTATTGGACCCACACGGCAGGTCGGACAAGACGTCATTTCTCCTTTATCTTCCAACTTGTCAAAGTATTCCAAAACGCATTGCTTACAACTGAGATGTGTGAGCTTCTAGGATCGAATTGACATCTTCCTACCTTTTATGCATGCATGGAAGCAATACTGGTATAGACATGTTTTCAAAGCATATCTAACAATATCTTTAGACAGTTTCTGGGAGAAATATAAAACTCACAGGGCATTCATTTTCCTCTTCATCGACCTGGTCATTGTTGTTTGCTTGTGCAAGATCATTAAGCACTTGTTGTGCATAATTTGAATCACCCCCAGCGGCATACTTAGCAATCATCGACTGTATATCAATACCTGTAACACCGCCATCATCTTCATCGACGCCCTCACTATCATTCTCCTTGTTATTACCACCAGAAGTCACTAGAAAGGGATGTAAAGCCGCTTGACGAAGTCTAAGCAACATTGCAAAAATATTACTATAATTCTTCAACAACATCCCTTTATGACTCAAAGCATCAAATTTACGTTTAGCTTTCTTGTATATCGCGTTGTATATTTGTCTTTCCTCAGGTGAGAACTCCAATTTAACAATATTGACAAATTTCTTTGGAAGTGTGACGATTGGTTTGCCATCACTGTCTTTCATATTCTTTTCTCTTCTTAGTAAACAGGATGACATAATTACCTGTATCAATTCGATTGCTTTTGGATCTTGATTGGCGAAAGGAGCGGTAACAAAGCTCTTAAAGAAAGTGAAATCTGACCATGGTTCTACCTTCAAGTACTTCAATAGCGAATAAAGGTCTTCAAGTCGATTGACGATAGGTGTACCTGTCAAAGCCCATCTTCTATACGCAGCTATCTCAAAAGCAGCCTTAGCGTTTAGTGTTGACCTATTCTTGATATGATGGGCTTCATCAAGAACCACTCTGTGCCAATAAAAGTCAAAAACTGTTGGAATAGACACTGGTTCATCTGAATGTTTCGAGAAGGCTTGGTATTCACTAATAAGAACACCATAGCTTGTTATAACAATGTTGATGGCATTGGAATAATCAATGACATTGCCATCCTTATCTTCTTCTCTAGCACGCATCTTCAATTGCTTCTCCAGGTTTCCACGGTTATCGCCATAGTACATAATCGTACGTATAGTGCCTTTCACTGAACAACGCTCTATTTCATCCCGCCATTGTCCAAGAAGAGACATAGGAACGACAATAAGGGTCGAATCACTGAGCGCCTTAAATCCTCCTGGTTGTCTAGCAGGACCAACCTTCTTTGCTGTTTTCTTCGTCGATTTCTCTTGTTTCCGCCTCTTTTTTGGTTTTTCATCCTCATCATCGCGATTTTCTTGGCTTTTCGTGAGCTTGTATTCTTCATCTGAATCCGACTGGTCTATTTCCACCGGTTTATTGGTTTTAATTGTATCCAAAGTTTGTTGTTTACCGCTGGTAGATATATGCTGTTGTTTATGCCAAGACATATTCACTCTTTTATTGTGATGCATAAGAGCTGTCATCATGATGGTTTTACCCATACCCATTTCATCTCCCTCTATACCACCTCTCAATGTTTTACTAGCTGATGGGAAGATAGTGGATAATTCGCCCGCTGTATGACATGTCAGAGCTGTAACCCTTTACATTTTGTACTCACAGTATGGATTGAAATAGAAGTAATCGGGTTCGCCATTGGTTTCCGAGTGATTTCGATAACGGTATCTACGGTAATTAGCTGATAATTATAGAGTAGCAAATCACTCACTTCTCCCAAAGAGGATGTAGAACTTGCGCATGTGGCTCATTAGAACCGCTTTCCATGGAAGTCATCCAACTAGGTTGAAGTTATAACATATCGGCAAGATAATCAAAGACCCACCTCAGAGCCTCCCTTTGATAATTGCGCAGTGTCAAATGAAAACTGTCCGGTGGATCGATCGGCTGTAAATTCCTACCAGTATTACCCGCCCGACTATAGACAACGCTGAGCTGCTCATCATTGACCTTATCTTGAGCATTCTCATCATCGCGACTATCACTGGAGCCAGCACTGGCTGTTTTCTGTATGGGTGGCGCACAGTCCTCGTCACTACTGTCATCAATATTGATAACATTACTGTCCTTTTTGTTTACTTTATCAGATTTATTAACTTGTGATGCAGCTTGTTTAAAATGTTCTACTTGTGATTTATTGTCTATGATTGTACCTTGTTTTCGATGCTTTCTCGTTATATCGTTGCTCTCTACTGGTTCTAAATGGGAGTTTTGGAAAATCTTCATTAGAGCATCCCGGCGGTCAGACAACTGCTTTTCTTGTTCTGTCTCTTGACTTTGCGAGACTTTATTGGATCCCGAAAGATTATCTGTTTTCTTTGTAAATGCATTTGGATGCAGGTAGACTTGTAACGAGAGCACGATTGTGTCTCCACTTCTGAGTGTATCTTCGCAATCTATTACTATACCAGTGAGCTCTATAACCTTTATTGGAGTTGTCAGATGTGATTTGTAGAACAGTATGAACTAACCTGTTTATCGATCAACTTGGACAGATAAGAAGAATGGTTCGATGGTAGTCTTCCAACTTCAAATCCACGCGTGTTTCTAAATCTTCATACGATATTGTTAACTATTGAGCATATTAGATGACAGAAACCTACCTCATTACCGTGTTCTCGGATTTCCTTGATGATTTAGCTGCAAAACCCTTCAAGGTTGTTTGTTTGGAGCTCTCCTGGGCTTTATGTAAGTGAAAGCTAGCGCCTGATTGAAAACCTACAGATTTTGCTACTTTAGTCTTTACACCCTTATCTCTCTCAATGATAACTTGCTCGCCACTGCTGATATACGCTTTACCATTGACGGTAGACCATCCACTGATCATTATCTCACCAATAAATCTCTTACAACGCGTGTCTACGGCCTCTACTTCCACCACACTAGCTGAATCTGCTCTTTCTAGTTTACGTTTGCTGGAAGTTGTAGCGATAATCTCTAAATCGCTATCTTCCCCTTCCTCACTCTCTAATATATTCCTCTCAGCAACAATTTCCTCTTGTTCATCTTCAGAATCGAAGAAAAGTGGCGTATCAGCCATCTTGATAGTAAGTTACTAAGAAAAATAAATATTAATAATAAATCTCTATTACAAAGTTTAGGAGCCTAAGAGGCTTCTGACTCTTCGAGTTCGCGCTTCTTCTGGCGTTTTTGTCTTTCTCGTTTACCAATCTTCTTTTTCTTGGCTGGTGGTTCTGATTGAGTATCATCACGTTGTCTCTTGTTCCCACTAGCTTGCTTACGTTTCTGGAATTCTTTTGGATCCTCTCCCCATCCAGCTCTTTCGTTATTGACTTTATGTTTGAATTCACGTACGCGAGACATCATACCATTTGCATATTTACCTTTACCAGAGTTTGCAATATGGTCTTTACGGTATGGTGCCATTCTCTTGACTCTCATCAATCTCGTGAGATCTTTGTCCTCAGCTCTGAGAATTTCGTCTGTCGTCAAGCCATAATTGTCTGGTACGACATTCGTATACTTGAACCTTGTCTTCAAGTCACCGATTGTATCCTCATAGTCAAGCTTGTAGTACTCATCGAGCCATTGCTCAAGAGCAGCCTGACGTTCTTCAGCTGTAGCTGGGATCGGTTCCTCTTCTTGTCCTTGCATGTGATCAGCATCCATATCAATGTCATCACCATCGTAATCCTCCTTGCTGGCATTCTTAGCCTCGGCTTTGGCTTTCTTCTTCGCCTTTTTGCGTTCACGTTTGGACATTGTTATTCTTCCATCATCTTGGTCGAAGTCTGCGTCCATGTTGATATCATCACCATCTTGGTCTTCAGCGTCGACGATATCTCCAATGTCAATATCATCATCCCAAGTTGGTTTTTCATCACCAAATTCATCATCATAGTCGTCATCATTTTCATATGCTTCCCGCATAGCTTTATCATGTGCATCAGGGTCGAACTCAGCATCAAGGTCGAGGTTCTCAAATTTGGATGCGTCTTCACCTAAAACTGCTAACTTGTGTTTCAATTCGTCCTTCTTGAGTGACTTAAGGCGCTTCAACTCCTCTTCACGTTGTTGCTTCTCCTTCTCCTTACGTTCTTTCTTAGCAGCACGTTGTTCCTTTCTCTTGTTGTCCGGACGACGAACTGTCGAATCAAGCTGTCTAGAGTGTGTCTTTACATCGTCACCTTGAGGCTCTTCAAATCTGAAGTTGTACTTATGCTCCCATTCATCTGCATGTTCGTCAAATTCCTCATCATCCTCGATTATCTCATGATTGGCGTTTGCACCAGAGAGATTGACAGATGTACCTTCTTCAGCAGCTTTTGCATCTGAAACAGTGAAATCTCTTGGTACTGAAGCAGAAGATCCTGGCATCCAACCTTGATTGAGGATGTAATCCATAAGAAATTTATCATCTTTTGCTTTTTGTTCAGCTTTTGATGGTTTAGCGGTAGTTTTCGATGATTTTTTGGATTCCTTTTCGATAGGCTCGCTTGGTTTGGATGCACTCTCGATTTCTTCTTTAGTGCTGGATATTCTCTGATCATCCAAACCTAAAGCTTTTCTGATTTCATCTTCACCGACGCTTTCAAGGAGGAATTTTCTATATGAGCCACGAGTCTGGTAGTTATCGTCATCTTCTACTGTCTTAGGTTTCAAGAAGTCATCCTCGTCGTCGTCGTCATTACCGTGAAAAGCGCTAGTGACTTCCTTCTTCAAGTTCCTCTGTTCTTGAACGTGTGTAAATGGTTGTAAGTTGTCATCCTCAGCGTCGTTATCTTCTTCATCTGAGAGCTCTCCCTTGAGAAGTTTCTCTCTCTCTAAATCAGCGAGGGTTAGAGGTTTGCCTGTAGACTTTGTACGTTTAACGTTCAATTTTGCTGCTTTGTCTTTGAGCTTCTTCTGCTCCTCTTCGAAAACCTTCTTATCTGAGTAAATGGAAGGATCCTTAGATTTCAAAAGAGAGAGCGTCTTTAAAAGTGCAGCATCAACGTCAGCAGTGAGTAATTCACCGTCTTCATCTTCTGAGGACATATCGCTGTCATCGCTCTCGTCGTCGTCTTCGAAATTGTCGCCATACTTTTCTTGTACTGTATGCAAGTTAGATAGGGTGAGAAGGTTTCTAAGAATGCCTACGCCTATGTAATTCAGCTCTCTGTTTATTATGAGTGAATCTATCTGCGAAATCCTGGTTTATTTTGAGCTCATCTCCGCCATCTAAATCCAAGTTCATCGTTGCGGAGAAACAACCAAGAAGGGGGAAAATGTCAACTTCTTCATCAGAAGAGGGTGATTTAAATGATATAATAACTCCATCTACCGTAGAAATGGATATTTTAGTAGAGAACGTCAACAAAATTAAAACGACGAAAACGAGGCATATACAGCGACCAGCGACTCAGAAAACAACGAAACAATCACCTAATACCCAATTAAAGAGGTTATCTCTACGTCCTACTATGAATCTACAGCAATCTCCCACGAAAGTAGTCAAGGCACCTACACCACCACCAGTCAATATCAAATCTATAGACGAAATCGTTAAAATGCACGCACCGTTATTGAAAGTAGAGACCCAGGCTTCGAAAGATGCTGAGAGGTTGGCTCATACCAGGATAACCTCAGACAATTCCTCAGTAAATCGTACATTAGCGTCTTCACCTTCACCTTCACATTCACCTTCAATGACCGACGCTAGAAGTGAATTAGATGCCGATAGACCAACTATAAAGTCGATACATGATATTATAAAAGAGCACTCACATTCGCTCTCTTCAAAGCACTCAGAAGGTTTCGATTACGATGATAGCGATAACGATGACGAACAGGATATACAGATCGACATAGAAGGTTTTCAGCCCCGCGATGAGAAGCGTAATGGTATATACAAACCTTCATACACTCATTCCTCTTATTCAGTTCATTCAAATAACAAATCACCTAGTTCTTCTACTAGGACACCATCAATAAACAAGACACCAGTGATAGATAAGCCTTATGAGGATGAATTTGATATAGATACCGTTCCTTCGTTAGCTTCCAAATCATGGATAGCTCAATACCTCCGTTCACCCAGGCTTACACGTCTTATAAAACTTCGAAGATTCCCTCACAATGGTCTACAAGTATCCTTAGCAGATGTCGGTAAGAAAGACGGTAATCCAGTCTTAGTATTCCTAGGTTTGGGATGTACAAGACATTTGATTAGCTTATATTCAGATCTCGCGAATACACTCAATTTACGTTTGATTTGCGTGGACAGATGGGGTTTAGGTCGGACCGATCCATCAACCTCCGACAAGAGAGGCCTAATCGAATGGGCTAATGTAATCGTCGAGATACTTGACGTTCTTGCAATCAAGAGGGTTGCCTTACTGGCACACTCCGCTGGAACTCCCTACGCTCTCGCATTGGCTTACACAGCACCAAATAGGATTCTTGAACCTGTTCAGCTGCTTGCACCTTGGGTCCAACCATCTGCAAGTCCAAAGGGTAATTGGAAGTGGTTGAAGCACGTCCCAAATGGCGTTCTCAAAGCTGCACAAGCTGCTGAGTGGAGAGTGGCTGGCTGGAGTATTGGTAAACCACCTCAACTGAAATATGAAGGCGTTGAGAATAAGCAAAGTGATGAAGAAGTAATTGACGAGTTCGCTTATCTCGACCAAGCTGATGGATTTGATGAGAGTGTGTTTGAGAGAAGTCATTCACAACCGAATGTACAGACATTATCAGCTAGTAGGTTCAATTTCCTTAACTAATTGATCAACTAACTGATACAAATTTAGCACAAGCTCCACAAAGGTCGTCTAGTACCCAGAATCTCAAACGCTCGAGGAAAGTTTCATTAAATAGCTCCACAAGATCTGGTCAAGAGTCCACTAGTGATGAGAAGCAGGTGTCAGTTGGTAGCGCTTTACTCGCAGCTTCACATGCAGAATCACAATCAGGTGGTGGAACAGCTCATGATTTGATGCTCATACTCAATAGAGGTAACAAACCATGGGGATTCGATTATAGGGATATCACAGCTCGTGTTCATATATACTGGGGAGACAGGGATGATAGGATATCCTACGAGGCTGTGAAATGGATGGAAGATAACATGGTTAGCTGTAAATTACAGCATTTACCTGGCAAAAATCACTCTTTACTAACTGACCCAATCGTTATTGCCGACGTACTTGAAAATCTCGCTGAGAAATATAACAATAGGATCAAAGATCAACAGAAAAAGACGACAAATTGAGGAAATTTGTTGATACTTTACATAATAGAATACTTATACCACTACTTTAACATTCCTTTTCAAACTATTCTATGGATAACTCTTTAATCAAACACGCAAGTAAACTTGTTGCCAAATTATTCGTTAATTTATTGTACTTTTACATCCATTTCTTATAATTACACATTCGAATCTAGTTTCTCAACCCAACTTTCAAGTGAGTAGTTCATTTTATTAAGTTCCTTCCAATCATGTCTGGCAACTGATCCACTTTCATCCCATTCCCAAGCGCTGCTCATGAGGTTACAATCGGTTGGTGACCAACTAACATCTCTGATTATTGGCCTTCTATTGTGATTTCCACTTCTTGAGCTGCCACTGGAATATTCCGGTGCACTAGGATCATTATATTTCCTACTCTCATGATTTTCCATATCCATAGCTAATTTTCTATCAATTACTTGAATTAACTCACCACTAATGCTCCATATGTATATCTTTCCATCAGCCGAACCTGAATATACGTATCGTCCACCAGTGAGACTGTCGGGTGAGAAACGAGCTCTAATTAGAGTCCTTGATACGAGGTGACCTCGTAGTGTAACTAAAGAATGATCTTGTGGATGTTTATCGTATTCAGGTTTTGGTACAAATGCACTCCTGTAATCGTAACCAGGTATAGAGAATTGTTCCGGTGGAGCAACCTTAGCGGTATCATCGTAGTCATCACTACTAATCATCTTGCGTAAATCCCAAATACGTATAGTTGAATCCTTTGAATTTGTTAAAATGTGTCTAGCGTCACCTTTAGGTGATACATAAGTGATTCCTTCAGTATGACCAACGAGAACACCAGATGGTTTCGCATTTCGTGATAACGCTCGCCTATCCCAAACTTTAGCAACACAGTCATCCGAACCCGATAGACAAATATTTGAAGTGACATCAGCAAAGCATACTGCGTTTGTGTCCTCGTTGTGACCATCTAGAGCGAGTGTTCGCTTCCTGGCTTCGACGTCATACACATACATTGTGCCGTCAGCAGCACCAGCTACTATCTCGCGACAATCGCTAGAGAATCTCAACGACCAGATACCATATCCATAACCATAGTCACCCATACCATCATCGCTGAACGATAGAGGTATCTGGCGATTATCAGGATCACCCAGTTTGACAAGATGTGCTGTTGGACTTATTCGAGAATATATAAGCCACTGGTTGTCAGTCGATAAATGACTGTCTGTTATTGTCCATCCGGAGTAATTTCCTGTGATTCTAGAAAGATGCGACATAGTTGTTGCCTAAGTGAATAATAAGTTTGGTTTATACTTGTTAGAAAAGAAGACGAACATGTTCCTCGCTATAATTATTGTCAATGTTTTCCATTCCGGAATGCGCTGACCGGAGTGGCTCGTTAGGCTTATAAATGTTGATATTGAAATTCCTATGATGCAATTAGCGACATTCTACCTTATATACACCGGCGGACCTATCTGCGGTATAAAACAATTGGCCATCATTGCTGTATTCACCAGAATAGACTGGAGCACTGCTCCTGGCAACGACAGTGCCACTAGAATTAGGTATCAAACCTAAATAACTTGGTCTAAAACGGTTAAAAGTCGCCGTACGATCTTTGATAGCTTTCTGTAGGCTGGTGTATTTCGGTATATAACCAAACATACCACTCTTTGTGAGTTTAACACCTTCGTCTTGTACGGTAGAGGGAGTAGGAGTGTATCTATCCCTTCTCATACGGGGATACCACATGTAATCGTCATCATCTTCGTCATTATCGACAACGTAAACTCTCCTATCGCCACCTGCCCTTGCGTTACTAAGAAGCATCTGTAATATGGATAACCGTGCGCTCCTCTCTGTATTCTCAAGCTCTTCATCGTTAGGTTCTTGTATTATCATCTCATCAAGTAACTCCTGGGCTTCTCTCCGACCAGTAACGTCGTCCATGTCTGTGAAATCTATTTCACTTTCTTCTGCTTCACTAAATTCCTCTCTGTAGCTTTCTTCATCGCTGGGATTATCCATTCTGACAGTCGAATGTCGAGGTAACGTAATAGATTATAAATTGTGATAATAAAAAAATTATAAATAGAAAATTACAATCGTATATCTATACTCTCCATTGTCCTGTAAGGATTCCTCTAGTAATTGAAATTGGTATTATGTCATCTGTACACAATCCAGAAACGATGAATTCGTCAAGGAATGGTCTACTTGTAATTCCAACAAATCCAGCTGTATATAAGTAGCCAAACCACTTTCTACTAGTTGATGGTGGTTCACCAGTGAATGTATTGCCAAGTAAGACATACTCAGCAACAATACCAACAGTTTGGATAACAAAAAAGTAAAATTGACCTTTACCTAAACCAGCCATAATGTATGCACCCATAGCATGGCTCAATCCTGTAAGACTGAACCCAATCAGGACTTTGATAGGCATTTGTGCAAATCTTGGGAAAACACTACTAATAGCGTTACCATAAAATGTGATTGTCTTCTTGAATACACTATGCCAGCCCATGCTCCATAAGCGTGCTATTGACCATGATTCCTTCATGTTGAAAAACCTTGGCCAATCTTTCGGTTTACTCAAACCAATCGCGACAGTGACAATAGAAGCGAGTATATTGGATACACTAATAGCTGACATTGCTACCAAAGCAAAGAAGATCAAGTGGAATACCTGCAAGGTCGCTGGTTGAGCAGATATAGGCCTTATTGTCAGGATATCATATGGTGGTGTGTGTAGATATGTCTCAAACGCGTCGAGGATAAGAATATAAATGAATAAAGCTGGTAAACGATCCCTGATGAAAACCCATTTAGATTTTGTTGACTCCTCTTCTATACCCTGCTTATCGATCTTCCGTGACCATTTCCAGTGTATTCCTCGAGGATTTGACAATAAATCGGCATAGAATTTGAACCTATCCCACAATCCAACAGGCGGTGCTTTCTCATTCCCTTCTTTATCGAGTTTCACGAGCGTTTTTTCGATTTCAACTGTGAGCAAGCTACCAGCGAGGATGGTAGCATATATTTGAGCATTTCCAATCAAATATGCGGTGACTGCATCTGGTTGACGTAGGTATACTAATGGGTATATAGTAACTGCTATCGTAACGGGTAATCCTATGTATCTTCTTAGTTGAATAGGTAAGAATAGCAGACTAGAAAGTATAAAAACATATGGGAGTATCTGAAAATAAGCTGGAGCTAAAGGCTTAGTCGTATCCAGCTCCGGTAGTTGTGGTATCGGCTGTCTAATTATCGATGTCATTTCACAAGGATGAGAACGAAAAAATGAAACAAGATGAAACGATCATTACACTTTTACAATTTATCATATTCGTCTTTTTAGTTATCTGCTTTTGGTGTACCTATCTTCTCAGCTGCCTTCTCTAAAACGGCCTGTGCGAATGGTTGTGTTGGGGTAGATTGCATTGGAGAAGAATCACTGTCGACTCTTGGACTCAAGATACCGTCTCTAATGACAAGTGGAGGTGGATCAGTAGGTTTAGGCTCCCAGAATTTGAATGAACGGGAGTGCACACCATATGCTGTTGGTACCATTTCAATCAGTTCTCCACGTGGTCTGTGAGGTAATTAGGTAGGGAATCTTACTGAAAAGGCTACCTACACTTCTACATTTGGAATTTCAGATGGCGGTAAACCAGTAAGATATGCAATCAAGCAACGTATGACGGATCTGAGAGTGTTAGCAGCATCCTGATAAAAGCTAACTATCCTACGCATGACAAATTATGAGAAGATCATTCTGCTCTCTCTCTAATTCGAAAATAACTGGCTCGAGTCTCACGCATAAATCGTGATATGATTCACCTCTAGGAGCTCTAAATGAGTATGGTGCTTTGAGTGAAGCATGCCAATCATTAGGGAACTGTTCCCTAAACTCTTCTGGTCCTACACCATCTAAAACACCGGGATTTAATTCTGACATCTGAGCTCTTTCGTGTACTCTATAACCGAGTCTGACGAATGGCCAAGCGGAGTGATAAGAGCGACGACGGGTAGATGTCCACACCTTCAAAATGTAAGTTGATTGACTAGGTATTAGTTATGACACTCACAGAGAATTTCCGTTCATTCTTTGGTGGCTTTGGTTCGCCTCTTTCCTTGCGTTGCTTACGTTGCTTGTCGAGAATGAAGTCGGCTAATTGACTGGTGGAATATGAGATAAATATTATAAGGAAGATAATTACCTACTCAGCATATTCCCATCCAGCTGCAGCTAGATCTGAATCAGCTTTGTACGAGTGTTCGACAATTGACTGTCCATTCTATGACGTAATGTTAGAGAGATCTAAGATATTTAGACTCTACTTAGATAACCTACTCTGGCGAAGTAAATTGTGCGTGGCTTATTGTGAATATTCATAAGATAGAAGACGATACGAGACTGAGGATGCTTTAGTGTGTACTTAATTCATTGACGCTTAACACTCACCTGAAGATAACCTTCTATCTTGTTAACGACGATCCTTTGTCCTGCATTCCATATTTTGACGTATGGCACAGTTTCCTGAACGGTCTCGTATTGATCTTCATGTTCGCGGATTCTCCTCCAGTAATCCTGGACTGCCTTTTCAGAATCCCATTTATCATACTAGATTTGTCAGACAAATGATTGTACATCTCTTTTGCGCTTACATCTGGTGAACTGATTTTAACCTGGAGATATCAGATAGTGTTTGTGCCTGAACTAAGGACGTACATTACGGATGTTTGACTCGATAGTCTCAGCTTGATCGCATAGACACTCTGTCAATGAATTAGGCCAGATCAATGACATTCGAAGCTGACTCACCTAAGAAAATGACGTGGACGCCTAACCCCTCTGAGCCGAAACGTTTCAGTATCTGTGTTCTACCTTTAGCTGTGGAGTTGTTCGCATCGTATATAGCGCTGTACAGAGTTAATATATACAACTCTGAAGAGTTAATAAACGTACACTTGACCACCATCCTTTACAAAAAAGTCCTGTATCGTATCTTGGAGTTCACCGACGACTTTTTCACGTAATTTCTCAGTATTTTCTGATTTACCGGTAGGGAGGAAGTAATCTGGTGGCAGATCCTTCGCACGTCCGAGAGTCTTGCGTCTATAATCGCCTAAAGAGAAGGTACCGACTTTTACTCCAAGCCAGCGTATGTAACGCTCTATTGATCTTGAAACGTGAGTTTTACCCCTATTGGAGTTGTTTGTGAGATTGTATGGTGTGTATTTTGTAATATACATACCTCGCTGGTAAACCTATTGTTGTAGCCCTATTAGATTAAATCATCGGTGAAGATATAAACGCACCAACGGCGACGATGAGTAGATTTCCTTGATGCCATAATTTACCTGAGCTTGTCGTATATAATGGTGCTACTATTTACTCAGACTCCGCACATTCGCTGCTATCGCACTCACCAGCCATGACGGTAGTAGATAAAGAGTGATACATATAATCTATTTATTTTGTACATATGATTCTGTATATGATAGCACTTTATCTGCCATCTGCTCTGCTGTCGTGTTCTTCCCGAAGGCTTCAACAAACTCGCCGTTTGGATCCATGAGGTACATGAAAATGCTATGATCGACGAGCTATACGTCGTTAGGCGGGGTTTATATGCGTTCTAATATACTCACATAGTCTTCATTAGGCGAGATATTTGGTGGAGTGGAGAAGTACACCCTGTATACTTTACAAGCAGCTCTGACGTTCTCCCACGGGCCTGTAAGTCCAACCATACGAGGGTGGAATCCTAGTTAGGGTTAGAAAAACCTATTTACTGATTAAAAACTCGCCTTCCAAGTACTTTCGCGTTTGAGCAGTTGTGTCTCTAGCTGGATCGCAAGATATGAAGACTGGTTGGACAATCTGACCAAGTTTAGCATCTACTTCGAGTTAGTATCACAGAAGGATGATATAATAGATAGACATACCAACTCTGTCGACTACAGTACCCATCTTGTCAAGTTCATCAGGGCAGATATCCGGACAATTGGTGAAACCAAAGTAAACGAGACTGAATCTACCGAGCAAGTTCTCGTGTGTGAAGCTATTCTCTGTTTTCGCGTCTATCAAACTGAAGGGACCGCCAATCTTTGGTTTGCCTAACTTTTCAGATTCGCTTATTTTACGTTCTATGAAGTGTTATAATAGTAAAACAATATATAATATACCAACTTTTGCTCTCCTCAACCTCGGCTTTCGCTTTGTTAAAGTAATAATATAAACCGACACCTGTGGCGACGAAAAGCGATGCAGATACCCAATTAAATGGCTAATAGTGTATTACTATGGCATATATTTAATAAAAGAATAAAACGTACGCCTACAAACGCTTTATCTCTCTGTTGCGATTTAGTTTGAATAGATCTCGAGCTATTTGAGAGATAAAAAGGTGAGATAATAGATTTGTTATAATGACTAGATTGTCTTAATAGATTTCTATATCTGAGCATTTCAATCCTCTTGGTTCGTTACAACGAGGAATGACTGCTGATAATCCCACGAAAATCAAAATATCAACGAGATCTCTACGAACACAACAATCTGAAGAACAAAATGATTATTTAGACGACGACAATCCAGACATCGACCAGAAAGATGACCAGATTATCTCAGATTTTGACGATCAACAAGATATTAAGAGACAAGAACAATCTCAGACTCAAGAGCAGATACCTCAGACAAAATACTCGGGCTCTGAGTTTGGCGACGATCTAGACGATATACCTGAACCAGAGCAATCTGACTACAACGACGAAGACAGTCCACCACCAAAGAGTGCAGCTAGAAATAATAACAGACGCGCATCTACAAAGAAAGCTCCCGTGGAGGAGGATTATCATGACGAGGGGACAGACTACGATAGCGATGAGATATACGACAGTTAGTTTTTTTTATTTACCTTCTTATTTATCTTTTAACAATTATTAGCTCGGAGAAGACCGACACGACGTGGTCGCCCTTCGACGCGTCGTCAAGTTCAGCGTTTTGTAGAGTTCGACGATGGTGATCCCGACGATGACGACGCTGCCTTCTCTTTACGTGGTAGTAGACTCAGAAAAAGAGCTGAAAATCACTCCTCTGAAAGGCGCTCAAGTAGACGATCGAGACCAGTAGTCGAGTACCTCCCTTCAAAGGAGGTAGTACAAGAGCGTCACGAGAAATTAGCCAACGAAAGAGCACTTAGGGCTGAACGTAGAAGGAATGTTATGTACACAGATGATGAAGACGACGATGACTCTCCCGAACGTAGAAACTACTCACTCAGGACAAGACGCGAGCGTCCTAATTACGTACTTCCGCCACCTATACTCGACGTTAGGGAGAGTCCCGAGAAAATTGGGCGTCTTCCTTCATTCACTGCTCTCCAACATCCAGGTATTGACTTGGTACCATGGAACAATCGCGGCAGTTTAGATGACTCTGATACAGTGAGTTTAATCTCTCCCCTATAGTGTTTACACCTTTCCTAACATAATCATAGGATGACGATTTATCTCCTAGTAAGCGTCCACAACCGGCAATTTCAAATCTTGCTGGTGGTGGTGGTGGTTTGCTCGCCCCAAGCGGTGGTATGGGTATAGATTCTTTAGGTACAGCAGGTCCTAGTAACCTCGGTAAAGTCGGTGATGCCGCATTCGCTGATGCTGACCCTCTTGGTGTCAACACAAAAATTTCATTCGACTCTGTTGGTGGTTTAGATGAGCGTGAGTATTAGCTTTTAGATAAAGAATCTACTAAAGAATACCCAAGATGTACGACAATTAAAGGAAATGGTTTCCCTCCCTCTCCTTTATCCTGAAGTTTTCCAGCGTTTTAACGTTACACCACCAAGGGGTGTCCTCTTCCATGGGCCTCCCGGTACCGGTAAAACACTCGTAGCAAGAGCCTTAGCGGCCAGTTGCTCCAACGAAAATCAGAAGATTTCCTTCTTCATGCGTAAAGGTGCAGATTGTTTGAGTAAATGGATAGGTGAAGCAGAGAGGCAGTTAAGATTACTCTTTGAAGAAGCCAAAGCAGTACAACCTTCAATCATATTCTTTGATGAAATTGATGGTTTGGCACCTGTAAGATCATCAAAACAGGAACAAATTCACGCATCTATAGTTTCTACTCTACTCGCTTTGATGGATGGTATGGATGGTCGTGGACAAGTTATTGTTATTGGTGCAACTAACCGTCCAGATGCAGTTGATCCAGCTTTGAGACGACCAGGTAGATTTGATCGTGAATTTTATTTCCCACTTCCAAATGAGAAAGCGAGAAGCAAAATCATCGAGATTAACACGAAAGAATGGGATCCACCACTTGAGCCACACTTCGTTGAGAAGCTCGCAAATCTTACAAAAGGTTATGGTGGTGCAGATCTACGCGCTTTATGTACAGAAGCTGCCCTCAATGCTGTTCAACGTAGATATCCACAAATTTACAAAACTAATAATAGGTTGTTACTTGATCCTAAAACAATCAACGTACAAGCTAAAGACTTTATGAGATCTATCAAGAAATTAATCCCATCTTCTGCTCGCTCCAGTGCAACTTCAGCTGCTCCATTACCGCAGCATCTTACCCCACTCCTTGGAGAAGCCCTCATCGAGGCTAGAAAAGTGGTTGATAAGGTAATCCCAAGAAACGAAGAGAAGAGCATTATTGAAGAAGCTGAATATGAAGATGAAGTTGGTAATGATGGTGGTTTCTCGTTGGAAGTAATGCGTCAAAACATGAACAATATGAGGACATTTAGACCACGTATGATGGTTTACGGTGAAGAAGGAATGGGTCAATCATTTATAGGACCTGCTTTGCTTCATTATTTGGAAGGCTACAACGTACAATCACTTGATTTGGCAACGCTCCTTGGTGATTCTACTCGTACAATTGAATCCGCATGTGTACAAATGATTCTTGAAGCTAAGAGAAACAAACCTTCAGTTATTTATATACCCTCACTCCACGAATGGTGTAACGTCGTATCAGAAGCTGCAAGAGCGACAGTTACCGCATTACTCAATACGATCAGTCCATCTGATCCTGTACTTGTATTAGCTATGCTTAACAGTCGACCAGATGAGTTACCACGTGACGTAAAGAGATGGTTTGGTTTTGGAAGAGACACAAAGGTCGCTTTGAAGGACATCTCTGAAGTATGTCAATAACATTTTAAAATAACTTATTAATTAAGAAATTCAGGATCAAATACGCGAATATTGTCGAGAATTGATTGATATGATTCAACTCAAACCTAATATGTTCCCTGATACAGTACAGCGTAAGAAACGTAAATTGGAAGAATTACCAATTGCTCCACCTGTTGCACCACGTGAACCTACCGAAAGAGAACTCAATGCCCAGATTGAGAATGACGCTAGAATTCGCGAGCATCTTAAGTGGAGATTGGGAGCCGTTCTTGAACAACTCAAGAAAAAGTTTAGGAGGTTTATGAAGTCATTTGCTGTGAGTTTCAATACTCCGTTGGTCTATTCATCTAATCATTATTCAAGGATGAAATTGCAATGGTTGTACCATTACCTGTCAATACTAATAATAATGGCACTGCGAATGCTCTCGCTCGCGTTGATGTTTTTGCTGAACCTAATCAAGAGCAGCAAAATAATGAGGTGCAGATTGTTGAGAAAGACACCGAAGGTGAACAGCAGAATGTCGACAAGGAGAATGACGATGGCAGTAACATACCAAATGGCGTTGACGAGAGTGTGTCAGAGGAAGAGAAAGAAAAAGAAGATGGTGAAAAAGACGAAACTGACAAACAAGACGATAATGAGGAACCAGATAGTGAGAAACCTGAAGAAAATGGTATTCAGGATGACAACATTGAGGAAGACAAGGAAAACAGTGAGGAGCCAGCTGAGAAAGTCGAAAATGGAGATACTGAGATGGCAGAAACTACAGAGACGGTAGATGAAGCACCTCAAGTGGACCAAAAGGAGAGTGACGATGATGAACCGATTATTGAAGACAGAAATGATAGTGACTTTGAACCTGAAGAAGACGAAGAGGCTGTTGAGCCTCAACCAGAGGTTCAAACTGAAGCACCTCCAGAAGTAAATGCTCAAGAAAACATGGAGAAAACTCTCGACGATGAATTGATGGCTTTAACTGAAGTCCAACCTGGTGAAACTCAAAAAGAACGTCTAATGATATACGATATTGATTTGGAGAAGATCCACTTCAACGTATATAAAGACAATTACGTGAATCCGGCTCAGTTCGTAGATGATGTCGCTAAAATTGTCCACAATGCTGAACTCGATAAGAGTGATCAAGATAGATTGTGGAAAGCAGAACAACTCCTCACACATGCCAGAGTCCTAGTTGATCAAGCGTTTGATGCTCACTTTAGAATCGAATGCCAACGTATGGCAGATAGAGAATCTAAGAGGATTGCAGAATACAAGGAGAAGAGAAAGAAGGAGAGAGAAGAAAAGGAAAACAAAAAGAAGGAAGAGGAAGCTTTGGCTAACAAAGATAAAGATGATCAACAGCAATCAAGTAATGAACAAACAGAAAATCAAGATGAGCATCACGATAAAGACCCAAGTGCTGAGTCCAATGAAGATGCACAATCTAACGAAGTTGGCGATCAAGATCACGACAACGGCACTTCACTTAAGCGCCCTCGCGAAGGCGAAATGGAAGGCTTGAAGGAAGGACCTGATTCTAAGAAGGCCAAGGGGGACGTTGAGATGCATGAGAGTGTGAGTTTTTTTATTCGAAAGGCAAGAAATAAAGCTAACAGAAGGCCAGTCTCCGGGACCTGAAAATGTCGAATCTGAAAAGCAACCAGAGCAAGCTGATCAACCAGGGCAATCAGAGCAACCAGAGCAACCAGAGCAAATCGAGGAACCATCGACTAAATCGCCTACACCAGAACCAGAACCAGAACCTGAATTCGTAGTCGACAAGCAACAACTTGACGCCTTACTCAATGAGGCTGTCACACTCCTCAAAGACTTCAATGTCGACGAATTAGAGCAAACACGTGCAGCTATCAGTAGTGTAATCTGGGAACACCGTTACGAATGGAATAGGCAATCGATGATTGATGTCGTTAGGACGACGTTACATGATTGTAAATATGACGTTGAAATGTAAAAGTTAGTTAAATAAATGCATTGAACTTAATTTATGACTCTCGGTATATATCTTCGTGGTGGTAATGGTGGTGGAACGTTGTTGTTATTGTTGTTACCGTTCATTCTGTTTACTGTGCGACGTGGAGGTAATGGGGGTGCATAAGCTGGTGTGCGCACTCGAGGACTGTACGCTGGCGGTGGGTTACTCTCATTCCTCTTTCGTTGTATATCCCGCAATAAATCCTCTCCCGCTTGTCTCCGCAATCTGTCCCTCTGTAATCGCTCATCGAAGGATAGACCAATGTGGCTGTCAGCTTCCCAGCTTTCACGCAATGCCATATTAAATGCTGATTGAGGATCCACTGGTGTATTATTAAACTCATTTTGACCATTCACTCGACGTCTAGGTCTGGCTGACGCTGTATGTCAGAAAGTGATATTATATAAAATGTACACAAACGATCAGTCAATTTAAACCCATTTTGTTCATTTCGACGATCAACCATCTTGGATGTCAGTCATAGGGGTGAAAAAATGCAAAAAATTTCTATAAAAGTACAAAATCTATTAAATTTATTGGAAGTATGGTGTTTCATAGACCTTATCACGCATCTTCCAATCACCATTACGCATCCAGAGTGGTTTTTCAAACATGACATAATCGACGATATTCTGACTTTGATGATCTGGACCTAATGTCTTTATGAATGATTAGCAGGTGGGTCATGTGATAAAACAGATACACACCTGTACAGTGTTAAACTTTACGACTACCTGACAGATACGCTTTTCAGCTGATTCTGGTAACATTGGCATTACGTTGGTCGTTCTAACTGACATGACGGATGGTGTTTCATTGATTTTCAAAAGTTTCCAGTCATATTTCTTCTCGCGATTGATTTTTACTGTCTTTGCTTGAGAATCTGAGTTATCTTTGAGAGTGTGTATGGCTAATTTGTTAATAGTTTTCAAATCACCGCTATGTTATATGAGCTATGAGTTTTCTATGCCATGTATATACTCACCTCGTTATGGCTTTCTGAAGTTGAGTGTACTTGTCTAAAGCAACTGTGCTAGCCCATTGATTGGATGCCTTCCTTCTCTCTATCCATTTCAAGCCTGGAATACCCTCCTTCTCAGTCTGCCATTCACCTTTTTGGAATAAAAGCATGCGGCTATCAGTTTTGTCAGACGTTTCTTAATAAATTGTAGAGCCTCTTACTGGTGGTAATCCTGTAAACTCGTGTAGAGGTTCCATTGAAGCCATTTGAAGAATTCCTTTGGCTTGAAACCTCTAGAAAACAACATAGAAGGTTTTAAATCACTAGCTCTCAAGCCCAATATAGAACCAGATGGTTTAACATATGGTGATAGTTTACCGAAGTTCATCTCATCCAATCCAACTCTAACTTCTGCTTCTCCAGTTGCACCCTTCGCAACAGCAGCACGTTCAGATGCAGCTTTAATTTTCCTTAAGGATTCTGCGTCTGGTTCATCTAAGAATAACCTTCTTGTGCTGCTACCAAATTGTCTAGAAAGTGACACTCTCATAGTTAACAGAGAAGACATAAATAAACTTAAAAATGTGAAATATATCGTTAAATTTTACAATTCTTCTGGGCCATCAATAACAGCCTTGATCAAACTCTTGCCGTCTTTGCCTTTACCTGCTTTTGTAGCTTCGAATGCACTCAATGCGTCATTGTAAGCGAATGAATGAGTGTGAAGTGCTTTAAGATCTATTTTACCTTGGCTGACTAAATCAATAGCTAAAGCATAGGTACCTGGACCATATCTGAATGATGTTCTGTATTGGATTTCTTTAGACATCATCGCACCAACTGGAATTTGAATATCTGGTCTACCCATACCAACTTGAACGAATCTTCCTGCTGGTTTCAAAAAGTGTAATCCCATTGTGATACATGGTTGAGCTCCACTTGCTTCTAATACCAAGTCAATGCCGTTTATACCTCTAGATTCAACACCGAGAGTGTTGTGAAGTTCTTTCACAGTTCTCGCCATGTATTCATCTTGTGATTCATTTTCATTTTTCGAAGGTGGTTGGAATGACTCTGTGTTTGCGTATCTTTTTGCGAATGTAAGTCTCTCTTGGTTAATGTCAACCGCAATTATACGTCTGGCGCCGAGTCTATGGGGTATTAGAATGTGTTTTTTTAAAAGATTCCACGCACGCCTTAGCTGTTGCTATCAAGAGAAGTCCAACTGGACCACAACCAAAAACGATGACATTCTATATAAATTTGTGAATATTTTCACTCTTGAACAAACATCCTGAAAACTTACCTCATTAACTTTAATTTGACCGATCTTGGCAGCTGCATGTACGGCAACACTCAGTGGTTCCATCTATCGCAAAATTAGAATGCCTTTAAATGAGAAGGGTATACCCACCATAGCGCCCTCTTCGAGGGTGAGTGAATCAGCAATCGGGTGAACAAAATCAGCTGGTAATTTGAAGTAACGACAGAGAGTACCACCTTCGAATGGTGGTGTTGCTGCGAATGTCATAAATTCACATAGTTCGTATCTGCCACTCTTGCAATCTGAACATACACCGCAACCGAATCCTGGCTCCATTGCTACACGTTGACCTGGTTTCACTTTCACTTTCTCGTCGCTACCGACTTTTACAACGATACCAGATGATTCGTGACCGAGACACATTCCATTTGGACAAAGGGATACTGCAAATGGACCAATAGCGCCGTGTTGCCAATAATGTACGTCTGATCCACATACACCTGTCTTCTTTACCTATAGGGTACACCTTAGTATTATGAACAGTCATATCGTCAGACTTACCTCTACTAATACGTCCATTGGACCAATTTCTGGAATTGGTCTCTCTTCATAGCTTACGACACCCGTTTTGCCATGCTCAGCTGGCATACGTAGGATGAAATTTGGATTGTGCATTTTGTTAGCTGTGGCAGCGTTTACTGGGGCTGACATTCTATTTTATTGATTATAAGTGTAAAGTAAGAAGGACCGGAAGCCCTACCGAAAGCTTTTTAAATATACTCAAAACAGCATGAAAGTCGGATACGTCATCACACATATGCTAATATCACCAATTGGACAATATATCTAATGTGGATCTAGTCTCAAATTAAAGTTATCCTATATGTGATTAGCCAGACATCTTCTTTTTTTTTACTAAGGTTGATGACGAATTCACGGTCAATTTCCTATGCTTCCAATATGCTTTAAAGTAGCTTTAAATGGTCATATATAATCGTGAATATTTCTCTTGTCATTTGTTCGCTTAGTTCGTCATTTTTTCAGCTGTCATGAAACATAGATCAGTAGTATAATGCCAAAAAGCTGAGGAACTACATGCGAAAACAATCTTATATAAACATTCAAATATAATTCATATAAAAGAACAACATTCAAGTAAAAATCCAATATCCAGTACAAATTTTCTAATCACGTACAAATTCGAGTGCCTTTTCATAGGCAAATTTATAAGCTGATAACAAAGTGTTAACATCTTCCAAACCGATAGAACATCTAATGAGATTTCTATCAACACCGTATTCTTCAATCCAATCTAATTCAGTGTAATGGGCGAGAATGGCATAACAACTAGCCAATGTAAAGTTACACCCTAATGAAGGACCAGCTGCAAGGTCGAGATTATCAAAGAAAATACGAGCAATATCTCCGTTACGTTCCTTGCTATTGTTTTTACTACCAAAGGTGAGGGAGAATAAACCACCGTATCCACCACCTTCTCTCTTACGTGCATTGTAATTCTCAGTGGTTGTATATTTAGGATAGAAAACTTCCTTTATAACGCCTTCGTTAGATCCATTTAATTCGGAAAGATTGTAAAACCAATCGCAGAGTGTCTCGGTGTTTTCATTCACTTTCTTAACTCTATTGCAGAAATCACGTGAATTTCTCTCCATGAAGATAGCATCTTCAAACCAATAGCTATCTTCATATATGTTGACAATATGATCACGAAGTTCTTCATAGTGACTTCCTTCTGGATTGAGGATAATACTTCCACCCATAACGTTAGTTTCACCAGAGAAAGCTTTCGTGAGTGATGATACGACGACGTCAGCTAATGGTAGAATATCAATGTTCATGAAGCTACCAATAGTTTCATCGACTACTATCAGAAATCCGTATTTATCAGCTAATTCACGAAGGCGAGCTAAGTCTGGAGACTTTAATAGAGGGTTACCAGGGAATTCGCAGAAGACGGCCAGAAGTTGTTCTTTGCTCGCGATCTCTTCCAAGTGTTCTAAATCAGCATCATCACCTCTTCCCATAAAGTGAGCACCTGGCCCCCATTTCTGGAGAACCTTGAGAGTATCAGTGTAAGGGAATCTATTGGATTTTAGCTAAAAAGCAACTTAGTTACAGTGAACTCACCCAAAACAAACACTTTTTCCAGTTTCAGCACCTTTCCAGGTCATAGCTGCCTGATGTGTCAACCAAATGGCAGCCATACCAGTAGAAGTTAACCAAACGTCGTCTTCAGTGAGACCAGCACCACGTTCAGATTCGATGGTAGGTCCAACGGCGGCATCAACATGTGGGTCAATAACAACACCAGCAATACGCCTCTTGAGAGCGCGCTTAGCTAATGGAGCAGAAGCCAATGGTAAGTTTCTACCATATCTTTCTTCCACATAAACAGCATGATCCTTATCGAAGATGTCCTGGTTATTATCTTCATCAGCCTGTTTCAAAGCATTATTTGAAAGCTTTCCAGCTACTAAATCACTACCACCAGGTGTAGGGGGCTGAGAAGTTTGTGAGAATTTGGATTTGTTGCTATTATATCTATTGCGACTACCAGTTCTAAGGAAAGTTGGCGGTGATGTTAATGTAGGTGATTTTGAGAGTGAAGAAGGAGACTTTGATAATGCAGTTGGGCTAATTTTTTCACTCGCTTCAAGACAATCCAAAGCTCTCTCAGCTAATCTCGAACTAACACCTAAGCCTGTGTGTTGCCAGAACTGTTTAGCTAGACTAAAGAAATCCTTGTTGAAAATGACAGCATGCACTTCAATTGAAGGAATTGCGGGATCTGGCGAAGGATCGCAGACGGTTAAGTGAGCTAGTCTAGCAGATTTCGCCGATGGTATAATGAAGTCTCTACACATTTCAGCCCATTTGTTGATAGGAAATAGTAAGCAAGATTCTGAGTCAGAGTTGCCGAATTTTGTGATAATAATCGAAGAAAGTTGCTGTATTTTTCTGTGTATAAAGAATCTAAGGGTATGTTAGAAAGTTTAAACTATAAAAAGTTGAAAATACCTCGGATAGCCAGTAACCATTGCGTCAACGACTCGTGGTGCACCCTCTTCATAGTCTGTGTGGTCTTTCCAGGTGGGTAAACTAACGCTAATAGCGTGCTCAACAGGGGGTAATGGACTACCTAAAATGGCTGCCATTTAATAACAAAATAGATGATGGATGTTGTAAGGGAAGAACTAATTACTAAGAAATGGGCAATTCGTTAAAATTATGCATAGAATTTACATAAAATAAACTACCCAGAGCAGCTTACTTTGCCTTTGTAGCGTTAGCCTTAGCTTGCTTTGCTTCCTTTGCTTGCTTGATGGCTTCTTGACGGGCAGCAGTACGAACTTCTGGCTTTTGTGATCTCTTTGCTTGGATAGCTTCGAGGTCGAGACCGACGATACCACGGGCGTTCTTGGTTGACTTCTTACCCTTCTTCTTTTGAACTTCCTCAGTTACACCCTTCTTGTGGAGCTTACGGCAGAAAGCGGTCCAGGCGATCTTTCTTGGGTTCTTACGTTGGAGGAAGAGTGACTCGCACTTTCCGTTAGCGAATCTGAAGACCTGGAGATAATTTAATATGAAATGTCTTCTCTCTTAGAAAAAAACGCACTCTGTTGTCAAGTCTAACGTAAAGACGACCCTTTGATGGGTAGATCTTTTGGCCTGAGAATGAGCAAAGTTCGACCTTCATTTCTGCTGCCTGAAGCGTGTTAGTAGACGTTCTATCAGTTTGGCTGGTGATATTTATACGGGAGGATTATTAATACTATCATATTATAATATATTCCCTATATTTTATACATCCAGCCATTTATCTCTTTCTAACCTTTTTAGTTCACCGCTAAGCAAGGCGACGCCTAAAATTCGCCATCATCTCATGAATTAAAAATTTATAAATATACTTAATTTATTGTATTTTATTACTTAGTCATTATATTCATCATATTTTATACATTCCCTTGCTATTCATCTCTAGTCATCTCTACTATTTTCTTAGTCGTCGTCGTTCTCACCGTCGATCAAAGATATCAGTAGCTAGTCTACATATAATAGCTATCGAATATCTCTAGAATCGCTATCTCTCACTACGACACATATTTACCTTCTTTTTTCATTACACTGATGATTACAACGGACAGACTATCTCTAATTGCAACCTCAACATTATCTAAATTACTAGAAAGGGAGAAGATACTACAACTGGGATTGAAATACGATGATGACGAATTAGATAGCAACTTAGAAACGCTCAAGGAGGGTTATGAGGTATTAGCAGACGATGACAGTGACCAGGCACTCAAATTTAAGCACCAATATCTCAATCTACTCGATTTACTAGGAAAGGATAAACCTTCTCCTAAGCCTGCTAAAGAAATGCCGCTCACACACCTTCCAAAGTCGACATCTATCCAGCAAACACCATCAACTAGCCAACAAGAACATCTATTCAACTATGACGATATGATGGATCAACAAGATACCCACTTAGATAATCTTTCACAGTCAATACACAATCAACACCAATTGAGCAACACAATGACGACAGAACTTGGTCAACATAATGAGCTCTTGAATGACTTAGAACTTGGTCTAGATGATACCCAATTACGCTTAGGAAGGAGTAACACTCTTTTAGGAAAACTAGACAGAAAATTCAAGTCAAATACATCAACTTATTGCATAACAATAATCATTCTCGTCCTTATTCTGTTAATTTTAATATTTAAAGTGTAGCCATATCAATCTCACATGCTGTCGCAAGGTCTTCAAGTGTTGGTTTACTTGATCCGCTAACCGTCATAGTAGACATTTTCTCTCTTGCTTTAGTGTTTGACAATGAAGGTGTACTTTTAGACACACGCATCGTGTTAGCCATTTTATTCCGAAGTGTCTGCGAGGATTTGACTCTTGGTAGACTCCTACCAGTGTACATATCGTCAGTATAATGCGCAGGTGATCTACCTCGCACAGATATAGGCATGCTTTTAACAGTAGCGACTTGAACATCTACACCATTCTCCAGTTGAGCGTATAAGGTAACATTTAAGCGGAATTTTTCCATCTTCCTGTTCGTTGAGCGCTCGAATTGTATACGTTCAAATTTTACAGCTTGAGCCTCAACATCATCACTGGTGCTGTTTATTAACGCAGTTATTGATTCTCTTTGTGGTTTAACTTTCGGTCCTTTCTCGCGAGCTGATGAGAATTGTACAAGGTTTACGCTATCCTCAACAACGGCGTCTTCGTCGTACATGCTCGCGTTTAAACCTACTTGAAATGAAAGGATCGGGATGAGATGACCTGATACTGCCACAAGAGGGTTACTAAGGCTCTCCTCCTCTTGTGCTATCTTTCCAGCCATTTGAAGTATCACCTTAGTGCTAATCTGAAAGAAATTCCGTCTATAAGTTGTAGCAAATGACTCTTGAGCACTATTTGACCATATGAATCTGTATCATTGAGTTGATTCCACGTGAAATAGCTAAACTCACCCTTTATCTACTTTTGACTTAACTATTGGCTGTATACTTGGGTGATCCGTCAATTTTTTCAATTCGGAATATACCATACACCCACTTGACAAACTCCCCATGATAAGAGACATACATGTCAACATAAGTGACAGTATCACCAAAGAAATCACCGTAATGTTCATTAGATTGTGCCGTGAATAGCTGACTATCGTGTATGCCAAAACTACCAAAATCTAAATTGAATTTTGGTGAAGTTGAGTAGTTACTGTCCATACTAATTGGTGTATCATACGGAAATCCGTAGCTATAACTGTAGCTAGGCGTTGGCGAGCTTAAATCAGAAGATTGACCCCAAAAAGGAACATCATTGAACGGTATAAGTGGTGGTGGCTCCTCGATGACTCTCCTCTGTGGAGGTGTCCTAGGAGGACTACACTGTCTTAGCTACGTTATGTATAATAATAAAACATTCACCTACAAACACATCTACCAAGAAATATAATAGTAATTAAGAAGAAAAGTCATCTATGTTTTCAATTTGCCCCGTATTTGGGTATCCGCCCTCGATTGATTTTACGAAATGTTTGTCGGCTGGCGTCTCTCACTATCGCGATATCGCGACGCGCCTTCTTTTTGATAACATCGATGTCCAGTAATCCTAGAGACGTTATACTAAAAATATTCACCAAAAAGCATTCTTTATCCTTAACACCTCAGAGTTTGGGCTTTTTAGTGAACTTAGCGCAAACTTACAACCTCAATGCGACTAATTTGAGTAGTATATCAGATTCATTAGCTCTTGCATATCTCAAACAAGATGATTGTACTTCAATTGTTGACGTAGACGTTTTGCAAAAAGTTTACTTAAATTTACAGTTGAACTACGCTGGTGGAATGAATATACTTGATAACGATGATTACGTGAATGAAGATGAAATAGATCCTAGAAATTACCTCAAAATAGTTGATGCGTTTCATATGCCTAGATATAACTACACCGTTGATAATAAGAGCTTTACGAAGCAACCAACACAGAGTGTTGCTGGTAGTCCTGCATCACTCTCTCAATTATGGTTAGATAGGTATAACATTATCAAACAGATCATTCTACGGAATGAATTCTTCTCTCCACCTTCAACTATCAATGCTAGTAGCCACGATAGAGATAAGTATATGAAGATCACATCGACAAAGAACCTCCTAGGAAGACTTAACCAGCGATTTATGCTCTTTGGTATGCTCTCACAAACTGTCGATGGTAGACACGCGTTGCAAGATCCAGATGGTGTTGTCGTCTTGGATTTAGATGATGCTGTAGGTTTATAGCGTGTTTTTCAATCTTTTCTGACACTTATGTAGGTTCCAGGAGAGGGTCTATTCACTGAAGGCTCATTTGTCCTCGTTGATGGTATGTATATTCTTGAAACAGAAGAACCAGTATTTAAAGCATACGGAATCGGACACCCACCGTCTGAAAAGCGTTCAGCCTCACAATCCGTACATGGTCATGTAGACTTTTTAGGCTTAGGCGGTATATCAATCAAGGATCAAAAGTTGTATAAGAGGATAGAAAAGAGCTTAGATCACATTGGATTTATAGTCCTATCAGACGTCTGGCTGAATGAACTATCAACTCAGTTGTCTTTGAGAAGATTATTTGAAGGTTATAATAATGCTTTCAATGACTTTAGACCATTGTTGTTTGTTTTATGCGGTAATTTCTCATCTCAGCCGATAACAACATCACGAGAAATACGCGAATACCAAGATTCATTTAGCAAATTGGCAGACATCATTTGCGAATTTCCAATAATTTCACAGCATTCAACGTTCGTGTTCATACCCGGACCTAATGATCCATGGAGTTCAGGCACAAGTACCACATTACCACGAACGAGATTACCTAAAGCATTCACAAGGGAATTCGAATCAAGGATACCTAGAACGCATTTTAGTAGTAACCCTACGCGCATACGTTACTTTAGTCAAGATATTGTTATATGTAGAGATGATGCTATGTCTAGGATTTTACGTAACAATGTTAAAGTCAAAGAAGAATCACTGGCCGATGAAGAGGAAAATGTAGATATAAAGTTAAAGAAGTACCTAGTTCAAACTATAATCGATCAAGCGCATCTTAGTCCGTTTAGTATAAACAGTAGACCAGTTTTATGGGAATATGATCACGCATTACGTTTATATCCAATACCAACTTCATTAATACTAGCAGATAAATATGATAGATACGAATTAAAATATGAGGGTTGTAGAGTATTCAACCCTGGTTCATTCTCTTTCGGTATGCTCGGTAGTGAATCGAGTAACTCAAAACCTCGTTTATGGAGCGTTTACCGTCCGTGGAATCAAGAAGTCGAATATTCAGAGTTGCCCGCTGAAGAAAATTAAAATTAATTTATACATTTTTTAAATTTACCTTTTTTAGGGTGTAGTCCCTCTTATCGAATTGTAACGTCATCACTTATGAGCAGTACAAAAGGACAAACTATATTAGAGCTACCAAATGAGTTACTCTATATGCTTTTAGAGTATTCAAATAAATTAAGTCAAACTTGTAGACATCTTAACAAGCTAAGCAAAGACTTGTCCAATTTGACACTCGTTGGACCGAATGCGCCGAAGATAGAGGAATTTAACTTGAAAGAGAGTGCGATAGATGAAGAGACCAGATTTGATAGAGTTTTGGAATGTTTTGTTGAAGATATCTCATTAGCTTGGACTATAAAGTGAGCTTTAATATTCTAAACGTGTGAATGGATGATTAACTACTGGATAGGCATGTAAGGTGCAGAAATAACCTAGGAAGTAGCATTAGAACGGAACATTTGAGTAAATTACCAAATCTGAACTCAATTGTTTATCAAATTGCTTCGCCGATAGAACTTAATAGCTTGTACGGGCTACGATTTGAGAAATTGAAGAAAATAAACATAAAGTCAATAAACTCGCTCAATCTTATAGATATACAGTCAATATTACACGCATGTCCATCTCTACAATCGATATCGATTGATATGCTATTTTATAAACATTACACCATAGATACAGTACATCAGTTAGAAGAAAAGGAATACATCCATGAAAATCTAGAACATGTTGTTTTAAGGAATATGTTATCTGGGAGGTGTAATTGTCAAGATAATCACTGTAGTTTTGATCTAGTGGGATTATATACACCACAATCGTTTATAAACACCTTAGATGGTAGGGTAAAAACTAAACTACAGAGGAATACATCTCGAGAAGATATCACACGAATCCTTTCGGATGTTTATAATTGGGAAAATGACGAGCATACTGTCAGTAAAGAACTAGGGAAACCTGTAAAGTAGATAATTTATACCATGTAAAATCGCATATACCATATCTTGATCTTTTACTTTCATATGACTGAGAATGTCGAGAAAGATAGCTACAATTACAATACAGATATAGAAATAGAGAGTCCACATTTAAATGTTCATAAAATGAGAATATTATCTACTTCTAATAGAGGTAGAGGTGTATTCGCTGGTGAACCGATAGAGAAGGATACATTAGTGGAAATATCACCAGTATTGCTATTTAATAAAGATGAATACGCAAATTTTGGAAAGCACACTGCTTTGGATGAGTATACATTCATCTGGCCAGATCGCAGTGGGAGAATGGGCTTAGCCTTGGGTTTAGGATCAATTTTCAATCATAATAGAATACCGAATGTTACGTTTAGTATAAATACCAAAAATCTCACAATAGAGTTTAAAACTACGCGATTTATAAATAAAGATGAGGAGATGTTCATTTCATATGGTTCAGAGAGTAAATTATGGTGGACATCTAATGAAATAGATGATGAGTGTAAGGATCTAAGTGAATTTGAATTTTTACAAAGTGATTTTGGTACTATTTGATATACTTTCTTGGGGTATACTAGTGTTTTCAGTTGGATTGCTAACATTTATATCTTCTAAATCGAATATTGGCTCATTTGTTTGGACTTGTTCGTAACTTTTTGCATTCATTGTTTGATAATATTTAAGATAGTTGTAAATCCTTTCGTAACATTAGTGGGGTATGCTTTTTGTGATACTTTTTTTACTCACAATATACCTATAATAGTTATAGCCATACCTGTAATGTTTATTGGTGTTAAGATGTCACCAAATATTACACTACTGAGGAATATTGTAAGTAGTTCCTTAAATATACCTGCAATTGACATTGTAATAATTGATGATCTTGCAATAAGTTTAAACTCTGATAAAACCATTCCAAAAGCCAAAAATCCGGGTGATACGATCATTACTATTGACTTTATTGTACTGAGTGTTCCATGTATAAAATAATCCGACTGGGCGATATCAGACCAACTTTCAAATATCAAACTGAGTATTATGAGACAAGCAAACATAACTGGCGCAAGGTAGTAGAGTATAATGACAGGATTGTTCAAGCCATTTTGACTATTCTTGAGGAGTATTTGTGTAAGTGACCACCTGAGACCCCCTGCAGCAGTTGCTAGTAATACTTGTATAGCGCCAGACAATACAAAGTTAGTTTCTGCACTGACCATCATGATAACACCAACGGCTATGACGAGGATGATACCGGCTATCGAGAAAGAAGGCTTCTCTAACCTGAAAATGAACGCGAACAATAAAACCCAAATGAGTGAAGATGATTTGCACATTGTATAGAATGTTAATGTTATTGTCTTCAACGATAGATTGCTTAAACCGATATCTAACGCAGTTGATAATGAACATGGCACTATTTTCTTAACATATTCAATTGTAGATAGATTAGTCGTAGTTCTAAGCGATGGTACGATAGACAGTAGCATCCAACTGAGTAACCATTGCATTAACATGTGCCAGCTTGTCATGAATAGCGGGAATGGGAAGCTACTCGAGAAAATCCATTTATTATATAAAGATAGACTGAATGCGAACAAATACCATAAAACTATATACAGCAAGTTCAATCCAGAGTGCCTCAAATACTCTTTCTTGCTATCATCCAACATCACCGTTTAAGAGAGAGATGCAACTGAAAGATGCGGTAGATTACCCAACAATATTCAATTCAGATACGAGAATTAGCAGAGGATTATGTACAGTTACAGCGAATAAGCTCAATCCAATAGAATCACATCAATTGTACTATGAGCTGCACGGTTCAACTGATAAGGACGCAGAGAAGATAATATTTATTATGGGTTTAGTGCGTTCACCTTTACGACGAGGTCTTATCTAATATCATACAGAACGGTAGCTGCTTTGGCTGGTCAAAGCAAGTGAACAATTTAGCACCTTCTAGAAAGTATCAAATTTTGGCATTCGATAATAGAGCTGTTGGCCACTCAACTGGCCCTAGAGGTCCATACAGGTGCGTTCTATAAACCCGTGATTGCGTACCTAAGACCCCAAACAGCACAAGTGGTATGGCAGAAGACGTCATTGCTTTATTAGATTTACTAGGCGTGAGTGAACACATTCGATTAATCTTATTCTTACGTAATTCTGCAGTGGACAGGAAGCCGCAGTTTACACTTAGTTGGTGTTAGCATGGGTGGAATGTAAGCGCATCTTACTTTCCGCTAAGTACATCCGACTCATAATTTATAAGGATCTCATTAGAACTTTGCGATCGCATACACGATCGCATAGCTTCACTCACCCTTGCAGTAACTTCAAGAGGATACGGTCCATACTGGAATTTACCTTCTGTACGTGTCATTTGCTTGGCATTATTTTATTGACGTGCAACAGTGGAAGGGAATATACACATTACTCTCATTTTTCACTATGAAGGATGGTGAAGAGCTCGTACAATCTTATCTTGAATTAGTGTACGTCATGTCATTAATATTGACTTTATCAAATATTCAACTGATATAGTTTCCCTTTGAAATGGTTGGACGAAATTAGAGAAGGAGATGGTCTTAAACGTACGAATAGGGAATGCGAAAGAGAGGTAAGTTTGCACGTTTTAAAGAGACACTTAATTTTAACATTAATTTAGCACATGATAGAACGCGCAAAGTACTCCAAAAAGCAAGATCCATTTGGTGCAATTTCACAAATGTATGCTGCTCTTGGCCACAAAGTCTCTCCAGATAGAATGAAAAAAATTGATCAGAATATACCTAAGGTTAGTCGATTCTTCCTATCTAATGACTAAGTTTATGTCTTTTAGATATCGATCGTGTCGGGTGATGAAGATTATCTAGTTGGTCAGTGTCGTATTTACCGAAATGTTCACGCTTAACACTTATTATAGACATATCATGCTCGGTTGATTTACAAAAGCATCTACCAAGGTAAGTGTTCGATCTACTCCTGATAAGACATAATTCTAACATCCTGAAAAGCGCAACCTACACAATATTCAACGATACCGGACATGGTTTAATAAGCCAGCGTCCATTTAAATTCAATAAACTGGTCGAGGAAACGATCGCAGAAGCAGTGAAGAAAGTTGGAAGAGCATAAGATTTCAGTTAGTTTTCACTCATATAGACAGATATAAGGACATTATAACGAATATTACGTAAACATTTACGCTCATTTCTTTGTTGTAGACACACAATTCATATATAAAAGCTTGTAATTCATGGAAATTGTTTGTTTGTTTGTTTATGCAATCAATGCAATTTTAATATCTTTATGCGTTAGTTATTCTAGTTATGATTTATTTATGCAATATTCTTAATGATAGTTTCCAACTCATCCACGACTTGACCAGCAGATGGACGATGCTTACCATCTTGTGCCCACATTCGTTCAATGAGATTAAGAATTTCACCACCCCACTGTCTTCTAAAATGATTCAATGATGGTCTGAGAGTATGTGAGCCTGAACAGTCATATATAGGTTATGTACACACCTTTTGTGTTTTTGTCCCACTTGATCATAAATGTAATGCTCATTCTGACCTTCCCATGGGTACATTTTCTTAGTGTTATGCCATTGCAAAACCTCCCAATAAACCAAAGCCGCAGCAACTTGGGCATGATAGTTAGCTTCATTGATTAGAGAATATTAAACACTCACAGATATCAACTGAGGAAGTATATGATGGTTTCGCAGACCATAATTCAGGAGCTTGCCAATTAACAGTACCAACGAGACTTTGTATCATTGAACGAGTAGATTGTTTGACTCTTGCTAAACCAAAATCATTCAATTTAGCCCTACCTCTATCATCAATAAGTACGTTACTCGATTTAACATCGCGATGTATAATGCTTGGTTTGGCATTATGTAGATATTCCAGACCCTTAGCTATGTCTAACATAATTTGGAAGGCTTTCTTGTTAGTTGGTGGAGGATGTTGACGTAGATAATCAAATAAGTCACCGTTTTTACATAATTCACTGATAAGCATAACAGGTACACTTTTATCTTCTGGAATCGAAACACCCAAGAATTTCACTATATTTGGATGGTTGAGTTTACTCAGAACTTGTAACTCTTTTATATCCATTTCAGTCAATTGTCCGCGTATATCTGCAACAGCACATCTCTTTTTTCGGATAGTACCCACGTAGACATCCTTAAAACCACCTGAACCAATTTTGTCTTTCTTTTCGATCAACGACGAACTTATTTCTTTATTATCTAAACCTAATTCTTGTAGATCTAATGCAATTCCGTCACTAGTACCATTGCTTGAACGATGACCAGGTTTTGGCGTAGTTTTATCAGACATGACGATAACATTTGGCCTAGTTGTGGCAGTACTTGTTGCGGTAGAGGATGAATTTATAGCCTTGCGTGTTGGTTTTGTTCCTTTGCCTAGTTTCGATCTCTTAACAGTTGGTTTTGGTGTATCTATTATAGTGCCATCATCTGAAGATGCGGTGGAAGGTGTTGACTTCTCCTTATACTCTACGAGTAAATCAATTAACTCATCTTTCGTATTGGTTTTACTGTAATCTATGTCATTAACGTCACACAAATGTTCAAGCTGTCTTTTGAGATAACGCTTAAGTGTTGATGCCGTTTCCTCTTGTAAATCGATATCATCTTCGTTAAAGCTACTCTCTGGTTCATCTAAATTCATCATTGATACACTGTTGACGGCGTTGTCAACTGAATTTGGAGTAGTTTCATTAGAGACTGTACGCGTACGAAGCTGGTATCTAGCCTGTACGGATGGTTTATTGATAGATTCTAAACTAAGTTTGTTTAATGCTTTTTTCTTTGCTGCCCTCGTACTTGTACGCGTATTGTGTTTAGAATTGTTATTACTAAGTGGACGGCTATGGTAAGAATCTTTATCGGTATCATCTGAGCTAGTAGATAGTTGATCTGCCGCGCTCTTTGGCTGCTCCAAATTAATGATCATATCAATGAGTGCATCTTTCGTTAAGTTTTCGCTAATATCTTCTCTAAGATTACTTAAAATATCCAACAATTCACTCTTTTTATACTTTATTAACTCCCTCTCACGTAGGATCGACATGACTGTCGACTTGAAACCGTCAACTGAGAATATGTCATATAATCGGAATGATTTGATAACGCTCAATCCAGTTGATATAAGACCACCACCATTACCTGAGCGTTCGCCATCCTCTAATAGTACACCACCACCACCGCTTCCAGAGCGTAAAACGAGTTCTGGGGTTAATAGACCACAACCAGCTAGACCTATTAACAAACCTAATACGAATGCACCAATTATGCCACCACCTGTTCGTTTAAATAGCCCTGCTAGTAGCGTTTCTAGTCTGCGCGGTGGTCCATCGAATAGCTCACTTAGTAGAATATCAGGGAGAAGCAGATCTGGTAGTCTTAATAGTACAGTTAGTACATCAAGTAGTAAAAACATTGCCCCGGTTTTTCGTTTGACACAGCCTAGACCAGCTGATAGAATTCGCTATCTGGCACTTTACGATAGATTACTCGATAAACAAAACAAAGTTATTAAATCAGATGCTTTAGACATCAGGATTGTGAGGAACGTATGGAATGCATCTAAGTTAGACGATGATTTCTTAGAAAAGTTATTATCAACAACAGGTAGTCAAATTGATGGAAACACCTTTAGTAGATCATTAGCAACTATAGATTCCGAATTGAGTCGACGCAAGCAATTAAAATAAGCAACCGTAATCTTCATACCAGCTCTTCTTAATAGAGACATCAAGGTACTTCTCAATATCATTTTGTAATTTTACTAGCATTGCATCGGAGTATCCTTTCTTACTCAGAAGTAGGATTTCAGTTGCGTATAATATTACAGTTATTCTCGCCAATGGTTTCTCTGGACGTAATTCATTTCGCGTTTGATCGAGTGATCGTTGATTTTCAAAATACCATTTTAATGTTTTTATATGTCTCGGTTGGAGGTACGTTAAGGTAACATTATCCTTTGTGAGACTACGTATAACTCGATTGTATATTACTTTCCCAGAATTTGATATAATTTTATCGTTGTTTGGTATCTCTTTCAATGCAGAACTACTTTTATCATAATCTTTATCAACTAGGAACTTATCAAAGTTAGTTTCAGTGCTCTGACTAGACAGTTTGTCGAACATCTGATAACTCGCATAGACGTCATTAGCGGCATATTCGATTTGTTTCCAGTTCAGTTTGTTCTCCCAATCACCGACCCTTTCGGTTCCTTTATCTAGACGTTCTTGTAATAAAAACTCAGTCAATTTGTCTAGTGAAATTAGTACTCGATTACTACCCAATTCAGCTGAATGGATGGATTTCGCGAGATATGTCAACTCTAGTAAACTATTTAATTGTATCTTAAAATCGTTATAGAATTTCCTCCCATCGTTACTTACATTGACACCTATCTTGTATCTTTGTTTGTCTGTCAGAAGCTTGATTAGCTCATTGGGTATCTCAGACATGTGGTGTAAATGTAAGACTAAAATGAGTTTATCATCGCATAACTTTATAACTGAGTCAGCTTGTCACGACAAGATAAATCAAACCTACTTGTACGATAGCTGTTCTACGTTGCTTCGCAGACTTTCTAAAATCAACTTTCCACTCCATATCAAAACCGACGTGACCCCTTAATGCTTGTATGAGTTCATTTGCCTCTTGAACAGATTGCGTGTATGCCAAAGCGGGTGATCTCATGCCATTTGTTGTATAACTTGATGGATGTTTATAAGAATATAACGGTAGCATGGTGTTACTCTGTTTGGTTGCTACTGAGGGTGTGTACAGCGTCCTCTTTCGATAATTAGGTTGAGATTGCGCTGATTTCTTTGCTGTGAGATCTATGAACTCATTTGATAATCTACGTAATACTCTTTTCATATTCAAATAAGGACGTAAAAGCAGGAGAGTGATGTAATTGGTATGGAGATGATAGTTAGGAAGATAGAGATGAGATGTTAGAGACATACTAGAGATATATTAGAGATTCGACATAAATAAAACTAAATTATAGTAAATAGCATCTTGATAAGCTACGTCGATGTCGTCAATTGAAGCGACGATTGATTTATTAGAGAGATTAGACAAAAATCCAAATGACGATAACTTCTTGGAAGCTTTACGATTCCTAGTAAATTTAGACTATAATACTACAGTTTATTTGACGCTCACACAATACATCCTCAATTCTAATCATCTAAATTACGCCGATTTACTTGGATTCTTTAAAACTCTCACACAGGCTAAAATACAAAGACATCTCACCTTAAACGGTCTGTTAGATGTTCTCGATAAATTGAACCTTCGAGCATCTCTCAAGGTGTCTTATTTAGCCGGTATTATGATGGCATTGGATAGTAGTAGAAACGAAGAGATCGATGATATTCAAGATATACTCATATGCGAAATAGAGGATAGTTTACTATACGAGGTTGATTCTCTTCTTGACAATAGCTATATTAAGACTTTGGTAATGATCCTACCGCAAATTCGGACAAACAAGTTGAAATTAATGGATATAAATGTATGTGATAGGACCGGACCTGTGATGCTCATATACTCACATAAGTATAGCTGTTAAGGAATTTTTTTGTCAAGGTTCTTATTGAATCATTTAAACTTGATAATCATAATGACAACATCCATGTGAGTATCTACAATCACCATATATTTATCCTCACAATAAAAAGCTACAATCCAAAGAAATAAAGGAAAGACCACTTTACACTAGCATACCTTCCATTTCACGCATTTTGTCTCGTTTTTGCACTTTATGGTCTCACCAGAATACCAACAATCTCGAGAACTTGCTTGAGGGTTTACTTCAAATATCTATACAACATGAGCGTCTGCTGTCTTCATTCAGCTTCTCGGAATTAGATAAAGGTGGGTACACATTTTCATCTAGTGATTAATTGACCATGCCCCAAGATAGGGATATTCATTCGCATTTTATGACACTTCTGTTTACCTCATTAATTGTCCTTCAAACTATCCTTACCCATGCAGTTACATCGTACGGATTCAAAAATAGTGATCCGTATCTACCAAGGAAAGTATTTGAAATAACTTCCCACTTGGTAGTTATCAATCATCTAGTAAATCAAGATGAAGATTTGAGAGAATGGGTAGCTGTCAATCTTCTTTGTGTAGATATGATCAATGCGATTGAGGATGAAAATATCGCAGTTACAGCAAGTGAAGAGATATTAACTAAATTGACCGAAGAATACCCTAACAAGCAACAAAATGATGTGAAGGTCATTCACTTCCTTCATATTGCGGAACTTCTAGTTCTTAAGTGCTCACCAGCGTTTGTTCTATCGACCGTCTTGCCAATATGTGACAGGTAAGCTGACTGTTTCACAAATGAAGTCTTTGTTCACGTAAGTACAGATACCTGGAAGACAGTAAACATGCACAAGCATTCGAGAATGCACATTCAGTCACGCTCACTTTCTTTGGTGGTGTCAAACCTGATGATGTCGATCAAGTCTTGGTTGCTAGAGTGATGAGTTATGCGATAACATTATTGAAAGTGGGTTCTTTCTTATTACTAGATCTATTTAACAGCTTTTATCAGACTCTCGATGTCTTGTCTAAAGAGCAGTTTACAACTGCATATCAGAGTGTGATAAAGAAAGTCTCAACACATTCAACGGAACTCACACAGTGGTGCCTAGATGGTCTCTGTGATGCCTTTAAAAATGGAGAACTACAGGAGTCAAAATTAAAGGTTGCATTCACAATTCCAACTCTCTTACCTTACATAGAGTATGACTTATTAGATGACTTCTTGCGCTTGCTCGAAAGATTACACCTCAATCCATGGATAGAGCAAGATCAGGATGATTTCTTAGCTCTCACATACAAGTCCATCAAGTTAGTCAAAAATGAAAAGTGTCTGATAAAGTGTCTAGAGTGGTGGGGTGAATATACGAGTCGTTGTAGATCTCAACCATTAATAAAAGCACGTTTGTAAAGTACATGTATACCAAACTTCTATTAAAAACCACTACAAACATTAAATTTATAACAGAAATCTACAAATGATGAAATGAAATTCTTTTTGATCATCTAAATGCCTTGCTATCATCTAAACATATGGAGGACCCATTATTTTACGCATTTGATTAATTGTGAAATCGACAACTAAGAGCAAAATACCACCACCTGGTCCTAATCTCGTAGCTTTTGGTATAAATCCCTTGAACAAAGATTTTATGCCTTCCTCCCTTGCTACTAATATCAAAGATGGATATGTCCAGTTGTATTTTGGTACAACGCCTGGTACCTTAACCGTACCTTGTATACGACTTTTTACGACATCGAATGGTGTGTTCAATACGGTACCACATAATCCGCCAATAGTTCCAGCTGTGAAATTGTTCAAAAGCTTCCCTGAGTTGGTCTCGGTTTTAGGAAGATGCGAGCGTATTTGGAAAATAACACCGAAATATCCGCCATCTGATTGAATTTAATTAGATTCATTAGCAAACAGAGGTATAAGCTAACTCACTCCACCAGAAGTGTCTCCAGAAGGTAGCCTCCATTCCGGCGTACATGCCAAGAAGACCATCACTTTGTATCGTACGCTTGATAACGTCTAATGGACCTAAGGGGACTATTTAGAATGTATTATACTTCATATATAATCGGACATACCCTTAAATGTACTTGTTTTGTCTTGCAACCTAATCTTAATCAATTCAAACGGTGTCACAACGAATGACTCTGTTGCACCAGCGGTACATCCAGTAGCTAAAGACAAGGCTTGTGTCATTTCTGTGGTTCCGGCCATATATTTATAGGTCTTTCCCCAATAATCATTCGCAGCAAACTTTACAGCTCTTTTTGGTGCTTCCATAGTAAGTGGTGCGGCTAAACCTCTATACAATCTAGCGAAACCTTCTTTTCTTGCAATGTCTGAGAGTATTTTAACCATGCCTTGACTCTTTCCTGCTTCAAGTTGCATGCGTGTCTTTGCGATATCAGTAGGGTACATAGTCAGTATCTCAACGACACCACCAACAGCACCAGCTAAAGGCATTGACCATCCTGGTAACGGCTTTGGATTTGTCGTTTGAGATGACATTTTTGTTCGAAGTCCGAAACTAAGCAAGGCTCCCCTTCAAGATAAAGTCGTCCCTAATTTTATTTCTTATCCGATAACGGCGGTTTGGTCGATCTATATAATCGAAGATGTGGTTATACTATTAACACATAAATTCCCTACATAACATCTAAATCCTCATTCGTCGTTTGTTCTTAACACACGTGATTTCATCATAAGGAATGCATCCCTAGCTTTATTAAACAATATGCATGCCGGGGTTTTTTTATAGCGAAAAAAATATGTATGATAATTGTAAGTTAAAGTCGACTGTCTAGGTGTAAAATCATCTTAATATATCGGCTTGTCGGGGTACCGCTTCATCAGATTGTACTGATCGATAACATTTCATACATTCATAAACAGCTTACATTAATGGTGTATTCAAACTTCTATAACCCAGAAAGGTTACTAGCTTACTATTTTACTCCGTTTACCGATCATGTTCGATATTACATATGATCACCTATGATCACACAATAGAGATAAAACACGCATATAAACAAAAACCTTTCATAGTTAACACATGCAAAACAACATAAGTATCATATTCTAATCGTACATCAAGACATGTCAAATTTGCACTTATTTTCCAACTAAGTGTTCAACTTTTGCTTGAGCGCGCGTTAAACCAGCTTTAGCGATTTGAGTCAAGATTTGTTCTGAAGACTTCTCGTCCTTGAAGAAGATGTAACCCAACATTTCAGAACAATCATTGTATCTCTTGCCCTTGTCTGCTCCTTCGAGAGCTTTAACATCATCAGCATCTAATTTAACAATTGAATCAAAGTTTTCCTTGTATTTGGTGACTGACTTTGGAATCGGTACTATGTTTCTGGAAATGAGGAATGAGAGTACGATACCATGTGGAGTGGTGTTGTGCTTAGTTGCAAGTGATTGGACAAGTGGGTCTGAAACGACTTCAGTTGTACCACCGTAAGTTGGGTTCAGACCACCAAATGGACTGTAAGCTGTAACTTGGATACCTTTAGATTGAGCAAATGCAACCAAGTCTTTTTGTTGAAGGTAAACGTGACATTCAACTTGGAGGGATGATGGTTTAATCTTAGCATACTTAAGGAGGTCCTCGATTTCTGATTTGGTGTAGTTTGCGATACCGATGTTCTTAACTTTTTGTGGAATTTGAGCTTCCAAAGCTGCCCAAGTATCCTCCTCATCTGCACCGTAGTCTCTGATTGGGAAGCCTTTGTCATCTTGTGGAATGGCAGCAGAACCGTCAAAGTTTTGACCAGCTTCAAGACTACCAGGCCAATGAATTAAGTCTACGATGATGTCTTAGTATCGCATTCAGAATAAAAAGAAACGTAATACTCACACAAGTCGAGATACTCCAATTTCAAGTCATCAAGGGTTTTGGTGAGACCTCTTGCGACATTTTCTGCCCTCTTAGAGTTTAACCAAAGCTTTGAAGTGACGAAGATTTCAGAGCGCGGAGTACCAGTGGCCTTAAGCCATCTGTTGATACCCTCACCGACTTCTTTTTCGTTACCGTAAATAGCTGCACTGTGGGGTATTAGTTAATAGATTGCATCATCCTCAACACGAACCTGTCGATATGACGGTAACCTAAGAACTGGTTAATATGCTGCTTATTATGGAGTATGAGCGCCATCAATTAGCTCTCTCTGGCGTTTTTTATTTCTAAAGAAAACGCACAGACGTCATAATTGATGGCGCAATTAGTAAACTTACCAGCCTCAAGAGCACCATAGACAAGGTCAGCAGCTTGTTCGTTTGGAAGGTTCCAACATCTATATTAACTATGAGAAGCTAGCTAATATTCCAAATAAGAAACTTACCCGTATCCAAGCCTTGGAATACCATCAGACTTGGTGTCAGCAGCGGTTGCTGGTGCATTGGCAAATGGAATACGTTCAGTTTGGAGTGGCATTTTGTTAATTTTGATGATTGTGGTACGAGATGAAGAGGTGAGTCAGTCGGCTTTATGGATTCGATGTCGTGTGCAATTACGTAAGACTTTCACTTTTTTTAAGCACTTTACTTAAAGTTTGTACCAGGATATACAATATTATATGGTAGCTTAAATCTTACTCTCCTTCTCAACTTTATTCTCGTGGATGCAAAATTTCCGTCATGTGTTAAGCAAGGTACGAAAGGGTTATATGGCAAAGGGCAGTAATACAGACATATAAAGTGTTTCAACAGGTTTGACGTTCTCTAGAATTTGTGAAATTAGAAATGAATTATCCATTGGCGCTCAACATTATGGTTGGAGTAATGAAAAATTTTATGCTGTCTTTGCCTTTTTGACGCGTTCTCTGACGCTTTCTTTACTTTGATATTCTATTTGCGAAGGTGATTTTTCGTCTGCAAAGAAAATCACACCGCACTGGGTAGACTATTAAATCACGATCGATGACTGACGTAATCGGACTCACCAGCTCGGATAAATCGCAGTAACGAGTATTGTTAGCTAAGGCACTGATTTTGGCAAAATCTTCGCTGTCTAACTTTACTTGTTGCTGGTTTGCGACGATGTGCTCGACATTCGATGAGCGGGGAAGTGTCACTAAATAATATTATATGAGAATTCATGTGCTGTTACTACTTACCTATTCCTCTACTGATCACCCAGCTGGTAATAATAGAGGAGGGAGTTACGTTATGCTTTACTGCAATTTTTTTAAGTACTGCATCCTCAAGCAATTGTTCTTCTTGCTTGTATAGAACATTAGCATTACCGAATGGAGAATAACCCTCCACTGTAATATTGTATGATTGCGCAAACTCAACCAAGTTGTTTTGTGGTAAACGCGGATGAATTTCGACCTTTGAGCGTGTATGTCATTTATACGATCTTGGACTGATTAGTTTCGACTCACCTGTAAAATGGCTGGTTTAACACGTGCATACGAAAGAACATCTTTGAGCTGATCTACAGTCAAGTTGGATACACCGATTGAGCGCACCTTCTTTGTCTCAAGGAGGTCTTCCATTGCCTGACGAAATTTAGAATTGTGAGCGCGCTTTAAGCATACCAGACCTCGTAAGTTTCTCTGTACGGTACGTCATCGTTAATGATAACACCATCTTCGTCTTGAGGAATATGTGCGCGATTGTCTGGCGATTGCTGTATTGTGTCAGCTTCGGAAGGAAAAAGTAACATAAATATACCTTAAAGGCAGCTGGCCAATGAATGATATAACCATCAAGGTAGTCTAAACATGTTAGCCGACTTTTTACTTAATTTCTCACTCACCGAGTTGTAAATCAGATAGTGTGACATCAAGCGCCTTCTCTACGTCCTCTCTTCTATGAGAGTTGTTGTAGAGCTTTGACAAGACAAATATGTCAGATCTTGGTGTGCTTGTCTCATTCAAAAAGCGTTGTATACCTTTTCCAACTTCTTTTTCGTTGAAGTAGATTGCTGGTGGATTTAGAAGTTATAATAGGATTAATTGTACACCCACATGCACAATCTATACCTCTATATCCACTCTTGAGAGCTTCATAAACTGCATCGGCTGTCCTGTCACCTAATTCCCAAGTGCCAAGCTATGTCTATGTTCAAATATGAAATCATGCGATAATAACAACGCACTTGTAAAAGAGGAATTTCTATATCATTATTGAGTGTTTTCTTTATATTTGATAGCATCATGGTCGTCCAAGAGAGAAGACAGATCGCTTCGAGCTAAAGTGAGAAGACATATAGGGATACACTTGTATTCATGTTATACAAGATATTATATCACTCTACTGCATTATCGCTTTCCCTATTTTTACTACAGTCATCATGGGTGACTCTTATTTGAGAGAAATCATAGAAGACGCTAGCAAATATGGCGATAGCGATAGAAAGGAAATAATAGACCAACTACGCATCGAATTGGGCGTGTCGTCGCTCCCATCAGCAGATGAACTCAAGGACGATATCAGATCTACATTTCTGACACCACCAAATAAGCTAATAACTAAGAGCTTTCAGACTATACCAAGAGATCCAAACGTGAGGTCATTATTACAGTCAAATATCTCCTCTCCTTCTTCCAAGTTAGCGTTTCAAAGAGCCGGTTTGGATGGTAATATTATCGGTCATAGCGAAGTCCAAATTCCAATCGCTGCAAGGGAAGACGCGAGAACATCCACTAGTATCCATAGAGCTCCGACCGATGCGGCGTCATTCGTTAGAGGAAAGAGTGGAAATGTTCCATTCGCACCAGGTGGATTGGACGTCGTTAAAGAGCTTTCAGACGTTGGGTCTAGAAGAAAAAACGGTATAGATGGTGAAAATGCGGGTAGTACCGTCGATTTGTCCAAGGGTAAGTATGCTCGCTAGCTGAGACTAAGTTAACATTCAGCAGGCGGTTTAAGGACTGTCCCACCAGGGTTTGAAAGGGGTTTGAAGTTTGAAGGAGACGACAGCAATTCTTTGGAAGCAATTGGAGGAGTCTCGAACGTCGCAGAACCTAGCACATCTAAGCATACAGCCGTTTCGACAAACAGACAAGCGGATGGCAATGTATTATCCAATCAAGCATATGCGGATGCTTCAATAGATGAGCTTCTACCAGATTCCAAACCACACATCCCGACTACGGCTGCCAACTCGCGTCGTAAGGCTCAATTAGCTAAAAGAGAATGGGCGCATGTTGTCGATGCCAATAAAGGTCTTGCAAATTTCGATGAGTTGGTTCCAGATATGGCTATAAAGTATCCATTCAAGCTAGATCATTTCCAACAAAATGCAGTCTATCACTTAGAAATGGGAGATTCAGTTTTTGTTGCTGCTCATACATCAGCCGGTAAGACCGTCGTTGCAGAGTACGCCATAGCGTTGGCAGCTAAACATATGACGAGAACTATTTATACATCACCAATTAAGGCACTCTCTAATCAAAAATATCGTGATTTTAAGACGACATTCGATCCAGCAACCGTTGGAATTCTAACTGGAGATGTTCAGATCAATCCAGAAGGTAGTTGCCTGATTATGACGACCGAGATTTTACGTAGCATGTTATACAAAGGTGCCGACTTGATCAGAGATGTTGAATTCGTTGTCTTTGACGAGGTACACTATGTTAACGATGCAGAGAGAGGTGTCGTTTGGGAAGAAGTAATTATTATGTTACCGGAGCATATCAATATTATCTTACTTTCAGCTACTGTTCCAAATGCTAAAGAGTTCGCCGACTGGGTTGGAAGAACCAAGAGGAAGAATATCTACGTTATTAGCACACCAAAGAGACCTGTACCGCTCGAACACCACTTGTTTGCCGGAAAGGAAATACACAAAATTGTAGATGCAGGTGGTAAATTCCTCAGCAGTGGTCACAGAGATGCAACAGATGCCTTACGTAGGAAGCAAGATAAGGAGAGAGAAGCAGCAGGCTTACCGCCGGTTCAAAAGGCAAGTGGTGGTCCTAGAGGTGGTGGCCGCGGAGGTGGTCGTGGGGGCGGACGTACACCCGCAAATATGGGAGCTACTGGCGCACATCGTGCGATCAACTCATACAACAAGTCGCAAGGTGCCAACAGAGGTGGTGGAAATGCTTCATCAGGAGGTAACCAAAATCATCACTTAGTGCAATACCTCAAGAAGAAGGATTTATTGCCAGTTGTTATATTCACCTTTTCAAAGCGTAAATGTGAAGAACACGCAAGTGGTCTCGGTGGTATGGACCTACTTAGTGCCGCAGAAAAGAGTGAAGTACATATCACTGTTGAGAGAAGCATATCTAGATTAAGAGGTGGGTGTAGACATTTTCCAAAAGGTTCATCTGACAGCTCGCAGGCTCTGACAAGCAACTTCCCCAAATTTCCCGCATGAGGGATTTATTAGGACGTGGTTTAGCTGTGCACCATGGTGGTCTGCTTCCAATCGTAAAGGAGGTGAGTGGATAACGTAACTATAATCTCTTTCTGAATTTCCCGGAAGATTGTCGAATTACTTTTTGGTAGAGGTCTTGTGAAGGTGCTTTTCGCCACTGAGACCTTTGCTATGGGTGTGAACATGCCTGCGAGAAGCGTTGCATTTTCTGGAATACGGAAACATGACGGAAAATCATTCAGGGATCTTCTACCAGGTAGGGTTGTACTTAGATGATGTGTTATCTTCTAATTAGAACTCAATAGGTGAATACACTCAAATGTCCGGAAGAGCAGGTCGTAGAGGTTTAGATGCAACAGGTGTTGTAATTATTATGACAAATGACAACATACCTGAAACAACCACTCTGCAACAGATGATCTTGGGTATTCCAGGAAAGCTTAACTCACAATTTAGACTTACTTTTAATCTTATCCTTAATTTGTTACGTGTCGAAACACTCAAGGTAGAAGATATGATTAAAAGATCATTTAGTGAAAACGCAAGTCAGAGGCTTCTTCCTGATCAACAGAAGCAGGTCGAAGAAGCTGAACAGCGTCTCACACTCCTTCAAAAACTCGATAGGGAAACATCACTGCCTGATTTAGATGTTTTATACAATACTAGCGCAGCTTTGATTGATGTTAACGCTTACATTATTGACTTCGCGCTTAAACATCCGCAAGGTAGCAAAATGATAGGAGCTGGTAGAGTTGTACTCGTCAGAGATAATCACTTCAAGGGAAATTTGGCTGTCTTGCTTCGTCCTCCAAAATTCTTGCCTACTGGTGCATCAAAGACATCCAAATATTATTGGGTTGTTGGTTTAACGGATGAAAGTACCAAGAATGGGAAGAGTGGTTGGTGCATTGGTAAATTTCTTTGTAATATACTGACACAACTACAGATGTCAGAGCCGATGACATTACTCCACGCTGGCCAGCACCATTGGATGAAGAAGGAGACGGACTTGTATATGATTTGGTCTCTATTCCAAGTGAAAGTATCTCGGTTGTGACGAAATTCGCTATGAAGGAGGTTAGATTTGGTTAATCAAACGTAAATTCATATTAACGCCTGACAGATTGATGTATCTGCTATTGTTGATCATCACCGTAAATCTGCATTGCAAGGTTGTGCAAACTACTTGAAAGAGATCCTTCCAGCATTTACAAATAACGCAATATTGACAGAAAGATCATTAGAATTAGACTGGTCAAAATTAAGAGGTTTAGAATTCCACGAAGCGTTAGCTGAGAAAGAAAAGCTTATCGAAAAGATACGTGATTTAGTACCTCTGACGGCTCTCGATGAATTCATACCTCAATATGCTCAATTACATGCCGAAAATGGATTAAAGAATCAAATTGCTTACTTAAGAGCATCAATCAGTGATCAGAATCTGGAGTTACTTCCAGATTATGAAAACCGAATTAATGCTTTGAAAGAAATGCAGTATATAGATCAAAACGCTACTGTGCAACTCAAAGGACGCGTTGCTTGCGAGGTTAGTATCCAAATGTTCATAAACCCCTATTAATCAGTTATTAGATTAACTCGGCTCATGAACTAATTCTCACAGAGTTGATCTTAGAGAATGTATTCGCCGCTTACGAACCAGAGGAAATGGTTGCGCTTCTCTCGTGCTTCCTTTTCCATGAGAAATCAGAAGCAGAGCCAGTCATTCCACCAAAATTGGAAGAAGTGAGAGACAATTATATCAATTACACTACCGCTGACAATCTTCAGGGGAGAGATACAATATTTGCTATCGCAGATCGTGTACAAAGAGTACTTGAGCACAATAAAGTTGAATCAGAAGATTTCGAAACATCACTCAAATTCGGATTGGTTGAGGTTGTTTATGAATGGGCTAAGGGAATGCCATTTGAACAAATTACCCAACTTACTGATGTAGCCGAAGGTACTATAGTTAGAGTCATCACACGTTTAGATCAGACCTGCTTGGAAGTTAGAGATGCCGCTAGAGTTATCGGAGATGCCGCATTATTCCAAAAGATGGAAGCATGTCAGACGATGATCAAGAGGGATATCATCTTCGCTGCTAGTTTATACGTGTAAGATATAAACATACAAATATTTAATGCATTTTTTTGTACAATTTATGCTTTGCCTGGATGTATTTCACATCTTAAGAGGTTTTGAAACATTTTCACCTGACAATGATTGTCTAAGGACTTAAAATCAATACTTGTATTCTTTAACTCAAATCTTCAGCTCGTGGATACACCATTTTAAGCATACTAACAAGATTACAACATACATGGTCTGCTGCATGAATCTTCCGTAATTGACTGAATAGGCATACTTTCTGTCATATCAAAAGCTAGACTATCTGGTATACGCTGGTTGTACTGGGAACATCATGAGAAGAATATTGGGTATTGTGTAATAATAAAGGATTTTCATTCTCTTCCTATAACTTGCCCATGTTTTTCAGTTAAAACAACCTTGACGGTCAGGAGAGCAAGTTAGCATGTAATATTTTACTTCAGTAGCCACATAATTTATGGTTTTACCTTATACAATAGATTGGCATGGACTACACATTCACCCTACCCTCTGAATACTTCGATGTCTTACCAAGACTGTGATTGAAGGCTTGAACATTATAAGTAAGAAAGTTCAGCACGAGCTCTGCAATTTACGGTCAAGCAAATAAGAGTTCTAATATAAAATACCTGCGTCTAAAGATCGTCGGAGGTTAGTCCAAGTCGCAAAACTGAAGTTACGTCCCACAGTGTTAGCTACAAACTAGTTCAGACATACTAAATAGGATCCAATCGAAGCAAAATACATGGTGTCAATGGATGCTAATAATGTTATTCTTGAAGCATTTGGTACGCGTATGACTTACAAGCAAGAAGATTTTATCGCAAGAAGAGCTAGTACAATTAAAGTACGACTAATACGATTCCCTCACTCGGACATATCTCATGAATTGTTCTATATGTCGCGACTTTCACATTATTATAATATTTTACCCTGTATCTTAGGTATTTACTTTTGTTTACGTATATCCGAAAATGTCACTTATGGAAGGAATATAGAAACAGTACCGTCAACGTATTCCAGCATTGCAATGTATAATAATATTACATGAAGCATCCATCTATCCATATATCCAAAGTTAAAAAGAAAATTAGTCAAAAACGACCGTCTTGTGTCCTGAAAGAAGTACTCTGTGTTCAGCAACCCACTTGACAGCTCTGGCGAGAACAATGGATTCAACATTTGATCCTACGTGTGAGAGAGACTTTGGATTGAGCGTATGATCGACTCTTTCAACACCTTGTTCAATGATAGGACCTTCATCAAGATCTGAAGTGACAAAGTGAGCCGTAGCACCGATAAGCTTAACACCTCTATCGTAAGCTTGGTGATATGGTCTAGGGTTGAATGTTAAATAAGAATTTGGAAGAAGGAAGATGACTCACTTAGCGCCCTTAAATGAAGGAAGGAATGAGTGGTGAATATTAATAATACGACCGCTCATCTCTTTGCAAAGTCTTGGTGAAAGAACTTGCATATAACGTGCCAGAACGATATAATCAATTTCGTGCTCCTTTACGAGTTGAAGAAGTTGTTCCTCTTGTTGTTCCTTTGTATCGCGTGTAACAGGTAAGTGTAAGAAAGGAATTTCATAACTCTTTGCTAAAGTTTGATAAGTTGGGTGGTTGCTAACGATAAGTGGAATATCAATTGGGATTTGATCGGCTGAAGCCCTAAAGAGCAAATCGTTTAAACAGTGACCAATCTTTGAAACCATAACTAAAACTTTTGGCTTCTTTGATGCGACGTGCATATTCCATTCAAGTCCGACGGACTCAGCAAGTTTACCGAAATCGTGCCTCAATGAGTCGATCTTCAAACCATTTTGAGCTTGTGCGGTTATTCTCATAAAAAAGCGATTGGATGTTGGGTCTAAGAATTGATCTGATGAAAGAATGTTATGATGATTGTTGTATAAAAATTCTGACACATTCTTCACTACACCAAGTTGATCCTGACAGCTGAGTGTGAGAACGATGGAATTCTCTGGTTGAGATACTTTGGGACTAAGTAAGCCTTTAACTTTTCCTTGGTTAATTAGAGTGTCTGCTTCTGGTTTGTAGGCAGGAATGCTAATAGAGAATGATCTAGTAGGAATAGCTAACTTGGCGATAGCTGGAGTTCTCCTTATTGAGTTCCTCGCCAAGTTTCTGGCTATATTTGAAGCTACTAATCTCATGGCAGTTTGTGAAGAAGGAAGATGGGAAGAGAGAAGACATAAGTTGTGAGTCTGATGAACAAAAAAATGACCATTTATAGATGGCTCAAATCAATATTCAAAGATGTTATACTTAGACTTCTTACTCCACTAAGTACTCTCTAATCTGATTGTGTGATGTTTCTTCTTCTCTAGTAAAGTGAATGAAAGTAGTACTAATCAGTTTGCGATCTTTATCAAATTAGATCGATAGCACTTTCATTGAAGTTTATTGAAAACTAACTTCCCGTTTCGGCCTTGTTTAAGTTGAGGTACAGAAAAGAGTAGTATGAGAGAAAGAACAGAGAGCTCTCACGGTGTCTATGCAGGGATCGTAGTAGAAAGCGAGTTGAGAGTAAACTGAAAGTTGCTGAGGGAGAGTCATCTCATCGTGTTTGTGACTTTAACGCCACATTGACTATAGCTCAAGGTAATAGCACTATGTGTATATATGATAAGTATAAGTATGTAAATCTTCATGTTGCGGCTCAGTGTATGTCTATAACTCTACATCTTCAAGTATATGGAAATGCGATAACACCCGATATGAGATGAATGAGGGTATACTTTTTAAGAAACAGAAAAAAAATATAATGCATAAGCTACTTCTGCATAAAATTCTACTTCATTATTTTATGACTCGAGCGATTTGACCAATCAAGTCCTCGTCTTCTCTTGTCAGAAACCATCGACAAAAATGTGTGGTATATTTGGAGTAAACGGGTTAAAAAACCCAGCGGAGTATAGAAGCAAATGTATAGAATGCGCTAAGGCTATTAGACATCGTGGTCCTGATTGGTCTGGTGTTCATCAAGGCAAAGACTTTATCGTCGCACACGAAAGGTGAGAGGCTTATGTTAGATACATATAGAGAGTTATCTAACTTAGCATTAGATTAGCCATCGTCGGTGTCGACACAGGCGCTCAACCAATCGTTAGCGAGGACGAAAAGATCATCCTCGCAGTAAACGGTGAAATTTACAACCACAAGCAACTTAGACAGGGTTTGAAGAACCAAGATGCTTTATTCAAGACTCACTCCGATTGTGAAGTTATCATCCACTTGGTGTGTATTCTTCGCTTATATGAAATGAATATACTGACAGTCTATAGTATCGCGAACACGGCATTCAAGCGCCAGCGCTCCTTGACGGAATGTTCAGCTGGACTTTATTCGACACCAACTACCCAGAAACGAGGGTTATCGCTGCTAGAGACCCTATCGGTATTACAACACTCTACCAAGGTTGGAACTCCAGTAAACCAGGCGCTGTTTACTTCGCCTCTGAATTGAAATCTTTGCACACTGAATGTGACAAGATTATCGCTTTCCCACCTGGACACGTTTACGATTCCCTCACAGGCAAAACTGAGCGTTACTACAACCCACCATGGTGGAACGGTGATAACGAGGATGCACCTGCACCAACTCAACCTGCCGATTTGAAAATCTTGAGGGAAAGTTTAGAAAATGCCGTTCGTAAGCGTCTCATGAGTGAAGTTCCTTACGGTGTTCTTCTCTCAGGTGGCTTAGATTCATCTCTCATTGCTGCTATTGCTGCTAGAGAAACTGAAAAAGTTCAGAAAGCTCAATATGAAGCACGTAAAGCGCGTCTTGAAGGCACTACCGGTCCATCAAAGTATCCAGAACAAGATGAAGAACGTACCTTAGCTGCATGGCCTACCCTTCACTCTTTCTCTATTGGTTTACCAGGTTCACCAGATTTACTTGCTGCTCGTAAGGCTGCTGCATTCTTGGGTACAACGCACCACGAATTTACCTTCACCGTTCAAGATGGTATTGATGCGCTTAAAGATGTTATCTACCACCTCGAAACTTATGATGTTACTACCGTTAGAGCATCTACACCAATGTACTTGATGTCTAGAAAGATCAAAGCTATCGGTGTCAAGATGGTACTCTCTGGTGAAGGTTCAGATGAAATTTTCGGTGGCTACCTCTACTTCCACGCTGCACCATCAAGAGAAGCATTCCATCAAGAATTAGTTAAACGTATTAAGAACTTACACACGGCTGACTGTTTACGTGCTAACAAGTCTACTATGGCATGGGGTTTGGAAGCTAGAGTTCCTTTCCTTGATAAGAGCTTCCTTAACGAAGCTATGGCTGTTGATCCACAAGAAAAGATGTTCAACAAGGATACATTAAAAAATCTCGATGCTGAAGGAAGATCGAGAATGGAAAAGTACATCATACGTAAAGCATTCGATATTGAAGTTGACGGTAAACCATATCTCCCAGAATCCATCTTGTGGCGTCAAAAAGAACAGTTTAGTGATGGTGTTGGTTATTCCTGGATTGATGGTATCAAGGATTTCACTGCTGAGCAAGTATCCGATGAAAAATTCGAAAAGCGTGCGGAACGTTTCCCTCACGACACACCAGACACCAAGGAAGCATACTGGATTAGAGAGACGTTTGAAAGCTTATTCCCATCGAAGACGGCTGCTGAAACAGCAGTTAGATGGATTCCAAAAGGTGAATGGGGATGTTCAGCTGACCCAAGTGGTCGTAGTGTCAGTATTCATGAAAAAGCATACTAGGTCCTTTGAATATAGATTATTTACTATTATGTATGGAAAAAAAATGTTGTTATTCTTAAAAGTACATGGTTTCTTTTGTCATCATTGTCTGTCTTTCAATTTGGTGTCTTTACGAGGAGACGGAAGATACCAGCAGATATCATACCTAACGTAGAGTGTTAAAAGAATTTACGATGATCCGATAACTTACCGATACCAAAAACTGCCAATCCGGTACCTTTCAAGCCACCTTTGCCGGCAAGACCTCTACCAAGACCGTCTACAGTTGCTCTACCTTCTACGCCTCTGCCGGTACCAGATATTCTGTCGAATGCGCCGTGTTTTCTTGCTTCATAAAGCGAGAATAAACCTGCTCCCGTGAAAACAGCTGCACCAGTCAATCTACATTGTAAACAATCCTTAGTATATCCTTGGTTAAATGGCATAGCAGCAGGTGCTTGTGCTCTTGGATTTCCAAATGGTCCAGCGCCGTCCATGATCGTTCAAGTCAAAAAACGGATGAGATAAGTCGTGTGATGTGATAACGGTAGATCAAGTGAGCAACCGGAAACTAGAAATTAGTACGGTATGCGTGATCACGTGGGTGTCTATGGATATATCATATGATATTATTGGCTGTATAGTAATAAGTTACAGATGTGTTCATTCACCTAGGAATACATAGTTGCGGAGATATAACTTATATCTCCGACAGTATTAAATGAACGTTATAGATTAATGAAAGATATACATTTCTCATTCCACTCTTCTTCCTTTACGATGATATGTTTCGTCATTCTCAGAGACTTCTAAACGTATGGACCAGCAAGTTAAGGGAGAAAGCACAGTCTAACAGTAAAGGCACACTAAATGATTTAAATATGGCTGTAAAAGATGTCTTTTGGACGAAAGAATTGCCGACTACAGCAGCATCAAAGATGTTGCGGAATTTTCATCCAGAAGAAGACGCGGAATGTGTACAGCTCGCTAGGGCAGCTGGGGCGTCATTTATAGGCAAGACAAACTGTGATGAATTTGGTATGGGGTGTGTATATCTTCATATCGTTATATACAAACTCATAATAGGTATAGTTCAAGTAATAGATACTCAGATTTTGGCCCAGTATTACACCCATTCTCTCCTGAAAGATTGGCTGGTGGTTCTTCTGGTGGTTCTGCTGCTGCTGTTGCATTACAAGAATGCGATTTGTGAGCTTAATCAATGATTTTAGCGTCTTCTTACAATTTAACAGCGCTTTATCAACTGATACTGGTGGCTCAACCCGTTTACCGGCTTCCTATTGTGGTGTAGTAGGCCTCAAACCATCATACGGGATGATATCAAGGTATGGTATGATACCATACGCTGAATCACTTGATTGTGTTGGAATTATGGCCAGAAAGGTTGGTATAGTCAAGCGAGTCTTTGGTGAGTTTGTTGAACATCTTTGATATTTCAATTAACACCTTACAGAGGTTCTCTCACAATATGACGAAAAAGATCCATCTTCAGAGTCTTCTGAAGTGCGCAAAAGGGCTATTTATGGTATGATTAGTACAAAAGAAAGTTCCGATACATGGAAAATTGGTCTACCTGAGGTTAGATACTTTAATTTGATTATTATCGCAAACTTATACCGACACAGGAGCTTTTCAATAGAGAACCTTCAGAGGCACTCTCAAATGTTATAGATACTTTACTCAAAAATGGTACAAGTGATGGAAAGCGTGTCGAGTTATACCAGGTGTCACTTCCATCGGCTAGTTTGGCATTGAATGCATATTATATACTCGCAAGTGCCGAAGCCTCAAGCTCACTTGCTAGGTATGATGGAATGCAATACGGTTAGTCTTCAATTTATAGAACAACTCGATAACTCATATTGTACAAGGTTACAGAAGTAAAACTGGTTCAGTGGAAGAAACACGGGCAGAAGGGTTTGGAGAAGAAGTGAAACGACGCATAGAACTGGGCAACTTTGTGTTATCAGCTGATGCTTTCGATAACTACTACTTGAACGCTCAGCGGGCAAGAACCGCTATCGTAGAGGACTTTGATAGGCTGTTTAGGTTACCTAATGTGAGGAGCAAGAATGATAATTACGATCTAGGTGTTGATGTTCTCATTCATCCAACTGCTGTATCTGGACCACCGAAAGTTAATTCTTCAGATACAACAGATTACTCGCAGGACGTTCTGACTACACCAGTTAGTTTGGCTGGATTACCGGCGATGAGTATACCAATTGGAAAAGATAGTGATGGCTTTCCACAAGGTGTGTCGATCGTCAGTCAATGGGGTTGTGAGCAGACTGTCTTCAATATGGCTCATGAGTTGGAGAATGTAAATAAAAAGATGCATTGATTGTATAGAATGTAATTGGATATGACTGTAGTAGTACTATCTCCTGTGACGGAGGAGACTGCCAATCAGTAAGGCGCCGAGTGTGACTGCACCACCACCAATAGCTAATCCAATGTATCCCTCTAGATATTGTTAGAGATACCAGACTGAAAAGTACATCACCTACCTTTCGCCCAAGCCCTGTCGATAAGCTGATTAAGTGAACGTGCTTGTAGGTTGTTAGGCTCTTTAGAGAGTAACAAATCGTTGAACTTCTTTGCGTCTTGATAGTTGCTAACCTTGTAATAGCCTAGTGCGAGATAATATAAACATTCACGCCTTCTAAACGGCTCTTGCTTATAGATATCACTCAGTATGGACACACCCTCGAGTACTTCCTCTTTCTTCTTTGATTTCACTAATCCCCAGGCCAGGTTGAAGGAAGTTTGAACCGATAAGTGACCAGCTTGTATTTCCTTATCGTATTGTGACCTTAAGACTTCTAACTCGCTAGCGCTGAGTGGAGTATTAACGTCTACGGCGAATGGCAAATCTGATGATGACATTAGGATGATAGTCTTTATTCAAGAGTGTCTTGATTATAATTTCAGAATATTACATAAAAAACACATTATTGTATTCATTTTATTTGATTATTTGATATTATTTTCTCCCCTGAATAGGTATCTCATCTCACCCAAGATTCAGGACAACGGTCATCCTTGCAATTATAACAATAATAGTTTCAGTAGTTTGCTCTAGTAGTATCAACATAGTTTACCCTTGATATTACTAGCTAAGGTACGAAGTTATGAGACAAATGCGAAAATGATTTCGATAACAAGACTAAGCAATAATAGAAATCTAAGTCTTCAATTGTCTGTTGAAAAGGCGTATAATATATACATACAATCTATCCAATGTCTTAATATATATTATTCGCGATATACTTGCTCTTTTGTTTGATTGGAAAGCACACTGGTAGTTCACAATATGTGGGTTTTTTAAGTTCGGCTAATATTTCAATGGAACTTTTAGCTTGGTACATGCAGTTGAAATTGATCCAGTGGTGTGTTCAAAGGAGTAGCGAGCAGTCGATGAAAAATAAAACCCTAAGCATATATTGACTATAATTCAAGTTTATGGGAAAGGTCTAGTTTCTTTTTTGCCTACGTTGAAGTGAGTGAGTTACATCGGTATAAAAGCTTATTGTCCTGTACTAACATAGCCTTCGCTATCGCAACATTCAACAAAGTATCCCGGATCTATAGCATGACCTCCACAAATACCTCTCATGCAGTCACCATTTCCTTTGTCGTAGACCACAAAAACACCATTTGAGATCGCAACAGTAATGTGTTGGCTCTTCCATGTAGTGACCTGGGCCATATTTGTTCTTTGTATAAGCTACTATGGAGCCTGCTTGGACATAGTCGAATGCGGTTCTTAATATGATTGTGAATACGACATTTGTAAAAGTTAAATTACATGATTGAGAGTTAAGAGTATCTACTAGAAAGTTATTGTTATGCTCAAGAAACATACCTTAAACTACACATAATAATTGAATGGATCTAAATTTTATTGTTAACAACGTATTTCAGTAACTGAACTGGATATATTTCCGAAAGTAATCGAGTCAAGAAAAAAATTATAATACTCTATAAGGGCAAATGTTATCCTGATTACAATGTTAAAGGACATGTGCTATATAATTCAATGTAGAGCTCACAACCATGTCATGAGTAAGACAAAGAGAAAACATAAATCAGTGACGATAATACTGTCCAGTAGATTCCACTATTGGCGTTATATCTCATGATAGAGCATTTCTCAATGCTGTCACTGAAGAGACTATTGTGTACAAAAACCACTGCTTGTCTTATTACAAAGAAAGCTATGAGAAATGTAGACAATTTGGATAAAAAGCAAGAGCATCTAAAACACAAGGTGACGACGATCTTGGAGAAGCAGAAAAGCGCAGCCGAGAAGTCTGTCGACATTGAAGTGACCCGTCCTCGCAAATCTGGTGATGGCTGCCGTTGCATCGAAGCAACGCATGTTGAAAGAGACTGTTAAAATGGATGTAAATGAAAAGGTCGTCGTTTCAAGCTTAACACAGACCTGCCGGAATGACAGCACCCGCCCGGTTATTGTGCTGGAAAAGCTAAAAATACCATCTAACAGAGTGTAGGAATATGAAGTAAAGACTTGAATTCTGCATTAGTAAAGCGCAGGCTAGGTTCAAATGGTAGTGAAACCAAGGGTATAAATATTATATTGTTTATTAAAGTATATAAGAAATAATTAAAAATAGTTTGTAAAATATACAATGGAAATAAGTTTGAAGAATATAATTTATAAAATAGATAATAAAAATACATATGATATAATATGGGGTTAGGCTCGGGTACTCAAATCCAACCAGCATCTTTTTTAACTACATATGCTAGAAAATGACCGCTTAGATATATTGGGAACTCAGCCTAGTCTTTACAAGTTATACACACAAATCTGTTCTATTTTTCCGCTTACTGAATCATCCTCCCATGACATTATTATTGACAACCTGAGGAATGGATTGAATAGATTGGTAGAGAGCTTCCCATGGCTCGCTGGAATTGTCATCAACGAGGAAGCAAGTGAGGGCGTCACTGGTACATTCCGGATCTCCCCAACAGCTGAGATCCCACTTGTCGTCAAAGATCTTCGAACCGATCACTCGGTATTGACAATGGACTCCCTGCGCAAAGCCAAATTTCCTTTTACCATGTTGGACGAGCGCGTCATTGCACCTTGCATGACACTCAATCCGTCAGGCAGCTCAGCTGGCCTGGTGAGCGATACTGGGCCAGTTTTTGCCATTCAAGTGAATTTTATATCTGGTGGCCTTATCCTCACCTTTGTTGGGCAGCACAATGTAATGGATATGACTGGCCAGGCAAATATTATCAATTGGTTATCCAAAGCTTGCTACAACCTCCCCTTCTCTGATGAAGAGCTTTCAATTGGGAACATTGACAAAAGCAAATCTATTCCTTTGCTACATGACTCGTGGGAACCTGGTCCAGAGCTGGATATTCAAATGGCGAAATCTTTTAACAAACCTATCATGAATGACGGCACCCCCACGGGTGCCTCATCAATTTCCTCCTGGCGTTATGTGGAATTTTCTGCTGCCTCGTTACAAACCTTAAAGGATCTAGCAGGTGAAACCAAAGATCCGCATTGTGGCTTCATCTCGACCGACGATGTCCTCTGCGCTTTTATCTGGAAATGCACATGCCGGGCGCGAGAACCTCGACTTGAGCCTGGGAAGCTGTCGACATTTGCACGCGCAGTTGATGGACGTCACTGTTTGGGAGTACCCAGCATGTATCCGGGAGCATTATCGAACATGACATATAACAAATCCTCATTGCAAGAACTGAATCATGAACATCTGGGAATTATTGCGTCACAATTACGCAGAGAGTTAGATCCCAAAGTTCGAGACATGGCCTATGACACCCGTGCCCTCGCGACGTTTCTGAATCGTTGTGTCGATAAAAGCAAAATCAGTATCACAGCCGCGGTAGACATCTCATCCGGCATGTGTCTCAGTTCATGGGCCAAAGTTAACTTGTATGATCTAGACTTCAACCTTGGACTTGGAAAGCCAGAGGTTGTGCGCCGACCTCGATTTTCTCCAGTTGAGAGCCTGATGTATATAATGCCTAGGTCATTGAATGGTGATCTGGCAGTTGCACTTTGCCTAAAAGATGAAGACTGGGAACGTTTAAATACTGATGAAGATTGGAAAAAATATGCGGTGTACATTGGATGATGAGCTAGAGCAGCGCAAAGCTTTGAAGTATGTGCAAACGCGATGAATTTTTGTACAAGCCAGTATTTATATCCTAGAAAAATGAAACCTTAATACCTAGTTACATATCGAAAGGTAAAGCTTAGAAAATGAACATATGAGACCTTATTTTTTTGTTTCTCGAATGTGATTTCTACTATTCTTACTATCCATTCTAATACTCTGTCTGCAGTCGCAGCACTTAAAGTGTTCTGATTCAACTCATATCTAATCATTTTTATCTCTTTAGAGCCAAGTGATACTGTCAGTAACCTAACAAACCTCTTACAATTATTTTTAGCCTAACCTCTTCCCAGAGGTAGCCATATTTAGGCGGAAAGTAGTCTCAGAAAGTAATTACAGGCACAACTGCCGGAGCTAGTCCGCGGACGGTCTGCCTATTATGATAGGGAAAAGGTGTTTATAGCGTCCTGATTTACAAGCCTTACGTATTTTTGCTGATGTGCATCCGTGTGGGTGTACCGGTCCTAAGAAAATTGGATTTGCAACGATTTTTATCGGAGTATTTAGGCTAAAAATTCACATCACAATTACCCAGTCTTAAATTGTGCACAGCTCGAGAACTCGTTTCCATGGTGCTCGTGGTAATTGTGCTCCATAGAGTACGATTGGGTCTGTAGACATCATCTATAAACCACCTTTATGATTTTGTCCGAGTACTTTCGTATTAATATAATACTGGTTATCACCAGTTCTGGCAGATACTGCAGACACTAGAGCCATGCCCAAAATCATGAGAATGAGCGTGCTGCCCCTGAAAAGTTTGTTGATATTTTTAATTGGTTTACCACCTTTACTATCTATGAATTTCATAAAATTGTCACCTTTCATACCTTCAGGAGCAGTATAAGTCTTAGCAGTTCCTAAACCTCCTGGCGGTGGAACCTCTCTTTCTTCATACTTGGACTTACGAAATTGATCAGCAGGTTGATTCATACCATCATTGTGAGAAGGTTTGGTATTTGCAATATACTGTGACATTTTACCGTTGCTCATTGATGATTGTAGAATTGAGGTTGGAACATTTTTATATCTTAAAATTAAGGGGTGATTACATCATATCATATCATGTTTAACGCAGTCACGGCACGTTTGTTCAAGGGTCCATGAGGAAGAAGATTCGCAATATATAGGAAATTGAGAATTTTATTTGATGTAAATAGCGAAGTAGAATAGCATGTAAAAAGAAGACCAATTGATATAGGCCCGACTAATGTATCCGATCCGGTACACTTCATATTTACTTATCCACTGAGAACTATCGGTCGCATTAATACTCAAGGCATATAAATAACATTAAATTACGGTCATCAAGTGTAGTTCAGAATAGCGAAGCTTCAATAACACTACTGATGAAAACGATGAACAGTGTATTTACAAAAGAAAGTCTAATTGGATATAAAGCGTCTGCAAAGAATTACAATATGAACGAAAGGGGTATAAAATGAAAATATATAATTTAATGTAAGACATCCATGACGCACTAAAACCACATTAAGCCACACCTAAACATCTATATACTTTTTTGGGTAGTTGCTGCGTAGTCATACATTTCGCTAATGATATAAGATAATCTAACCGAGATCTTCTTGGCAATACAAGCCGAAAAAAGTTCCTCTCGCAACTTAATGATCCCCGTAACTGAGATGTAACCTAACCTAACCAGTTTAACCAGTTTGTTTGCGCGCTCAGGAGCTTGCTTGAATCTCCTCGAGGGTGTAGAAAATGAATTATTTCATTGTCACATCTGCTTCCTGACTTAAATAGCTCACATGCTGCCGTAGATAGGGCAAGACTTATTTATTTAATCTTTCACGAGTTTGGCACGGCTGGCCTTTTTAACAATATCGTGAAGCGTCATCACCTGGGCCGCAGAGAGTTCATCTCCTGTTTTGTGCGCTGCAAGGGCACGGCTGACAATATCCGGACAAGCCTTTTGTTTCATGGCCCATTTCGCCCCGTCCAATTTAGAAGAAAATTCACCTGTGACGATGAATCGCCAGCCTCGGCAAGCGTTGAGAACGCTGTTGGCGGAGTTTACTTCGTTTGCTTGGTGCCAGTCGAGCGAATTCTCGATTGCTTCCAAAATCCATTGTCGAGGAATAGTGCCGAAAGCGTCTGTCGTATCAGGGCCGTGCAGGCTACGGCCAAGTTCGCGTCCCGTGGCAATATCGAGCAAAAACCAGTGGCTTGACTCGTTAGCGGGATCGAGACTGACATGATCAGGTTGGTGAAGTCCTGTGTTCATATTAAGTTCGAAACGAGGGTGACGGCTGGCCGGATACACAGCGCTTTGAGCATAGACCACAAACTCGAGTTTGGTAGCCGGGCAAGGCAAGACAGTCTGGTTCAACCGGCATATAACTGCCTGCTTATCAACGGTACCAAGTGGATCCTTCACTATAGCCTGTACGTCAAGGTCGCTGCGACCAGACTCGTAGGCGCCATAACTCGCTGAACCAAACAGATACACCCCAACGAGCTGGTCTTTCAGGTAATCAGTGAGACGCTTGACAATTTCCTCCAAGTATGCCTCCACCTCCTCTGGCAGGTTATTGTCCATTGTTGTCTCTATTTTAATTTACTGTTGTCCGACCTAAGTGGTGGCGCACTGACAACGCTTGAAAGTAGTTAGGGCTTTATTTAATATGGTAGGATGAGAAAATTTAGGAATATGGGTAATATGACTTAGCTGTCGGGTGTGAAATTGAGTTGAGTTGCATTTGATAAAAGCTGGCTAATGGATTACAAGGCTATCTTGACGGTAAGAAAGGGTAGAAAACTAATAATGAAATAAGTTATTGTACGCGGCATTAGTTGATGGACTACATTATCTATTAATATATCAACTAGGTCGCCCCTTCCTTGCCGATCTAGGGTAAGTCAAAGAAAAAAAAATTATAAATTTAATATATAAATAGATCTGCAACGTAATTAATTCTCTAGATTTTTACCTCTAGTCCATTGTACCAGAGGTAAATATATGGAAATGACGTTGCTTATATCTATATATGCAGTAGCATTAATTCTTATCGTTCTTCAGCTATTAGCATCTATATATCAAGACGAATATGATATCCTACGTACTTGGCCTTTCCTTATGTTATTCACTTTGTGTAGCGCAATCGAACATGACAGAAGGTACCGCGGACGTAACTTCTAACTTTGGGATACAATCAACTTTAATATTTATATACCTAATCCATGCGCATCGGGTAACATCACGTCAAATCACATTATGTGCATACTTGTCGAAGGGGACTGAAGTTGATGTATGTAACCAACGACGGGAAATATGATCTTAGAATTAGCACAAGGTGTTTCTAAGCCATCAATAACCACATTGAAACCTTTTCCGCCCTAGGTCACATTTCATTTCTTTTTCTCGTTTTGTGTTGTAACCATTGAATACAAATAAATATATTTTTAGAATGTTTAAAGTTCATCATGTCTTGTGCACCATGTAGAACTGCTTTCGCATGGGTAATTGTTTACGCAATCATCATACGATGGACCTGTATCTACGTAATCATATAACAGCAATTCCATCTTACCCGCCATTCTTAAAACGGATTCTGGTATGTCCAAATATACACAAGTTTCCTTGCTTTGAAGCGATTCCATGGTTCCCAAAATGAAGTCAGCCATTCCGTCTGCATCGTAACCACTGGACTCGTATTCGGCTTGTAAAGCAGGATCATGGTTAGGATAGTAGTAAGTATATCTAACACCGTAAACTATATGTTGATCATCACGTTTACTTAACTTTCGGACCCTTTCTCGAGTAGCTCCTTCCAATATCAATAAAAACTCTTGCTTCCTGCCTAATTCATCTTTTTTTGAAAACATATGGTGTTTGTGGAACCCATTGACTATTTCCCATTGATTTATAATGCTTGAAATTTCCTCTTCTTTGGATATGCCAAGATGCGATATTAAATGATCTAAACTATCACTGGTTCTTTTTGCAGAATTGGGGCCTTCCAATTCACCATTTACATTCTCCACAGATCCTGGCCATTGTGGTGACTGAAACCCTTGGGAAAGAACGGCTGATCCTATTAGAGCACCCATACCTGTAACCATAGCATCCCTATCGCCATGATGCATACCCCAAGCAAAAGTACCAATTCCAGTTACAGTTACTAAGATGTTTGCTATTAACCCATGCCAAAACCTCGCTGCTCTATAGTTAGCAAACCATGATTTTGTTTGTGAATCCGAGGCTCTGATTAAGAGTAGCCTATCAGTTTTAGATAAAATATCTCTTTTGTTCATATCATCTACCTTAAGCTTTGGCTGAGACCCTGTTACGATACTATCTGTTTTGACTTCGTATATAGTATAATTGAGATCTTGTTTCCCTACAGTGTTTAGGAACTTGTCTAACTCAGTCTGGTTCAACGGAAACATTTCATTGATCCAAAAAGGCTCGCCTTCATTGATTCTCTCATCTTCTGACGATATAAATGCGACTGGGGTCATATTTTCTTTATATCCGTTAGGACTAGGTAGTGGTGCCTCATAGTCAGCGAGGGTGCCTCTTTTGGTTTTGGCATTGGAAGATCTTACTAAAATCGCCAAGAAAACTAATAAGGCTAAACTTGCTGTAGAGAATAATTTAATTATCATTAATAATAACTATAGTTGCTTTGTATTATTTGTAGACGTTAGAATCTTTCAAACTCTATGTATTGGGGAAGTCTGAAATAACGATTCACAAAATTAATTATACTGTCCCCCAAAAGGTACAATTTAATAAAACAGACATTAGGAACAAAGGAGTCGGAATGTCCGCATATTAAAGTAGATATACACATAGAGGCTTTAAAAGCAATTGATATAGATTCAATAGATATGGAAAATTGTGTGATTGGATAACGACAATCAAGCTGAATTTTAACTAAACAATATAATAGAATACGATTGACATAAAAGCGAAGTTTACTGTGACAAGTAATAAAAAAGGATGCAATCAACTCAAGTTCGAGATCTGAAAGTGTCGCTGAGGGTAATTGTGTCTTTACGAGTCTATTCTTGCGGTAAGGAAAGCTTAGCAAAGTAAAAGATATAGTTTACTTTACTCTTGCTGTGAGTATATACTAAATCATACTTATATAAATTTTATTGGACCGTTTTTGAGTAGTCAGATATGTTCGCTGATTTTAGAAAAATATGTGAACCTAAAATAAAGATGTCCAACATACCATAGCTGGATAATGTCTCCACGGATGGTCGTATATTGTAAAAAGATCGGTATTTTTGCAAGCGTTGCCGACGCTTTGGTTCAGCTTCGCCATTGTAATACGCGAAAATATAAATGCCCGAAATGACCGAAGAAATTCAGTGATAAATAAGCCATTTTTATTCCTAAACTAAAAATCTAGACTATCAAGTCAACAATTAACTTCTTCCATGACTAATATTACGCGGACGGTAGCCTAAAAAATGGTCAGTGCGTAAACTGAGTACCCTTTTCACCACGTCTCGGTAGTGATTACTGATGTACTCATTTTTGAAGGTTACTTCCAATATATGTTACAACTGGTGACCGCCCGGAAACGAGCGTTTGCATGAATTGTGACGGGGGGTGTTAGATGGCCCGTTGGGGTTTTCGGGGGTGTAGAAGTCGCCTGTGTTAATCTCAAGGTCATACCTTCCGCCGTTGCTGAGATTTGGAATTGACCA